CTCCTCCTCGCCAAAGTCCGCCCATGAAATCGACAAGCTCTCCAACATCTTCACACCCGGATGCTCACCACTATCACCACTCCCCCCCAAAATCCCTCCCCTCCATTCCACCCCTTTTTCTTCGACTTTTCGAACACCACCCACCCCTCCACCCCTCCATACGGAACTTGTAATCTGCTGCTTGACACCAACCCCCCACTCCACGTGGCTTGTAACTGACGTTTTTGAACCCCCCACCGCACCGCACCGCACCACACCAAACCATCGCAAGTCGCTTTCTCGTTTTGACACAACCCCCAGCAGGGGGGGTTGGGGGGTTATATATACCGAGAGAGAGAAAAGAAATCGAGAGAGAGACAGGCACGTGAGACATGTGATGCTCGGGGGTGGGGGGAAGGGCGGTGGAGGGGGGTCAAGTGGCTTGACAGACGTCCTCGGGATACAGAGTGCAAGGAATGAGCGGTGAGAAAGCCTGGCACGCAGAAGCAGCAGCAGAAAGGGGGGTCGGATGTTCACAATAATGACTGCATATTGCATTCCCCATCCCCATCCCCAGCCTTTCGGGTATCTAATACTCCTACTCCTACTCCAACCAATCAAACCCCTAATTCGAGGTCCGAACAGCACCCTCTAACAACACACCCCACGTAGCCGAAATCGCGGCTAAGTTGCACATCCACAATGTCACAAAAGCGCCTGTGCCTACCCAAAACCAAACCTATGCGTAGATAAAAAAAAATGTTTTTAAATCCGCCCAACCCAGATGCTAAAAAGATCACAAACGCCTATTCCCCACTAGCCTACACAAGCGCCGAGTGGATATAACCGTCGACGAGGTAATCATCGTTCATACCGCGGCAAATCCGACTGCCCCCCCTGCTGCCCTAAATCCTCTTCGTCCAGCACCGGCGCGGATGGCGCGATAACCGGCTGCGCCGGCCGACTCGCTTCGCCGACATCGTCGGGGACGTCGTTGGGGTTGCTGCGTTCCATCTGCAGCCTGCGACGTTGCAGCTCTTGCTTATCCTCCGGGTGCGGACGATGAGTCGGGTTGGACGGCGGCGAGTAGCTCGGTACGGCCTGGCTGTGTGATTGAGGGGCTGCGATGACAGTAGACGGCGTTGATGGGATTGGCGTTGAAGAGAGATTAGAACGACCCGGTATCGTTCTCGTATCGTCGTCTTCGCAATGCTGGTGTTGCGGGCTGGGATGATACGGCGCGTCGTCGTCTGGAATGACAGGTGCCGAGGGGGGGATGGTGTGAGATGCTTGTGCAGACGTTCCGGGGGCTTCAGGGGGCTGACTGGGTAATAGCCGTGCTTCTGCTCTTCGTAGCCGTTCTTTTTCAGGCAGGTCTTCCTCGGGGACGTGATTAGGTGGATGGAAGTGCGAGGGTCGTAATGTGTCGTCATATTCGTTGTAGTGGTACTGGTCGTCATGGTAATCGCCTTCTTGATAGCCGTCGCCTTCGGTGTGGTTTCCGTAATAATGGTCCTGGTGCTCATATCCGTAGTATTCTTGTTCCTCGAGGGAAGGATAGTATCTCGGATCGCCGGGCGCCAGGGGTATGTCCTGAGTGTTATGTGACGGGTCTTGGGCAACGCTCGGCTCAGGTTCCGGGGGTGGCTGTTGCCTCTTCTTGCCATTCCGATCGCTGTCTTTCGTACCGATTACAACCTCGAAAACGGAGCAGACGACGCTTTTATCGCGTCGAATGGATTCAGTATCGATGAAATTGCCTCCCCATGCAGCAAATACACTCCCATTGGCGTCCTCGGCCCGTCCCATCTCTGGGGTAGTACCATACAGATTCGGGACGCTGAGGAGACCACTGTTCGAGAAGTACTTATCGAGGCCCGTCAATTTGCCTTGCAAGTCAACCACCACTTCCACGTAGTACCTAAAGCTGATCATAGCACCGGGAACGGACGAGATGGTGGGAAACGCATCGTCTGGAACTCTAACCGAACACTTGACTTCGGCTGTTAGTGTCTTGGGGTCCACGTATAGGGGAGCATAAGACTGCGAGAGATCCTTCCGAAACAGATGGCTAGACCCAGCTGAAGACAACGACAAGCCGCCAAGACCAGTCCTCGACTTCGGGTAATAGTCCTCCGATTTCGTCTTGTCGCCTTTACTATGTGGCGCAACGGGTAAAGCCGGGTGCATATCAACACGAGCTTGCCGATACAGTGTAACGATGATGCCCCGCACGCTCTTGATGTGTTTGGTGTGTTCCACAGAAATCTTGACCGGTATGTTGTCCCCGCGCAGGAATCCACCTTTCGAGATCTCGATCCTCGCAGTAATTGACTTGCCCCGCAATGATATTTTGCTCCCGACGACTGTCGCGCTGTCAGCAGTGGCCACAGACCGAACCCCGTACTCGGTTCCGGCGCCACTGCTGAGCTGACTGTCGAAGCTGATGTCGCTCGGGGAAGGGCTGTCGGGCGTGTCGCTTTCTCCTGCCACACTGCCTAGCTCGGACACCCTGCTATTCCGGGCGGGTTCGGAGCTGTCACTGCTCTTTTGCGGGGACTTGAATGTCGATGTGACCGTCTTGACGCTCCTCTTCTTCCTCCCTCCGCGCGAGACTGCCTCTAACGTGATGGTCCGCGGTTTTGGGTCGTGGATAGGCGCAATATCAATAGTCTCAATCAGATAGACCTTGGTGTCGCAGGAGGTGGTGGGGGAGATAGTCGTGGGTCGAGTCAGTGTCGAAGTGAGCATATACGACACAGTGCCGCGTTCAAACTACGCATGTCAGCCGATTGTCCAGATGCCAATTTCGAGTATACCCACATCAATGCTGCTCGGCAGTCCTTTCGACGGGAAATCCAGCTCAAAGTTGAAATGGTAGACTCCTTCAGCGAGCCTCCCTTCACCACAACACACGTATTCGTCCTCAAACAGCGACGCAAAGCCATTCCCAAAATAACTCGCCGACTTTTTCCCCTTACCCAACGCGATCGTACTGCTGTAGCTGCGGAAGCCATCGCCCGGGGAATTCGGGTTCTTAAACACCTGCACGTATCCATGCAAACAAACCACGAGATGGGTGACCCTGAACGGCTTCAACACCTTCAGGATGACGCTTCCTGTCATAACATCGCCCGGGGAATATCGGCGATGGGGGTCGTCAGCCTGGATATAGAACTCGGTGAAGTTGCGCGTCTTGGACTGCAGGGGCGACTTTAGGCGGGAGAGCAGCGACCGCGTAGGCGTCGAGATTTGCGAGGGCGAGGGATGGGCAACCGGGGGATTCATGCTCCTGTGCGCCGTTCACATGATGCGGCTAGCCGCGTTGAATAGCACGAGAGACTCGAAAGTGGACGTGGACGTGGTGGATGTAGAAGTGGGGGGCGGTCGAGGTCGGAGGGGTCGTGGCCACGCAAGCGTAACAAAGATGGCCTGGGCTTGTAACAACGGCTGAAGCGTGACACAGAAAGAGTTGTTACTGTATTGCTGTCAGCGGCAGGTCTGACAGTGTCGTCGTTGACAGTGTCGTCGTAGCGCGGCAATTGGCGACAGCGGGACGAGAAGGAGCCGGCTGGCGGACTCGAGGTGGTGTCGTCGTAGGGTCTGGACTCGAGCGGCGGAGAGAGAGTGCATTTGGCCCATGTTGCGGGCGACAGAAAGCAACAAGTCGGGTCGTAGTTTGGCATCGCACGACGTCTGGGGAAAACGAGGCGGAGCACTTACGGATGCACGATGTCGCTGATGCCGAGACAAGCACCTGGGCGAGTCCGCTGCTGCTTGGCTGCCAAGGCACGTTGAGGAATGACGGGCCCGCAGTTCTGGCAGACGGTCCACGGGAGAGGCGGGGAGGGGTATTTTGAGGGTCTGGAAAGCTGGGTGTTGCGGGGACAGAGCGGAAGAGGCTCGTCGCGTCTGGTGCTTCGAGGGAGCAGCGTCTGCAAGAGACGGTCAGAACGAGAGCAGCGAAATGGTCGTGTCTTCACAGCTGAGCGACGGGAGGGGATGGAATGGCCCTGTGGCCCCCTGTCCAGAGCAGTGCACCAGAAAAGCTTGCGTCGACAGCAGTGGACGGCTTCCCATTGGCCTTCCGCCGCGCTGGCTCTCCTTCTCGCCCTCAAGCTTTGCCTGGCGTGCGTTCTGCATCTGTGCGCATCTGTGCCGCCGAGACACGCAGCAAACGTGCAGGAAACCGGTCCGGCTCCTCGACGCCGTCCCTCTCCCTCACACCTCACAACAGCAGCCGCCAACTCAGCTCCATCTGCCAGGCATCCGCTTGAGCCAGCAGCGCTACCTCTCGCCCTCCACCACCGCGGTGCCGGAGCCTCCAACTCCAGCCGGCGGCCAGACGGGTGACAGATGAAAGCCCGCGCCCACTCCAGCAAGCGGAACGACACGCCGCCGTCGGAGGGGGGGCAGTCCCCACAATAATTCCCTCGCACTCGCAATCAAGCCCCGCCAAGCTCGCCCTTAGCAAAAGCTTGTGCTGAGTCCCCGAAGTCGTCGCCTCGTTCGCGCTGGCCGTGCAGCCGGCGGACCCGACTCGTCAGTCGCTGAGCTGCAGCTTTTTCGGGGAAAGTTTCTCCGGTTTCGTGTGGCTGGGATTGTGTTTACGAGGTGTGATCCTTACGTTTCTGCGTGAGGCATTGGTTGGAAACGGGCGGGTTTGTGCTGGCCAGGATTGGGAGAGGTCGTTGGTGAGCTCAACCCTATCGCTACGGGCTCTTGTATAGGGCTCGTAAAGTGCTGTCTGTCCGTCAGACAGCCTTTGTACGCAGCTGAGGCTGGTGTTCGTATTAAAAGCTATACGTCACGTGGCCATGCATCATGTGATGTTAACGAAGCGTAGCACTCTTCAATAAAATGAAGCAGGTGAAGACAGGAAAGCTGTTACTCTTGATCGGCATGTGATCTAGATACTTACTTACAAGATCCAGAATACAGCTTAAATGGTGATGTACGTGCGACGAGTATCAAGGTGGCGAATAGACTTCCCTTACAAAAATAGAAGGCAAAAAACAAAAAACCTCCCAACTGCCCCTCGGACTCGAACTAGAGCCCCAATTCTAGTTCAAATCCGAGTGACAGCCAAAAGATTTGCGGGTTTATTTGGTTCGTGTAATCATGGGGTGAATTGCGGGCGAACAAGAGCGGCACAGGCCGGCCGCAACCCCAAGATTGAAAGGTTGGGGAAATAAAGCGATACACATTTCAGCTAGCCACTCCAGCGCTACAATACGAATGCCGCACATGCATCGTTACGGGAACTGAGTGTTAATTCACTTCTAGAATAGAAACACCGAACCCAAGTCTATGTAAAAATGGCCATCTTACACCCCAGAATCCTCCCAAAACAACTCCGCCCCCTTACATGCCTAAATAAAGTGAGGATTTCCATACAAGTGTCTTGCCAGCTCTAGTGGAGAGAAGCCTGCCCACCTGCTCTCCGCCGAAGCCCTACCCTCTGCCGCCGAAGCCCTACCCTCTGCCGCCGAAGCCCTACCCTCTGCCGCCGAAGCCCTACCCTCTGCCGCCGAAGCCCTACCCCCTGCCGCCGAAGCCCTACCCCCTGCCGCCGTAGCCCAACCCTCTGCCGCTGAAGCCCTACCCTCCGCCGCCGAAGCTCTCAAATGCCGATCTACCTGTGTCTGCGCCGCAGCACTCGGCTCCGCCTGATCCTTGCGCGGCTTAGCAAAGAGACACTTCCACAGATCATCCTGCCTGACTACCTCCCCATCGCCCTTCTTACGCATCAACTGCTTGAGTGGGGCTTGCTGCAGCTCCAGCGAATTCGCCGCATCAATCGCGTTCTCCTGTAGACTTGGCGTCGCTGTGCCCGAGCTAGATTCACTGGAGTTTGCCTTACGCCCTTGACTCATATGCTCTAGGCGTCGCGAAACGGAGATGTCGTAGATGGCCTCTTCCACCGTGTCGCTGACCAGGTACATATACACTGTCGTAGGCCGCTGCTGTCCGATCCGGTGAACTCGCGCTATGGCCTGAAGCTCGATAGCCGGGTTGATCAGCGGCTCGCAGAGGAACACGTACGTCGCGTTGACCAGATTCAATCCAGACGAGTCCGATTTCGCATCTAGGAGGAAGCATTCGGTGCTAGCGTCAGACTTGAACTTCTCGATCCCGTGCTTCTCGCCAATACTGCTGCAGCCGATGTTCCAGCCTTCGAATGCTTTGCGCAGCACGTCGAGGAAGTCGTTGAATTGGGAGAAAATGATGGATCTGGCTCCAGGGTCGTTCTTGCGAATCCAGAGAAGATGTCTTGCAATCGTGTCCACCTTCGTGCCGTATGATGCTCCCGTGAGATCAATGTTCTTGATTTCGTTCATGACGGTGCTGCTGATGTCAGAGTAGATGGAGCTTTGTGCTGATCCGGGAGAAGACGGTAGTGACTGGCTTTCGGTTTCGTGCGTTTCCTCTTGCGCCTTCATCTCTTGCGGTTTGTAAGTGATATCGTGGAAGTCGTTGGGGTGCAGTTTCCGCTTGCAGATCTAACCTTTCATATTAGCCACAGAACTCAAATTAGAAAGACGTTGACTTACCGGGCATGTGCGGTGAGCTCTATGCCATTCCTGAATGCACTCTTTACAGAATTGATGTCCACAAATGGTCAACACACCATTCTCAAACTCCGACTGGCAGATAACACAGATTCGCTCGCCCTCTTGCTTGTTCTCTTCTCGCAGATGGAGTAAGAACCGCTGCTTGGCTTTAGTCCTGGTCAAGTTGGTCTTCGCCATCACTTCTAGTCTCTGCTGTTTCGCGAGAGCGACCATATCTAGCTTTTCGTCCATCTCCTCTTTCCACGGAGCCACGGTATCTGAGATGTGCTGTAATTGACGGTAGAACCCCAATCGCCGATTCATCGCTGTTCGGAACAATTCTTGCTCCTTCTCCAGTTCCGCCAGCGCTTTGGTCTGCGAGGTTGATATTGCCTGGATTTTGGCCAGCTCCTTTTCAACAATCTTCAGCTCCGTTCGTGCGCGATCGTTGCCTTCATCCGCTTGCCATTGAAGATTTGTGACCAGAGTTCGGACCAATGAGATTGCTCCTTTGAGGGATGCGTCCTTTGCAGTAGGCTTCAGCTTTTCGCGGATGTCTAGTATTTTCAAAGTAAGCTCGGGAGCATGCCCTTTGCCTTCAAGTGCGAATTTCTTTGAAGTTAGCATCTCGTGGTCGATCAACTCGTTACTCAATCCAGTAATCGCAAGATTTCTGTCCGCAATAATCGCTCTTAGAGCAGCGATGTAGACGTAGAGATCGTCTTGGGCCTTGGTGGAATCTTCGTATTCGTCTCCAGTAGTTTCCTTGCCCTCGTCTTCATCAACAAGCGGCAGAAGTAGTATGCTGACTACTTTCTTCCTCCATTCGTCAATCTGCGCAGTCTGGTTGTTCATCACATCGGTGAGACGATCCATCATGTCAAGTACCTTGCGGTTCTCGATTCCTCCATAGTCTGTTAGTTCTTTAATGTGCGGCACTTTCGCGAAGTTCTCTTTTTCCACCTTTGCTTCAATCCTCTTCATTAGTCTCATGGCGCTTTCTTGCGACTCGCGTAGCAGCTCTTTCCGGATTGCCTTCGCCGTTGCATAAAACTCCGTCTCAGACTTTTCCAGCTGATGGAACTCTTCAGATTCAGCCATCGTCAAGTTCTTATTCTCTTTGATCTGGTAGTAAGATGTGCCCACAAAGAAATTGCAGGCATGCTCCAATTCCAACGCAGATCGAAGACTCTTCTTGATGGTTGCTAGCCGCGCGAGGCGCTCAGATCCCTCGCCTTGTTTGTTCTTGTCTTCGCCGTCGCTTTCTTGATCAGCGACAACGGAGACGGAACGGCCGCTCGCGATGGATGCGGCCCCCTGCTTCACAATCTCGGCCTCCAGCTCATCTCGACATTCTTGAACGAACCGGCTAGCCTCCTTCAGAGCAGCGAGATAGACTTCGAGCGCTTTCTCACTACGATGCTCGTCAGGCTTGACGTTTGCAAGAGCATGACCCTTCCCCAGCGATATCAGAACCACCTCACGCTCTCCAGCTTTCGCTATAGTGTCGTTCTGTTCGATCATGACCTCCAAAACTTCCTCGACAGTGCGCAAGGGGGCGTTTCCGCGACCGAGTGCCCTGCGGTTCCGACGACCAACCTGAGCATGCAAACAGGTCTGCCTGAGACGTACTAGCCATTCTCGCATCTTCTCCAGAACAGGCGGATCCCACGGGTTTCCATCATCGTCCAAGAACTTCCCATCTGATGAGAAGCCACACGCCTGGCACATCTGCTTGATCAATTCTGAGTAATTCTGCTCCTCGATGGTGGTAAATGGAACGGTGATGACTACTCGCTTCTGAGCAGGCAGCCTCAACTCATGTCGGATCTTGTCTTTCGTATGGCGCATCGCGATACGACCAAAGATCTGCTTAAAAGTGGCTTTGTCGACCCGACTCCAATGTTGTCTGGAGCTAGCGTAGGGTTCGTATCGTAGAAATATGAGGAGTCCGCGAAGATCCTGGACGTCCTTCCGCAATGGAGTACCGGAAACTGCCCAAGCGTTGCAGCGAGGAATCTGCCTGGCTACAGTAGCAGCATTGCTAACTCCGCTTTCCACCATCTGAGCTTCGTCAAGACAAACACGCCACCATGAAATCTGAACTAGCGGACTCCGGCGTGGTTCGAATCTCTTTTCATGTCGCATATTTCGCTTTGGCGCCGCGTTGGCGTAATGAACCTCTTTGGAAAGAACATGATATGTCGTGAGGACGACATCATATTCCAGTAGCTGGTCCATGGTTGGGCTTCGGCCTGGCTTGTCTGCCGATCCTGTTGGCAGGCCCTGATAGTGCAATACTTTGAGATGAGGGGCATGGGTGCTGAGCTCGTTTTTCCACTGCTGTAGAATCGAATTTGGGGTGATGATCAAGGTCCCGCCAGTAGCTGTAACCTTATTTCCGGTAATTTGATCGACAAACTGGGTCCCTGTGGCCATTCTGCGGGTATGGAGGCAGATTAGAGCAATGAGCTCAACCGTCTTGCCCAAGCCCATTTCCTCGGCAAGAATGCCTCCACGCAATTCTTGAAACGCAGAAACATCCGTCATGACCATGCCTCTTGTCTGACTAACGTAGCATCGAGTCCCCATGGCGTCTTTGGTCTCGTGGAAAGAAGCTGGGATGATATCGGCTTTGCCAGATGCTTGGCAAGGCTCCAGCTCCAGGCCATTGAATTTCACTCCCTCTCGTCGCAGTAGCCAATCGACGGCCCTCTGCTGGAATGGGTACAGCTTGCTCTCAAGTGATGGAGTCTGTATATGAGAAGAAACTTCGCGATCCATCGCGGGAACATGTACACTCTCGTAAAAGTCCTGTAGTGACCACGGAGTGTGTTCGCGGGTCGATTCGGCAGGAAGGTAGTGGCTCAGAAGTTCCCAATCACTAACCGCTTCCCTTCGAAGACCCCTAGAATCCACGACTGAGAGTCCCACGTTCCATCCGATCTGAGTTTCAAGTCGGAAACACGGTCGAGAACCTCGGGGTGGCTGTATGATACAGCGTGAGAATGCGATAGGCGTGGCCTTGCCCTTTGGCGAAGAAAGCTTCAAGGCCCTCTTCATGTGGTCCTCGATCTCATTCAACGATATCGAGGAACCGGTGAGCAGAATTCCAGGTTGAGAACCAGCTGAAACAGTGATGGAAAACGCCTCCTTAGAGACCCGGGTGAAGTCCCGAAGAGAGAGCTCGAGGGGTTCATAAACAGATGTGTTGGAGAATAGCGAGGGACCTTTTGGGAAATGCTGGATTGTATTAAAAGCGAGGAACTCGAGAACAGTACTGCGACTTACCAAATCTATAGATATTCTGGCGAGAACGATGCTGGTATAGCGAGCGGTGTTAGAAAGAGTGGTATTCAGGCGTCTCTTTTTCTGTGGCGATTCGATACCGGACTCGACATGAGAGAGCTCCACATCTGGGCCCAGAACCTGGGTCGAGCCAGAGGATTCGGGTCCTGGAGAAGGCGACGGTCTTTTTCTACGTGGCTGGTTGGAGGATTTTGATGCGATGCGCTCGGGGAGGTCTACATGCATCAAGTCGTCGCGCTCAAGGAACGTGGGGCGTTGCGATGCAATGAAATCCAGGAAAGTCTTCGAGCAGGCCGAAGAAGCGCCATTTGTGACATGCTGCGTGCCTTCTGTTAGCACGCCGTGCACCGTGGCCACGGCATTCAAGCACGCCATGTTGCGGGAGGTGTGAGAGAAGAAGGATGGGGAACTTTGGGATGGCGAAACGGGACATCGTCCCCACAAGCGTCGGCTTTAGCGGGGCATAAGGTTGGCCAACCGGATCCCCGCCAAGCTGATGGCTCTTTGAGCACCACGTATTTTATGCAACCACCCCCTGTCGCAGGAGCTGTTTTGGGAGTGGATGCCTGATGGATGCTTACGGGTATTTCGCTATGCATGGTGGTGCTAATGTCTGCAGGTATTTCATCGAATTTCTACGAACGCTACTAGTCAAAGTGCATTTCCGCCCAAGGCCAACACAAGGGTATTGCCAATCCTATCCCACTTACCTCCCGAAGTCCTTCTCGTGCTATGCAATGCTGATAAAATGATATCCTACTCCAATAACCTAGTTTTTGGACTCAATCAGATCCGGGATCTGCTCAGGCTTGACATTGCCTTCAAGGATATCTACGTTTCATTAGCCAACCTACAAGGGTATAACATCAAGACAAGAATTTGAACTTACTGTAAACCGCAGTGAACAATGGGAACTTGTCCTCCATTCCCTGGCTTTTCAAGAAGCTGTTCACCTCATACGCCGTGCTCGTTCCCTGCAGCTTCTGTCCGTTCAGCTGCGTCTTCTCTACCTCATCAATGCTGATCCCCTTCTCAATAGCCATCTTTGCGCTCTTGAAGTTGCGGCCGCCCATGCAACTAGTCACGACATCGGCAACACCACAGCTCTCCTCGGTAAAGGTGCTGGCATGGACAGAGTCTTCGAAGAATGCTTTCCCGAACGCGACCATCTCCAAGATCCCCACGCGCATCACGGCAGCTTTCGCGTTGTCGCCCCAACCAAGTCCATCGACAAAGCCCGCAGCTAGAGCGATGATGTTCTTAAGGGCGCCACCGAGAGATACACCTGCCACATCCGAGACCAGACGCACATGGAAGTATGGGCGATGGAAGAGCTTGCGGACGTTCTCGTGGGAAAGAGGCGGGTACTCTGATGGTAGCGCCTGCAGTCTGGCAGAGCGAGCAGACGGATTGGGGTTGCTCGGAGAGATCAAGTCAACGTTCGACGAAGTAGGAGAGCCTTTTGGTGTGGGGGCACGCGAGTCCAGAGGGGGAGGATCATACGCAACAGTTGTCTCAGAGTATTTCTCCTGGGCAATCTCCGAGGCAATGTTGGCTCCAGAGAGAGCTCCACAGTAGATGCTTAGACGAATCCCTATCGACTCCGAGAGAAGACGAATGCCCTTCTCAGAGACGTCCACACCCTTTGTGCAGGATATTGCTCGCGCATACGGCACGATGTTGCCTTTCAGCTGGTCGCAAGCCCGCGCTATGAACTGATGCGGCAACACAAACACCAAGATTGTAGAGTTTTTGCAGGCGTCCACGATGTCGGCATTCGCTATGACGTTGGGAGGGAGGGTAATGTTCGGGAGATATTTGACGTTCTCGTGGAGCTTATTGACCAGTTCGGAGAGCTTCTGGGGCTTGTTGGCCAGCTCGGAGGCAGGGTCGAAGTGTCGGGACTCCTTGGGAATGGTGACTTGTTCTTCATGCACCCACATCTGCACGGTCTCTTCGAACAGGCTGGGGTGGGCTTTTGTGTTTTCGGCAACAAGCTTCGCCATTGTGGTGCCCCTACTGTAATTAGCCAGGACGAAATGTTGCTAGATGTGCACGCATGCATACCAGTTGCCGGACCCTACAATGGTCACCTTGTGCTTCTTCAAGGCTCCTAGAGTCGCCATGTTGTGCTGAGTGTTGTACGTCTGGGAAAGTGACGTCGGCGTCAGAAAGTTGTGGCGAAAGAGGTGTACGAGAAAAGCTGTTTGTGTCGTGGGGCTGGAAATCCCTCTGACGGTCGTGGAGAGCAGATTGAGCATTCAGCGGGGAAGATCAGAAATGTGGAGGCTAGAAGGCTGGGGAAGCGGAGCGGGCACGCGGAGGTGTTGAACGACGCCAACAGCTCGCCCTGGCTTGTTGAATCGTTGAACTCAAAAATGCGATCACCTGCTGGGGTCTGCTGCACCTTCCCTTATCGATAATGCGGCCTGGGATTCTTGCTTCTGCATGTGAGACTTGGCGGTCACTTTTTGAGGTAATTGGAGTATTTACCTAGGCACGCAGCAAATAATTACGGCTTTAGCACTTGAACCTCGGGAGCTAGCTTGGGTAGGCAAGAGGATGTCTATAATAGTTCGAATGCAACATCTGCTTGTGAAGACTCCCTTTCACTATTTTGAGCACTGCGTAGTTGTGAGGATACTTCAATACGTCAATGAACGTGATCGGGATTACATCAAACTAAACTAATAGACAACTAACACTTGACTGCTGTGGTTCTAGCCTATCCTAGTTGGAATTCTGTATCTTACGTAGGTGTTCAAAATGGATTGGCTTATGACCAGAATGTATTTCGGGAATCTACGTCTATCAATCTTGAATTGTTTAAGCAGTAGTTCGCAGTCCAATAGTTATACAGTAATGTGAGTGCAAGTTGATAAGGCAGTTTAAGGCGGCCTGGCGGTCTTACAGGTCGCTCAATTTCACACTTTTCAATTAAGTTCCTGAAAATGCATTAGGACTCCAGCAGTGGACCCCCATGTATGCAGACATATGCCTAGTACTATTAGATCAAATAGAGAGCTTGAGCGACACAAGTAGGTCAACTAATAACTGCCCTGATGAATGACTTGGGCTTGTTTGAATCGCACTCACGATGTGACCCCGGAGGTACAAAGGTATTTTGACCTAAGAGCCGCAGACTCTGACTTCCATTCAAGTGTCGTCTTAGGTGCTAAATGCTACAAGAATACAAGAGAGAGTAGTAGGCGGTCACAGAAGTCTAATTGAATACTTTTAGCGGGTGGTTGGGATAGAGTTTTGGAACTAGCGGAGATCTACTTCGTACAAAGGTAGAGGTGCCGAGATACCCATATCATCTACATACCACGATACCCCCAGAACTCATACTACATAGGAGCTACTTTGAAAATGGCGCAGCTAATTGAGAGTCAATCGGAGTATGAACCCGAGATGCTAACGAACATGATGAACAGCTTCCTCTGCAGAACGCCCGCAGCCACAGCATCTTCCTCACCTCAAAGCTCCTTCGACGCCCCTCGAGACGACTCAATACCCCTCATCGTACCCTCCAACACCACGCATACGCACACCTTCATCGTACTTCATGGCCGCGGTAGCAATGCACACGACTTCGGCCCTCGCTTCTCCTCCGCCCGTACCTCTGCTGGCCACACCCTCCAAGAGCTCTTCCCAGGCGTCAAGCTCGTGTTTCCCACGGCAAAGAAACGTCGAGCTGCGCTCTATAACCGAGCCTGGATTAGCCAATGGTTCGACAACCCCTCGTTAGATAACCCCACCGAGAGGCAAGAAATCATGTACGATGGATTGCGGGAAAGCAGTGGAATTATACGGGGCTTGATACAGGAGGAGGCAAAGCTTGTTGGGGCGAACAACGTGGTGCTTGTTGGGCTAAGCCAGGGCTGTGCTATAGGGCTACATGTCTTGCTTAGCTCACCAGGCGTACCATCAGGGCAAGGGGAGGTGGAGGACAGATTGACAGAGTCGCAAAGCCGGTTGCCTTTTGCGGCGTTCATTGGCATGAGTGGATGGCTACCATTAGCCAGAGATCTTGGAGCCGAAACGTGGCCATACGACACAATACAAGACGATGATCCCTTTGGAGGTAGTGAAGGGAAAGACGAAGACAGTCTCTCGAAGCAACAACTTCGGGCCGCGAATTTTGCGAGGGATATCTGCGACCTGTCTATGTTGCCTCTGGATGGCCGCGTAGCGCCAGCGTTCTCGCAAGTTCCCGTCTTTCTCGGCCATGGCACCGAGGATGACAAAGTCCGCCTGCATATGGGGAAGCAAGCCTACAGCATTCTAGAACGACTTCAAGTCCCTGTCACGTGGAAGACGTACGAGTTTGGGCACTGGTGGAAGGAGCCCGAGGAGATTGATGACATTGTCAATTTCCTACAAGAGAAAGTAGGGTTGCATACTGTCAAACGAGATTGAGACTTGTTTTCGTCAATATGAGCCCCGATGACGCTCTTTAAACCCGACTTGCCTCAGCTACAGGTCCTTCAGAGCATCAGCATAGTCCCGTCTTACCTTAGCCCGCTATATGCATCCAGCATGGGCCAGTGTACTGAGTGTATACACTGTAACCACAAGCCTTACCGGCTAGCGAATCTGGGCACCGACTAAGAGTTCCTTGAGACAAGCAACCGCAGCTGTATTGAAGGTTGTTTCGGAAGCACATGCTTTCGAGTAGTATTTGAACTTGCCTTTCTTTGCCCTGAAGCTTTGCCTTGATATGCTCGTTCTGAGAGTCGATCGTTGAATTTGCGCGCTCCAGATACATCCTGACGGGACATATCTGAGTATTTATATCCTTCACTCAGTACGCAACCGTGTTGGCCTCCAGTACGATCATGAAGCATTCTACTTTCTGTCTTTTGCCTACACGTCACGAGCTAGCCCGGTGGCATGAGATGGAAGATACTGTAGTCAAGCTATCCAGCCATTCGATAGCCTAAGCTCACGTTCAAACGAAATGGTTACTGGCTTCGCCTTCCCATGCTCCTATTCGTCTCCCAAGCTATGCTGTTCATTATCCCTTGAAAGACAACCGCCCACCCCACGCGCTGCCTAGAAGAAATGCAGCCCCATCGTCAGAGGCGTACGGGCGGTCCAGTATCACGACCCTACCACCCACTTCCACCAGCCCCTGTCATCCATCAAATCCAAGGCCCAGAAGGCTGACGTTGCATTTCTAGCGCAAGACCCTGCGCACACCAATCTAAGGGCCACGATCCGATCCCGCAAACTTGGCAACGCGCATCGTAGCTGGGATCTTGCTGCGGTACCCGCACCCTGGCTCGGACGAGATCTAGTGTGACGTCATATGGTTTCAGACATGGTGGTGGAGATATAAAGACGGTTGGGAAACACCACTAATTATTCACAACGCCTAAATCAAACCATCTACAATACGCACTATACCAAACACACTCTTCTCGTGCCAGAGAACCATAAGCCCTACCAACAAACCCGCTTCCGAGCAATCTACCATTACACATCATGCCTGTCGGCCAACAAGAATCCGGTGTTACGTCCGGTGTCAAATTCGTCACCAGCACTATCGGCAACACCGTTGGCGGCCTCACAAACACCGTGGGCGGTATCGTAGGCGCCGCTGGCCGTGGCTTGGGCGAGACACTTGAGGGTGCGACGGGCAGCGCTGGACGACCCGTGGCGAGAGGGCTTGCGGATGCCGCGACGGGGGTCGAGAAGGGTGGACAGGATATTGCGAAGGGCGTGAAGAATGCCGGAGAGGGGAAGTAAGGGTTTGATGGTTGGATACTGGATACCTGGGATGTACTGGACGGAGGATGACTACTTGAAAGGATAGGAAAGGTGTATTTCTGGTTATATAATATAATCTTGCAATGATTTATGATTATTTCTATCTCGCGGTTGAAGACGTGGTTTCTCTAGAATCTATCTGATTTGCTTAAGTCCTTATGAGCAGCCTATGTGAGGTATGTTGATTAAGGTGCGATTGGTAAAGAAGATTGGTCGTCAACGCCTCCGATCATTTACTTACGAGGTAAAGCAACAACTACAACAGTGCCATCCCGCGTATCGCCCTGCTTCAAATAAAACCCGTTTCTCGTGGTTAAAATTTGGAAATATTTGCCTCGCAAGACTGATGATTGGTCCATTCATTGGAGGTCTGGGACCCCGGTTTTTGACGCGCATCGCGTAGAGTGGTCTTCGCGCGTCGACCTCGAACATTTCCACCCCACACTACTATGCCAACCCAACAAAGCTGTATTATAACTTGCAACAACAGCTATGGCCGACGGAAGCGGTGATTTTAGACAATGTTCGCCATTGTAAGTCGGAGCGTACCCCTCGATAGCCTCAAGCCTAACGCTGCGCCAGCCAAACAGACTTCTCCACGAACGAGCGCTCCCAATCAGCTTACACTCCCCTCCATACTTTTGACCTTCCAAGAGGCGCAGACAAACACTACCAGCAACAATATGCGGACATGTACTTCCTGCGGCTGGCTCAGCTGAAGCCGGCCGTTGAGGAACAAGCGGAAGAGGCCTGGGGCAGCATGAAGGTGAATTCACTGAGCACAATTTTGATCAATGGAAGGCAATACTGATCGAGTCGCACTGCAGATTGGATCAGACACCCCGCAGCATGTGGACCGAGTCCTTGATGTACGACAAGGCATACCTAGCTGGGTTGTTGGAACTGTCTTTGTTGATATGCCTCTGAAACCAAACGTCCTAGACGATATCTCTAAAGACGTGAGTTCTTTGAATCCATTTCAGAGACCCCGGCTAATTTGCATTTCAGCACTGGATATCAGCGCCCCCAACCCGTGAAAGATACACCACCGATGGCAAGCTTGATATGATGATTGAGGATGAGTCTGGACGATTGAAAATTATTGGCGATGGTCTTGACACCCTTGGCCTTGTTACGGGCTGTGTGATTGCGATTCTGGGCCACGAAAACATCGACGGGGTCTTCAATGTTATTGACACCAAATACGCGGATTTACCCCGACAGCCCGAGAGATGGGAAAAGGATGAAGCGAGCCTAGCTTTGTCAGGAGGAAAAGTCAAGCAAAAGAGACCAAGGGCCGACAGAGTTGCTATAATCAGTGGGCTAGAAATTTCCGGGGACTCTGGCAACGATCTAGCCCTTGTTATGCTTACGGAATACCTAATAGGAGAGAGCTCGCACCCATCAAGACCAGACGGAAGCAAGAAGATCAGTCGTCTCATAGTTGCTGGTGGCAGCTTGGCTCACTCTTCTCCAATACCGTCTCGTGAAGAGGTTGTCGCAAAGAAAGGTCACAAAAAGTATGGATACGATTCTGCTGCATACGATGCCTCTCCCACAGCACGCTTAGACACGTTTCTAAGTGATATTCTACCAACTCTCCCAGTCACTCTACTCCCCGGTGTTACAGATCCTGCCAGCGTAGCCATTCCACAACAGCCTTTACATGCTGCTCTATTTCCTCAAAGTCGCGCCCTGGCGAACTCGCCTGCATTGAAAAATGACCCACATCTCGGCTTCGACAGCGTTTCCAATCCATGGGAGGGCGATATCGATGGGTGGAGATTTCTAGGTACTGGAGGTCAAACTGTTACAGATGTGCAAAAATACTTGGATGTCGATTCCACACTCGACATTATGGATGCGATGCTGAGGTGGAGGTGCATCGCACCGACTGCTCCAGATACACTGTGTATGTATATTTCGTTTCCCTTACCATTTCCCCTAGATGTGCTTTGATATCATACCTTTCCATACCGAGAGGCTGCAGAAGTGGCAATGCTAACAGCCTTGTAGGGTGTTATCCTTTCCAAGAAGATGACCCTCTGCTTGTGAAAGAATGTCCTCATGTCTACTTCGCGGGCAATATGCCGAAATTCGACTTCAGAACAGAGACAGGTCCACTCGAACAAACCGTCACCTTGATCTCCGTTCCAAAATATTCCGAGACTGGGATTATAGTGTTCCTAGACATGGAGACACTAGAGGTAACTCACATCGAGCTCGGGGTAGGCAATCCAAAGCCTTGATACTGTACGTTACAGGGTTTGATATAGCGATGATTTACGATCGTGGGTAAGAGTGAGAGAGTCAATATACCTGGTCCTTTCTGCGACTTATTTTGCGGCGTCTACCATCCTAGGCTGAGGAGTGTCCACAGTGCTTTAGCTATTCTGCTTCCATCTGAATACTGTAAAAGCGTGGTGGCTGCACCGGCGTGTAGCATATAAAAGACAGTTTAACGCGGTTCAACTTCTTCAAATGCACTCGGTATCGGTGTTTGGTTTCTGAAAATAATTGCGAGTGCCTGCGTTTGCGTCTTCGGATTTTCACGCTAGGCCCTTGTTAGAGCCTGCTGTACGGGCATTGGATCAACGTAACAGGCGCAGGTATGGGAGAGAACAAATCAGCCCATGTCCGCGGCTAATCTATCTGCAACAGCGTCCCAACCCCCGCGATATCTTTCTATCCTTCAAGCACCCTCCAGTCCGCACATTTTCACTATCAATACACATTAACACGTCCAAGCCAAATCATCGATACTTCCACACACTCAAGTATCAAGTCTAGTATTTTGCACTGTACTCACCATAATCATACGACACTTCCAAAGCGTCCAAAGTTCCGGTGTGAACGTCACCCCAACAAAATGGCTACCAACCACTCGGCACTCATCAAGGCGGCGGAGCAGTTCTTAGCGACTGCAAAGGAATACAAGAGCGATCATCTTACTCAAATGGATATGTTGAAGCAATTAGACAAGATGCGGTTGACCCTAGAAGGGCCTATGGATCCGATCTTGAGGCAGTGGGATACCGTAAGAAATATCATCATAGGTCGTGATACCGCACGGGAGTAACCAATGGTTCTCAGATTCATACCACAGCTGCTATGAACCTCCTCGTGTCTACTGGCGCCTTGCAACAGATTCCCACTGAGGGTACTATCACATCGCAGGAGCTTGCGGATGCGGTTGGTATTGATGAGTCTGTTATCAGTGAGTAATCCCGATATGACTGATTTGCTGAGTGTGGGTTTCTAATATAGTTGCCTCTGTTAGCTCGCGCCATGAGGGTCATTTGCGTGCAAGGAATCGCCGAGGAGCCAGAAACGGATGTCTATGCCCACAACGCCAAATCGCTCGCATACATCACGGGCACCAGCCAGTACTTTTTCCAAATGGTGTGAGTTCGATTTCATTTATCAACGTACCCGAAATACTATTCATTCAAGCCTTTTGCGCATGGTTCAAGCAGAGACGTTGACTTTCCACCAGACTCCATCAAGATCTCGTGATGAGAAAGCTCCCCGATTATTTCAAGACGCACACTAAGGAAGATCTTTTCGATCTTAGAAAGAGTCCATACGCACATGCCCTTGACCGAGAAGGCATGACTTACTATCAGGTCATCTCAGATGATCCAGATAGACTTCATATGTTCAACCAGGTGAGAGAGTTACAAGCTGCACGGCATAAGATCAGCCAACATCGTTTTCCAGACTTAAATCATAGTTTTAGTATCTATTCACATTGACACTACCTAGACCCTCACCCAGATGGACCAACAGATGCCAATCCTAGGCATGTTCCCCTTCGCCGCTCTCAAAAACCAAGTCGAAGCCTCACCACAGAAACCATTCATCGTCGACGTCGGTGGCGGACGCGGCCAAGTGCTCATGTCCGTCCAGAAAGAAGCACCAGCTGGCTTCGGCGCGAAGATGATTCTCCAAGATAGGCCAGACGTGTTGGCTGCAATAGCACAGGAGGATATCCCGAATATCGAGAAGATGGAGCACGATTTCTTCACTCCCCAGCCGGTCAAAGGTGCGTTTTGACACCATACAACATATTCTTAAAGCATCACTGATTGGGACACCTGATAGGCGCACACATCTACCTGCTCCGCCGAATCCTCCACGACTTCTACGAGCCCGTATGCATTGAGATTGTCAAGAATATCGCAAGCGCAATGGACTCGGACTCCAGGCTTGTAATTGGTGATTTCGTGGTTCCTGATAAGACTCACTTGGGGGATGATTCTATGGTGTACTGGATGGATTTCCTGATGATGATGCTGACGGGGAAAGAGAAGACGAGGAAAGAGTTTGAGAGGATTCTGGATGCGGCAGGCTTGCAGATTGTGAAGGTTTGGCCGTTTGCTGTGGGTGCGCAGGCGATTGTTGAGGCTAGGCTGAAGAGAGCTTGAGTAAGACACGGTAGTCTGCTTGATATCGCTATCAAAACACGTAATGCTGTCTAGATACTGACGGGGGCCTGTGGGCGGAGTTGATCTAGGGGTCTAGTTGACTCACGGGTTTTAGATTATTTGATCTACGTTCCGTCCAGACTACTTTGATTATGTTGAAGCACGTCGAACAGTGCTAGGCGAGTGGACCTAGAATTATTCTCTGGTATTAGAAATCGGTGTGGCCGAATGGAGCGATTAGATATGATTGGTGGTGTACGTACAGCACGTGAGTTTCAGCCTGGTCGACTTCAGACCTCGAATATCCGCCCCGCTTTCACGACTCTTCTTTCCTTCACAGTCCTAGAAGATCATACTAGCTTGCACCCGCATTTCTCTCCATCAAGTCAGATTACCATTGCTTGGGATACCTATCCGACTGAGTGGACACTGAGTGGACACTGCTTCCGGGAGTGTCCCAGCACGGCAGCATATCCGTCACCAGCTTTCGAGGACACGCCCGAACCCTGTGGGGACAAGCCTTACGTCTCGTCTTAACTTCCGAACATATATCAAGGGGCTTCCAGTAGTGGTAAGCAGGGCTCACAGCTTACAAATAGAGTGGATCAGTCCTCTGGTGAACCGTAGGCATGTAGATTGCTGAGACGATAATGCTGGCACTTCTGTCTGACCAGTCTATAGGCCCGACGCCTGTCGGCAACAACAAGAACAGAACATGCCAAATATTATAACTCTCTTCTTAGTTTTGGCTCTATATGTTCTCCTCAACCGCGCCTCTCCTATTCCTCAGGATGCCGACGACACGCCTCGTTGGACCTTTGTTCCGTCGCCTCGTACCCGTGGCACAAACACCATTCTCAGTACTACTTGTGCAGCCCTTATTGCAAGCACCTGGGCAGCACTTCATCTGAACATTCTGAAGCAGAGGCTAGAGGGAGACAGATCTGGGAAACACTGGGCGAAAACAGTCTTTCACGACTTAGCCTCTCCTATGAAGTGGACCGCAGCCGCGATTATAGCCCCAGAAGCTCTAGTCGGATTTGCCTTTAGTGACTGGATGCATGCAAGAAAGACAGAAAGCATTCTAAGAAACTACGGAAAAGGGGACATGCAGTCATGGGACCGGACACAGGTCCACTTTGCGAACATGGGTGGTTTCGTTTTCCAGTTCCGGAGAGTGAAATTTACAAATTTTCAAGAACTTAAAGGAGACGAGGAGGGACCTGAAGGATACTATGCGGAGTACGATCAAGAAACGGTCAACACACTGAATCGCATGAAAATAGATTTTCGGCAGCCTGCTTTCATACCATTAGCAGAAACCCTTCGGCAATTACCCCGAAACCTCTTATCCAGCCTGCGGACTCTCGCCATCAAAATCCCATTCCCATTCCGGAGTAACAAAGAAGCGTCCCAAAGTTCATCACGCCAGGCACGTACCGCTGGATTATCTTCAGCTATAGAGCTCACTTCAATGCAAAGCACCGGAGGTGCAGGCTCACCATCCCTGTCTCACCAAGAGAACGAAACGGAAGCGGTCAGCCCCACGGACTCAGCTCCATCATCCACATCCGACACGCCCGGGGCTGAAGAAGTGGAATATGAACCCAGCACTTCGATGAATAGGGAAGATTTTACGGTAGAAACAGTCAAGATCTACCTTAATGCCACACAAATTCTATTGGCCCAAGAATTTGGCATCTTAAAAAAGCCTCCACAGTTTTCAACTGCACACATCGAGGACAAGAGCAAAAACACCCCTTTCGCGAAGATTTTTCTTCTCTTGCCTATCATCGTTCTGGCGTATATCGTTATTGCTCGGCTGTATAGCCACCTAAGCGTATCTCAGCTGGAGCTTGCGGTTTGCACCTATGGCATTTGCACGACTTTTGCTTACGTCTTTTATTGGTCAAAACCACAGTCTGTTCGAGTCCCTGAGGTATCTTCACGCCATCAACTCCGGTGGATAAGGCCGAACGACGAACACAACTTAGCCATATTTGGTGGCACATCATTTATACACACTAATTTCTTCCCGCCCTTCGGCGCTGGCAACAATACGCGAAGAAAGATTACTGACAACATATTAAACGATAACGTTGTTGGCATATTCGGCATCATTTTCGGGACCGTTCTCCACAATTCAGATTTCGCATCTATTCTAATAGGAACTATTTTCGGGGCGCTGTACTGCCTTGGCTGGAACAATGTGTTCCCGACTGCTACGGAACGATGGTTGTGGAGAGCTTCAAGTGTTATCGTCACTTCTGGACTTATTCCTTATGCAGGGGCAAACACGTATTTCACCACCAATTATCGCAAATCTGAGACGCACACAGATATCCGGCAAAAGATTGGACTATATTTTCTTCTTTCCTGTTACGTATTAGCAAGAGTATTTTTGATTTGGGAAATGTTTTGGAGTCTCTTTTATCAACCAGAAGAAACTTTCGAGAGCTCCTGAGAATGGTAGCTACGTTGCTAGAATGGTGTCTTACATTCTGCTTGAGCAGTAGGGTTTTCCGGTTTTCCTAAACGGCTAATGTGTCCACGAGTTCCTCAATAATCATCCTTGTGTTAGTGTTCTCCAATGGGCATTGAGAGTATGTGGAGAGCCTGTCGATGGCATATTCAAAGTCAGGATTGGATCCATTTGTCAGGATTGCCGCCGCGTTAGGAGCAGACAGCGCAGTCCTAAACGCAATCTTCACCTCTCCTCCGTTGTGGCCCTGATTGACGGTATTCCCGCAGTCATCTAAGTGTATATTGGAAAAAGCTGAACCCACCCCGATGTTCAGCATGAAAATACGGCCCAAGAGCAATGAACCAATCAGGAAGGCCGAGAGTAGAGTAAGACAGTTGATAAGGTTGATCTCAGGGACTTTCTGGGAAATCAAATGAATTAGGAAAGGACTTTGTGCATTGAAATGGTCCAAGGCTGCAGCGCTTATTTTGCTCTTGGGGAGGTTTCGCTGCTTGTTAGGAGCTCTATCCAATCCTGTTTGTCAAGAGCCTCAGCTAGTTCCTTGGCTGTTCGCCCTTGTGCGTCGCGTATACTCTGGCCAATCCCTTTGCTGAAGAGACACATGGCTGTCTTCCGATACCCAAAGCCGTTCAGCCATCCTGGTTTGATGCCCTCCACAAGGCAGTGCAGAGCTGTCTTGCCATCTCGGTTTCTCGCATTGATGTCTCCTCCAGCCTCAACGAGTGTATCGATAATGAACACTGACGGCCATTCCACGGCCCTATATTGAAAAGTCATCACAGCCTCGAATAGAGGTGGAGACCCATCATTCCTCCTCGCGACAACGTTGACTCTAGCCGTCACCAAGACGTCAATTACCTCGATGTTGTTATTATATACTGCTACATGCAGAGCAGTCCTCCCGTTCTGGTCACTGGAGTGAACGCTTGCGCCGGCTTCCAGTAGAATAGTCACACCTTCGGTGATTTAGCTCGGACATGCCTTCCGCAGAAGAGCTGCTGACTCTGAACCATTGCACCGAAGAACGTTCGCCCCGCACGCTCCAATCATGGCATGAAGTGGCGACTCGCCAAGATAACTTGTTGCGTTGACGTTCGCTCACCGACTGATCAAATAGCGAAGCAAACTGACAAATGGGAGATATGTATCGTGGATGTGAGAACCGATTTCGTGGAGCACTGTGTTGCCGTTATCATCAGAGACGTGAATGTCTGCTCTTGCATCAAGCAAAGATGCGATAACCTCTGTGCTGCAGCCATGTATTGCGCAGAAGAGAGGAGTCATGCCTCTATACACCGTAGACCGTGCTTCCAAGTTGAACCCTCTTTCTATCAGCAACTTGATGGCACCTGGTCTCGCCCCAAACATGGTTGTAGTGCCGATGGATTTACCTGCTTCGGCATCGCATCCTCGGTCGAGTAGCATCCGCACAGTGTCCAATCTGTTAGCCTGCGACGCAAGGTGCAGCAGAGTGTACTCTCCGGCATCATTCTGCATCCTCCCTCCCTTCTCCAGAAGCGGCTCTAAAAATTCTACTGAATAGTGTGCAGCAGCATAATTCATCGGATTGTTAGGAAGGGACCTCATGAAATTGAGGTCAGCCCCGTAGTCGAGCAGCGCCCTGACAACTTCCATATTTCCTCCGGGCTGCCGGAGTGCCCACTCCAAAGCCGTTATGTTGTTCTCGTTCATTACATTTGGGTCGTAGCCATCCTCCAATAACACTCTCACAACCTCCATACGGGCTGCTGTGAACCCATCCGCCTCGATCGACCTGTCTTCACACTCACGCATTCGGCATGGGGATGCGTGGTGCCATGGGAGGCCTTGCACGCCGATTTCGCGGCAAGCGCCTTGACGATCTCGACGTTGCCAGCCATGGCCGCGGACAACAGAGCGGACGGATAACTAAGAGGAAATTCATTTTTATTGTCGATGTCGGCGCCGTGGGCCAGGAGGAAACGGACGGCTTCTATTTGTCCCCATTGTGATGCGAGCACAAGCGCTGGTGGGGTCGACCAAAAGTCTTGTCGTCTGTCTTGGAAACCATGGGGGTAAGGCGCTTTGTAGTCAATATCGAAGCCAGAGTCAAAGAGGCGGTCGAGGGTGGAGATATCTCCTGTTGCGGCGGCCTCAAGCCATATCTTGACGTCTTCGAGGTCGGTGCTGCCAGATGAAGGCATTGCAAAGTGGGAAGAGTCGTCTGGTATGCATTTTGCGCGCGTTGCTTGCAGCATTTTAGGCGGGAGACCTGGAGAGGTGATATGCTACAGTCGGTTGACAGAAGTCTGTGTGCATAGCTTTGTAAGCAGGAAAATCAAAGTTCGACCCCGTTGCTCTCCAATACAAAGGAGGTGTTTCCTTGAAGTTCTATATCGAATTTCTTGGTGTTTATGATACATATACGCCTCCTGGAGCCTAATACTTTGTCTGCCAGCCCTTCGCCTTCCGTACAGCCTCTAAACGTCTTGGCATGCTCTTAATCAGGTTCCGGATTAGTGAATTGGGTATCTTCAACCATGCCTCCTTTAATGCAGCTTTTAGAGCATCCTAGTCCTTTTCTAAGTTGCCCATCGTGGTTAGCTCTGGGTGGAGCTTGTGGACCATCTTCTTAAGAGCCCACCACATGTGCTTAATAGGGTTGAGATCCGGTGAATAAGGCGGCCATTCGAGCGTCCAAATACCATAGGTTTCAAGCCAGTTCTTGGTGTATTTGGAGTTGTATATTGGCGCATTATCTTGAACAAAGATGTGCCCAGGCAAGTACTAAGGGAGGAGTCCTTCTTCAAGAGTCTTAGTGTAGCTTCTTCCTGAATACCCCATCTTCTTAGATGCAAAGTCCCTCTCCATGATAATTAAAGGGGAGCGTCCTACTCTTCCCTTTGGAGTGACCCAAATAGCCCCCTATACCATCTGTGACATCTTTTTGCCCTTCTCTTTCTCTGTGATCATCTTGGGGTCATATTTCTCGCCAGGAAATCGAAAGCACTATTCGGCTTGCTGGCCTGAGCCCTGTTGAACCGAGCACTCGTCTGTGAACTTGACAACCCGTCGCTTCCATTGGAAATTCCGATGCTCTCTTGCGAATCAGCGCCGTAAAGCTGCATGATCTGCCTTTAATTTGGGCCTCTGGGCACAACGGTGGTTCCTAAGGCCTTGTTTCTGGAGCTCCCGTGCAATGGTCATTGTTGAAGGGGGGTGGTTGCGGTTTTGGAGCCCGGCATCTTTGAGCATCTGTTTGTACTCAATTTTAGGGGATTTTTGTGCAATTCGATATAGCAATCGTTTCTTGCGACGTGATAGTACCTCTGGACGACCATCTCGAGGTAGGGTGTATACAGTTTTGTGGGTTTCCCACCGCTTGACTGTCTTGGTGATTGTGTTCCGGTGAACGCCAAATTCAGCCTCCAATTCCTTGACAGAAACACCAGCCACCCGCTTTGAGATAATAGCGCTGCGAGCCTCAGGTGACAGCTCTTGATTCCTGCCTCGATTTCCTGTGATTTCTGTGCCAAACGAGCGGCGCATGGTTGTGCTGTTGGTGTTCGAACATCGTGAGTTGATGCGCGTCGCGTAGTTTCGTGTTGGGGCCCGAGCTCGTGCACACAGACTCGGAAATGCGCGCAACAGTACAACACGTGAGTTTCAGCCTGGTTAACTTCACACCTTAAATGTTTATCCCGCTTTTACAACCCTTCTTTCCTTCTATAGTTCAAGGTGATTCTTAGGTTGCGCCCGCGTTTGTCTTTCTGAGTCTGAACACCATTACATATAAGATCTATCGGACTAAAGCGATATTCTGCTGCTTCCACTGCTTCTAGCAGTCTCCTAGCAAGGCAGCATATTCATAACCAGCGTTCGGGGACACGCCCGAACCCTGTGGGGACAAGCCTTACGTCTCGTCCCAATTCCCGAAAACAAATCAAAAGATTCCGATCAGTGGCCAAGTAGGATTCACAACCTCATCACCTCGAAAATGAGGCTCCTTGACACAGAAACGCTCAAGCTGCACGAGTTCTTCGGAGACAACATCCCACCGTACGCTATCCTGTCGCACCGGTGGGAGGATGGCGAGGTCTCGTTCCAGGATATGCAAGATCCCCATACGGCGTCACAAAAAGCAGGATGGACCAAGATCAAGAGGTTCTGTGAGAAAGCTGCCCGGTACAGTTACGAATACGCCTGGGTCGACACCTGCTGCATCGATAAAACGAGTAGTTCCGAGTTGTCTGAGTCGATCAACTCGATGTATCAGTGGTATAGCAAAGCGTCGTATTGTTATGCATACTTGAGCGATGTGAGGATCCGAGATGTGAGGACCGGAACCAAGCTGCCGTGGTCTTCAGGCTTTCGCGATGGTGAGCCACTGCTTTCGGTCTACCACCAGTTTGCAGAAAGCCAGTGGTTCACAAGAGGATGGACGCTTCAAGAGCTCATAGCACCGTGGGACGTCCTTTTCTACGACATGGAGTGGTGGACCATTGGCACGAAAGCGGAACTGCTTGATCCGCTTGTGGAAATAACTGGAGTCGACCGCAGAATCTTGGAAGGAGATCACCCTGGAGAGGTGAGCGTGGCGAAGAGGATGTCCTGGGCGTCAAAAAGGATGACGACTAGAGACGAGGATCGAGCGTACTGTCTGCTCGGCCTATTCGATGTCAACATGCCATTGCTTTACGGCGAAGGAAGGAAGGCATTCTTGAGGTTACAAGAAGAGATCATAAAGACTTCAGATGATGAATCACTATTTGCTTGGAGTTTGCGTTCCCTTGTTTCCACAGATGGAATCCTAGCCCCATCACCAGCTGAATTCAGCAAGTCTTCTTCTATTGAGGCCATTCCTGGCCATGGAGGTCACGAGTACTCTCTCACTAATAAAGGGTTAAAAATCACCCTTCCACTAATACCGTGGGATATGGATGTATATCTGGCTCTATTGCGGTGCCGCGAGTCCAATGCTGTCACGCAAGACTCGGGGGAAACGAGTTCCAAGATTGTCGGCATCTTTCTGAGGGATACTAAAGGTCCTACTGGAAATCGATTCGTAAGGGTGGCGGTAGGAGGAGACAGTTGGATCAGCATAGATCCTTACCCAATGCAGCTGACGGAGTCCGAAGAGAGGAGGTTGCCCAAGGCTGAGGAAAAGACCATATATGTTCCTCGAAGACTCACCTACAAAGACATTCCAGGGCTAACATTCATGTACGGATTTCAGATACAAAGGATTTATGATGCTACCATTCTCGAAGTATACCCGGAAGAGCGCTGGGACTCGACGGATGGATATCTAACAATGCCGCCAGGACCGCAAATTACCACCGGAGTGTTGCTCTGTGGCAACGAGCATGCCAAATTCACGGTTCTGCTCGGATTCAGAGAGGGTTTTCAGCCATTCGTTCGCATACAACCATTTGCTTGCATGCCGTTCCAGGAAAGAGAAACACTTCAAGGGGTGCTTGATGATGTTCCGAAGTGTGCACCGGAGAGAAGAGCCGAAATGCTTTTTGGCCGATGGAAAACAAACAGTTTCGTTGCAACAGCAGTAATAACAGAAAATGATCTGCGATATGAGGTTGATATCGATGTATCCCAACGCCGAAGGACTGGATAATATGATACAATCAGATAAAAGCGGTCATTAGCAGCTGTTTTGGCGGAACATGGCGCGGTCTGGCGTTCCAAACAGCATGAAATGTTTGTCAATTTCATATACTTCTTTACCCTCTTTAAGTTACACGAAATATATTTTGCATACATCATTCCCTATCTCTGGAAATTACCGTCCAATACCAGCCTCACATAATCCAACCGCCCCGGCCGCAGCGCCCCCTGCCTTGCCGACTCCACAAACGCAATCTTCCCGACCTCATCGTCTGGCCACACATCCGCAATCCTCACACGCTTCTCTCCAATATTCCTAGCCAGCTGCGCACCATCCAACACACTACCTCCAGGCGGCTTACTAACAGATGGCGAATCGTGCATAAGGGCCGAAACGCTGGTCAAGAAGTTGAGTGCGCAAATGATAAAGAAACGGAGGGCGACACAGAGGAAAAGTACGACGATCGGCAGGACGTAGAGCACTAGCCATCCCTTGAAAGACTGCCTTCTATGGGCGGGAGATAGGCGTGCCGATAAAGCCAACAACGGTCAAAAGTCTTGGAAACTAGTTGACTCAGGTTGCAGCACTACAACCTAGGATCAACAACTCATATGCCAGAAAGCTACTCTCCGAACATCAGCTGTAGAGAACCCAGCTGAAATCTCAGCTGTAGAGAACCGAGCTGAAGCCTCAGCTGTGCAGGGCTCATCTGAACTTACTAGCGCGCCACCCTGGGGGTGGCCCCCTTCCTTCCCCTAGTATATATACAACTAGCTAGACGTCTATAGAAATCAGAGTTCACATCAATTTCAACCTGAGTAGTTGGCAACGTTACCAAAGACTACCAATCAAGCCTATTAATGATGCACCCTATACCTCGCGCGGGCCACTGAGCCATACTCGTTAATATCCGTTCAGCTATTTAGGCGGCAATAGGGCAATACTCACATCCAACAGTTTTCCTATCAGCATCTAGCACAGTATAATAACCCCTCAAAAACGGCGTCCCCAGCGCAATGAAGTCTCTCTCACCCCTTCGACTAAACGGCTGAACCCAACAACGCACCGGACTCCAAGATCTCCAAAGTCCATCTCCAGTGTGTAGTCCCACGGACTCAGGGCAAAGTCCTGTCCATCGAGATTGTACGTCAGATACGGGAGGTCAGGCAGCCTCTCGCAACGGACCGAGTCGAGCCAGAACGGGACATGCTCCGGCTGGATGACATCTCGCAGTCTGCGAAACGCAGCCTCGGGGAGCCAGATAAAAGGCTCCACCGTGTCCAGCCGCGCCGTGTAGCCAGCTAAGTCGACTCTTTCGTCCCCGCCCTCCCCCCATGCTAGACCACGCGCTTCGACCCGCCATGTGCCATTAAGCATTGGCGGGCCGCTGTCAAACGGGTCCTGCAGCCCGTGATCAGGGTCCGTCGCATTTGATAGCGAGAGCTCAACGATCTCGCCCTCGTACATCTCCGGATTCGTCCCGCCGAACATGATCTCCCCCGGCACGGCGCGGCGGCCCTCCGTCGCGCCTAACGCCAATGACACGACATTGTGCGGGAGTAGGCCCTGTTGAACCATGCTCGCAAAGGAGCTAGCGATGCCGAGGGTCGACCACGCCTCATGGGGCGGCGCGAGACCGAGGACGGAGTCGAAGTCCTCGCGCCAGAAGATGCTTTGGAGTTGAGTCACTCTGTCGAGCGTGGCGAAGGGCTGGTTCTGAATCTCTAGGCCAGCGATGGCGAGGGTGTCGGAGCTGAGGTGGCCGGAGGCGCGGATACCATGGTAGTAGAAGTCTGTGGCGGTTCCGTTGGCGACCGTGTGGTGAGTCTTTGAGGAAGAAGAGCGGTACTGATGGTGCCCCTGACATGGCTCGTCGTTGCAGCCTGCTGACAAGGTGAAGGCGTCGGACCAGTTTATGTCGATGATGCTTCGGAAGGGTTGGGGTGGGGTCCCGATGTTGATGATTGTGAAATACTGGAGGTTTTTTAGGTTCTGTATTGACATGTTAGTCACTTTAGAAAGGCTTGGATTGTGGCAAGTTATACGGTAATTGGAGCTGAGAAAGGGCCAGCGACAGGCGAATTCGACGCTAGAATCAGGCTCTGAATGACTCTTCCTATTGCGCTGTCGGCCGCCATAGCGAATAGGAATGGTATTTCCACATTTCTAATGTTGGATGCGTAGGGGTCGATGCAGTTGTAATGGACTGGTAATATGGAACGTCCTATTCTAAACAGTACGACTAAAGATCGGATGCTATGTTTTCAGTTTCTTTGCACACTCTGACCAGAAAGGAAAGGCAGAGAAACAACATCCTAACCTCTGAAAGGCAGAGAGTAGTAGCAGCAGGGCTGGTGCGGCACAGTCTACGGCGCGTATGGAGCACATCCACTTCGAGAATTGGGAGCGCTTAGCGCATTTCTACGCTCTGACTGGCTCCCTGGACTCGATGACCTGCAGAACATTAGCTGTGCCATATTATATTCGAGGGCATGTGTACTAGAAGTGTGATATAGGCAGTTTATAAGGAACCTATGTAGGTATAGTATTATCGATTATATCCTACAAATGCTTCCCTAAAACCCATGAGACTCACCGGTCAGCCCTCATTTTGAAGCTCGCAAGTCCGCAAGATCGCAAGCCCATAGCGTATGTTACAGCCCCCAAAAGAATGGCCTTAGCCGGATGCGCCTATGCCGAAACACCAAGTAAATCCCATAGTCACCCCGTCTAGTCCATTAGCTTTGCTCCGCCGCCTCAAGCTCACGATCATAGTCATCCATCTGCTCATCTTCGCTATCGTACACACCAGCAGCCTCCAGCATCTCCCGATCATCCTCATCCATCTGATCGTCGACATCGCCGTCGCCGTTGTCATAATCCATCTGACTATCGCCACGCTCGTCGCGATCGCCTTCCGCATCCACCCACACGAGCTCGGCCCCATTCTTCTTCTTCCGCTTGACGGCCTCAACGCCGCCCTCCCAGCGCTCCAGCCGCCTTGCAACGCGATTCATAATCTTTGCGCGATTGTAGGCTTCCTCGCCGCAGTCGACCTTCTCAGCGTCGCGGACGGGTAGTAGGCCACCAAAGCCGAGCGGAATATGCTTGCCATGGGCACCGATATCTGAGTCTCCGTAATGGGCAGCTTGGTCACTCTCGTCCTCGTCGGTGTCGTAGCCGTCTGGCAAGAGCTTGCATCGCAGCCATGCGAGCCAGAATGCGCCTTTATTTTCGCGTCGTCGCTTGGCGACTTTGTACTGCTCGCGGAGACCGCGGTCGAGGATCACTTCAACGCGTTTACGTCGGAATTGCTCGACTGCGAGTTGGTGTTGGGTTAGCGGGCGAGAGCGCTTGTGCGAGGGATCTGAGCCGTTAAGGGGAAGATAGAAGCCATGAGGACCGCTAGTATGAAGGGAGACGGTGGGACCGTTGGTAGAAGGAGAAGTGCCGTCCTGGCTTGCTTCTAGCTTGTTTTTGAAAGCGTTCCGTCCCACTGTACCGTTGTTGCGGTTCCGAGACCAGTTGCCACGGCCAGGGCCTTTTGGAGGAGTAGAGACCGACGGAGTCTCATCGTTTAGGAGGGTGTTAATTCGCATGTTTGGAGTGCTCTTCTTGTCAGTCATGCCACCATAGATGAAGTTTGCCATCTGGTGTGGAGACGGAGATCGTGTGCGATCAGTGTCAGACGCATAGTCCAATGCGAGAGACTTCGCGTGCGACATTGGCTTGCGCCCACCCTTCGAAGAACCTAAGTTCAGTTAGCAGTTGCCATGCTAGGGGAGCATCCATAAAAAACGATATACTTACCATGAGATGGAGAGTGATGATCTCGACCTGGTGTGGAAGCTCCGTCATCTGCGAGGACCGAGAAGACAGGGTTCTGATTGAAAGCTATCGTACCGTTAGGGAACTGGGCTGGGAATTCGGGACGCTGCATCTGGAGCCACTTAGCATGAAAGAAAATATTTGCACTAACCTTTTTTGCCCGTGCGTTTGGGTCCAGTAACGACAGGGGCCATGTCACTTGCAAGAATCGCTGCTGAAAAGTTAGAATTAAAAATCCACGTGAGTGCCAAAGAATTCATACCGATTCTCTCCTTCCTCTTTACATCGCCGAAGTTCTTCTCTTCGTCCGTGTCAACATTCTCTAACGCGACTTCGTCGTCCGTAAGATGCTTGAAAGCTGGGCATTTGATCGGCATGCCACCAGTAGCATCACCTTCGGTCCCTGGCAGGCCAGATCCAAAAGGATTGTTCAACGCAGCCTCTGATGAGAAATCGCTCTCGAGATACCACCACATGAGCCACAAAAACGCTGTTGCGCGACTTCTGCTGCTCAGGGTGCTTCGCATGACCAAGTCAAAGAAATCGCGCGGAGGATAGAAATGTATCTCGGAAATCTTGGGGGCATATTGCGCGAGCACAAATATGAGATTGACCGGGTTGGTACGGGGTACGGCATGGTTCTTGATGTCTTCGATCGTGCTAGGTTGTTCGATGTCCTCCGTTGCTCCTTTGAGTATAGACTTCAGCCTTGGGGCGTCTTGTAGCTGCTTGTATGCATTTGGGTCTTGGTGCGCTTGGAGAGATGGAATCGAGTGGTAAGTACGAAGCTGTGCTCGCATCTCAGGGAAAACTACAAGATGGGTTAGCATCCGGTCAGCAGATGTGTGCGAGAGCCAACGTACAGTTCAGAGTCGTGTTCATCCTTCCAACGTTCACCAGCAGACAGACCATAGCCATGTTGATAGCCGCAGCTCTCTCCGTCAGGAGTTTATCCTTTAAGATCTTGGAACACTTGCTGCTCTTTGCCATCGCATCTAGGTATATGTCCGCAAAAGTGTGGCCACCTGTTCCATCTGAGACCTTGTGGAATACTTGCTGGTGGTCCTCGAAGACGTAGCGGAGGAAGTCGTACTGAATATCCCTCCGCCATAAGGGAATGCCGTCATCCTTCTTCAAGTGTCGTATTTTGTTGCCAGAGTAGACAGATGAAACGCTTCCATTTGCGTTCCGGCGCGTCGTGGTCGTGGTCGCAGTGTACATGGGCAATTCGGACCCGGGTCCCTTGGACGATGTTGCAGACTTTGGGGCGCGATCATCCTGACCGTCATCATCATCGGGTGGGAGCGAGGGCTCTGGATCGGGAGGTGTTAATTCTTCCATGGCTACTGAAGGTTCCGTGGCCAGTATATGCCGAAGACTGTTCCTGGAGTCGGGCTCCTCTGCGCGAGGTGTCGTGTTCGGATCCATGTCGAGCTCAGGTCGCGCCAATGCAGCGCGCAAGGAAATGTTTCGAATTTGCAGGGGGTTGTTGCAGTGACACCGTAGACGTGGATGATCACCGATGGATTCGATTCTCAAATATTTCGAGCGACAGCGCGCCCGCGAACTTTCTTAATCCAAGAGCTGCTGAAAGCGCGAAGCAGGATCGCCGTCGGGACAGGGCGCACTTTAATCCGCAGACACGTGATCATTTTCACGTGATAATGCACACAGACGTCACAGAAGTCGTGGATTGTTAGCTGTTAGGCTTCGATGAATATAGGGTGGCTGTCTAATACTATTCGTGGGCTGCCACTTTCTGTTCAAGGAAACCTGGCTGTTCACTGAGATATCACTTCTCAAACACGTCACTTTCAAAGCAGAGTAGAGTCCGAGTCGCTCCATAGGAATAGTCTATTTAAGTCGCCCTCCATTAAGACCGAAGACACTTTTTTGATTTGATGATCTATCACCCAAAGTCATTACCGCTGCCCGGAGCGCGTAGATAGTGGCTCAAGGCCTTCCGCCACGAGTTAGGGCCCTCCGTTTCCCCAATTCCATGAAAGAAAAGCCGTAAACCGCAGACTTTTTCCATCGCCGATCCTGTACTAGAGGCGCCAGAAGGCCTAACACCCACTGTGAACGCCACGCATGTGCGATAGAGACCACCGCCCCCTCGTCGTCCAAAAAAGGCCCACTTCTCGCTGGTATATCCTTCCAAATGACGACGAAAAAGCGCATGTTTGTCCGAGACGTAATGACCAAAGGGATAGCTCGCTTTTGTGAAACTGTAAAGAAAAAAGAGCAAAGGAAAAGAAGATGCCCCATCGGCCTGGGAAGCCGGAGAAACGAGATCTAACTGGATTGGTAGCCCCCCAAGCAGCAAGTAGTGAAAGCGGAAAAGGCATAAGATGTTCGTGACGGCATTTCCTCGAGATAAGGCCTCGTGCCTACTGCCTTCTATGAGATCGAGCTCGATGTGAGCAGACGTGTGTGCGCCGTGATCCTGATGCAATGGAGCTCAATAAAGGAGGCAGGTCCGCAAAGAATCTCAACGCTATCTATATGCTGATCGGGGTATGAGAGCAAGTTCCGGACTTCCGTGTCGATTTGCAATCCTGGTAAAGCAGAATCAACCCGTGAAAACAGAAAAGAAAAGAGAATCGAGCCGTGTCGAGTACGGCTTTGTGGCCCCAGGCTGTCCAAGAGGGACTGAGGTAACCTAGGCGCCAGGTTCGGTGTTGAGGTAGAGGAATCTACCACCAGGAGGATTGGCCTCCGGGTCCGGATGGGTTACCGTAGCTTCCACCACCCATTCCGCCGCCGTATCCTCCTCCTCCTCCGCCATAGCCGCCAGCAGGTGGGCCGCCAAATCCTCCTCCATAGCCGCCGGCACCTCCACCAGGGGCACCTCCCCAGTTCCCTCCACCGCCGAAGCCACCGGCTCCACCTCCGCCTGCGCGGTTGAAGCCTCGAACGTCACGAGTGGCAGCTCCGCCGCGGCCACGGCCACGGCCACCTCCACGGCCACCTCCACCAAAGCCACTGCCCTCGCGGGCAATGCTCTCCAGGAAGCTTGGGACCTCCTGGTTGGCTTCCTTGAGAAGGTCGATGAGGTCTCGGACAACGCCACGGTTGCCACGGTTGAAGAAGGCAGTAGCGAGACCTGTGTTTCCGGCACGTCCAGTACGGCCGATACGATGGACGTAGTCGTCAATGTCGGTCGGAAGGTCGTAGTTGACTACGTGAACCACATTCGGTATGTCCAAACCACTTTTTGTACTTATTAGCGTCTGAAAGAAGTATGTGACAGAAAGAAAGTTCAGGGAAGAATAGAGAATCCGGGAATGTTGAGGATTAGTCGCGCTGGATTACAGTTTGGAAGGAACGAAGGAAAAAAAAACATACCGAGCAGCGACGGCAGTGGCGACAAGGATTGGGCAACGTCCGGTACGGAACATTTCCAGAGCCTTCTCACGCTCGCGCTGGGTACGGTCGCCGTGGATTGATGTAGCGGGGAAGCCTTGGTTGATAAGGAAATCCGAGAGCGAATCCGCCATGCGCTTCGTCTCGACGAAGATCAATGTGAGGCCAGTGCCGACGGTGTGTAAGATGTCGAGCAGAACAGAGCGCTTGTCGACGTCCTCGACGTATTCCACCTTCTGAGTAATATTCTCAGAAGTAGATCCAACACGACCAACAGAAAGGAAAATGTACTCCTTCAAGAAGTCGCGAGCAAGCATTTGGATGTCCCGGGGGAACGTAGCTGAAAACATGAGAGTTTGACGGGCAGATGTTGGGGGCATGTCTTCGCCTTCGACGATGCGGCGAATCTGAGGCTCGAAACCCATGTCCAACATGCGATCAGCCTCATCGAGAACGAGGTACTTGATGTTGCAGAGGGAAATACGGCCACGCTCGATGAGATCGACCAAACGACCGGGGGTGGCAACGAGCAAGTCACAGCCTCGCTCGATCTGACGAAGCTGGGAGCCGATGTCGGCACCACCATAGACGACGCAGGGCCGCACCCAGGAACGGTAGGCGAATTTTCGGGCTTCCTCAAAGATCTGAGAGACCAACTCACGCGTGGGAGCCAGGATCAAGGAAGTGGGATACGCTTTTCGCTGACGGCCGTATCCGTATCCTCCCGCTGTTTGTTGTGGGGGAGCGCTGGGGCCCGTCTGGAAGGCCTGGGAAAGGATGGGGAACAAGAAACCACCAGTCTTTCCGGAACCAGTCTGGGCACAAGCCATCAAGTCACGGCCACCCATAACGATAGGGATAGAGTATTTTTGCACCGGTGTGGGGACATTGTAGCCGGCGAGGCCGATGTTGGTCAAGAGATGATCGTCGAGAGGAGGATTCGTGAATCGTGTAACGGGCTCAGGGACGCCTTGGCCTGAGGCTTCGACGGGAATGTCATCATACTTCTCGAAGTTGATGCCCGTGTGTTGTTTGGACGGATCATTTGCTACGCCGAAGAGTTCACGCTCGACACGAGGGTTGGCAGGACCTGGGGTATGTTTGCCATCTCTCCATGTCCCGTCACCAGCACCTCGAGCTGAGACAACTCCGGATGATCCTCCAGCACCTGGTTTCCCATAAGCATTCGGGTCGAAGGTTGTCGCAGGCTTTCCACCCCATCCGGCTCCGGATGCAGCGGCTGCGGGCGCGGGAGCGTCGCTACCTCTAGGTGTGAAGTTAGGGGCATTGGCATTAGCCCAGTTGCCGCCACCGTTGGCGGCGGCCGCGCGCGGAGGGGGTCCGCCGTATCCTGCCCTGCTGAAAGTTAGTTAGGAGCGAGCAGAGCACACTCGGGTATCGGATTCGTACCCTGGAGGAGGTCCCCAGGCGCCTCCGTTCACGTTCCCGTTCATCGGGGGCGGGCCGCCGTTCATGACCGGAGGAGGAGCGTCCATCGGGCCTGAGGGTGTGCCCGATCGTCCGCGAAGGTGAGGCGGAATATAGGCAGCACGGTCAGGGAACCCGTTGGAGGGGGCGTGCTGAGACTCGTTGATAGAGAGACCACCCATGTTGAGCTGTTCAGCCATGTTGAAGGATAGTCGGTGGAAGGGATTGCTAAGATTTTGTTGGGGGAGCGGTCAGGTGCCTGAGAGTACAGTCAGCAAGATAGCGACACAGGCGCAGCAAGGGCTTCGTCGTACCAGCGGGCGGGATGCAAGCAAGCAGATGCAGAAGCAAAGATTGCGACTTGTTGCTGGCAGACGGAAACGCGCCTGAAACGGTTCGTGACAGGAAAAGTGAGGGCGGAGGGCCTCTATTTCCCAGTGACGATAGAAGAAAAGGAGAGTGAAGCCAAACAAGAACAAACGACTTCACGAAAGCAGTGCAGGGAGAGTTGTTGATGCACTAGAGGGGGGTTGTGTGGTGTTGAGGAGGGTTGGAAAGGGCAAAGGCTTTGACCGTGGATTTTCAGCGGCAAAACCGAAAAAGCCTGGGCGCGCTAGCGACGCGGCATCCGTGCGCACCTGGCATCCGGCCGACTTCGAGAATCACGGTACTGACCCTGTCCCAACCTCCTTTGTCATTTGTAATTCCACTCATGAGACAAGTTTAGTGTGTTCTTGCTACCAGTTACTGTGCTTTTATATAGATTTGCATTGTGTGTGAAAGGCGTCACAGAATCAATTCGGCATTCGTTCTCGGTCTTTAAAGCGGATTGAAAAGGCCAAAGCAGACACAAATAAGCATACAAGGACATCATGCAAACTCTATCTACGCCATGCTCTTCTCCTTCACTCCATATGACGACTGGGTTTTGCGTGTCTTCAAGAAGATCCCCACAACACCAATGACTGCGCCGATGAAGAACAGCTTATGGAACAACGACAGCCCTTCGGCCGACACCAGCGCAATCGACTCCTTCCCGCCCGTTTCTGCTACCTTTTCCGGCGACGGTTGCCGCGATACCGTGACATCCAGGTCGTCTCCGGGGACAGCAGCGTCTGCTGATCCGAACAAGTCTTCTTCAGAAGGTCAATTATCAGCGTTGTCAGAGCAGACAGACGGTGGCCCGGCTGGCTTAGAGTTCCACGTGGATACCTTCTTCTGGGACCTCGAGCTCGCCGCTCTTGGCAATCTTGACGGTCTTGGACGGCTTGTCTCCCGCGCCCTTGGGGACGTTCTCGATCTGGTCCACGATCTCGTAGCCCTCGAGCACCTCGCCGAAGACGACGTGGCGCCCGTCGAGCCAGGAGGTGACAACAGTGGTGATGAAGAACTGGCTGCCGTTGGTGTCCTTGCCCGAATTGGCCATGCCTGTTTGTGGCGTTAGTTGCGTACTCTGGAATGCATCTGATCTGCTGGCCACTTACTGAGGAGGCCCTTCTTGCTGTGCTTCAACTTGAAGTTCTCATCCGGGAACTTGTTGCCGTAAATGGACTTCCCGCCGGTACCTAGCACAAACATCAGCATGGGCAAACAGGGTCAGGCCATTTGCTTCCTACCATCGCCGTTGGTGAAGTCACCACCTTGGATCATGAAGCTCTTAATCACTCGGTGGAAGGTAGAGCCCTCATATCCGAAGCCCTTCTCTCCGGTAGCCAAAGCGCTGGTTAAATGTGAGCTGGGGACTGTACAGGATGTCGAGTGATCTATGCATACCGGAAGTTCTCCGCTGTCTGTGATGTTTGTTAGCAACTGTCGAGTATGGCACGCGGGATGGCTTACCTTTGGCACCGTCTTGCCATAAAGACCAATCACGATACGTCCAAGGGGCTTATCATCGTGTTCAATGTCAAAGTACACCTGTAGTAGCACGCAAGTAAGCTTCTAACACACTCAACCGTGACGTCTACCACGCACCTTGTGGGTGATCTTTGGCCCCTTCGCTCCTTCAGACGCCTGCGCGAAGAAGACAAAAGTAACGGTGAGAATCAGCAGCACCGAGATAACGAGTCTCTGTAGAGAAGCCATGGTGTCTGGAATACGAAGCAATGGGCCGTGGTGGGGTTCTTATGCTCGGCGGCGGCCATGAAACGGGAGAGGTGGCTCTCGGCGCAATGGCGATACCATTTCTCCGGGACGCGACTTCCGTCTCTCTTTTACCAGGGCCCGACAGCATCGGATCGAGCCAGAGCAACGCCATCGCTGTACGCCAGTTGGCATCGTTCGCTATTCAATATGGTAGGCCAAAGCTATCTTATGAGAATCTTTTCAACTGACACACGCTAGGTTTTCATCTTCGGAAAGCCCTTTGCGGACCCAGACCTCCTCAGAGTATGCGCCCCATGCACGCTCCTTGCGCATCTATTGACATATACCCGCTGCAGCACTCTTTACAGACCTTCTTTGGCATTGGTCCTCAAGTCTGCAAACGCCTCATGGCGCGCCACTACCTCCACCCCACGATCCGAGTCGGCGAGCTGCCCAATCCCAAGATCCTCCAACTCAACGCCGACTTGGCAGAGATGAAACTCGAGAACGATCTAAAGCGACAGATACGGGACGACATAGGGCGGCTGAGAGATATGGGCACATACAGAGGGAGGAGACATGCTATGGGATTGCCGGTGCGAGGACAGAGGACGAGGACCCAGGTAAGTAAGGTAGTGGAAGTTGCAGGAGCATGGCTGACTTGTTTGCAGATCAATACAGCACGGAGGTTGAATCATGTACCCAGATATACGTTGTAGGGGTTGATTTGCTGTAAAATACACTGTATAAAGTACATGGGAATGGAGTCAGTTGGATCATATATGAGAATGAAGCATACACCATATCATGCGATTCTTCTCTGGTTGAAGGGCGATGCGCCATTGATAGTGCTATGGTGCAGAGATGTCCCTTCAACTTTGCCGAGCGACTCTACCGACTAAGAAGCCACAATTGTGAGGCAAGGTGTGCTCTCGAGGTCTCCATGTCTCCTTTTCCCTGAGCTATTCAGTAGGACCGCCGTCTAACATTTCAATTTTCCATTTTCTTTTTCTGAAATTTCCTTCGACACTTTCTGTGTTTGGACTCCTATCGAATGGGCGTGTATATGCTTATTAGAGTCTCCATTCCATTCAAATACGCCCAATGTCACAATCTTAAGAGGCCATCCACACCATACTACTATACCTCTACGTATCCCAAAACAGGGCCGGGATGTGGCACCTGCACAGCAACACCAGAGTGGTGATTTAACGACAGCGCAACCCCAATACTAGGCTATCTTACCTGGATAAACTTGGTACATTATACTCAAGCTTTCTGACGAATACTCGTAAAAAAGGTCTGCATAAATTGGGTCTGAATGGCCTTGAATCGGTCTGTTCTTTCGGATACGGAGAGCATGCTCAGTCCGTGACTCGTCAACATTTCCATACCCAGTTTTTGTCCACTCTCATGTCCTGTCGCATTTTCCAACATCTCTCTGAATCCTATTAACCTCTTGGACGCTAGCAACCCCTCTTGCCCAGTTCACGCCCGCAGGTTTTACTACAGCTCCCATCACTCCCATTACTCCAACAAATACACCACCTCTACCCACCAGCCCGCAGGCCACCAAATCTTATCACATCCACACTTTCCAACAACAAAACCACGTGCCCCTCGGACCCCACGCAAAATAGAGTTCTGACCACAGCACGAGTCACCCGATGGCAGGTGATCGAGTAAGAAGTTTCCTGATCTCAAAGGAACACACTGTAATGCTTACGCTTCTTCCGGGGGAACGTTGGCGCGGTTAGCATGTGACGAGCGTGGTGTGCGTAGAATCCGGGTTGAGATGGGGAGAGGGCTGGAGGACTTTAAGGTAAGAGATTGGTTTTGCTAGGAGTTTGTTGTATGTATGTATAGTATAGTATGATGGAGCTATAGACACGATCATGTGCCTTCTTCGAACGCGCGTCTCGTGTTCCCCCAAAAGTTTCGAATCAGTCTCAGATAGTTACTCTCAAGCCGTAGAACATCAACAGTCCCAAAAAAAATACCCTGCATAATTACAAATACTATAAAACACCACTGTCACGCACCCAAGCCTCTACGTCCCTGCAATCCTCTAAACATAGCCACACTCCACTCCACTCTACCAAAAAAGGCGGCACTACCCCGTCCCACCCTCCCCGCCGATCCGTCAGAAACCCACTCATCACCAACCACTCCATCTCGTCCATTAACCTACAAGGTAAAGCCCCCCTCGCGCTGACGTGTGCGTAAGACACAGCCGGCGAACGCGATCGACCATGCATCGACGCAGCCGAACACCGCCAGCCTAGGTGCGCTAGTGCGTCTTCCACGTGTGGGGCGGCTCAATAAAGGTTAGAAAAGCTCGAGCTTGAGGCGTTCGATGGGCTGGATTAGTGAGGTTTTCGTCTATCGGATCGGCGGGCTCCCGGGGGCACGGGCGTGGCATGGGCAGAGTCTCGGCTTGGCAATAATTTGCTTGCGGTGTTTGCTGATTACGGTGAGGATGGTGTATTTGGGGATCTTCTGGGGGTGGGACGGGGCTATGCTTGTGTCGAGGGTCTTCGAGTAGTTAACGTTGAGGCGAGGATGAGTGTGGTCGAGTTGTCAATAGAACACTGAAAAGTCGGTCCGCACTCCGGTGAAGAGTGAGTGCGTTAAGTAAATCGCAGGACAGATCCAGAGGGACTTGGCCGGGCGAGCGTTAGTGTAAATCAAATCAGCATTTTCGACGTACTAAGCGTCACACAGCGATGTGGCGCGGCCGATATTGAGAATGACGAGGCGCAGCAATCCTTCTCGCCGCTTTGGCGATCTGATCGATGCCGAAAGGACTGGATATCTGATCATCACGGGCGGATTCCGGGCAATATATGTAAGATGGTGCCGAATGGAAGCAGCCAATCCACGTCCTCGGCGCCAGAAATGAGGTCCGGCTAGGGCTGAAGCGTCCTTGAGTGAGCGTAACGTTACAGCAGGCTACGTGGTTACACGGAGCGAGGCGAGAGTGAAACTGCGTAACGGAGCCCACGAGGAGCACGCAGGGTGAGACTTGGGTGCAAATGAGGGATACATTCCGTGGTGGGCGCGATATTGCCGTTGCAGCGATGGCGCAAGAGAGCGGACGTTCCCCGGACTGCTATTAACGCATCGGCTCGCCAGATCTGGACCTGCAGTAGTCCGGCGTGCGCAATTAGCGGCTCCCGGCACGGGCAGGCCAGGGCTGGCACCTTGCACGGCCAGCAACAGCACGGGGAGAAGGAGCTGCAGCTGGATCAAGCTTCGGATAGATCCTGGCGGGAGATGGAGCGTCGCACAAGAGGCGACGTCGTCGTGGTGCGGCGGCCTTCGAGGTGCGCTGGAGAGCGTCCCCGCAGCGAGAGCGTTTCAAAAGAAAACAAAAAGAAGCGGCGCCATCGCCAGCTTTATTCGCGAGAGAGGATCAGGGCGGCAGAATCGTACGACTCGGCTGGTCGTCGGAGCGTCGAGGGTTTCTGAAGTGCAGCGCCCAATAGGTCCAATTCACCCTGCTGTGACAGCGTTTCGGCTGGAGGTAGGAGCACGCGCCCAGCCCCAAACGCCAGCCGTCGTGGCACCTGTGGCGACGACGGGCACAGTTCTCGTCAGACTCGGGACAGGCGCGCGCAAGAGGGCCAAATTGACGGGCCTCGCCGGTGAAGCTGCGGGTGTGAATCCACGAACGCTGCATGCTGCACGCTGCGCCCAAAGGGAACGTCTCCGGGCCTCAATCTCGGAGAACCCAAAAGCTTCGCAGCGCCTGTCGAGATGATGATAGCCAGCGTCCAATCAGGAGCAGCTCGCAGGGCGTTCAGCACTGACTCCTTTTTTGACCGCTTGAAGCGCTGCACGCCCACGGGAGCATCACACCTCGTCGCCACACCCAGCCAATCACAGCACGCCCGTACCATCAGCCATGATAGTTCCGCGCATGGGAGCCTCGAGACTGCTGCGACGCGTGTGGAGCCGTGGAGCTCTGGGTGGCGGCAGTGTGGCAGCGTCGTCGCTCATCATTCGAGAGGGCCATTCGCCATGGACGGGCTCCTGTCGACAGCCAATTGCCCGCCGCGGCCGCAATCTGGCGCCCCGAGCAACTGGCACGACGGGCACGGCGTGTGCAGGTCTCTGGTCGGGTCGGTGGTGGAGTGGAGGTGCTTTCTGGGTCGTTTCAGCGCGGCGCTTTCGGCGGCGGCTGGCCAAGCGAACAAAGGCGGGCGGCCGTGGTCCTGCGGGCTGTCACAGGCGCTGGGCATGGCGTGGATGAGTGACGGTGTTCCTGCATCTTTCGCCTTCATAGTCCATATTGCAACCCTGCAATAAAGCTGCCATCACTCCAGCCGCTCGCACCCGTTGCTGGCGCCCCATGTCTCGACGACACCTCCCCGGCTGACCTGTGATTCCCACTGACGCTGACTCCAGGCCTGGTAGAAATCCTGCGTGTCCTGCCGGTCTGCCCACGACTGCAGTGCGCGAGCCGGCGTCTACGACCCTCGCCCGCCCGAAACACCACTCCTCCCCACACCTGTCTGGTTACAGAGGGGTCCAATCTGGACAGCCCGCCGCCCGCCGCCCGCCTAAGCTGGTTTGAGCCAGTATCAGCACCAGGCCATGCTCCAGGGTCGCAATGCTCCCTCCGCGCCCGGGGACGACGGCGCAGCATCCTCGCTCCAGCAGTCCGCGTCGACCGCAGCCTCCAAACCGCCCTCCTCCACCACCTCTCTGGCCGACAGCATTCGCGCCCTGCGCGAGTCCACCCCCTCTCGCCCGAGCATCCTGCCCTCCCGCCCAGCGCCGCAGAGCAGCCGGCGCAAGCCAATCCCCAGCCCTCTGCAGCAGACGACGCACACCTCAACTGTAGACTACAGAAACCCTCATTCGCCGCGCTCGCCCTTCCACGCCTCCTATCACGACTCGCCACGCTCGCCGCGCGAGAAGCTGGAGGCTCTGCTCGCCAGTGAAGAGCCCGCCAGTCGCGGCTCCCACGAGCCCAACCAGGCCTCACCATTCCTGCCGAGTACCACGGATCGGGGCGGAGCCTACACACCGAAAGCGTCGTCGTATGCCCAGTTTCGAAACGTGTCCGCGCCTGTCCTCTCCTCCTCCAGCGGCTTCTCCCCTCCCTCCTCGCCCACCGCCATGCTCCCCCCATCGCGCCCGAACCGAGCGGATCCACGCCCTACCGTTGCCCGCAACACCTCCATAGACTCGCAGGTCTCGTCGATATCCTCAAATACCTCCCAGTCACACAAGTCCACTGCATCGCACTCGTACAAGTCGTCCCAGGATGCCTCCTCCACGAACCCCCCCGACATGGCCAGCCTCATTGCCGCGGCTGGCTCCCCCGAAGCTGCTCTTCTCACACTATGGAACCAAAAGCAAAGCGCCTCTTCTCACAACGCCCAGCTGTGGAGACTGGTGGAGAAACAAAGAGCAATGATACTGGGCTTGAACAAGGACCTCGAAAAGTCGTTGAAGGAGAAGGAACGTTACCGCAAGAAACTAAAAGAGCACCTGTCTCAGGTACCGCCTTTACCCAACGCTACTCAAAAGTCAAACCCTGCCGTGGAACGCGAGGACAGTCAATCGCCAGCTCTAAGCGAGAGACAGGACAGTAAGACTACCGTCGATGGCACCGAGCATAGAGCTTCCCCGCACGGCCAAGGGCCTGACAGGTCCCACGCGTACGAGGAGGCAGACCTGATGCACTCTCCAATCAAACCGGCCGAGTCTGCATCTAACCACGGCTCTTCGCCCGCCACATCTCCAACAGATTACTCTGTCAAGCCCTTGCAAGTCTACCATCAGGGACTAGGATTAGACGCGCTTGCAAATACCGCTGGAATGGCACAGCCCCTCGAGCAGTCTCGTGACGACCATGTGTCTGTGAATCAGCAAGCTGCTGTGCCGGTGACACAGAGCCATCACACGAATGCTCCATCGCTTTCGCTGACCCAAGCAACTCCAGTCATCGGCGGAGGAGTGTTCCAGGCTCCTGTGGACAAAACCTCGCAGCCGTTGAGAAAGGCACCTCCCGCTCCTCTGGATCTTTCAATGCCCAATAAGCCAAGCTCACACCTGCATCAAGCATCTGTGGGCGGGGACGACGATTCTGACTACGATGATGTGTTAGAGGTTGACGAGATTCCAGTTGTAGATCGTGGACGCCGAAAGACTCGTGAGGAGGACGATCGTCTTCGGGAAGCTCTTATGAGCAAAGATCAGGATGCGCGCAGCAGGTCAAAAAAGAAGAAGAGTAAAAGCAAGAGCAAGCCACCATCGGAAGCACCACCAGTTGAGGAGAAGAAGCCTATTGCGGAAAATCCGATTCCCATCACAGAAACCCCAGCATATCGCCCCATAAGCCCAGCTCAAAATTATGGACTACCTGCTTCACCACGCCTCCCACCAGCTTCTAATTCTCTGAACGCTATGCTAAGCCCTACAAATTCGGAGGGCTCCATGATCACACAGCGAAGCATCGTGTCTCCCCCCCTTATGAGCCCAGGACTTCCTCTCAGCCCGAGGCCGGGCGACAGACCGATAGGCTCACCTCTGCCAAGAGGCCCCAAGCAGTCGATAGCGTCGCCTCCCATGTCTCCACGATCTGGCATGAATGGTATGCCTCTGTCCCCACGAGCACCACGACAGCCAATTCCTCTTCCGCCTAATACGCCCCTTTCTTTCACCTCTCCTCATTTAGCGAGAGCAGAAGTTCACGCTCAACAAGTAAACCAGCAGGGATCTTCATTGAATCGCTTGATGCCTCCTTCAACAGCCCAGCACAGTCCAGATTCAGATACATCTAGCCCAACGGAACAAATCTACCGAGGACTAGTGTCAGACCAGTACCCAGGCCTACTCCTTCCTCCAAATGCGCTGCCATCCATCGATGTGAAGGTTTACTCATCTCGGATGAGGCCATCTCGATTGAGTATCATGATGCCAAAACCTCAGGAGGAAGACCCCGTCTATATCCTGGCAATCCACGCCCGTTCAAACGGACAGCAACTATGGCGGGTAGAGAAGACTATAGTTGCGCTCCCGAATCTTGACCAGCAATTGAGGGCTCTTTGCGATTTCCATGGCAAATTACCTGATCGTGGTCTTTTTAGTGGACACGCCCCGGCGAAAATTGACGCGCGACGAACAGCCCTGAACAGTTACTTCGAGGTCATGCTGGATACGCCGATGAATGAACGAGCCGCACTTTTGGTGTGCGGCTTTTTCTCAAGCGACGTTATTGGAGCTGAAACTGACGATCCTCGAACTTCGCCAGATTCCGCGACAGCTCCCTCAATATCGTCGGTATCGAAAGGCAAGGCACGCAAAGAAGGCTACTTGACCAAACGCGGCAAGAATTTCGGTGGATGGAAAGCTCGATACTTCATTCTTGAAGGCCCTGAATTCCGATATTATGAGGCTGCTGGTGGCGCACATCTCGGGACCATCAAATTACAGAATGCCCAGATCGGCAAGCAATCCCAGCAACAGTCGAACCAGTCTCCATCCCGACGGGATGACGATGCTGATAACCAGTATCGACATGCGTTCCTCATCCTAGAGCCGAAACGAAAAGATTCTTCCAGCTTAGTCCGCCACGTGCTTTGTGCCGAGAGCGACGAGGAACGGGACATGTGGGTAGAAGCCTTGCTTCAGCATGTTGATCCCCAAGATCTAAATCAAACAACATCTCCTACCGAAAAAGACTCAGGATCTGCTCGTGGGCTTGGCTTCCCTAAAGGTATCCAAGAGCTTGGTCGATCAAAGGCAAAAGAGAGTCCAGATGGAGGCAGTCAAGATACTCTTCAGGGAATGAAATACGACGACACTGTTGCTGGCGAAGCGCCTGTTCCTCGAGGACCTAACCAGCGTGACGGGACGATGGATTCTCCCCAACACACTGCATTCTCTGGAGACATGCACAATCATCCTTCCATTTCTGCACCCACCAACGGTGTCGTTATCCAGAATGCAGAGTTCTGGGGTAATAAAACTTTGGCTCCTGCCAACGTGAAAGATAAAAAGCGAAGCATATTTGGGTTCAGAGGAAGGTCCTCATCTGATCTCGCGCCTGGTCAACTAGCCATTGGGCAGCCCATTCAACAACCGGAACTTCACCACCCAGCTCGTAACGTGTTTGGTATTCCACTTGCGGAGGCGGTGGAATTTAGCCAGCCTGTTGGTGTAGATCTCTTCCTTCCTGCTGTGGTCTATCGATGCTTGGAGTACTTGAAAGCCAAGAATGCATACAAGGAGGAAGGAATTTTCAGGCTCAGTGGTTCTAACATTGTCATCAAAGCGCTTCGCGAGCGCTTCAACACCGAGGGCGACATCAGGCTGCTTGATGGTCAGTATTACGATGTGCACGCTGTTGCTTCACTGCTCAAGCTGTACCTCCGGGAATTGCCAGCCTCAGTATTGACACGCGAACTACATCTTGACTTCTTGAAGGTTCTTGGTAAGCAAATCCACATATCGCTACGACAAGCCGTATACTAATAACACAGATCTTGACGAGAGAGAGAAGAAAATCGCTGCTTTCAACGTACTTGTTCACAAATTACCCAGAGCCAATTGCGAGTTGATACAGGCACTATCATCCTTCCTCATTGATATTGTCAACAACGCGGATCTCAACAAGATGACTGTTAGGAACGTTGGCATTGTGTTCGCTCCCACTCTCAATATTCCTGCTCCACTCATATCTATGTTCTTGACGGACTATGTCGACATCTTCGGCACTCCTGTCGAAGAGGCAAATTCTCCTATTCATGAGATAACCATCAACGCTCCGGTTCCCAGCTCTGACGCCATACGCTCTCCTCGTCGACAAATGTTCCAGGACTTACCCACACCAGCATACAACCAAACGTCTTTCCAACAGCCTAGCGCGTTTCCACATCCAGGTCAGCATCAGCAACATGCAGGTTATGATACCGGTTTTATACCGCTTCAGCCGAGCTACGACGCACCGCACTACAGCCAGCCTCAGTACAATCCTCCACAACCACACGGCGATGGATTTGGCAGTCTCAATGGAGCTCTTCAGGCGGACAATTCCAGAGACGTTAAGCAGAGGCGTAGAGAAAGTGGTATGCTACTTGTCAACATGGGCCTCAACAACCAACGGAAGAGCTCAATGCAGAAGCTCAGAGAGGATTCCAGCATGGTTCAAGAAGAGAGTGCTTTTGATTGAACGGGATCCTAGCACCGGCGTGGGCTCCACGAAGAAGTCATTCCCAGCTACAAATCTTGACTCATCCCCATATGCCTCTGTCGTGGCCTTTTCAGAGGGGAAAATTATCGTCACGTCGTCCAAGTGATCGCAAAGATGCCTCATCAAGATCTCCAAAGATCTTCGACACACGCCACATTCAGCTCCGAGCTACTCTCCGACACATTTCTATTCAATACTACCCTCTTAGCTCGGGACTGGCTCCGCGGGCGATCTCAGTCGTGCTTGCGTGATTTCATCTATCATCACTCTAATCTCGGAGACACTGTACAAAGTAATACCCCCCAACCGATCTCATTTTTCCCAGTTCTTGATAATGAGCTTCATTCCAGTGATTGCATTCCGACCTGCAGTCACGTTCCCACCCACGTTCGCTTTGGCGATGTCCTTCGCCTTCGGAGACTTTCGTCTTTATTTTGGTCACATTGGTTCATTTGCGTGTTAATTTTTGGGAGCATGCTGCGTCTGAGCGCTTAGTCGTATTTGTCCTTTTTTATCAAGATTCCCCCCTATGCTGTTATTGGAATGGATTTAGGTTTACCTTTGAGCTCCTGGATTTTTTTCGCCGGAGAGCATGACGGGGGATTTGGATTAGGTCAGGTTGGGTTACCCTTTCTGAAATGATGATATTGAATTACCAGGAACTGAATTCGGAGGATGTCGTGTATGTAGGTTATGTCATTAGGAGGGATTTAATCAATCGATGAAATTTTATCTACGGTTCTCCTTTCCGAGTGTTGTGATCCATTTCAAAGTTTTGAGTAAGGAGTCACCTAAGATTGTAACCTCGAGGCTCCGCCTACGACAACTCTCCTTCTCTCGTTGCCCCGTCCCGTTCCGCCTTATCCTCATCAAGATCGTCTAGGCCATGGACATTGCTCCTGGCACCAATGGGCCACGCTCCTTCATGTCATCGTATGTATCTCCTTCCTCGCACCAAGCAGACCTCACTCTAAGTGCCTCACAATTGTTAGACTGTATCACCTGTGATGGTCTGATTCAATATCAGCCACTTCCCTTGCGGTCTGCAATGAGGTCTACTGCTGCCCGACCTGAGCGAGGCTCTGGAAGCAAGCCTCATAACAATGCCCAAATTAGGCCTGCAACTCCAACATCATCCTGCAAATTGCCTCCAGAAACCAGCCCTTCGGTCAGAAACGAGTGTACACAGACTTCCGACGAGGCGTTGAGCTTGACGGCTGCGCACAAATGGCAAGCGTGACTTCCCACCTAGCAGGCGCCTTCTCCAAGACGAGAACATGGCTTCTGCTTTCCACCCACAACTCACGAAAGAGGGATAACACCCCTGCTACTTTGTTTATTTCATCTCCGCCGCCTGCGTCTTCTCGACCTTTTCTCTTACATTCCATTTCCGCAGCATTGTCAACCAGCAACACCGAGCTCCCATCCATTACTCTCATCCATTACTCCGCTCTCGTCTCACTCTCCGTCTCACTTTCGTCTTGTTCTCGTCTCATTCTCGGTATTGCTCGACCACTCTCTGAACTTCACATCCCACCGCTTGCATCGCTTCTTTGCATTCATCATGTCGAGCCCTACTTATCCTCAGACCGCCGGCCATCCGGCCCAAAACATGGACAACTGGAACAACCGCTTCAACAATGTCGTCAATGAGGCATCGGCACCACCTTCGACTGGCCCAAAGCAGGCGCGCACTGCCAATTTATTTGACTGCTGCGTGCCGCCGGAACTATGTAAGTTTTTTCACTCGTTCCGTTTACCATGTTCCAGTTGGGCCACTGCTGACAAGTGTTCCCACTTCAATAGGTTTCCTTACATATTGTTGTCCATGTGTGACGTTCGGAAAATCGACTCATCGGATGGAGAATGACGGCAACATGACCAATTTTGGGCCTGTGAACGTTATGGTACCTACTTTTCCTTCTATCCCTCACCGTTGAGTTTGCATTCCTGACTCTTTCCCTCCCCTCCACTCGAGCGAGGGCTCATAGCACCCCGCTAATTGCCTACAGTGCGTCGTCTATTACTGCCTGGGCCCATGCGCCTGGATTCTTGTCTGCGCTCAAGAAACGGAAGCCCGCCGTAAATACAAACTGGACGGAAACCTATGCACCGACTGCCTCAAATCCTGCTGCTGTACCTGCTGTACCCTGATGCAACAGGAGAAGGAGTCCATCGCCCAGGAGGGTAAGCCAAACGGTCAGAGTGCGCAACAGTACCAGAGCAAGGAGTCCATGGTTGCGAGGCCACAGTCAATGTCCGGTCCTCCGTCTCAGAGTCGTCCGTCTCAGGATGCTTCATCTCAGGGTCCTCCGCCTAGGGCTGCTACGTTTGGGGGGACTCAAGTTCAGGATGCACCTGCACCTGCAACTATTAGCAGCGCGCCGGCGATGGCTGCTTGAGCTCCAGCATCGATCGTCATCGATTTTTCATTCACTTGCCCATTTCTCCTAAGCATATTCTTGTCGAGTAGTGGTGGATAGCGGTTTTCTTTGCTTCGGTTGTCTTTCATTTGTTCGTAACACCCCCTCCTTACACACATCTTCATACCACTCGTCCATAACCTCAATCAATATAACACTTCCGTCTCATCACTGCTCTCTTTGGTTGATGCATTGCCTCGTGACCCTTGTCTGCTCTTGTCTGAAGCCCTTCGATCTGATTTCGCACCTTCGAATTTGACGCTTTTGACCAACCTCCAACCGCTTCAGACATTGTCACCCGCCGCTACGATGCCTCATAATCACCGTCTGTACACTCATCTCACCCCACGTACCCTTCCTTATCAATGCCTCCATGCCTCCTCATGCCTCTCATCCTGCCTCATACCTCGTCATCCCTCCACCCGCACTACTACTATTATGGAGAGACGTGATACCGAGGGCCACAGTGTAGCTTGCAACGATGATCCAAATTCTCTCAAAAAAAAAAGCGAGCCACCGATGACTAGAGCGAGACGTACTGTTTGAGAGTGTATGCGAAAAAGATCAGCGGATAGGGAAAGTAAGGTCTAGGGCCTTCTATGGTCGAGAAGATGGGGGAAGATCTGCATCTTTCGGTTTTTTGGAATCATGGGGGCTGGTGAGGGATATGCTCGATACCACTGTAAGGATTACGTACCCCAGCTAGCAGATATCCGCGCTCAGATCCACCGTCGCCAGGACCCTCGCGTCCCGCAAGGCCCATCTCCAGCACGCTCCTCACCGCCACATCCGACACGAAACAGGTTCCGGGAAGTTTGTTAACCTGCGATCGTTTAGAACTTTTGAGGTGGGGCATACCTGTCCAACAAACCGTTCGAGAAAGACTGGCCAACCAGTTTATCCGGCGCGCTCGTCGTATTGGTGCTTACCGTCAATAGCATTCGAAACCTGGGCCGCCAGTTGCAGTAACAGTGGACCCCTAACCCGAAAGCGTCCCCATCCGCTGCGATGGGTACCGCTACAACCGCGTTCTGAGCATCGTTCGTCAAGAATAAGATATAGCTGTCCCTGTGATTGCTCTTCCAGGAGCAGCGGCGTGCGGTTTGCGGTGATTCTGAATCATGCACACCACGGGGAGATGGCATGGCATCGATTGGCTGCGATAGCGCTGCTGACGATAGCAATATGGAACGAAATGAGCATGGACATGGCGGATGGATAGTCTGCGCAACACCTAGACCTGAAGTGACGATGTGAAAGAAAAGGCATGAAAGTAGGCCTATCCACGGAGCGAACGGAAGAGAAAGCTTGGTAGCAAAGAGAGAGAGAGAGTATGAGATGAGTTCGATATTACAAAAACCTTTCTCCCCCGCTCCCCACTCCCGCTCTTTCTACAATACATTTCCAGCCCCCAATCTTCGCTGCAGCCAGCCTCGATACACGAGGGTTCGGTTTCGAAGTGAAGCGCAAAAGCCGAGTTTCTGATACTTCCCCCAAACCCGCGATTATTCGGTCGCGCTTCCGACTATTCGGGAAGAAACGGAAACTCTACGGTATGGGTTTCAGGATAGAGCGTCGAATTGCTCTATACCGTCAGTGGAGTGCTGGATGGTGGAATCACGGGGTTGTGGTGCTGAAACGGGAGCTGGGTGCGGGTTTCAGGGGGACCCGCTAACACCTGAGGCATCACGTAGAGTTGAATTTCCTGGCGTGTGCGTTAGCGGGCGACTATTGTAGTGTTTATCTCCGAACGGGGAGTGATGTGCCGAGTGGGGGTACGTGTAGTAATTACCAGACGTTGCATCTGCCGTGTCTTTATTGAGAGAGGTCTGGTTTTCAGCGGTTGGAGAGTGAAAATTGGTCGGCCCGTCCCTCCCTAGAGCATGATCTGTTGTTAAGTTTGCATCTAGTGAATGACCCATCCTCTCTATCAGTAAGCTAGAGTTTTCTCAAAATCAGTGAACGACCCAAAGGTTGTGTATCAGTTTAATTCCGTCAGTCAGTATGAAAGGGATGAGACCGAGGGCTTGGTTGGATATGGACGCTGAGCCCGGGTCTGGACTACCTGTAACGTATGCTCAAGTATTAGTTGGCTCTTACAACTTTGAGTATAACGAGCCGGGATTTGAGTTGTGTAGACTCCTATCCTTTTTGAAACGTCGTAGATTGGTAACGTGAGTATCACGTGTGGGATAGTGAATGTATGTATGTATCATCTGGTTAGGGGAGCGTCGCTTTTTGCAGAGACTACAGGACTCCAGAGCGGGTATCGAGTAGTTCGAGTCCAATTGCGTCCGTGTATAGACAAATTTAAGCTGCGGTATTCCCATGCTAGCTTCTTTGCGAACCTTTGGAAGAGAAGTTGAAGAAGACCTATTTGAACACCTACACTCCAGGCCCTACATGCACAATGCTTCCAAATCTAATGCATCTATCCTAGACACGTTCGATCCTACGACTTCTCCCCAAGCGTCAGGGTCTCGATAGCCTTCTCGCCGCCTTCTGTTCCTAGATTGACTTTCGCGGCATCCGCACCTTCGACATGGCCGTCTGGCTTCGCCTCGACTTTTTTGGGGTAGAAGGTTCCCTTGTCCTTTTTCACCTTCTTCTTCTTCTCCGGTGCTGGTGGTGGCGGGTAGGCCTTCTTCTCGATTTCCTGGAATTCCTTGGAAGCTTTGTAGGCAGCTTGGATGGGGGCCAACAGAGCTATAAGGGCATCGGTGACAGCGGGTTTAAGGAGTTGAGGAGTGAGCTAGGTGGACATTAACTTCTGTTTTGAATTCGTGGACATGATAATGATGGAGAGGGAGAGAGAGGGAGTAGAGAGGACATACCACGTCATTCCTCCAATCGTCCTGCATCTGCTTGATATTAGTGTACACTAGCGGCTCCGCGTCTCTCCGCTCGACCACGAACTGTGGTTTTCCGTACTTTAGTGTTCCTGCAGGTAGCAGAACAAACTCGGTAAAGGAGAGCACGCCGTTCTCCTCAACCTGCTTAGGCGGACAGAAGGCTTTCTTCAGCTTCTTGCGAACGTCATCGGGGGTATCGAGAAGATCGATCTTGCTGTCAGGGTCGCTCGAGCTCATCTTGCCGCCTTGTAGACCTGGCACCATGGGGTTCATCAAATGGGCACGCTCCTTGAAGCCTACACGAGGTAGGACGTCTTTGGCCAGCGCGAATATTTTACGTTGATCAACACCTGTGACACTTATTAGAAGCATTCCGATTTGCGTGGGCTGGTGATCATGTACCTCCAAACTGTGCATCAACATCAAGGTATTCCTCGTCAAGTGCTTGCCTAGGATTTCCACATTAGACATATGCTTTGCAGCAACCTTGGGACAAAAACTCACATCAACGGATAGATCAGGCCGCTCAGCGGCGCATTATCCACTTGCTTCACAACTTCCGCACCCGCCCTCTTCGCATCATGCTCTGTGACCGCCGTGCTCAACCGGAGCAAATCCATCGTATATCCGGGCGTTAACTGGTAGTCCGATCCTAGTGTGAAGGTGAGTTTATCGATTGGAACGTTCACGGCCTTCAATAGCTCGGTGATTACGAGCTTGTAGTATCTGTTTCGACTTGTAAGTTTCTCCAGAAGCATGTCCGGGGTTCTTAAGCTTACTCGGCGCGAAGTTTGACCAGCTCGATGGGCGCTTTGAGGTTGTCCAAGAAGGCATGGATATCTGCCAGACTGCGCAGCGCATCAGTATATCCCTCCAAAGCTATTGTTGCGTATAAATATATCGTACAGGACTTTGACATTGCATCCCGCCTTTAAGAACTCGGCCAACTTCAAACACGGCACGAAGTATCCGCAGTGTGGCCTTCCAGTCGTTGCAGTGCCTATGGAGAGGGTATAAGTTAGCACACTTGCAACTCCAGACCATGTTCTTGTTCCAGTCGAAATCCTAACGAGGTCTTTCTATCCTCCTAAAGTGGACAAAACGTACCCCAGTATATCTTCAGTGGCCGCCCCTCCTTCAATACCGCGTCTATAATCTCTGGATTCAACACCTCCTGCAAATTCGACTCTATCAGAGCCTTCTTCTCCTCGATCGACAATTCAGTGGCCATGGTGGGGCAGGAATTCGCGGGGATGCGGCGGAGTCGAATTCGAGCCTCGAGATTGCGAAAGACAGCGCTGTGGTGATTGTGAGGACTCGGAAAAGGTCAATTGGGTCACCGGGGTAATATAGGAAATTCTGAGGGAGGACGTAGGGAGAATGCAGCGAAAGAGCGGTGGTGAGTGAGCTGAGTCTGGTCAAGAGCCAGGATGACTCTGTGGCCGAGCTGAAAAGAGGTTCAGCTTGAGTCAGCCCCGCGAAATCTTGGCGCTCGTGGACCCCGCCTCGCCTATCACATAAACACCAATACGAACTATCACACAAAAACCAATACAGTGGGAAGATTGTGCTTGTCATCGTAACATATTGCTTCTCTTAATCCTAATGACCGTCTAGCCTTCATTCTTCTGTGTCCTGTCTTGTGATTCAAGAATTTGATTGTCGTACGTCCTAAGCCCAACCCCATTCAACCAATCCGGGACCGTAAGAAGGCCGAAAGTTTGAAGACTAAAACGCCCATCCTTCTCTACACCCATATCCCGTATATAATCCAAAACAACCTAAATCATGCTCACTTTACAAGGATATAATTTAGCGAACGCCCAAACTCAGCTCGCTAGATACCGGGCAGGACGAATCATATACTAGATGAAACGACATAAATGTGCAAATATGATCCGAATAAAAAGCAATGGACACCTCAACCCTGGCGGTGACAGGGCGTGGAAGTGGTGAATATGTATATGTTTGCGATATCACAAAGATAGCGGGTGATCGATTACCGAAATCGTTAGGAGTGTACCCAAGTCGTGGAAGCTGAACAATTGGCATAGCATCTGTGCCTATTGCCGATCGAGGAGGTCTTGGTGTGCCGAGACCTGATAGAAAGACCAAGAGGGCGTACCGGAAATCGCAAGGGCGTGGTAGTTGTGTGGTAGGGAACCGTGTATACTCATCCCAGTAATATTTCCCATTTCCAGTCTTGCATTACGCTGAGCCAATGAAGTTTCCCTCTAACTGTGTACTCTGTTTCGAGTATCTCAGTATCCAACTCTGTACGATTCTTGAGCTCTCCTCTTTCTGCTTTTACTGGGACTAGTCTAGGGGTATCAAAAGCCCCAATACCGCCGACTGCTCTTCTCTTCGCACTTAGCTCCATCCAGTTGAACTGCTCGTCAATGACTGCTCCTTCGCTGGGGCACCCCCGTTTTAGCGATGGTGATGAAGACGACAAACTGCTCCGTCTCCGTGCTGCTTTGGCCTTTTCGGCGGCGTACGCGTCACGTCTTTTCCACACTTCGTCGACGACTTCCCTACATCGATCTATGATTCCAAGCTTCATTCGGCCTGCCATTGCATTCCAGCGGCCTCGTATCCACTCTCTATCGTCTTCATCTTCCACTTCACACGCTGCGGCAGTAAGCGGATATATTTGAACTATGACTGCCCTGGAATTCGTGTCTACGAGCGTCAATTCGCTCAAAGCTTTCTTGGCAAGCATGGCGGAAGGAAGAGAAGGTACTTCGGGAACGGCTTGGTGGAGGTAAAGAAGTGTAGCGTATCTATAGGCTTCGGCGGTCCGCTTGGAATCTGCAATAGACGTCGTTGGGTCTTCTGGGTCCACGATATCATCTGGAGCTGACCAACTGTCCAGCTGTGCTTTGAGCCCGATAGCCTGAGAAATTATGCTGGGACCGTTGCTGTCGGTTTTCCGTACTCTTCGGACCAGGTTTGCGACCCGACCAACCAACGGGAACAGACGGCCCGCGGAACCCATCAGCGGGTCGAGATGTGGATCCTGGGCGGACGCGCTGATCAGACTCGCAACCCTCTCAACATCATTCGACTCGTCCTCGTCAACGGATGTTAAGCGAGCTATCACATCCATGTATATCCAAGTGTTGCACAGAAATTTGAGACGAGTCAGCTCGTCTCCCGCAAGCGGTGTCTGCCGGTGTCGGGCCAGTGCTTGGTTGACCAAGATCTTCGCCCCTTTGATATGGTCGATTCCAGAGCAGATATGGGTGTCCCAGGACTCCGCAAAGGCAAGGACAAGCGTTGTTGCTATCGCGGCATCAAACTTCATGTTCTGAATCCCTTTAGATAGCTTTTGAATCGAAGTGCGCATGTGCTCCAGTCCCTGCACTCTCATGGGTCTATTGTTTACAGAGTGATGGAACGAGGTCATCGAAGCAATAGCATGATACAAGGCCGGCGTCTCCCGTGCCAGGGGCCAAATCAAGGTCCGCCACGGGTTTTCTGTTGGTCCATCCTTCACTGACAGTATGCCACACGTATTGCGGTCGTATCGGAGCACTATTTGTTCAGGGGAGTTTGGGGGAAACGTGGGTTCGAAGAGCAGCATGCCACTGTTCGAGTTCGAAGATGAGCTCGAGGAAGTAGATCCAGTCGGCGATAGCTGACCCGTCATCCAAAGCTCCGAGTCTGTATTGAAGTCGTGATTGCGCGGGATTTCCTCAACGTCGTCCCCGTCCACTGATCCAATTGGTGGATTGTAGTATCCGGGCTGGAAGAATGACTCCGAATATTGCGAGCGGAAAGTGTAGTACTCGGCGGGTGGTGAGTGAAGGTCGGTCCCAGGTAGAAGCAAGTCAGCTAGTCGAGGCGACTGCCCGGACGCCGTACTTGATGGCGCTGTCGTCCTTGCGAGGGCGGGTTCAGGACTCAGCATCGCGTCAGCGTCGGCGAAGGCTCTCGGTGTGTGTGCATCTGAAATAGGATCGAACTGATCGGGAAGGAGTAGTGAAGCTGGTGGGGTCATGAAAGCAGGCGCGTTGGACATGGCATAGAGGTCACTCGCGTACGGGCGATATTCAACAAAAACATTCTGGAAAGCGGAAGTGGGAGTAGAGGTCTGCGCTGGAGGGTATCGAATATCGGAGAAATCATTTGGCGATGATGTCCGGGTTGACGGCTCGGATTTGATAGTGCTCTCGTCCAGTGTGGTAGTACTATTCGAGTAGAACGACTGCGGGGTAAACGATTGTGGGGGAGGCGATTCTTCTTTACTTAGCAACGCATAACGGGGCGGTTTCTCGGGGGTTTTCGCACCCTTCTTCACCTTGTGAGCTGGCTGAAAGCTGGCGTCATCGAAGGCCCGCCATTTGAAGTCTTTTTTGTATCCGCCGCATGGCACGCCGCGGCGGGTACATTGCTGGCAGGTCGGCTTGGTTTCGTCACACTTCAAGCGCTTCGCCTTGCAAGTGCTGCAACCTGGGGAGTTTGTTCAGGTCAGCGTGCGGAATGTGAGACGGAACCCGGAGGCCTGGGAAGGCTGACCAGCCTTATCAGACGTAGGATAAGGCGAGGGAAGCGTGGTGCGGCCTACCATTGCGGCTCTTGGACTGCTTGCGCTTGGTGATGGGGCTGGCGCCGGCGATAGCCTGGGGCTTGGTGGAGTGGATCGGTGGGTGCCGCTGGTTCCTGGAGGTGGGAGGGTCGACGGGGCTATCGGCGGCAGAGGTGCGGTAGAAGGGCGACGGGATGCCGATGGCTTCTGCCATGTAGGCTAGAGGAGGCCAGATCGCTGGGCTTATTCGATATAGACGCTGGGGGGAGCAGAGGCGACGGGGCGGGTGTCGTGGGCTGTTTGCACCATGGTGTTGAGCAGTCGGCGGCTGCTCTTCTGTAGTGTGGAGAGGCGATCGAGGCAGGCACGCTTCGGGCGTAGCGCTGCAGGCCTGGGGAACGGCCACATACCGAACGGCGGGACCAAAACGGGGCGCGAGCAATCCGCCGGGCTGGGATCGACGTTATTTGCCAGGCCCAGCCACAAGGGCCGATAACCACCAGCTCTGGCGTGGGGTGTCGGCCAGCCCGTGGGCACAGAGTCAGGTCTGCATCTTCACCTTCACCCTGCGGCCCGCCTCTGTGCGCATCGTCTCATCGTCCCGAGTCTCTTCCACCAGCTGCCGCCCGTGGCTCTCTTTCACCAGCCACTAGCCACGAGTCACCAGCTACGCGACCGTCCTCCCGTCCTCCCGTCCTCCAGCTGCTATTTGGGATATGCCAGACGAGCGAGCCCTGATTGTGGAGTGGCTTGTGGCGGCACATATGGCATTCATGCACAAGCCAGCCGCGTTGTGGTCCACGTTCCATCCATTCAACCTCACTAACAAGCCTGGGGCGCTGTGGTCCTGAGACGGCCTCAGCCCGGTAGCCCCTTCGCCCTGCCTGTCATTCAGCCACGAGTGCAATGCACGCATACGAGCTGCCTCATTTGGCACGCCCGAAGAGTTGCAACGTAAAACTGCATCATTGAATAGAGCCTCCCGCCGCGAGTGATCCGCATCCCTCCTCTGCGTCCAGCAACCGCCAATCTGGAAATGCCTCTCCGCGTTTCGGGTCTTTCTAGCATCTAGAGCCTGTCTCATCATCGCCTGCCAAGCTTCTTCCAAAGTCCCTTCACCGATGGCGGTTTCCGCCCGCCCGCTTCGTACGAACTGCTAGCCCGACCCCTTACCAATAGCTATAGAGCCTAGTGCCTATGCTCCATGTTGAGACCCCTTCCTGCCATGCGTGTACGTATCGAACCCTGGCAAGACAGCCGGCGAGGCAGCGGAATAACCTGCCGGGGACTTTATCTTCCCGCCATGGGGATCGTAGGGGCCGTCGTACCCTGCTTGGTACGATGTATCCCTCGCATTCCCCAAAAGAGGCTGGGCCTTGGAGTACTTTGCGGAAGGCCGGACGCGCACATAAACAGCGACATCTAACGCAAATGCCGAGATGCAGCTCAACCTGCCTACTAGTTAGTCTTCAGCGTTACTTTGATGCATTCGATGCATTCATCACTCTTGTCGTCCGATTGAATGCGGATCACTTACACTCCGAAGAGACTCGCCGCGAATAATAGCTTGTAAAGCCTACAGATGTTGATCCCGGTACTATTCCCCCACAAAGCATGGGTGCATGCATCGAGGATCGTCTCATTCATTGCGTTCGCCAGTAGTCCGAACCCTGCTACCCACAGAGCGCTTGCAGCCAGGTTGATAGCTCCATTGAACAGCGCCGAGAGCTTGTGACAGCAGTACAGTATTGTGGTCAGGACGAGGGTTGTAACGGTGACGAGTGCTGCCCCATGAAGCTAAGCCGCTATTAGCTTCATGCATATGAGGAAAACATGATAGCTCTTGCAAGGTTGAAGGGCTAAAGGGTTGCACATACAAAGAAGAACATCCAGGGCACTCGATGGCCACCGTGCTTGATCAGCCATACGAAATAGAACATCTCTGCTGCAACGATTACGGATGCTAATAGCTGGCAGAAGCGGATGCCATAGAAGGTTAATTTTGGATAAGATGTGGGGTGGTTCCGAGAGCCTGCGTGCATCTTGACTGCTGATCAAATTTGAAAGACTCAAGCACGTAAGGGTAGGTTATACGTCCTGGTACAATAGGGAGAAGAGTAGATTATGAATCCTCAAGTTCTGGTATCCCGCGATGTTAAGGCGTCCAAGAAGAAGATTCTCGGTGCTTGCAGTCGGCAGCTGCAGGTAGATATACCTCAGCTGCATGTCTTCCTTTCCGAGAAGGCGTCGTCTAAAGAAATGCGCAATGCGTTATCCTATGAAGCCAAGGCAGCCATCTGGGCTGTGTGCGAGAAACGTGTTCTAGCCTTCGCGAATGGTCACGCTGGGTGGAGAGGCTCAAGCTGTCTGGAACCTCTCATCGATATCGCATTCAGCCACTTTTCTAAGTTTAGTGCGATCTGTCTCTGAATCAGTCTGCTGGTTTTTCTTGGCTATCGACCCTAGTTTCAATTTGCCGAACGGCTTTGCTGCCAAGTCATCGAGAGGTGGCTGAAGGAAATACGGACGCCGCGTGATTGGCTTCGCTGCTTCAGCTCTGAAGCCTTCTCGTTCCCCTCAAACCATTCCTCTAAACCTGACCGCCTGTGTGGAGGCTTCAACGGTCTTGGAGCTTGCTGGGCAACAACAATGACCCGGAATAAATGCATCAAAGTCACAAGCTGCGCTGCGGCTTCTCAGCCGCCTGTCCATATGCCTCCGTCTGACGGAAGTCACCAGAGGAGCGTTGTCTCGTTCGACAATATAAGGAGGCCCCAGCTGGCCTCCACAGTCATCATTCTTGTATTTCCGTCTGTATAACGTAGTCCATTTAGTTGTACTCAACATGTATTCTCTTCTAGTTGTGTTGCTTTTAGCCTTACCTCTAATTTCGTCTGTGGTGGCTCAGAACTTGACAAACTCAACCTATATCTACCATCCCATCCACAATATCTCCACAATCAACATCGAACTCTCACCCGGAATCCTTGCCTTCAATGATTCCAGCAACAACATCACTATTCCCCCGGTAACGCAGCGCCTATCCTACTACGTCGAAGATGGCGTTGCAATTGTCGACGGAGACGTCATATTCGGGACCGAGGACGAGCTACTGTTTTGGGTTGTGGGCGGGCACAACAAGCGCGCAGTCCAAGAATCCCACGCCGGCGATATACACAAACGCTCAATCTCGATCTTCCCCTACTCAGGCAACAAATGGCCGGGTGGGGTCATCTACTACAAGTGGGAATCTCAAGCCTCGAAAGACTTCCGAATTGTCGACTGGACTGAGGGAGTGAGGAGGTGGACTGACCGACTGCCATTCTTGAAGTTCGTCGAAGCTACGAGCCCAGACCCACAGATTATTTCCGGGGTGGTGACATTAAGGAGTAGCACTGGCACTGGCAGCTGCTCGAGCCCGATTGGTATGAGCACAAGCACTGTTTGGAATTACATCAAGTTGGATGACTGTGGTGCTGGTACCTACGCGCACGAGATCGGTCATAGTAGGCCCCACCCCTCATCATCCCTCGAGTCTCTTAACTAATTGAGCCACAGCTCTTGGCCTCATCCACGAACAACAACGTCCCGATCGGGATTCTTACATGGACCTCCACTGCGAAAACGTCTCCGACGACGAGAACGGCGTCAAGGCAGTCTACGGCGCCTTCTGTGAAGGTCTCGGCTGCAACTTTCGCATAAACTCCGTCACCGAAGCCGATTGGGCCGGTGCCTATGACGTCCTCTCCATCATGCACTACTCCATGTACGAGTTCAGCAAGAACGGCCTGCTGACGCTCGTCCCCAAGCCTGGCATACCGTCCCCGCAGTGGCACAACCTCCCCACCCTCAGCGACTCCCGCCGCGTCTGCGACATCTACTGGGAAGACTGCAGGGGCGTTTGCGGCGACGGGATCCTCTCCCCGAACAACGGCGAGGAGTGCGACGACGGGAACAATATCGATGGCGACGGCTGCTCCGCTAACTGCAAGATTGAGACGCCGGCGTGCCCGCTGCAGACCTGCGACCCGACGCCGGGTGCTAATGGGTGTGATATCAGCACGTCGTGCATCTCGCTCACGGGTGCTGTGAACGTGGGGGCGGGAGAGCATCTGTGTGCGTGCCGGCATGGGTTCAGGGCTGACTCGACCGATCCTAAGGATACCAGCGTGCAGGTAAGGCTGCCGTGGGCGGGGCAGGAGGGGAGGGTGTTTGTGAAGCCTGGGATCGCGTGTAATCAGCTTTGCGATGCGTTTCAGCTTGGGAAGGATGGATGTACGGAGGTGGTCGAGGAGCCGATGTGTTATTGAGGGAGATGAGATGAGTGGAGGGAGGTTTGTGGGGAGTCTGATACCCCTAAAGTCTACCTTCATGTTACTGGCAGTTCAGGCGTTGTGTAGGGTTGATCCGTTCTTGAGGGTACATTTCGGAGTATAGCTTTGTAAAAGTACATTTTCTGGATTCAAATCCTGACTTCATGGTCCGATTTGGCGTGTCCTGGCGTTCAAATGCCAAAATAGGATGGGAAGAAGCCCCTGCATGGTTCATCCAAAGCTAAGATACTAAGCTAGGGCCTTCGCCATTCTGAGCTGAGTAGGCCCACGCGATCTGAGGGGTCTCGTACGGAATATGTATAATTATACCTAGGTATTATAAGAATCCGGCGGTCGCTTATGATTGGCTGATGTGTAGACATCACGTGATGTGCTACAACGTTCCTGCGGTTGAAAGTGGACAATTCGAGCTGTAGGAACTGGGATTAGGATCCACATTAAGTGTAACCTTATGCGCTTCGTTGAGGTTTGATCGGTTGCGCAGTAATGAGCGAGAAATGCGGGCTGTCAGCTTGAAGATTTCTGATCATGACACTAATCAATGGGATTTATGCACCGTCACGAAAGGACATTGCACCGATAACCTGACCGGCTTTCGAGAAGCCACCGAGTGAGGTGTAGCGCATAAATGTGGGAGTCAAGCTTTTTCGAACGCTGGCGATCACTCCGTTGCGGCCGACGGACACTTGGAAACGGCCGTAGAAATGCACAGCCTACTGAAGCTTCGTCATCCCTGCAGCACGGCAGACACAGGATGCCCGAGTCGCCGCATGCGGGGATGCTTGAGTTGATGCCTGGTGATACATAAGCACCACTAAGTGCTCATCTTCGAGCACACAGTAAGCTGCAGTTTTCGCACTTCCATCTCCATCAAGACATCACTAGGTACATCTCGACATGTCTTCCACAGAGGTGCTATCACCAGTGTACCGGTCGGGGTCATCGGCCATGTCAGAGTTGCACGGGGACGACCAGTTCTCGCAACAACACGACGAGAATCCATTGGAACAAGGTCAGACATCATCAATTCAAGCAACGCCAAGCCATCTTTCTCGTCACGATCCCATGGAACGTCTCTCTATCCAGTGCCCTCCCGAGCATGTCCAGGATGACGAACCTCCTCCACCTTACGAGGATCCATCCGCAGGAGCGCCTCAAATTGCGCCTATTGAGTACAGCTGTGAGAATAGCCCTCAATTGGTCCTACCTCCCCACGAAGAATTGGAGGCACCGGTGCCTCCTCCACGCAACCCCAACAGACCCATCTCACAAATTAGCTCTCAACCGAGTCCGCTTAGTCCGGAGACCCAAGCATCAGCTCGGCCGTCGTTTCAAGGCTGTTCAAGCACCAGTTCCCACTCTGCCATTTCTCCCGAGTACATGGGGCCCGCACAGTTGGCTAAAGCCCGTGAAGCTGGTTTCGACATCATGCCCCCGGCGACGGAGCGCACTGACTCTGCTTCCGGCCTTCCCAGTATCAACATCATCGCCTCCAATGAGCCGCTCCAACACATCCGAGAGGCCGGGAAGCTCATGGCGTATCTGATCCCATTCCCGAAACCCAGGCTCCAAGGTGTAGATCCAGCCAAAGTCCCAAATCGATTTCTTGTCTACACGCCTCCAACTCCTCCACTCTCGAAGCCAGCACCGGGCGAAAAAGAGAGCAAATGGCACAAGACGCAAAGAACATGGCAGGAAGACGTGCGCAAAGCAACTATGAGCAACGCGTCCGGAGCTACTTGGAAAGGCTTCAAAGCTAAGACGACTCGAGCCATCGGAAGGGGCGTCTCGATGACGAAGACATCGAATCTGGAGTTTCTTGACCGGGTCTCAGTAGGGGCGATTGAATCCGCCGTCCCGCAATCTCCACCCTCGACACCAGATGCCTCACAAACAACAGAGTCGCCCAGCTCATTGCCAAGTGCCCTATCTGTGATGGGCGCAGGGGTTGATTTTAACCCGAACGCTCCCAAACGCTCAAAAACAACAGTGACGGAGTCTAAGCCAAAAGCACTAGAAGATCTGACCCTTATCTATCCGCCTTCCCTACCGCTAGACCCCGAACAAATCCGCGCAGAGTTTGTCGAGTCTCTGCTTCGCACGCGCACCAAGTCGCAACGCGATGCCGTTGTCGCCTCATCCCTTCTCCCTTTCGCCGCTGCCGTCGACTTATCTCTTCTCCTGACCTTTGGTGGCTTGTCGGAGGTGTCCGCCGTATGGGCGCATTCCTCGATCCGCGGCGCCAAGACGAGCAAAAAGATGACGAAAGGGCTGAAGGCTGCAGAGGAGAAGCCAGAGATTCAAGGTTGCACCTGTGGAAACCACGAGCACGAGTTCGGCGCCGTGCACAACGTCAAGGGAAAGAATAAGGGGATTCAGTTGTCTATGCAGGCGAACCCACGGATTGAGGTCCTGAGTCGGTATCTCGAGATGATGTGTCTACAACGCGAGTTTTCCATGTTTCCTCAGTTGGATGCGAGGATTGGAGATGTGAACGAGTGGGCCGTATTAGAAGCCATTGGATGGCAGCCGAAGAAGAGGGAGGGCTACGAACTGGATTTAGAGGACTCGAAGGGGCTGATCGAGCATCTCACTCCCGAGCAGGACGAGGCGTGGCAGGTACGGGAGGCAAAGGACGACCTTCGGCGGATTATGAAAAAGGGTGCTAGCGAGTGGGTGAGCTGGTGTAAGAGCTATCAAAAAGATGCCGAGGCTGCTCTGAAGAAGTAGGACGCTTATACCACAGGAAAATGCTGGCGTTTGATCGGGGCTACTTTCATCTTTCCAAACTTCGTAATCCGTAGATACCACAAATTTCAATTCGACCCTATTTCTTCTTCTCCTGCTTCTTCCGCTTTCCTACTGGGAGATGTTTGCTGATGGTTCTAAGGTGGAGTGATTGATGAATGGAATTGAAGCATTAGGAAATCTAGATCAAACCACGAAACCACGTTATTTCTATATAACGTGAAATAGCAAGCCATTACCTTCATTTAAATCGACAGGTTGATGATCGCCAATCCTGTTGGAATTTACCCTTGTATTCGATAGCTTTGCTCGCCGTGGGGATGGATTATTTTCTATCATATCCGAAATACCCGTTAATTTCTTACCTCTCCCGACCTTACTAGTAGTTAATGTGATATGAAATTATTCAATACTTGGCGATTGGTGACGTAGACCAGCGTTGTGGATGCGAAAGATACCGAGCTGTAAGGCTGACGACGATCCCGCCGCAGACGCGAAGCACCCCAACGTTTTGCGGGCTGGATCCCGAAACATGTGAATGCTTCGCAGCGTGCCCCAGTATAATCAGGTTCACCGAGTTGCGCTCACGGTGACTTGCTTTTAATAAGCTCTCTCGTCATCCACATTACTCCGCCCTCGCCGCCTTTTCTCCATGCATTTCCCAACCCGACACATCTCCTGAAATCCGCCGCTATCTATGGAGTCCCTTCGAAGACGCCCAACACTATGTCCAACGCGCTGAAGCCGCTTGAACCACTTGATTCGAGATCCGAACAAGATGAACCATACGATGCTGATGCGCTCGCCCTCCTCCGCCGCTCTCCACACCCCTACCACCGACGACAAACAGACATTGCGCCGTCAAACCTATCCAGCGAGTCCTCCAACAGTGACTCTCCTCCCCGCACCACCCTGAAAACTCCTCAATCCGGTTCTGACCGTGAGCACACAATATCCGACGAGGAAGAGAAGGGGCGCAGGAAGATTTTCCGTACCCCAAGTGACAGCGGGACAGAGGCCGACGATGAAGGATACAGCTTCGTGAGAGCATTGCCTGCCCCTCCCGCGAGGCCCCGGAAAGGGCTTCGAGATTCCAGAGGAAGTGGGATTGATGGAGTCTCTACCCCCCTTCTTACCCCGTCGCAGGTAGATGAGGAGGGCAAGAGATTCCCACGCCAATTCAAGGCGGGACTCGAGGGACCCTCGCCTTCCGATGATGAAGCAAAGGCTGCAAGACAGAAATACTTGAAGAGAAGACGAGCAGAGCTAGTCAGACGTAGCACCGAAGTAGGCTTGCTTGCATTATTGGGGTTGTTGGTTATTCGAGGTTGTAGCTGCTGGGAAAGGATTATCGTCTGGCATAGAGGTACGACCATATCTAATTCTAATCTGGTATCTCTGACTCGACTCCTAGTAGAAATCCTGAGCCACGTTGCAATAATTTCCTCGCTGGTCCTGTTATATTCTTTACGACTTCTAATATATTCGCGATCTATTTCCAATGGACCTGCCCTCCGGCTTAGACAACGGATACGGATACCTGCAGCATTCGATCCGGCACCAATATTATACCCCGCTACGATTCCTGTTTTAATTTCGCTGTCTCTCCTCCCGAAATCTGGACCGATACTTCTTCCTAACATCATACTGAGTTTGGCTGCCTTGCCAACCCAACTAATACCGCTATCGGGCCGTGGACCTGGATTTTGCTCAAGCCACTGGATGATCTCTGCACTACCGCTCATAGCTTCACAAAATACCGAGTGGCCCTCTAAACTAACCGCTCCAAAACCTTATATGCTTAAATCACCACCTCCCGAAGGGCTGGATCCTGAGATTCTTGTGTCCTTGTTCGCACTCCATCAGGCACTCCTACCGCCATTACACTATCTCACCACTACGAGCTTACTTCCTACCGAGCTGCATCTTCTCTCCATAGCTTTAATCAACCTTCTCTTGTTTGCCAAGTCTCCGCAAATGATAATCTTGGCTGCTGTCATCTGGATTGGCGGCCTAGGACTGTTCATTCTTTGCGGCCACGTTCTGAAATGGGGAGTAGCGCTGGCACGAATTCCTAGGTGGAGATTCAGACGTGCCGGACGAGTTATCAAAGCCAGGCAGTCTTTCATAGAGATACTGAATCAGAGCTTGACACCCAGGTATCCGCAAAAGGCGAAGCAGAATGTTTCCGACAGCGATGCCGACGACGACGTTATCGATATCGGCAACGGCAAAATCGCCCAAAGGAATCTGAAGCTGAATACGTTGGCTTCTTCGACCCAGAAGTCAAATCCTCTGAATCATTTCGAACCTTTTGAAACAAGGTCTGCGGTTGAGCGGACGGCATCAGCCAATTTTCCAATCGAAGTCAACATCAAGGAAGCAACGAGCCCGACTCGAAAGCGCCGGAACACGTTGGCAAATTTACCAGAACCGAATTCTCCGCCCCAACCACTGTCCTTCGCTCGTCACAGACGTGCAAAATCATCAGCAATGCAATCGTATTTGTCCCTGACACCTACACAGGCGGCAGTGAGGAAATGGGCGTATGCAGGGTACGTCTACGTGGTCATTGCCATGTTGATCCTGGGGCCCATCCGGTTCGTTGTAGGCGAATACGCCCTGAATGGTAACGAACCATTCGGATGGGCCATTGGATACCTATTCGGCCATATCCAACCTCTACGCTTCGAGGTAGTCAACTGGAACCTTGAAGATTGGATTGTCTTGCCACCATTATATGGCACAGACGACACATCGAGGTCACATCGTCCTGGTCGAATAGAATACCTTCGGCGATTCGTAGCTGGAGAGGCCAACACTCGACTCGTTCTGTGCGGCTACTGCGTCAGCGTCATAGCGGTTGGCATGGTTGTTGTGCTCAGATTGAGCTCGGTAGTCGAAGTGGACACGCGCCGCAAAGTCTTCCACGGTATGATGGTCGCGATGCTGCTTCCGACTATCTACGTCGACCCTGCTTTCGTCGCGCTCGCACTGGTACTCGTATTGTCCATCTTCCTGCTTCTCGACCTTCTCCGGGCCTCTCAACTGCCTCCATTGTCCAAGCCATTGGCATACTTCCTGACTCCATATGTTGATGGGCGGGACCTTCGAGGCCCGGTTGTTGTTTCGCACATCTTCCTCCTTATTGGATGTGCGATACCGCTCTGGCTCTCCCTCGCCGGGATTGGACGCACAGGAGACAGACCATGGGAGGGCTGGGAGGTGCCTACCCGCGATGTTAGCATGGTGGCGGGAGTCGTGTGCGTTGGTATGGGCGACGCAGCGGCCTCATTGATCGGGCGCCGGTACGGCAGACGTAAGTGGCCGTGGGCAGGTGGAAAAAGTCTAGAGGGAAGTCTCGCATTTGCCGTCGCTGTGACGATAGGCTTGGTGTTTGGAAAGGCCTGGCTGCGATTCGGGCAATGGGATGATGAGGGAGCAGCAGATGGCTGGCTGCTCACAGTGGCAAAGGCAGCGGTGTCGGCCTGTGGCGCCAGTCTCAACGAGGCGGTGCTGACGGGGGGAAACGACAATGTCATCGTGCCTGTGATCCTCTGGCTGCTCGTGCGAGGGGTCAGGCTGTAGATATAGGGCGTGCTGCATTAATAATGGCATTTCGGGCATAAAAGGCAGGAATGAAACATTGGCGTGGGCGGCGCAGCGCATTTAGGGCATTCACTATTTGTAGGGTCAGGCCACGTGAGCGACAGGGCACACCCCGACTCGGGCACGTGGAGTAGCTCCCCGATTTTACCCAGCTTAACGCGGCTGTCTTCACATCTTGACTTCCCTCCACCACCGCGTTCTGCATATGCAATTCACCACGGCGTCTGCGTCGGCAGCATCAGCGTGCCGGCCTTGATTTCCCCACGATCCCGCACATGGACGGCGATGATTTGCGGAGGCTGCAGATCCTCAGACCAGACCTGCAGCTCCAGGATGGCCGCTTCGAGCAATCCGAGGATGCCCAACTGGGCGTGGGAGTATACTCCGCGCCAACCAGGCACGCGCAACAGCTCACCGCGGCGCGACAGGGTGGACGGCTACGGGGCTTCGGCGGCGCTGCTGTGGCATGTGTCCTGGCGTCTTCTTGCGCCATGATTGTGGCATTCGCGCGGAGCGGTGTTGCGTGCTCACTGATCTCAGACGGCTGCCGGTGACATCGTCGTCGCCAGCAGCCGCTAGCCGGATCTGCGTTGCAGTGGCAGATGATCACCGGCGGCTGTCCTGCCCGTGCTCTTTGTTGCGGGCAGCGCTGACGGCGACGACATTCGCAGTCTTCTTCGTGGTCTGGTCAGCCCTCAGACCGTCCCCGTCACACTGCCCAGGTGCGCGCGCGCTGGCTATGTAAGCGGGGCCTGCGATCAATGCCGCCGTGACAGCTGTGACAGTACGTAGCGTATTCGAATGGACGGCGGCATGCTGAGGGCCTCGCGTGCGTGCCCCCTCGTGCACGAGACCGCCTGGTAGCTACGAGAGCGACGAATTCACCACTCAGCCCCCATTCACCACCAGGCACTCGCCCCTTGACGTCTCCTGGCCGTGCCGCAGCCGCTCTAGCTTAAGGTCCGCTGCCGTCCAAGTCCCGCTGCAGAGCGCCAGCCGGGTGCGTGAGGTGCAGCGCAGGGATCCGCTCAACGCCAAGGCCTTATCGCCTATCGCACCGCGTCTTGAGGGCGGCCAGCAGCTCTCTGACTCCAGGTCGTCACGACATCCACGCCCTCTCCGCTCTCCACTCCCCCCAGTACCGCAAACACCCGCCGCCGCCATCCCTTCTTATTCTTTTCCCTGCGCGCATATTGCCTCGCTCCTCCACCTGGACCCTTCAAATCATCCTGCCTAGATTCCATACCCCTCCCCTCCACCTTGCGCCCTACTTACCACGCCTCACCCTCTTCATCCCCGACACTCGTTCAGCGTCCCAGCCCATGTGCAATCGCCTCACGCCATCCCTCTACCCGCATCTTCGTTGGTAGTTAAACACCTCGCCCCCCCCCAGGCCTGCCACAGCTTCGAAGCCTCGCCGGCTGGCCCTCCGCCATCATGGCGACCCCGGCCCTGCCACACAAGTCAAGGCGCCCGTCGTCTTCGACGCAAGCCTCATCTCAACAAAGCTCCGAGTCCGAGATCGGGCCCTTCAGGAAGCTTTCCCACATCGGAAAGGGCAGCTTCGCGGAGGTCTACCGTGGAATACACGTCGTACGTCCCCAGCCTCAACGTCCCCATCCCGTGTTGAAGCATACCCACTACACATTTACACTCGAACATGTATTTGTTGAACTCTGCTGATGCGTCTTCGTCATTTAGGAAAGGAAACAAACTGTCGCCATCAAGTCCGTGAACATGGCCAAATTGAACAAAAAGCTAAAAGAGAACCTCCTCTCCGAAATATCAATACTGAAGAGCTTACACCACCCACACATCGTTGCGCTCATCGGCTGCCAGGAAGCCCCGGCCAAAATGCACATTATAATGGAGTTCTGCGAGCTTGGAGACCTTTCCGCCTTCATCAAGAAGCGTAGCAGCCTAGGAGACCATCCAGAGACGCGACGGATGATTCAAAAGTATCCCAATCCCGCAGTTGGTGGCCTCAATGAAGTGACCGTCAGGCATTTCACGAAACAGATGGCTAGCGCGCTCGAGTTCCTGCGGTCGAAGAACTACATTCACCGGGATCTCAAGCCACAGAATTTGCTACTGAATCCCTCGTCCTTGTACTACGCTAGGAACGACATACTGGATAGGATGCCAATGTCAGTTGATGCGAATTCTCTGATACCAGCAGCTGGCATTGAATCGCTGCCTATGCTCAAGATTGCCGATTTCGGCTTCGCAAGGCTTCTGCCTACGACATCTCTGGCCGAAACTCTTTGCGGCTCTCCGCTCTACATGGCTCCTGAGATTCTGCGATATGAGAAGTACGACGCCAAAGCAGATCTGTGGTCGGTAGGAACTGTGCTCTACGAAATGATGTGCGGTAGGCCACCCTTCCGAGCCAACAATCATGTGGAGCTACTCCGCCGGATCGAGGAACGGAAGGACCACATCAAATTCGTGGAAGGCGTCGTTATCAGCAGAGTCATGAAGAACCTCATCCGTGCGCTCTTGAAGAAGGTTCCAACCGAGCGAATGTCCTATGATAGCTTTTTCAAGGACCCTGTAATATGCGATGAAATTCCCGGACTGGTCGGTGAAGATCGTGCACCCGAGCCGGAACTCGAGGCTCCACTTCAGCCAAAGAGCGTTCAGAAGCTGCCTGCGGACGCGCAACAGCGAATGCAGGACAGTCCGTATTCCCAGTCGCCACGTGAAAGGACTAGTTTTGGCACCACGCCGCCATCTCGGCCTAACTCCAGACCAACCTCTGGGCAGAACTTTGGCACTCCACCGCGACCCACCTCAGCGCGTAGGTTCAGCAATGCTCAAATGCATGTAGCTGAGCCGCAAGGGCCCTCGCAAAAGGAGAGACGTCCAACCTTCACAAGTGCCGCGACTGCTCCAACCCGCCCAACGGTTATTCAGGATCGAAACCCAGTGCCAGCAGCAATCGCCATGGATCGACGCAACAGTCGCAACTCTCCATCCCCGACATCGTCAATGCTGAAGGAACACCTGGATCGTGAACGCATCCCTCAACGTGCAGATGAGCGAGCTCTTCGGGATGCAAGGGAACGAGCTGCACAAGATATTGCTTTCGAGCGAGACTACGTCCTCGTGGAGAAACGAAGGGTCGAGATCGATGCTCTGGCCGATGAGTTTGCCGCTAGCCCCCAAACGACCCGAGAGCGACCTTCATCGCCGAAGTATGGAGCAATGGTTCGGCGCGCGACCACACAGGGTTCACCTACTTCGACTCCTGGAGCCGCAAACCCCTCTCGTGCAATACAGATCGCCTCCAAGCGTCAGCATCCGGATGCACTACATCAACGGAATGCCTCGTACGAAAGGAGGTATCGTCCAAGCTTCGAAAGCGCGACGTCGGCATTATCCAAGGCCATGAACATGGTCAATATTCGTGGCCTTGGCCTGTCCCCGCCCTTGATGAAAGGAGTGTCTCCCCCGCAAGGATATTCGGCTTTCCCAACTTATCCAACCGCCCAAAGTAGTCTTCTCTTGGTAGGCGATGCAGGAAAGACTTCAATCAAAGATGAAGACACCAGGATGATCTCTGCCGTAGAGGACCTCGCTCAACGGAGTCACGTCGTCTTTGGTTTTGCGGAGGTCAAATACAAGCAGCTTATTCCGGCTCCTCCGAGTGATCAGGGGCTTGGAATTGAGGCAGCCAATATGGTTCGTAGGCCAAGCGGGCAGGATGATGCTGACGACGATGACGACGAACTAACCGTCGATGTCACGTTGCTTATTTCGGAAGAGGCGCTCGTTCTATATGTCAAATCTCTAGGTATCCTCAACCGAGCTATGGACCTCGCGGGATCCTGGTGGAATCGCCGTCAACGCACAGTTCCTAGCTCCGAGACAGCTTCTTTGCGTTCTAATCCCTCAAGTGGAAACTCTACCGCACACGCTGACCGGATGAACCATGTTGTTCAATGGGTTCGCAATAGATTCAATGAGTGCTGTGACAAAGCCGACTTCGTGGCACAAAAACTACAAGACACCCAGAAGCAGCTGCCTGCTGATCACCCAAACCATCCAAACAACCGATCGTCTGGATCTGGCTCCAACACAACTCTTGCGTCTGCCGGAAATATTCACCTGACTACAGGTGTGACTGCAGAGAAATTGATGTATGAGAGAGCTTTAGAAATGAGTCGTGCGGCTGCAGTCAACGAGCTCGTTGGCCAGGATCTTCCTGGCTGTGAGATAAACTACTGGACCGCGATTCGTATGCTCGAGGCTATCATCGAGGTTGACGACGATTCACCGCCGCGCGGTCGGAGCGACGACGACAACATTAACGGGCTCGAGGATGAAGATCGTCAGTCTGTAATCAAACGTATGTATTCTTAGCTCCTCCGTTTAGTGCCGCCTTGACTAACATTTGTCTAGTTCTTGAAAGCATGAAGGCGCGACTTAAAGCCTTGAAGAGGAAGATAGAAGCCCAAAAGGCTTCTAAGCGATTATCAACGGGAAACCCTGTCCCTCACCCATCTAGGCGGAGCTCTCCCTCTTCTGGAGGTGTGGCCAGGTAATCACGGTTGCATGCCGCCGACGCCCGAGTTCGAAATCTTGCATAGCGCAATCTCGCATAAACTAGTACCACGGATTTACTTATGGAGCCAGGATGATTTCGTCCACTCCAGGAACTTTAGGTCACTCACTCCCATTATTCTCATGATTGCCAGCGACCATGAGTTTTTCAACGCATCTTGTTTCTTTTCTCGTTTCCACTATTTCCTCTTAACATTGCATCCGGTGGAGCTGGCGGGGCGTTTTCAAGGCTATGGAACCGTCTCCTCTCCCGACTCTTGATCTTTTACAATTGTTCTTCACATTATTAGTTGGTTTCCGCAGGTGCTTGATTTTGGGTAGGAAATACTTTTGGCGTTTCATGTGTCGCCAGGCGCTATACTGGACGGCGCATTCGACGGGGCGCGAGATACCAGATTGCACACGATACCAAGTCATTGGAGGCCGATGACTTGGACGGAGGAGTTCTACTCGCAGCGCATTGGGACCAGGACTTCATTGTCATCGACGTCGATATTCTCTACGGTTGTTTCTACAGGTGTTTTCGTGGGCGTTAATGCTGCACGCAGCGGCTTCATTTGGACATTATTACTGACAAGGTCTTGACTGGCTCATACCACAACCTTTGACCTTGGAGGATGGAATAGATTGGAACTGAGCGATGGCGATCGCTAGATGCTGATGAGCACTGTATACTCATATCAAACAAATCAAATACCCTATTGCTTTCAATTGTTCTGTGATCAATCCCTGAAAGATAATTTGTTGTAGTGAAGTAACGTGACAGCGAGTTGAGCTTTCACGACATGGCCAAAGCGCTGCATCCTTGACGAGTTCCACTTCCCCACCAACTCCATCAACTATTCCCGATGCCCAGCGATGAGAAAGCGCCGGTGAAGCTCTCTCTTCCTCTTGTGAGTCCATTGTAAATATGGTACCGAGCGTGGCTTATCATCCGCCCAGGAATTCCAGCAAGACATCTTCAAGGAACTTCGTGAGGAAGATGAGCTCGTACTCCTCGCCCGCGGCCTGGGACTCCTCCGCATCGTAACCAACCTCTTGCACTCTTACGATGCCGCCGGGAACAACTTGATTCTGCTCCTCGGAGCTGATGAGCGAGAGAACACATGGATCGGCGAAGCGCTGGCGGAGCATGCCGCCATCAGCATGTCTCCAAAGGCCAGAGGACTCAGCTTGGTCAACACCGACGTCATGAGCGTTGCGACGCGGGAGAAAATGTACGCCCAAGGAGGGGTCTTCAGCATAACCTCGCGGATTCTGATTGTAGATTTCCTGTCGAATCTGCTGAATCCGGAGATCGTGGCGGGGATCGTGGTGCTGCATGCTGAGAGGGTTGTGGCAACGTCCCTTGAGGCGTTCATATTGCGCATCTATCGTCAGAAGAATAAGAGCGGGTTTCTGAAGGCGTTTTCGGACAGCCCGGAACCGTTCACGTCGGGGTTCTCGCCGTTGTCGAATATGATGAAGAACTTGTTCTTGCAGAAGCCGTCGCTGTATCCCCGGTTCCATCTCTCGGTTGCGAAGTCGTTGGAGGGTCGGAAGAAGGCGGAAGTCATTGAACTGGAGGTTCCGATGACGAATGCTATGAAGGATATACAGCTCGCCGTTCTTGAGTGTGTCGAGGTTAGCATCAGCGAGCTGAAGAAAGGCAACTCGGGCATAGAAATGGAGGACTGGACACTAGATAGTGCTCTGCATAAGAACTTTGATACTATCATACGAAGGCAGCTAGATCCTGTCTGGCATCGGACAAGCTTCAAGACCAGACAGATCGTGCGAGATTTGACGCTTCTTCGAAACATACTAGGGTAAGCTGGTTCCATGATTGTCCCATTTGCTTAACTGACGAAATCAGAGCTCTTCTCACTTATGACGCCGTAAACTTCAACCGCTACCTAGACACAGTCCTCGCCGCTTCTCAGCCTCCGCCTGGATCTAACAAGCAAACCCAATCTCCTTGGCTCTTTCTAGATTCCGCGCACACGATCTTTGAAACCGCGAAGCGACGGGTGTACGCAGGCAAACTGACCAACACTGATCTAGCTGCTAATCCGAACGCCGTACCGGACTCTGTGCACCCGGTTCTCGAAGAATTCCCCAAATGGGCACTGCTTGCTGAGATCCTGCAAGAAATTGAGCAAGACACGTATCTCAATCCAATCATTTATGATGGATCAAACGGATCGATTCTGATCATGTGCGGTGATCAAGGGACCTGTCGCCAGCTTCGCGAGTATCTTCAAACAATGTGGGTGAAAGTAGAGGCGAACGATGACGGAGAAGAAAATGGGGATGATTCTGCCCCATCAGGTTCCTTCATGATGCGTCGAAGGCTTCGAAATTATCTCGCCTGGAAGAGAGAGTTCGCCAAAGTTAGCAATGCGCTTTTTTCGGAGAACGAGAAGGCAATCAACGGCGCGACCGATCAAAGGGGCGGTCAAAGTAGCAGCAGAGGCAAGGCACCTCCTAACAAGCGTCGCCGAATGCGCGGCGGGGTTACGACCTCCGGCGATCGATCGGCTACCGGAGCTCTTCGTACGGCTGGAGATCGAGATGCGCATCTTGCCAGCTTGATGGCCGAGCTCCAGCCCACAGAGATAGAAAATCTGCAGAAAGGAGAGATTGCGTCTGATCCCCTTGACGATATGGAAGATTTCTACGAGCTCTTCGACATGAACGAGCTTGTCGTGGTCCATCCGTACGAAGGTGACATGGATGAGCATGTCCTCGAAGAAGTCAAACCCCGATATGTTATAATGTACGAGCCAGACGCAGCATTCATTCGCCGGATAGAAGTCTACCGCAGCTCCCACAGCGATCGGAACGTCAAAGTCTACTTCATGTACTACGGCGGTTCGGTCGAAGAGCAGCGCTATCTCAGCGCTGTTCGCAGAGAGAAAGATGCCTTCACCAAGCTGATCCGCGAGCGTGGCAACATGGCCATCACCCTCACGGCCGCTACCATGGATCCTCAGGAATCCTTCCTTCGCACCATCAACACGCGCATTGCCGGTGGTGGTCGACTCGCCGCCACTGCCACTCCACCACGCGTCGTCGTCGACGTCCGCGAATTCCGCTCCTCGCTCCCATCCCTCCTTCACGGCCAAAGCATCGTCCTCGTCCCATGCATGCTCACAGTCGGCGACTACGTCCTCACGCCCCAGATCTGCATCGAGCGCAAAAGCGTCCGCGATCTCATCTCCTCCTTCACCAACGGGCGGCTGTTCAACCAAGTCGAAGCCATGACGGAGCACTACAAATCCCCCATGCTGCTGATCGAGTTCGACGCCAACAAATCATTCACGTTGGAGCCATTCGCCGACTTCGCCTCTGCGTCGAACCAAGGCGCGAATGCTACCCCAGACCTGCAGTCTAAGCTCGTGATGCTGACGCTCGCGTTCCCGCGCCTGCGCATCATCTGGTCCTCGTCGCCCTACCAGACCGCCGAGATCTTCTCGGAGCTGAAGAAGCTGCAGGACGAACCGGACCCCGTCAAGGCGGTCAGTCTCGGGCTCGAAGATGGCGAAGACGCTGAGGCCCGGACGTTTAACCAGTTGCCGCAGGATATGCTGCGGGTGGTGCCGGGCGTCAACGAGAAAAACCTCGTCAGACTGACGCTGCAAGTCGGCAGTTTGTTTGAGTTGGCGAATATGGACGAGGAGGAGATTGTGGGTATTGTGGGGAAAGTGGCGGGACGGCAGATTTGGCGGTTCTTTAACCGGAGTGTGTATGATGAGTGATGAATGAAATGTAGGTTTAGGGAAGGGTTTGAGATGAGTATTTCAGAGTAAATGCCTTGGAGTAGGTCTGTGTAACCTTGTCTACTCCTATATGAAGGGCCTTGATGCAAGCTCGCAAATCCGATTTCAGAACGTCTAATATGTACCTTGGAGAACTTGCCCTCCTGCCGGATTCTGCTGGCCTATTCGGAGCACCCCTGACGTCGGTATCTTGGTTGAATGTTGCGACTTTGCAAGAGTCTGATATACACCTTCCAGCTCGTCACCGCAGCGTTAGAGTCGCATTTCCTCCCTGGGGCACGCTTGACACTGCCAACTCGCTGGAAGAATACAGTAATTTGTAGTCCAATATGTACCTTTCGATCCTTCACATCACCTTCGAGTTCTGCTTGACTACTCGAAAGACTTCCGCCATTGGTATTTTATTGCAAAATTCACTGCGGATCCCGCCTATGGTATCTTTGCATTCGCGCCATTCGAGATGCGGAATCTCCCTCAAAGCCCACCCCTCTCAGAGCCTCTCTCGTGAGCTTATCAACATGTCTACTTTGTTCTGGTTACACGATTCGATGTGAAAAGCGTTGAAGAATAGGATAAGAATTCTGAATAAAAGAGCTCGAAACCAGGATCTCTCTCGTTCTACACTGTAGTTCTAGGAATATAGGTCAGGCATCAACACCACGCACGCTTCAGCATCATCTCTCCTGCACCAACCAGTCCTCCGCCGTCCACCCGACCTCATTCGTATCCGCGTCAAACATGACAATATCCCCATCGCGATCATACCACGCCTCGCCCGACGAGACATCGATCCCATTCAAGAACTCATCATTCGCCACGTGCAGCACCCCCGGCAGCCGCCACTGCCCCAGCAGCCCCGAGGCCTGCCCGTCGAAGCCCACCGAGCGCTCGCCCGCGCCCTCCGCCTCCGCCTCCGCCTCCGCCTCCTCCGCATCCGCCATCACCACATCGCCGTCCACATCAACATCACAGTTATCGCCCACCAGCCCGTCGCGCCCGACACTCCGCTCCGCGACCACGCGCGGCCGCCGGCCCGTATCCAGCTGCCACGTGACGGCGCGCCCATCCGCGCCAAACGCCCAGATGGTGAGCTCGGGCGCCGCGTAGATGGCGAGGGCGGCCAGCCCGTCCAGCGCGCCCACGACGGTGCCCTTGATGCCGATGGGCCAGATGGCGGGCGTGGACGGGTACGCGTACGCGTGGATCAGGCGCAGCTTCTCGTCGTGGCCCAGCCAGTGCGCCCAGTGGTCTGCCGCCCGTTTGCCCGCCGCCGCCGCCGCCTCATGGGAGGCCGCGCTGTAGGGGGACGCGGACGCGGCGGGGTCCGTGTCGGCGCATTCTTGCGCGAAGACGTCCGGGGGCACGCTGTAGAGCACGACTTTGTCGCCGAAGGCGACGGCGACGCGCGCGCCCCACGTCAGGTCGGCGGCGGCCGTGTAGATGCGGGGGATGTCGTCCGGGTCGGGCGGCATGAGCATGAGGGTGCGGAGGAGCTTGGTCGGGCCGCCCTGGGGCGCGTCGCTGCCCAGATAGAGGCGGGAGGTGGAGGGGTCGGTGAAGAGCACGTTGTATCCATCGCTCAGGGGCACTGCGCGGAAGTGGTCCGAGTTGGAGCCTCCTCTGCCGTGGGTTGCGAGGGGGGTTTCGAGGCCGAAGGACCCCCAGTAGAGGCTGGGGTTTGGCCGGTTGGAGAGGAAACGGTGGTAGATTGAAGGCCTGTCGCTTGGGTGTGCGGCGCTGGATATTAGTCGAAGCTTTTTGGCCGAGTCGACGCCAGGTCGCGGGGGCAGGAAGTGGAGGAAATCGCTAGGTGAGGTGAGAGGGAACCACCTGTTCAGATTTTGCCCTGTGATGGCGTCGACCCAGTACAGTTCTATACCCGCGGAGCAGCCGAAGGCTACACAGCGTCGCTGTGGGCAGATAGACACGCAGCGTGGCGGGTCGTCGTCGGAGCAGAGGTGCCGGTAGATGCTCCGACGTCCATTATCGACGGGTATTGCTTGCGTTTTGGCGCCAGGGATGCTGTCTCGTGGGCCCCCTCGCAGGAGGATGTGCCAATCGAGATTGATGTTATTACGTTCGTGATCTCGATCGGTGTCTCGTAGGTTGACTTCTTCATCGCCGGCTTGTACACGAATTTCAGCAAATCGTGCATTGTCATTGGCCATCGCCATGGGATCCTCAAAGGGGTTTCTTGGTTCGCTTGTGAAGAACGTGGCTCTATCATTGACTCCAGCGCTAGTCGGTATCGCAGAGTCTCCCGTGTCAGAAAACCTGAGATTTAGGTCACAGACAAGACCCATTCTACCTTCCAGAAGCGCAGCAATCGCAAATCTGTGAGACGAAGCATCCATGCTCATTGCCAGAACTCTTCGAGGACAGACTACGCTAGTCAGAGGGCGGAGACTACTGTCTTCGAGCTGGTAGATGTATATCATGCCGCCTTCCGCAACGAGCAAAAACCTGCCGCAAACGCTGACTGTGAAGACGAGAGCTCCGGTATGACGCCCTTCAGGCCCAGCAGAGCCATTCGCTAGGTCGGCAAAATCTGTCCTGGCAACTTCGACCAATGGCTCATGGTATTTTGAGTTCTTTGTGCCGGGGGTCTCAAGTCCGTTGCCAGTCCAGTTGCAAGACAAGGCACACTCTCGAGAAAGTAGCTTGCTGAGGAACCATTCCACTCGGCCTTGGTCCACGGATTCATCGAGAATACCTCTCTCCCGAAGATCGTGTTCAGCCCCTCCCATCCACCCGCCACGACGGAGCATCGATTTGAGAATCGTTCGGTCAAGACTTGCAGTCATCCAAGTTTGGCAGGTGTGCCGGGCCGCATTGAAGTCTCTGGGCGACAAAAAGCTGTATATATGCTGAATGAGCTCATTGGGGAGTCTGCATGGAGGAGGCAGTACGCGATGAGCGGCCGCGCTGATGGCAGAGTACCAAGATCGGCATGTAAGTCTCATCGCTTTCAGAGAAGAACAATCGAGATATGCTGACATTTTTACAAGCAAAGGCGCTGGAATCATCAAAGGCAGCGTTGCTGCGGCCTGTGTTGACGTCCCTGGTCGACATGATAGGCTGTGGTAATTGGTAAAAGAGCCCTCTGAGACGGTATCATCTCGCTCTTCTATCGGAGAGCCAACCCGGAGAATGATGTCGGACATACTCCGCGTAACGTCGCAATACAGAAAAGGCTCCAGAATACCATCTTCGACATAATCGGCCGGCGGTTGTTCTGCATTCATCATTCGGACCGGAAAGTCCTCGACGCTAAAATGACTGTCGTTACCAACAGTGCCGAGAGATGATTTGCTTTCGAGGAAGGACGTCGAGTATCCAAAAGAGCTCCTAGAGTAGGCTGACCTCAAGCTTGGACCGCTAAAGAGGAAGGTACCGGGTGATACGAGGTCGAGGCTCTGTAGAGAGCCGTGGCTATCTACCTTGGAAATTGACCGTCCGTCCGAAGTACTGGAATCTCTCCGAATATGGCCTGTGGATGGATTGGTGACAGGAGGACTACTGTCGAAAAACCTCGTAAGGACTCTTTGCAGCGAGATCCGACGTCGTTCTCGGCGTATGGAAAAGCCTTCTCTTTGAGATTGTATAGGGTTTGTAAGGTGTCGTCTGGTAGTTCGTACGGCGACTCCAATTGCGTTCCGACGGGATGACGCGAGAGCGTTTCGAAGACCCTCTGACTGCCTCGTGTTCGACGTTGGACTGGCGTTGCTGTCTACCCTGGACCTTTGTTCGGCAGGGTTGTTCGTGGGAGGCATTCCCCGAAGGTCCTCAATATTCCTGTGGGCAACAGAAAGGCTTGGTGGCCCAAATGTGAGATTGCGCTCGGTTGGCGACTCGAAGAGGGATGTGACTGATGGTACCGTGAGGCTATTTCTGGGAGAGACAGATGCAGATTCGGATCCGGCAACTCCTCTTGAGAGGTGGATTTGTGAAGACGTCTTTGAAGCACCTCCGATCGGAGATGCAAGTTAGGTAAGAGTAGGAGAGTCTGAAGAATAACGGTATATCGAATGAGTGGCGTTATCGAGTGACGTTCCCACAAGAGTAAGAATGCCGTCGCTGAGGGGTGAGGATCAAGGACGAGGGATACGTTGAGAGGAAGCGTCGAATATTATGTAGTCAATCGTTCTAACAGCGACTACCATATAAGGGTACAAACAGGAGCGATGCGCCTTCTTGCCACTGCCTGTGATCCTCCCACGCACTTTCAAAAATGCGAACGAGAAGGAAGTTCATCGCTTTAAAGAGGACCTGTAAACTCGTCAAACCACCCCAGACAGTGGGAAATGGAGGCACACACATTGAACGCAGGATATCGCGCTAGGCTCTCATGCATACATACAATAAAGCACTATAAGGAGTTGCGGAAGAATGTACACAGATCTAAAACGGTACAGGAAAGGACTATACATTACACTATTTACTTGCTTACCCAGTCCGCGCCCGCGCGTAAGTCACGTTTCTTGGTCTCCAGCCGTGCTTGACGTTACCGAAACATTACTACTTCTTGCAAACTTATCCATGATCCAGACATCATCGAGCCTAGGCTTATTAGCATGAGCAACAGATACTGGCGAAAAAGTGACGTACGGCATAATAAGATTTGGGTTGATAAAGCGAGCACCGCTCTCACGCGCTTCGTCCACTGTCTGACGGTTCCGCATGCCAGATCTGTTATGGCCCTGAGGAGAGAATGCCTCGTCTTGAACGCCCCGACCCAGGTCTGAGTGCTCCGCACTACGTAGACTTCGTAGAGCTATGAATGTCATAAGAGGTTTGTATGTCCTGTTATACAAGTAACTGAACCACAAGGTTGCTAGAACTAGTGGGATTATGAGGACAGATCGTTTGAAGGCTTTCTTCAATGCAAGCTGCCCCGCCGTGGTGAGCTGAAAAAGTACCATGCCGACGGTAACACGATCGCACATCATGATCCAGCCTTTTCCGGTAGAGTGTTGGCGGTGATCCATTGCATAAAGCAGCTGGTACTTATGGACAAAGTGGCCAATGATGAAATAGGCGAGACCAGAGAGCAGGACCATCCATGAGGAGCGAAGAACGCTGTACACCATGCATATTATGAAAATAAGAATCGTCTGGGGCAGGAAGAAGCCGTAGCTGAAAGTGGGAGGTTGAACAAGCTCCGCGAAATCTAAGGACAGCGTTAGACCAAATCTATTTTATCAAACAAGGTGAGTACGTACCTCGTGGCGTTTTTGCTCCAATCCGGTTGATTGGGTACAATGTCAGAGCTCCAATCTCCAGCAAGCGCAGGGGAAAGAGTCCAAACCCTTGAAGAATGATGAAGTCGACGTAGAACAGGAGAAGTTTCTGCAGGGATACTGCCAGAGCGTTGGCAAGGTTGGTGGTATCCTTCAGATTCTCGCCAAATCGCTCGAACATATCAAGGACTCCAGAGGCAGTACCCAAAGCAGTAAAGACGACGAAGAAGTTGAAGAATGTAAAGAAAAAGTTCTTAGAGATAACCGAAAGCTCCACGTCTCCTTGCGAAATCATTCCTTGTAGATTGGCAAGCCCTTTGTGAAATGTTAGCAATGAGCTTATGGTGACATCCGTCCATACGTACAATCATAGAAAAAAGGTACAAGGACATTGAGCAATGTGAGCGCCAGGGTCGGTAACTGTGTATTGACAATGGATTGAAGGTTAGGATGACTGTCGAGTGCGTCCGCTAGCCCAGGCCACACCTCGTGGATGGAGCATGTATTGAGTAAGCCTGCAACTGGTACGAGGACGATGGTCCAGAGCACTGTAAGTACAGAAATGAAAATTGTAATGGACCAAGCTCTGAGCATTCTCTTGGAACGAGGAAGATAAGTATTATGCCAGACAACGTCTGACGGAGCCGGGCTGTTGTTCGCCAGCAACTGTAGCGGGGAAGGGTCAAGAACAGCTTGAATAGCCATTTGCTATGAATCGTCTGGTCAGTTATGATGAATTGTACATGCGATACATGCACTTACTGCGCTAGCTACGCTGTCCATGGTAACGAATGCCAGTGGCGTTGGGTCAAACTCCTTTTTGCGGAAAGCCTTAATCTCCTCATCGATCCTTCGAAGTTTCTCTTCGTAATAATCAATGGCGTCGACTGTCCTGTATCGAAGCCTGAAACGACCATGCCAGATCCTGGTAACCGGTCGCTGCCTTGCATACGGAGTGACATGGTGGGAATGACCGTTGAGAAGCTGAGCATCTTCGCTTTCGTTTTCCGTCTCCGTCTCTACACCTGGCGGTGTGGGCTGGACGATAGGTAGGGTCTCGAGGCTCCTCTCCACGCGCCGCTTTCCAAGATGCACTGTCCACGCTTCTTCCAACTTTCGCAATATGCCACTCCTCTGCGTTATACGGTCGTCTAACTCTTTCCAATTTTTGCACAGAGTGACGCTCTCTACTTTTCCGATCTGCAGATCTTCCACAAACTCCTTTATTTTGTCCTCGGACCTCAGCTCTGGTGGCACTCCTGAGAGGCGAATGGTACGGTCGGTGATAGTGGTCTGGCTTCCGAGGTATTCCTGCCGTATTTCTATGATCTTCCGTGTCTCCGATACCATCAAATACATAGCAAGGCCAGTAAATAAATACGAGAAGGCTAGGTACATCCAAAGGTAGTCTGTCGTGTACACGGTGGGTATGCTCAGGGTTTGCGCCCAGCTAGAGCGAGCCACAAGCTGCACAGGCTGGCTGGCATGACCCGCATAAAGGGACGTGGAGTTTGGTTCAGGGAGCTCTTGTTTAGACTTGTCGGGATATTGGTCGTGTACTGGCTTGATGACGACGAGCGCAAAGAAGAGGGTGACGCAGAGGAATTTGATAGCCATTTTGAAGAAGGCTAGGTACTGTATCGCGGTTCAGTAAGAGCATGTGAGCCTCATAACTCCACGACGTACCACATAGGCATCCAGACCCGCCGAAGCCAACACTTGTTCCTCTGTGATGCGCCATAACGGCAGGATCCAGCCAAAGAAGCTATCGGGGAGCTCGGGAAGTGTGGTAGTTCGGTCAACGTTCTTTTTGCGCGCGGCATAGAGGCCTTTCCAGCGCGGTCGCAGAAACTGTGCAGCCGTTAGCAGACTTCGGGCACCCAGGCGACAAGCGCATACACAAAAAGTCAGGAAAGCTGTGATGCCGAGTGCGACGGAGATGGAGATTTGGATGGTCGTGTCCCGCGGGTGCTCGGTGCCGAAGGGATCACTGAGATGGTTGCTGCAGGTACCGGTATCGTTCTTCATGGCGGAAGAGCGGCGGCAACATGGGCGGGCGATGGGCAACAAGAGGGAGAGTCGTGTGCTACGTCGGGCGCGGTGATGACGCCGAGGTCTAAGTTTGCCCACGCGCTGCACCCCCACGATTCAGAGAACATTTCTAGAACACTGCAGGGTCTCCAGCCTCATCTTCTCCACCAACCACACCTCACTACGAACACGACCATCCCACGCTCCCGATGGAGACGCGATGGACCCAATTCAAGCTGGAGTCCATCGAAGCCCGGCTTACAGAACTGCCGGACAGTCCTGGAACTATTCCTTGCGCGTCGCCGTCTGGCCTTCCTCCACTGCCTCCACTGCCGCGTGGGTTCTCACCATTTCCTGGCTTCTCCCCAGTCCCGCCAAGTCCCAAGAGCAGTCCCCGGCCTAAGAGGGCGGCAGATGAAGCGAAGCCTACCATCTTTGTCGAAGTTCGCCTTACGAACACTAGCGGGAGTTTTGTGCGAACGGATATGGTAGGTGATAAATGTCAAGCTCATGATATTGATTTGATCTAACTACTTCTACAGGTACGTGAGGAGGTCACAGAATGGCTCAAAAGCTCTTACCCAGACTCGCTCCGCGTTGGCCAAGAAATCGATGATCACAGTACGTTTTAATTGTCCACTTTTAGCCAGCGATGGGCAGATGGGTGAACTAACGGTTGTGGAGTGTTTCAACAACTCCCGCATTCGAGTACGATTGAGACCATCAGCGTGTTCGACTGCTCCCTTACTGAAGAGATTAAGGATGTTCGAGGATTCGACATTTCAGACGTAAAACTAGACGTGCAAGCATACTACTTCCAGGAAGGAGACCATGACTCTCCCTCCAAGCGACGGACTGCTGGAATCGACGCCGACGAGGACGACATGCCTCAGCTTCGAGTCACAATGTTACCAAGCAGGTCGCTGAACGGAGCCTGGGACTCGTAAGATCACTCTAGTTTCGCCTAGGATAGCAAGCTCACTGATGCCTATAGTTTGGTATTCGATGATCCAATACCGTCTCGACTACTAAAGTTCATGACACGCATGAGTAAGGAGAGACGCGGTGTTGCGTATTGCAAGGCTGATGACAGTGCTAACAATCTCAGTGACTCTCTTCAGGAACCCAGCCATCAACTCCTCCGTTATTAACTGGAACCGCTTGATGCTTCTTCATGGCCCACCAGGCACTGGAAAGTCGACGCTCGCCAAAGCACTGGCGCAAAAGCTTACCATTCGCCTTGGCAAACACTTCACTCAAGGCAAGCTTGTTGAGATTAACGCACAAGCTGTTCTTAGCAAATGGTTCGGTGAGAGTAGCAAGCTTGTCGGCAGAATGTTTGATGCCGTGCTAGCTCTCGCTGAAGAAGAAACAACGCTTGTCTGCTTGGTGATCGATGAAGTGGAGACGTTGACTAGTTCGAGAGAGAAAGCATCGAATAGCAATGAGTGTGGCGATGCCGTCAGAGTACGTACACTCTTGTACAGCTGCAGCAGAATTGCTTCGCTCAAGCTGTTACAGTCAGTTGAGTAAATCATTGACGAAAGATCAATCAATAGGCAACGAACCAGGTTCTCACGGCCCTCGATCAACTCCGTCACCGCCAGAATGTGATCGTCATCTGCACAAGTAATCTCATCGAAACTATCGTGAGTGTCAACCCCATGTTACTTGCTCCATTGCTCATCAGACTCCAGGATGTAGCATTCCTAGACCGGGTGGATATCAAGCAATTTGTTCCATGCCCGCGTGCAGAGGCCATTTTCGATATCTTTCGTTCATCTATCAACGAGCTAATCCGCTGCGAACTGCTAGTCCCGTCGCCAGACCCTAAAGACGTAGTCGTATGGCACCCGCGTGTGCCCATGAAGGTCCATTACGAGCACGCCTGGGAAACCGACGCCTGCTGGAGGAAAGAATTCGCAGAGGCAAAGTTCATCTTTCCTCTTCATGTTACGATAACGAACCTGAATCACCGCCCCAATTCTCCATCGCGGAGAGTTTTGCGAGCCGCAAAACGGTGCGTGGGTTTGAGCGGGCGAACTCTCCGTCGCCTACCGTTCCTAGCACTGGCCATGTACACCGACAGGGAGCCATGTAAAGTATATGAGGGACTCGCAGCGCTCAGTAGAGCTATCGATGTAGAGTTGAAGAAGAATGAGCCGATGCAAGAACGCATCAAGGACAGTTATGTGGACGAGAAAGACATGGAGGAGGAAGAGCTGGAAGAAGATGGGGAGAGACCGTACACGCCAACTGTACAACATCCTTACTACGACATGACGAATAGCTGATTCCCGCGCAAAGGACGGGCGAGAGGACTTGTGACGCTGCACAGCTAGGACGTTGATCGAGAATATCTAGTAGCGGCAGTCGATGTACGAAAAAGCTCCGTCTCCCGTACTATGCGAAACAGCAAACCGGTCTTCGAGAGTGGCATACGTGCGTACCCGATCAGGCATGCTCTAGAAGTGTTTTAGGTCGTAGTGGAAAGGCCAAGCAAGGGAAGGAAAGTTCGTCTTCACATGCTGTGACCAAACCAACCTACTTGGAACGCGCACATTCCCTTGATCCGTCTGCATACCTTGGAGTTTGGAATCCTGCGGTGAAGGAAGTGCGTCACATTTCGAAGCGCGAGCGACGGGACGAATGAGGATGAAGGCATCGGGAAGTAGACTGAAGGTATGGCCGAGGAGGTGGTTCGTGTGCGCCGGCGGCCGAAGACGATACTTCAGCAGCCGCTAAACTGCAGGGTTATGATTTGGTCATGTTTGCTTATGCGAAGGAATGTTTTGGTAGCCGACAGTGACGGTTATATAGTTCTGTCACTCTCTAAAGGGGCCCTATTTGACAGATCACTGGGAAATTCAGACTTCCGGAAGCCATTTCTAAGTGCCTCGGGTCAACGGCCGGTCTCGTGGTCAATCCTCCCACCTGCGACGATCGAAGCATATGGCGACTATCGACAGAGCGAATCCGGCCACTCAAACACAAAGGGGTGATTCGCCTCTCCATCAAAGAAGCATAGCCCATTAGCCCACTTCCTGTTCTTCAGCCTTGCTAGTCCGTTGGTTGTATTTATGCTGACTTCCACGGACACGTACTTCGCAAGGCTGCGGTACTGCGAGGCCTCTTGTTTCCGTTCCTTTGTACGAGACCATGACGTAAAGATATACGTCGGCCCTGAGTGCCGCAACTCATCGCGGTCTCTAGTGAAAATTGCCCGGTAAGGTACGCCTCGGCCTCCTTTAGGCAAGCCTCCGATAGGTCGGGCGAGCTGGAGGTATTTCTTAGAATCTATTGCATTGACTATGCAAGCTGCCATCATGTCCATACAATATTTCGAAGGCCAATCGTCGCTTCCAACTGGCGACTCGTTACCGTTCAGATAAGCTCGAAGGTTGTTTGCTAAGCGCTGATAACGTTTCTTGTTTCTCTGATTGAGCACTTCAAGGAGGTCAAACATACGATGCCGCTGGTAATCGTCAAGTCCGTTTCGGAATATATTATTTTGGTTCAGGTCCTTGTCCTGGAAGAGTAGACTTTGCCGTAGACGGTCTGGCCGGATCACGTCTGAGAGTTTCCACAGGATACCCTCGGTATGAATACCAGCGGCTGAAAGGCGACTGACAGGGACACGACAATGTTTGATGAATGTTAATGCTCCATATTGCAAGGGAGGGCCAATACTCATTGACTGGTCCTCCAGGAAGTCGAATATTCTCTTGCTAAGAGCTGTCTCCTCAGAGTCGGTCTTGATCATTTCGCCGTTAGACATACAGAGTGTGAGAATGCCGAGGCTTAGGCTCATAGCCTGGTCCTTCGCTATCTTTGGAACCAGAATTCGAGTGTTGTAACTGCAGACGTTGGCAGCAATTGCTAGAATGTCCGATGGTTCCGTTATCTCGCGGTAGTCAAGGTCCTTGAAAACGCTGACTGTTATCTTCCTTCGGGCATCACTCTCCACCCCGCCGTCTTCATACTTATGGAGAACATTGTATGCACCGGCTCGTCGGAGGATTCTCTCGCATCTCCTTCTTGCGGAGCAGTCGTGCTCCATGCTTTGGCAAAAGGCCAAGCAAAAGAGCGTAGCATACTTCTTGAACTTTTGTGACTTGATTACAAGCTCACCTGTGAGCTTGCCAAGTTCTCTTTGCGCGTATAATGATTTGACGAGCCCATCCGCATGGCGAATGAGAAGCCACATCTTCGTTCCAGAGAGGTAATCTTCTTGAAATACCCAAGCCCTGCTCCACCAGTGGTCTTCCGTGATTAGAACGAGAAGTTCTAAAACTTTATACGCTGTCCCAGCACTTATTCCTTCTTCCAAGGCCGGGAATCTCCGATCTGGCTTGTCCTGAACAATCCGGCCACCTAAAAGGTCGGATAGGCAGTCTAACTGGTCTTGGGTCTGGATCTGTACCCAGATGTAGCCAATCGCAAATTTACATCGCTTGTACACTAGGTCCATCGATTGCACTGCTATCTCTTTTTCGTCGGAGCCCTGATTGATTGATAATTTATCAATCCAGAAGGGAATCATCTCGCGCTTTCCCCGCTTATGCTGAATGAAACGGATGATCCGATCGAGGACTGTATTACGTACATCGACCGGGGCATTCGTCCGCGGTAGCCAGTATCCACCTGTATCTTCGGGTTCTCCTTTAGCTGCGTGCCATGGGTAAGATATAGCAACATAGTCTTTGGCTGACGAGCACTGTGCCAGCATGATCTTGGGAGGCCTTGAGTGATGTCCGTCCAAACGTCGTTGCTTGCCAGGGTCCGTTGGTAGAAAGCATTTCAAGTTTCTCAGAAACTCAACCGACTTGATGTTGAATTCTCCACGTTGTGCATATGTGTCTAGAACGCTCCAGCGCAGAGCCTCTCCGGTTCTAGCTCGCAGCGCTGCTAAAGAGCATGCCGTGTCGTCAATCACGTTGTTGGAGACCGTTGGCTTGCTCATTGTCAACGTACGAATATGCAGTGTCGAGTACCAGTTCTCAGCGCGATCAAGTGTCGTCGAGATCAATCGTTCAAGTGAGGCAGCTAGGCAGCTAGGCAGCTAGGCAGCAAGGCAACCATGAACAGAATTTCGTCGAGTCAGACTGCTTATTCAGTATTTAAACACTGAGTCGGCATAACTATGAAGAATCGGTAGTTACGAGCTTGAAGGTTGACAATATAGTATCTTTCCAATTGCCTAGGCTTCTTACCTGTTGAGCTCCGAAATCTCATGTCACGTGATGCATTCGAAGGGGTTGTATGCAAGGCGAACTATTCTTAGGCGAGGTATGAAGACCAGTGTTACTCTCCAGTAAAAGTGTATCGAAGAATCTTAAGTTGAACGTGAGGTTCCTATCTAAGTTACACTCGATCTATAATTGGCTTGAGACCAAACATATTGACACCTCGCCTCGTTGTCGAGCTATGACTGCCCTCACATCTCGGACCTTTGCGTACAGAGGTAATTACTCAATTCTCGTTAGAACCAACACACTCCACGCAGAGGGCAGTGATGCTCCTACAATCGATACCTACACGATCCGCCTGTTCGTCTGACATATACCGCGATAGAAGGATGTTGACAGTTTCATTGAGTTTTGTGATATAAAAAAGTCCAAGTGGGCTTCGATTAGCTCCCTCATGAAAGCCCTTCTTCTATGACACTCTTAACCCAGGCGCGATAAGCCTTCTCAAACCCCGAGAGAACGCCCGGCAGGAAACCGCAGATGCCATGTTGCGTGAAGGGTTTGATGAGAGACGTGCGCCCCAGCTGCAACCCTAGAAGACCCATCTGGTGACCTAGAGCAATCGGAGCCGACTTACGACGCTCGCAGGCTTTTACACTTCCACACTTCCTCAATAGCCAGCGCAGGCTTATATCTCCAGGTTATCTGTACTTTCCGCACCTCCTGGATGTTAGCAAAACTCTTAACCTCAATCTACATCGACATACTCAAACCTCCGGCCACCCCAAGGACACAGTAAAGTTGTATAATGCCTCACAGCCGAAACGGAAATTTTCTCAAAGTTGCTGGCAATATTAGTAGATACAATCAAACGTGACACTGGTCATACATAGGATCTGCACCAGGGCAGACTTTATAGCAAGATATCGGAACGTTGTGCATATCCGGTGCTAGAGTATAGTGCTTATTGATATCGAGGTAAGGAAACAGCTGCCCTTTGCATGGTCGATATTGGACGGGGCGAAGATGTAATCTTCGTCAAAGCTGAACTTCCGCTGAAAGAAACGCTCCATAAAAGCATTCACAAGTGTGAAGGGCCTTCTGCTAGGCTCTCCAGGAATATCTTGAACTTAAAGCTTAAAGCAAATACGTTGCGGTAGCGCCTTATCATAGCATTGGGAATCCATGGTTGTTAAAAGGAACGCATAGCGGCAAAGCCTTGTTGATTAGTTGGAATATTTTTTGCGGTGTTCTGCTTCTTGCGGTAGTCCTATCTACTGTGGTCTCTGGGGTATTGTGGGCGGATGGGCCGTACGTGAATGTAAGCTGTATCTCGAGAACACCACTCAGAGATTCTTATCGCGGGGTCAATAGGGGAGTGCGAAGACAGCTTTCTTGAATTCGGAGTTGAAGAAGGTGAATGCACTGTATTTGAAATCACGTCCCACCCACAACACTTACTCCGGGTATCTCTATAGGAGTCTGGGCGCTGAATTGGGTGATCTGATGAAGAATCAAATTGTACGAGTCTGTGAGATGTATGAGAGAATCGGAGGGAGTTAGGATCAATTGATTCTCGCTATTATTGAAGGTCTCAGCAATCATGATGGCCTTACCTGCCACCCTCGAGGTGAAATCTACTCGGGTGAAAACGGATGAAGCAGCGCTGAGACTACGAAGTATCTCTGCACAGCTGCCTCACACCGTAGAATTACCTAGGTAGCAATGACGACGATGCCTGATGTCTGATCTGAGTCTTTGATGATGCTGCCATCACTGTTGCTTCGAGGGTGTGAGGGTAGCATCCGTGATCATGTGTCGCTCTGCTCGACACTGAGTGAGTCATCAGCTTGATGTCAACACGGCCCTCAGCCCTTGTGCACTGCAGTCAGGCAGTCGGGACCAACCTCCGCTTCGTATTTCGTAACGGGGCCCGCGGGGTGCGAGAGCTAAAAGTAGGGGAGTCGGCCAACCGGACTTACGGACTGCCATAAGCACCGAGCAAAAAGAGGCTACGCGCTCCATAGACCCCCTTTCAGGCAGACATAGTGCTTGCCAAGGCCAACGGCACGGCCAATCGCCGCGTGGTCGTCGCGTTGCAACAGCCCATCCGGACGAAAGATGGACAGCAGGGGGTGCGGTCAGTGAATTGGTCGGCGAGCCGAGATTGAGCGGGCCGGACTTAGCCTGGAATCGCTCGAGTACCGAGCCGGCGAAAAGGCTGGCCCGTTAAGAATCGCCAAGCCGTACCCGATGCACGGGGAGGCCGCGCCACAGCCTGGCAATCATCAGGCCGACCGTGCGACTCGAGACGGGTGCACGCCGTGCGAGCGCGCGTGCTGTCCTGGCGACGCTGCCTGCCGAGCCTCGCGTGCGATTGCTGCAAGTCTGCGACGCGAGAAACTCTGTCCCGCGGAATAGCGCATTTGTTCGCGGGCCTTGCAGAGTGCGCAGGCGCTGTTTTCGTCCGTGAGAAGGTTCCCAGGTGCCAAGGTTGTGCTCCTTTTGTGCCGCCTCTCGAGTGCACAGGCCATCCGGTGACTCGGCGACTCGCCTACCGCCCCTCTTGGGCCTGCTCGCGATCTCTGGGCTCTTGACTCCAGTGCGACACCACATCCCTGCCACCTACACTCGTCCGTTCCTTTTGGCTGTCGCCATCCACCTGTCGCCATTGCCCTGCCTTCTGGCCCTCCTTTAACCTACCTTATAAGCACCCTGCAGCCCCCGACGTCGATTCCCTAGCCTTGTTCCACCTCTTTCCCCCGCCACTTTCCCTTCTTTCTTCAAACGCTCCGTTACCGCCATAATGGGACTCGACATCAAGGACCACGAGCGTCCAACAAGCTCGTCGCCAAGCATGGCCGCGGAGACAAACTCGTCCTTCACCAGAAGTGCCGATCCCTCCGTCTTCGAGAAGAAAGAGCCCATTGAGGCCACCCTGAACTCGTCGAGGCCTGCCTCGGTCGAGGAACAACAAGATCACATCGCCCACGACGAGCCCAAAGAGGCCAAAGAAAACCTGCAGAGAATCGACACGGCCGCCCAGGAGGAGGCCGACCATGAATACCCGAAAGCGTTCAAGCTCGCTATGATCACCGTTGCCCTATGTCTCTCCGTCTTCTGCATGGCGTTGGTGAGTCGTTGCCATCCTCACATGCCTTTCTCGAATGCTAACACAATCACAGGACAACACCATCATCGCCACCGCGATCCCTAGAATCACCGATCAGTTCAAGGCTCTCAACGACGTTGGGTGGTATGGCAGCGCCTACCTCCTCACCACCTGTGCATTCCAGCTTATATTCGGGAAACTTTACACCTTCTACTCCATCAAGTGGGTGTATCTTGCAGCTCTCTTCGTCTTCGAGCTTGGGTCGTTGATTTGTGGTGTCGCCCCGAACTCTACTGCTCTCATCGTTGGTCGGGCGGTTGCTGGACTCGGAGGCGCTGGTATTTTCTCCGGTGCAATCCTTATCGTTGCCAACACTGTCCCATTGATCAGGAGGCCGACCTACATGGGTCTCATCGGAGGCATGTACGGCATCGCCTCAGTCGCTGGCCCGCTCATGGGCGGAGCCTTCACTGATCATCTCTCCTGGCGCTGGTGCTTCTACATCAATCTTCCCTTTGGCGCTGTCACCGGTTTCTTCATCATCTTCTTCTTCCAAGCTCCCCGGAAAGGCAAGAAGAGTGAGTTGACCTTCGCCGAGCAGATCAAGAAGTTTGATCTTCCAGGAACCGCTCTCTTCCTCCCAGGCATCATCTGTCTGCTTCTTGCTCTCCAGTGGGGCGGATCCAAGTACGCGTGGGGCAATGGCCGCATCATTGCTCTCTTCGTCATCTTCGCTATCTTGATGGCCGGCTTCGTCTCTATTCAGATTTGGAAACAAGAGGAGGCTACCGTTCCCCCACGAGTCTTCAAGAACCGCAACGTCTGGGGCTCGGCCATTTTCGGAGCGTCCCTCGGCGCCTCTTTCTTCATCCTGGTCTACTATCTCCCCATCTGGTTCCAGGCTATCAAGGGAGTCTCCGCCACCAAATCCGGCATCATGAACTTGCCTACTATTCTCGGCCTGGTGATTATGTCCATGATATCCGGTGGACTCGTTACCGTTATTGGTTACTACACACCCTTTATGCTGGCCTCAACCGTTCTCATGACCATTGGTGCCGGCCTCCTGACCACCTTCGAGACCAATACCGGTCATGCCAAATGGATTGGCTTCCAATTCCTTTTTGGAGCGGGTGTCGGATTAGGCATGCAGCAAACCCTTATTGTAGTGTAAGTCCTCTTAGCTCGGATGTGGGAATAGCTGCTAACAGACTTTGCAGTCAAACGGTTCTCCCAGCCAAGGACATTCCAATAGGAACAGCCGTCATGATGTTCTCCCAGACCCTAGGTGGTGCTCTATTCATCAGCGTAGGACAGAATGTCTTCACCAACCAACTTATCAAGAACCTCGAATCCGCCGTCACCGGTTTCGACATTTCCATCGTTCTCAGGGCTGGCGCCACAGAGCTCAAGAACGCAGTCCCTGCCCAATTTCTCCCAGGCGTACTAAGCGCGTACAACGACACGTTAACGCAGACCTTCTACGTGTCTCTCGCGATGGCTTGTGTGTCGATCATAGGCGTAGCGCCCATCCAGTGGAAATCCATGAAGGGCAAGAAGATCGAGATGGCCATGGCATAGTCAAAACCACGCCCGACCTCTTTCAAGTCCATTTCCCGATACCCCGGCGACAATCGTTGCCAAAACCGGTCATATCTCGCATAGCATTGCGACGGCGTTGTTCGGATTCTTGTCGTTCCATTACAGCCTCTTGTTTGTACTCCGACATAGGATTGGGGCCACCGCCGGTATATTTTCTTTTAATAGATCTTTCCTCGTTTTCCTTTACACCTATCACTTAGACATAGACGGGCCTCATGTGGCCCCAAAGTTTTCCTAATGCTCGGATTCTGTCGATGAGGGTGGCAGATGTGTGGTTTGAATGGATTGGCAGGCAGTGCCCGTTGGTGGGGTGGTCTCATACTCCCGGTTGGCCGTGGCTACGGTATGCATACACACTCTTCTCTATATACCCCTCAGAAAGAGCGACGCGCAATGGTTCGCGAGATGGCGGAGCGAGCGCTGGAATGAAAGATGGAAGTGCGCTGATGAACTGTCTTGGTCTTGTCTTGCTTGTATAATGTGATGTGATATGAAGAGAAGAAAAGAAAAGAAAAGAGACGAGGTGAGGTTGATTTAGAGCTAGGTGACTTTGCAGGCCGTGGAGATGACATTAGCATCAGCAGTAGCAGAAAATAAAAATAAACGCAGGTTTCACAGGCACAAACAAAGTGATAGCATCAAACAGAAAACCAGGTAGTACGAATTCGGGCCACCGATAGTTAGAAAAGAAAGTGAGGTGTAGGGGGGAGGAACGGTTTTATATCTAGCTTTTGGTGGTTGTTTGGTGGAGCTCACCGAAGATCACCGAACCGCAAGCATCCGGAACTCCACTTTAAAGTTCGGCATTTTACTGTACAAAGGGTGCCGCCGAAGGCATATTCCGATGATCACTTGCAGGGGTGTGAACACCAAAATGCCGCACCTACGTTTAAACCACCACAACTCATTCAATAATATACAGAAATACACCAAACAAAGTGCCAAATTATCCTGTGAAGTTATTGTTTCCACCATTCAATCTGCACTTCTCTGCGATCGACAGAAAGGTGTCATGTGAGGCCCGATCAAGGATGTAATCACCCAAATCTTTATCCTCTCTCCACATCTGCAGCAACCACTCTTTTGCCTCCTTCTTAGCTGCCTTGGACGCACTGTGGCAATTATACTGGCTAACTTTGCTATTTAATTGTCTAAAGCAGCGCTTAATTAGGTGTAGATTAGGTAAAAAAGGTGGATGTTTAACAAAGTTAATACCCTTAAAAAGATAAGAAAGCTTCCTTTTTACAGAAAGATAAAGCTTAACGTTATCTTTAATTAGCCAAACTTTTTTATCTAGGTTTACCTTTTATACAGCAAAATAGTAAGGATAAAGCAAAGGCTTAAGAATACGGTTGGCGTACTAAACTGCATCTATTCCCTTGCCTCTTCCCCTTGTAAAAACCTTATATAAAAACTCTTAATCAGGCCTGCGGAGATAACGTCTCCCTTTCCTAATCCCCTGCTGCTTAAAACACTTATTATCCCCGTTAATCTTATTATTGACCTTCTGCATATGATTATATTCCCAGGTGCCAGGAATAGATGCATTCTTCTGCTTCTTTTCAGCCCTCTCTTTGGCCTCCTTGTTATCAAGGATTACCTCTCGCTGTAATTCAGCCTCCTGCTCATCAGAATCAGGCTCCCAGATAATGCAGGGCCTGGGAATAGATGGATCTAAGCATATTGCACCCTAAAAAGAGAAGGAGAAATGGGCTGGCCGGTCGGGTCTTATATACTCGTTGGCATTCTTCCCTATAGGCCTTAAGACTCTGGCCTTTCCTCCCCTATTATGGCCGGTCCAAATTGCTTAGGGCTCTTATTAGAACAGATGAATATAACCTTTCCTTAAGTGCGATTGATGGTGTCTTGAATCCAAGAGCAGTGCTTAAATCTTGTATCTTTTTGAGCGGCATCTAGAGCTGGCTTTTTAGGCCTAATTCCCCGTACAATTGGCACCGGGCAGAGGGGATCGCGATGCTCCCATGCAATATTCTCAATTGTTGATCTGGCAAGCGGTTTGAGGCCTGCTGCAGCGATGGCTGGGGCTGCAGCTTCTTCAAAGGGGTAGTCTTCAAAGAGAAGAATATCTTGTCGAATTTGGTGTGATAATGCGGTATCTTTTGGAACCTTTGGTTTCATTCCTGGACGAGCCGATCTGGGGCAGAGAGAAGCCAGCATATCGTGTAAATCCTCATTGCCGGCATCTTGTTTTGCCTTATTGTATAGCTTTGCAGCTGTCGATTCGGAAACACCAGTTTGGCGCTCAATTTCTTGATATTGAAGCTTAGAGAGGAGGCGCAGTGCAATAATGGCACCTTTCATAGCAATAGGAGTGTCATAGGCGCCGTACGAGCGCCCGCCGCGGTCGTGGTGAGCCATATTATGGGCTTGTTTACGCGTTTATCACGAATCAACACCAAAAATATGAGGCTGAGAGCCTCACCGCCTTCTATATGCAGGGGTTTGTATTGGCTGGCAGAATATATACGCTAGGCTACAAGCGATTGGTAGCGGAATATGCCTTCGGCGGCACCCTTTGTAACGGGGTGCCCCTTCCCCGGCAGAAGCCGAGCCGAGACATGGATATGCATTTTATGTAGCTCAGCCTAACAGCAGCCTTGTGGCTGGAGACGGATGTGTCGGGAGGGGATGAACTTTGCGGTGGGGATTGGACCGCTTGTGGAGGGCGGGGGGGACTATGTAGGTATGGGGTAATTCCAGGTAACTACCAGATCCTAGGTGTTTCCATTCTGGATTTAACTAGCATCCTGCAGGCGGATAGTACAGCAGAGCAGCTGGCATAGGTGCTAACCTTTTCTCCGGACCGTTGTCAGAGTGCCAAAAGCCTAACTAGTTAATCGCTTTTCCATACTCCGACCTCCCTCCTCTTCCCCCTCCATCTCCTTTTTCTCTCAACACCTCAACTGCACCAACGCCGCCGAGCTCCACGGCACCACCACCCTCACCCCCCAACCTCGCCCACCCACACCATCTCATCCTCCCCCCCAACAACCACCGGCCTCCCCCGATCCCGCTCATAGTCATAGTTCCGCCCATTAAACGTCACCCCCTCGACCGCATCGCTCCCACCCGCCAGCAACCGCTGCACCACGCCCACGCCCCGACACGCCTCCGGGAGCGCCAAGTCAAACGCGGTCCGCGGCCGCTCCTCTTTCTCCTCCTCCCCCGCCGTGCAGTTCCACCCATGCAAGTCCACCACCATCACCCGCGCCAGCCTCCCGCCGTCGTACACCGCATACGCCGCCGCCGTGACCGCGTCGTCGGCCAGCGGCACGCTCGCGACCCGCACCCTCGCCCCGGTAAGATCCCCCAGCGCGGCCGCGACGGCGATGTTCGCGTAGTACGGCGGCTTCGTGCCCATCGCCGTCGCGGGGGTGGTGACGGGCTGCCACGCGGCGTAGCGGTAGTCGGTCCCCAGGTGGAAGTGCACGCGGGCGATGCCTGTCGTGGCGGCGGCGAGGGCGAAGTCGACGCCCCACAGCGCGGCGCCGAAGGTGTTGGAGAGGCCGGCGCGGCCTTGGTTGTAGAGGGAGTTTGCTTCGCCGAGGATGTAGGGAAGGGGCATGGCGTGGGCGGTGAGGTTGCGGTGCTCGAGGGTGTGTTGGAGGAGGCTAGTAGTCGTGGCGGTGTGGTTTAGGAGCGTGTGTTGGAGGGTTACGCCGGGTTGGGTGGCGCCGGCGATGTAGCTGGTGGTGGGGGTTGTTGTTTAGGGGAGGGAGGGAGGGGAAGGGGGGGAGGCTTACTTGTGGGAGGAGAAGAGAGCGATGTTGGCGTTGGCGTTGAGGCCGTCGAGCCAGGTGGGTACGGCTTTGAGGCTGTTGCCTACGCCTCCGAATGAGGGGGCGATCCATTTGAACTGGCTAGAGGTGGCGAAGTCCGGGTCTGAATCCATCATGGCGGCGCGGATGTCTCCTACAACTGAGTTCCACTCCGAGACATAATCGGCCTCCGTCCAGTTCGAAGGTCGTACCGGGCCCTGAGCAGAAGTCTTGTACAGATCAGGCTCGTTGCCCAGTTCCCAGTAGAGCAGCTTCCCCTCACTCAATGCTTTGCAGGCTAGAGGGACACTGGCAATGAGGCTTTCACGTGCTGCGGTGCTGTTCTTTCCGAGGTTGAAGCCGTGGATGAATTTAGTGTCTGGCCATGTCAGGTAGGATTCAAAGAACAACGGTCCGATTGACAGGATTGTCGGATAATCTGGTTATTTCTCCGGAACGACAGTTCCCTTCGTAGCTACTTCAAGAGAAGCATCATAGATGGCGTAATCCCTATCAACGCAAATTAGCAGTCTTCTTTATGCACGGAAAGGAGACGACTCTATAAAGCTCAACTGCGCGTACGTACTGAGTATTCCCTCCAACCCGAATATACGGCTTCGTCCCAGAAGACTCCTTGATGTTGTCGAGCAGCGTGTTCGAGAACGTATTCGGATTAGACAGATTGCCCGCGAAATCCGGAAAGAAGGCAAGCTCAATCGAGAACGAAACAAACGATTCAGGCAGCACTCCACCCGCTTTCGCCGGCGTCGCATCAACGGCCACAGCATTGAAGTCGGTCGGCCTCCTAAGCGGCGTGCCAGCCGGCGCCGCAGCAAACGTCGGCGCCTGTCCAGCAACCGTGGCAATGAACACCACCGCGAAGGCAAGAAACCGTGATGGCGCCATGGTAGGAGGTGCCGAAATGCGGGGGATCGACAGCGTGCAGCGGGAAGGAGCTTTTTGGGCTCGGGGACTATACCACCTTTAAATCTCTCTTAGCCAGCTGCGGGGGGAAACCCAGGTGACGAGATCGAAGGGCGATCTCGTGCCGACGTCACCCGTTGTTTGAGGGAGATTTCTTCCTCCAATAGCCAGATCCCGGGGGATCGTCTGTTAGATCAGCTGCTGCCCGGTGCCTTGCATCACCATGTGCCTTTTGTGGTACAGAGCAACACAACCCACTAAGGTCGGCTCGGCCCCGCTGTTACTCTTGCATTGGGTGCGGATACTGCAGGTGCGGAACACGTCCTGGTCAAGAGCTAAGTATTCCCCTAGGGCTGAGGGCACCACTGTACGACTCCGGGGTTTCATACCTGCACGCGTTCTCGTTGTTTTGAGCCTGTCGAGAGGTAAGCTATGGAAGGGAAGAAACGGTAGCTTGAAAATGAATACGATTGACTCATCTCAAAAGCTCTTGTGCCTGATTACCTGAGTGCTACACTAGATATGTTTGGCACAGAGACTCATCCTTTGCGCCTCCACAATGCGTAGCAAAACATAAGACAGTTGAACACTCACGGAAGAACCTTCATAGATGGCTCAAAGTTTCGCCCATTGATGCACGGGAGAAAGGTCTTAGTTCTATGGAATTCGAGTCGTATGTTACATTTCCATGTACTGCTTACGCCATCGCTGTCGCTATGCGCTGTCTACCATCCGTCTCATTCGTAGTAATGTTACTTAATGAAACAGGGGTTTCTGATACAAAGGGGTATAGGGTGAGAATTCAAAACGCTTCAAAGCAATTTTGGAGGAAGAGAAGCTCGAAGGGTGTAGGAAGGTGGGTTGAAGAGTGCAGGGTTCGCACTCTAGCCAAGTTTCGAGAGTCGGCCTAGAGCTGAAAGAAGACCTGTGCGTTTTGTCAGTACGTCATATACAAGGTAGGCGAAATAGCGGCATTTAGGGGGATCTTACCAGTAGTGCCTTGCGTCAGAGTCGCTTTTGCCACTGTGTTTCTGTTTCCAACACTGACCGTGGTGACGTTCGGAATAGTCTTGCTATCATCGATTTCGTTGGCCCAGCGGAAGATGATTTCATCATCCCGGTCATTGCCTGCTACCATCAAGAAGTCGGGAAGACCACTCTGTCGCAAGTTGTTGAGAATATGAATAGCCGCAGTTCTCTTGTCCCAATCCATTGGCTCCACGCAGACAGTATCTTTCGTGGGGATAGCTCGCACGCGCTGGCTCTCGCAAGCATCGTTGATATGATTTGCACAATCGCCTGCCTGTCGATTGGCGGCATCGTATTCGTCGGCTTTCTCGTAGTGAAAGATCAGCGAGCATCGCCGTTCTTCGATCCAACTGCCTTCGACACGTTCTTCGTAATACTTGAGAATCCCCAGCACAGACTCTTTCCACTTTTTCGTTATTTCACTGTCGGAAAACTCGATCCATTCGTCCAGTCCTCCATATTCCCGGACGAAGCATCCATTCTCTGCAATGAGCCCCAGCCCAGGAACCCGATCGAAGATGAGCTGCAGCTCTTCGATAGTACGACTGCTCATGACGTATACTATGTTCTTTTCCTCCGAGATCAAATCATTGAGTGCCTCAATGACTCGCTGGGGGCTCGAGAGAACAATATTGGTGACCGAACCATACGATGCAAGCGTGCCCTCATAATCGAGGAGAAACAATCGCTTGTTAGACTTCTTGTATTTTTCGCCCAGATTGATGGCCGACAGGCGAGGAATGGACATTGTGTCATTTCGAAAGTGCTCGTCGTGAACCTTGGCAAGTTCTTTCCTCAAATTGGCGACCCAATAATCTCCCGTATGATGCATAACAATGTCGCGAATCTTATTGTATCGCCGGTCCTTCTCCGCAGGCTCCATTTCCAAGGCGATCTTGATGGCTTCGGCGCACTTCTGGTAGTCCCAAGGATTGATTGATAGTTCGTTGCCCTCGAAAACAGCGGCACTTCCAGTGAACTCACTAAGAATGATTGGACCGTGCTTCTTGTCGCTCTGTTTGCCATCCTGACAGAATACGTATTCGTGACAGGTGAGATTCATGCCTTCTCGAAGGCTCGTGACCATTAGAACATCGGCGACCGAAAGCAACGCAAGATACTGCGAGAACGGAATATCCTGCATCAAGAATACCAGTGGCTGGTGAGCTAACGTGGAATGGACAGACTCAATCCGGGTGACGATCTCGGACACAGTAGCAGCGAGCTCGGAGTTCTCGGTGGTCGATGTTGCAACTTGAATGAGTACCACCTGTTCTCATTAGTCATGTGTATCGAGGTTACAGCGTTGCTGCACGCACCTTATCTCTCCATTCGGGATATTTATTGAGGAACAATTCAAAAGCCAAGAGCTTCTGCCTTACTCCTCGGATGTTATCGAGCTTATCACGGGCAACAATCAGGAACTTGTCGTGATATCGCTCCTGCATGACCTTTATCCAGTCCAAAACCTCTTCATCTTCTCTTGCGAGACTCAATCCTTTCGGATCAATACCAATAGGGAAAGACGCAACATTGACAAAGTGGTGTTCCAGTTGAACGCCGTCTTCCGTAGCTTCGACTGTCAGAAGACGGGAACATGTTTGAAGGAAATGATGGGCGCTGTTTCAAGTTAGCCTGAATATTCGTCATACGGCTAGATGGGCCAAGCTTACTATTCTCGAGTCTGGAAAGCGACCAAGTTCGCACCTAACATTCCTTCAAGGAGCTCCTTGCGGGTAGCCAGACACCGGAAGACTTCTGAAGACGGGAACGCAGTATGCAGGAAAAAGCCAATCTGAGCGTCAGGGAGTTTCTTTCTGATCATTGCAGGAACGAGAAGGAGATGGTAGTCGTGAACCCAGATGATATCTCCCCGCTTATAGCTCTTTACCACTTTGTCCGCGAAAGCTTGGTTCAGATGCACATAGAAGATCCAGGAATGGTCCTCGTAAGCCTTGCTCTTCGGGTGGTCGGGAATTTGATAATTGAAGACTGGCCAGAGAATAGTTTTGCAATAGTGGGCATAGTGACCATCCAAATCGGTATCACTGACGAACACGGTCAATGAGTCGAGGTCCGATTCCAGCCTCTCATGTATTTCGTCTTTGATCTCATCGCCCAATGAGTCGGTGGGGAAGCCAATCAAGCCGACCCAATTGACGTCGCCAATGCTGCCGGCATCTATTGCTGCTCTGACAGCATTGGCGAGGCCTCCATTGCCTTGGACAGCAGGCTCTATTGTCCATTGAGAGTCCCATGAGCCCTTGTCCTTGCTGCCATCCCTAGATTTCGAGTTTGGCCTCGCGTTCGGGTTGGGAGACCGACGAGCAGGTCGAGTCTTTACCGCCTTGGTTCGATCATGCGCCTTCGCATATTCCAAGATGGTATCGGGTGGCGCGGGGACCGCTTGCGAGCGTGGCTGATTGAAGAACAAAGTTCCACCCCATTCTGGTATGTGTGAATCGCTTCGAACTAGGGAACGAGGATCGTGAGGCTTTGGGAAATGGGTAGCGGCGCTGGGCTGCAATTGGCTGAAGAACTCGGCATAGTCTGCAGCAGCAGGCGTTTTTGGAGGCGTGGGCACTGAGAACAGGCTGGCCTTCTTCTCGGGCAAATCGATCTTGGGTTCTTTGCGACTTGATGCAGTAAGAGGGCGCAGAGGACTTAGTTCGCGTTTCGGCGAGGGAATGTCGTGAAAGTCGACCGTGTAAGGCAGGAAGCTGCACAAATTGTTCATTAGCTTATTGCTGCATGTTGGCTGGGGTGGCATTGTTTGACGGAGTCAGGACAGTAGCAATTGGATGGACTCACAGCGAGACCACGAAGGTCGTCATGGTGCGGAGGGGCTGCGGGGCAGATGTGCCCAGAGAGAAGCTGAAGTCGAGGACACGTCTTGTAGAATTAAGAGAGACAAAGGCGGGAGTGCTGCTGAAGAAGCTGGTGGAATAGAAGTGCCGAGCAAGAGGAGCCGGGAAGCTGGGAGAGCGGATGGAGGGATATCACCTTACATCAAAATCCCGCGCTTGGCGGCTGGTGGAGGTCGACAGCAAACAATCAGCCTTGCGCGGCTATTCCCTGATTTCCGGGGCTTTGGAAGTGCTACCCGTTGGGCCGCGCCGCACCGCTCCTGTCCTGCAACTGTGCAACGTGCTATGATTCTGAGCGATGACGTCGGCCCCGCGGATCTCAGTTTCAGATGTCTCAAACGCCCGTATGCAGTACATCCTCAGCACTCCCACACAGCCCTTTGTACTTGCACAGTATCACGGCCCTTTGCAATTGACAGAACCCTACAGATTGTACGACCCTCAGCGAACTCTCTAGAACCGTCTGAATGCACCTTCCTCCCAAAACGGCATGGCATCCGATGCCGAGCGCGTCAGACTGACGACGGTGCTGGAAATTCCTGGAAGTACCTAGCAAACACTGTCTTGCCCCCTGTGATGTCCGATGCTGCCCGAGATGGAGGGATGTCTGTATATGCAGTACACGTGGGAGGACCCGAGACGCGGAGTAACTTCCCGAGGAGCCTTGAAACTACAAGGGGTGCGGCCGAGGGCATATTCCGGTTCCAATCGCTTGTAGCCTAGCGTATATATTCTGCCCACTAATCAATAACCCTACATTGTAAGGCGGTGAAGCCCTCTTTTGGTGTTTTGACGCGCCGTACGCGTAAACAACACCACAATATGGCCTCTCACCACCTAGGAGGACGCTCTAAACGGGCCTACGACACTCCAATCGCTATGAAAGGTGCTATTATCACAATGCGCCTTTTTTACAAGCTTCAATTCCAAGAAATTGAGTCCAAAACTGGGGTTTCCGAGTCCACAGCCGCAAAGATATACTCCCGGGCAAAGCAGGATGCTGGGAATGAGGATTTCCATGATATGCTGGCTTCTCTCTCTCCCAAATCAGACCGTCCAGGAATGAAACCAAAGATTGCGAACGGCAGCAAGCTTTCTATGGAGATTCGCAATGATATATTGCGATGGGAGGACTACAAGTTTCAGGACGCTGCTGCGCCGGCACTGCATGCAGCCGGCATGACCGCAGCCAGATCAACAATCGAGAGAGTTGCACACGAGCGTCAAGATCCCCTCTGCCCGGTGCCAATTGTACGGGGAATCAGGCCTAAAAAGCCCCCTCTCAATGCCCAGCAGAAAGACTTGAGATTTAAGCACTGCACCTGGCTACAAAACATCATCAAACGAACCAACTGCGACGTTATTTTTATCTGCTCAGACGAATCACCTAAGCAATTTGGCCCTGGCCAGTCCGGAGGAGGAAAGGCCAGAGTCTCAAGGCCTATGGGAGTCAATGCCAATGAATACGCTATGCATGATCCTCCAGTACAATTCTCCTTCTCTTTTTGGGGTGCCATGTGCTTAGATCCTTCTATTCCAAGGCCTTGCGTTGTATGGGAGCCTGAGTCTCAAAAGCAGAAGAATGAGCTTCAACGAAAGGTCATTATTGACAATGAAATTGCTAAGGAAAAAGCTGAGGAAAAGCAACGCCGGGCTTCTATCCAAGGGACAGTAGAATACAACCATATGAAGAAGGTTAATGACAAGATAAATGGCGACAACGAGCGCCTTAAGCAGCAAGGAATTCGAAAGGGACGGCGTCATCTACGGAGGCCTGAACAGGAGTTCAAATATGAGGTTTTCACCCGAGGAAAAGGCAAAGGAATGGACGCGGCTTGGTATGCAAACCACATACTTAAACCTCTTCTTTATCCATACTATAAAGCAGTAAAGGAGGCAAACCCCGGCAAGGAAGTCTATTTAATTGAGGACAACGTCTCCCTTCACGGTTCAGCTCGGAGGAAGCTCTCTCATTTGGCTGAAGAACTGGGTATTCTCTTTGTGGATCATCCTCCCAATTCACCTGATTTACACCCAATTGAGCGGTGTTTTGGGAGATTGAACCATGAGGTGAATATATACGATTGCTACAGCGCTTCTAAGGAGGCTAAGAGGCAGGCAAAGGAGTGGTTGTTGGAAATGTGGAGAGAGGACAAAGATTTGGGTGACTACATCCTTGGTCGAGCCTCAAATGACACCTTTCTATCGGTCGCAAAGAAGTGCAAATTGAAGGGTGGAAACAACAACTTCACAGGATAATTTGGCACTTTGTTGAGTTGTGGTGGTGCGAACGTGGATGCGGCATTTTGGTGTTCTGCCCCCTGCAAGTGATCATCGGAATATGCCTTCGGCCGCACCCCTTGTAACAATTAATCTAGAATCATTGCCCGCTGACCGACTCCACGGGGTCGGGTTGGTCCTGCTGAGTCTTACAAGGGTGTCACAAGAAGAATGTGAATTGACTTTCCTTACGAAACAGAGTCTTGTGGTACGAATGAGCACATCACTTTTAATATAACACCTTTGTATCTGCACGGGAAGCATGTGCTGCAGAAAGTTTCATACCACAACAATTGCGTGTGACAAGACGTGAAACGAGATATCTCAGTGTATTCGCATGCGTCACTTAACCGTACCCACCAGCGGCCTCTCAACCGCCCCCTCCTCCAAAAGCGCCCTCTCCTCCTCCAAAAGCGCCCTCTCCTCCTCCCCACCCCCCTCCCCATCCATCCCAAGCGCAACCCTCATCCTCCTCGCCGCCTCCTGCGTATCCCTGATCAAGCACCACACAAACCCCACAACCTTCCCACACCTCCTCCACACTCCCCTCCACCCCGTCCCCAACACCAGCAACCCCACCGCATACACCCCCAAGACCACCATCGTGAACGGCGCAAACGACACACCCATCACGATATGTAGCCCCAAATAAGGATGCCACCGCCAATCATCATAATACACGCCGCGCCTGTCCACCACGACGTTCACAACCGTCTTCAGCCACGCCACACCAGCAACGAAGAGCGGCATCCCAAGGTAGAAGCCCGTCGCGCCCCACGGCTCCCCCGCGCCAGGCACGAGCGTGAACCACTAGTGCTCGCGCGCCGCGGGGGACCGACAAGCGTCGAGCTCCAGCAGGCCGAGGATCTGGTTGGCGTAGGTGAGCACGGCGGGGAGGAGGGCGACGGAAGTAGCGATGGCGGCGATGGTTTTCGCGGTGCTGGAGGGGACGGGCGGTTGGCGTTCTTCTTTGCAGGGCGAGTCGTCGGCCACGAGTGCGAGATAGGCGGCGTCGGAGGCGGAGCTGATGGCGGCGAGGGCGAAGCAGAGGGCGGTGAGCCAGGGGATGGCGAAGCCCCAGATGGCGCTTCCGGGGTTGGTGTGCGGGATGCTGTACAGGTTGCGGCAGTAGGTGGAGTTGGGTGGCATGGTGCTGCGTTTTCTTTGTTGGCCTGTGGTGTTGTGAAGGTGGTCAGGCTGGATGGAAGTTAGGAGATGAGGGGTGACTTTCGTTTGAAAGTAGGCTGGTGGTTGTTGAATACGAAATGTAGAACGCCATGTGCTTGGCAAGATTGGGTTTGGATGCGCCTCATAATGTGAGAGCCGGAATCAATGAAATGCGATTGACATGTAGAATGTCAGTTTTTGACCGTGACCATTGAAGAACGCTTCGGTATTAAAGAGGAGATAGATTTTGGACGGTGATGGTTTTGCGTTAGGGTCATGTGATGGAGCCCATGCAGCCTCATAATTACTCGCATAAACCGCGAGTGTCTACTCGTATCTCGCACTATTTCAAAGTGAGGTTTCGTACGAACGTGTATCTTGAGGATGATTCGGTATTATTAAGTTCCTTTAACCCACGTATCTACATGCCCTGCGCAAGGCATCGTCCAACCATGCCAACGCCCCTATTGAGCCAACCATTAAATATTACTACGCGTCTCTGCGCTCCCATTCGATGATCGCGGGCGAAAGTGGCCGCGAGAACAGCGACTAGTCTAGTTAGTACCATATATTCAAAGCGCACATCGTTTCCAGAGACTTACTGTATAATCCGTCCCAATCACTTCCTTCGACCCGTCAAGGTTCCTGACCTTGAATTCTCGGACAATCGTGGCCAGAATAGTCTGGAGCTGCACATAGGCAAACTGCTCCCCAATGCATCGGTGGCGACCAGCACCAAACGGTAGATAGGGGCTAGTGGTACCCTTAGAGACCACGCCCCAGCCGTAATCAATCTTCTCGTCGTCATCATCATCTTCGTAATTCTTCAACGTGTCCCAACGATGCGGTTCCCAGCTCGACGGGTTCGGGAAGTGCTCGGCCGATGTAGACGTAACCCCCGGTGAAGATAGCAGAACATGCGAGGTCGGAATTATGTACGGGGTGCCTTCGACAGGCATGGGCGATTTCACCTTGCGCAGAATGGAGTGGATTGGAGCGTGAATGCGAAGAGTTTCCTTGACGACTTGGGCGTGGAGCGGCAGACGAGCTAGGTTGTCGTGAGTCAGAGGCGGGAGATCCGCTCCAAGAACCTCCTTTTGCTCCTGTAAGAGTTCCTCGGTGATATCAGGGCGGCTGGCTAGGCGGAGAAGAATCCAGGCGGCGGTTGAAGACGAGGAATGTTGTCCAGCCATAAGCAAAGCAATCATAATGCCTGCAATTTCGTGATCAGGAACAGGAGTGCCATCTTTGTATTTGCAGTCCATGAGATGCCAGATCATATCCTCGGAATCCCTCTTGGCCTCACCAGACCTCCTAGCGCGTATAATTTCAGAGTATGTAGCGATCATCTTAGTCCGCGCAATGTCTCGTTTGCGATTATGAGGGAGCGGGGCCCATGGCAACATGAAATTGATCGGGGTGAAGCCCAGGTCAAGGTCGTGGTAGACGTCGGCGAATCTGGAGTCAAATTTGTTGCGCACTTCTTCGCCCTGGAGCGACCGGGAGGCGGTGAAGATGGTGAGCTCAGCCATGGCAATTGGAGCGTTTGCAGTGCCTTTCTTGCCTTTAAAGGCGGGATTGCGCTTGATGAAGTCCATAACCTCGCGCGAGATAAGTGGGACGTAGGAGCGGAGCGCTTCCTGTGTGAGGCCGAACTTGACAAACTGGATCTGATGTTAGCGCAAGATGGGCGACATCGCGAGAGCGGCCTGCCTTCTTTTGCTCCATGAGCTTCGAGTTGGGACAGTCATAGACCACGTCGTTGCCAAAAACAGGGGTTGTCAGAGGGCTGTAGATTTCCTCGGCATTCACGTCCTTTATCTTGCCGTTCAGAATGAAATTGTTGCCCTTGGTGCCGAGACAGACGGTGGTCTTCTTGCCGAGAAGGATGAAGGTGAAGACATCGCCATACTATGCTAGAGTCAGTATGCGAAAAGACCCAAGGGGCAGGAGCGTGCCGACCTTCGCGCGGTTCGCAAAGAAGAACTTGTAGGGGTCGATGCCGTAGGAAATCGTGCTGCCGATGATAGGCACCCAGTGGAAGACTACGGGGGGCTCATTGGGGTTGCGCAGCAGCAATTGCTTGAGGACGTTGAGGACGATGGCCAGTGTCAGGAAGGAGGCAAAGGCGGCAGCGACCCGGACGAAGAGCGACGAGTTGGCCGCAAAATCGCCCAGAGGGCCCGCGACATCAGCTAGGAGGCCCATAGCGGAGGCGACAGAGAGCAGGAGCAAGAGGGTGCGGCGTGAAGGGTGCGCAGGAAGGGTGAGGTTTTTGTAGAGAGCTCGGTGAACAACAATTTAGCCATGGCCCCTGCAGGCAGCGGCACGATCAAAGTTGGGACGCACGCACGGACGGTTGCCCCTGGCCGACTCGTCAGCGTTGAGATCTCTCGGACAGCCGACTCCCGGCTGCCAATACTCACGCCATGCACCACCACCGCGGACTTCACTGCACGCACACCGCTGGACTACGCTGATAAGTCGCTACATTTGCACTGCCACTACTCCTATAGGGACAGCCCGCAATTTCCCGACTAGTAGCTCCCCCTGACGCCCCGCCAAAAGATTCCCATGCCGTCGCCAGTCGCCAGTCACAAGTCGCTCTTTACGAAAGCCCTCGCGCCTCGTGTCCCTTGCCCAGCTTGCCAGCTTGGCCTTTTGGCCAGATACATAAAGAGACCCACTATAGTCCTGTTCGCCAGTCACAAGCCGTTCTCTACGAGAGAGGTCACTTCTTGCGTCCCTTGCCCGGCTTGCCGGCCTTGACGGTCTGGTCGGGAACATAGTTGGACCTGCTGTCGTCCCCAAACAACTGCTGATCACCCTTCCCGCCCATCTGCACGAACTCGTCCGGGTCGCGATTGGCTGCGGGCGTGTTTTCCTGGACTGCCTCAGCCTTCGTCCCATTCGTCTTCCTCGATGGCGACTTTGCAGCGTTCTTCTCATATACTCTGATAGGTTCCTGTCCCTCTGGCGTCTCAATCACCCTAGTGACCCTGATGTCGTTGATTTTGCTCAAGAGAGTACGCTCTCGCTGCGGCTTGCGCTTGGAAAAGTCCAGCTGCGCAATCGCCCCGGTGAGTCCATCCGTGCTGTCGTTGGGATTGATCTCCCGTAGTGTAGTCCATGGGTGCTCGAGACACTCATCAATCGTGATTCGCTTGTCAACGTCTACGGTGAGCATTCGATCAATCAGATCGAGAGCTGGGTCGCCCACTGAGTCCCAGTATGGCGACGGGTAGTCGAATCGGCCCATTTTGATCTGCTGCGAGAGCGTATATGGGTTCTCGGCGCTGTAGAGCTCATCTGAGAACGGCGGGAAACCACAGAGGCATATGTACAGAACAACGCCTAGCGACCACACGTCGACCGCGCGGGTGTAGCGCCGGTGGCTTGAATTCTCGAGGATTTCAGGTGCGACATCTATTACAAATTAGTTAGTTGTAAAGCAGGTTCTTTCATTGAAGATTTGCTTACAGCTAGGAGTTCCGCATCTAGATTGATATTAGCAAGGGTTTGAAGAGTAGTCGCAGTTTAATTGGCGAGAAGACTTACAGTGTAGTAGTGAAGGATTCCTCGCCAATGATCTTCGCCAGGCCAAAATCCGCAAGCTTCACATGCAAATCTCTATCAGCCAAGAGAATATTCTCTGGCTTAATGTCACGATGAACAATGTTGCGCTCGTGCTGATTGTGTTAGCTATAGGTGTCAGAGTGCCTGAATATTTGCTTACCAAGTATTTCACACCCTGAAACAGTTGGATGAACACCTTCCGAGCTTCCGCCTCCGTCAGCTTCTGCTTCATGATGATCCAGTTGAAGAGCTCGCCCTCGGCTGCAAGTTCTAGTACAAGATATACGCCGTCTTCTTCGTCAAAAGTGTCCTTGAGGCAGAGCAGGGTTGGGTGGCTGACACCCATAAGAACGCCAATCTCCTGTTGGAGTCCGTCGATCCTGGATTTCTCGCCTGGCCCAGTACGCTTCTCGAACTTCTTCACAGCATAGCGCATGCCTGAGTTCTTTTCGACACATAAGTAGACCGTAGCGAAGTGGCCCTTGCCGAGCTGTTGTTGAATCGTGTACTGCTGTCTGAATCGATTTGCATTGCGATTGTGTGGGTATCGGAAAACAAAACGGGCTTCGTCGAGAATAGTGACTTCATCGCCTTCGTAGAGTTCGCGCCGCTTGTTCCTGCCAACCAATGCTTCGTTGACGTAAGTTCCGTTGCCCGAGAGGTCCTCCAAGACAGCAACTGCATCGCCGCCTTTGGCCTCCGAGAAGATAAGACAATGGCGGTTCGACACCACGGGACTGTTTAGCACGCGGTCTAGAGGGTAAATTAGTATCGTCCAAAAGTAATTGTGGAAGTACGGGGAAGCTGTTCACATACCACATTCTGGGTGACGTCCAATAAGATATCCCTCCGAAGACACTTCCTTGGCCTTCTCGGTCTCGAAATCCTCTTCTTGTTTCTCCCAAGTCTGCCTACCAACCCTCTGCCTACCGGTCTTACGTCCAGTCTTGGCACTCGGCTTGGGGCAAGCACTCCTCCGCCTCAGGATGAGTGTGCCTCCCGACTTGCTGTCCAAAGGCACCAAGTACCCCCACACTCCTTCGGCTTCTTCATCCTCTACCTCGTATGCCAGTGTATTCGGGGGGCGGAGGAGCTGAGAGAATGGCTGGGTATCGGAAGGGGGAGATGAAAGGCCGGCTGCCTGAGGACTACGGGTGGTAATGCGATTGCCGAATTGGCTAGGACGCTGGCTTGGGGGTGTGGCAGTGCCATCTTTGAAGTCCTCGGTGGCAGTAGATTCCTGGTGCGTGAAGGGAGAAGGCAACTGCTGGGCCTGCAGATTTGTGTCGAAGTCATGCGATTGAGACGAGATTCGCTGCGATCGGCGGGGCTTTTTGTTGTCGATAGCGACTTCGCCGGAGTTCTATCAAATTGGCATCATATTAGTAGTTAAAAGCAGAAAGTGCAGGGGCTCAACAAACTTACCAAGCCGCGCTTCATGGTGCTGCCGTTTCTGGTCGCCATGGAGAGTCGGTGCTGCCTTCTTTCCTATTCACAGCGTGGAGTCGGCACAGCCATGAAGGTGACGAAGGAGGAAAGGTCGAGGGGCAGGATGTGATGTTGGTTGAAGCTCTGCGGTTCTGCCTTCGAGTCCGCTGAGCAATGGCCGGCAGGGTGCCTGAAGTGCCAAGGCATGTCGGCACTCGTTCGGGCGAGTTCGCCGCGGGCTTGGTCCGAAGACTCACACCTCCAGGTAGCAGCCTCGAGTATTAAGCCAACGTCTGCATTAGGCCGTCCTCTAACCCTCCGTTTCACTCGACAATCACGCATGCCTTCCAAAGTCACGCCAAGATCCGCGGAGGTGCAGTAGATGCTCCGCCGCGTAGACGTCAGGTCTCGTTTTCCTCTACTTCTTGAATCTAGTTTAGTAAATGCCATAAGGGCAGACGGAGTTAGAGCCATCATCGCCATGGACCAAGGCTCGGAACTCAGGGACTTGAGGTTACGGCGGCTGCAATTCCTTCGACATCTCTCCATTAAAGAGGCTGGCATTAGACCTCATATTGAAGTGATCCTACAAGCCCAACCCAAACCAGCGGCAGCTCCCTTGGCATTCGTTCAACACTGGGGGGTACACGCATGGTACAGTGTCTTGTCATAGATATCTGTATATATTGTTGCACTGCTTGTGGTGCCATAGGGTATTATCAGAGTTCCCTACAATATCAGATGGAAGTTTAGCATCTTGAATAACATGTAAACTCTTGAGGCCACCCCAGACAGCGGCAGATAGAAGTACGTAGATAGGGAGTGTGATTCGTCGCCCCTGATTTCTATTTGTACGTTGAAGCTCTGCCAGCAGTGGGGAAAGTGTACCAAAATCTATAAAGCACTGTACGTGCCCTGGAATTTATAGAAATAAATAGATGGGGCCAAGTGGTGTGGTTGATTCCTCTGTGGCCGTCATCATAGTTCTGGGATCTTCTTGCTCAGCCAAGCTTCCAGATCTGGACTACGATCGACAGGCCATCGCCTATTCGTTTCCACGATCACCTTCACCCGGGACGCGTCAAAAGCAAGAGGCAGGGACACAGTGGGTTTTGTTCTGGTAGGGTTGCTTGCGAAGCTGACACAAAGTAACTCAAGGCTTCCGAAGTCCATGTCACAGACCGATGCGAGTTCCAAAAGGTGAGGCATGAGATTTTCCTCAGCCCATCCAATACTAAGCCCTTTCAATGAGGAAGGTAGAATGTCTCTCAGCTTGTATTGTGGGACTTGCAGAAATCGCCCTAGAAGTAGAACCTGTTCAGCCTCGAGGAAAACGAGGTTCTTGAAATGACTCAACGACTCAAGGCGAGTATGCTCGAGTTCCAGAGGACCCCTTGACATATCTAGGCACAGTCGGAGGCCTTTCAACGAATCGCTCTGAGTGTTAATGATGTTCTTGAGTTGGGTGGCATTGATCTGTCTAGCACGAAGAAACGGATTCGTAACTTTGAGAGTGAGGTATTCCAAGCCGGTACATTTAGAAACAAAGAGTGAGAGTGTTCGAAAGTTGGCGTCCGAGTGCTCAAAGGTCGCAACCTTCACCGGAAGAGGTGTCAGTTCGACGGAGGTGATGTTTTGGTTTGAAATGTCTCTACCGGTGCGACCACCGTCCGATAAGAACACCTTTTGAAGTGACGGCGCTCCCATCAAGTGTCCAATACGTGAGAGCGACGCACTGTATCCGATATTATCCGCCGTGCAAGATATGTTGCGCAAATGACGGAAACCATGAGCTACTTGTCTCAGCTGGGACCATGAGAGAGTTTCCTGTCGTGGAATTCCCGTGAACGATAGGCTCTTGATTCCTGGCAGTATGGCTAATAACAGTATGATCTGGGGTTCCTCGTTTCCTACTTGTAGCTGTTGGATCCATTCTGCGTCGTCGTGGCCACTCGTCGTATCCCCATAAGCTTGAGAAGGTTCAGAGAAGTCCTCCCAGTCGCCATCGACTGGATCTATCAGATCGGTAATGCCAGCATCCGTGATCAGTTGGTCGGATTCTTTGGTGGGATCGAGAATTCCTGCTTTCCGGGCGGCCTCTACAAATGCGCTCAAATCTTCGTCTGAGATGGCTCGCGGGCGTCTCGTTTGGCCGTCGTAATTCCACTTGTGAAGGGTCACGTGCTTCACAAAATGAGCTCGATCGGGGCGCTCGATGATTCGCCGAATGAAAGGTGTGAGAGAATACGCTGTCTCCTTTTCCCAGCCCCCCTCGTGCACATAATCGTGGTAGAACAACGGCTCCGCGCAGTCTCGAAATAGCTTGCACACGAGCGCAGTATTGAGCTTATCTGATTTAGATGTGAGAAATGAGAATATGAGATCGAGGATTTCCGTGGCGAGATCTGAGATTCCGGTCATTGCTGATGTGTGTGGAGGTGAGAAAGGTTGCCTCGGAACGTGCTATGGGGGTTGTTCGTCTCAGCTACCTGGCACGTGCCTGATATGGTCCAATCATCTACCTTCCATTCACTGACCCAGTACTCTCTACTGAATACCTCTAGATTTCTAGGCACTTGCATCTGTATTAGTTGCCTGTGAAGCTCCGTCGAGGGCAACAATCACAGCCTTGCAACTCATCGATCCGCTCCCTCTTACATGACCTTCTTAAGATCGTTTCTAGCGTCCTTCACTTAGGGCATCCCTAATGAAGACCCTGGTTTCGTTTCCATCGATAACTGTCTCGGAGTTTGAAGAAGCTTGCCAAGCCATCAATACTAGATTCGATCTTTGTGGTCATCTACAGAACGACTGGAGTCGTGTAGATTTGGTCAAGCAAGACGTGGTCCATCTGCGCATCACAAGAATCCTCCATCAGACCACCAAGCGGGCGCATTCAAATATTGATGAAGCAGAGGATGAAGTACACGAAGAAGATGAGGTATACTCAAACCCAAGCTTTCTATGTTGACAATGGGGCTAAGAGAGGCTAGGAGGCACTTCAATCACGCAGTCCTAGTGAAAGCGGAATACGTATAGAATATCAGGTATTCTTGTCCCCAATATATCGGGTGCCGGTACTTTATCTCAACCTCGAGGACCGAAGAGGCGTGGTACCGCCAACCATTGAGTCACTATACGAGCAAGTCATTCCCGAGCATTTCAAGGCCCAAGTGAGGGATCTGGGGGTCATAGGTGGCATCACGATGGCCGTACGTAGCTGTAGCGCTGTTTTTTTACTATTCTGACACGCAGTATAGGACCACCCAATTACTAACAGGCCGGTGTTCTTTGTCCACCCGTGCAACACAGCAGACGCGCTCAGAGCAAGCTTGGAGGAGACTAAGATTACAGCAGACCAATACATCTTGCTTTGGATAGGCATAGTTGGAGGATGCGTAGGGCTACAAGTGCCAACTGCTATTGCAATTGCACGAACCAATGGTACGCACGGGAAGAGTAACGCTTCATGAGAGCATTCCGGCCTCATCAAACAACACGCTCTGTCCTTCCAAGCGGAGATTTTACCATACAATCCAACGTCACGAACAGTCTACACTATCTTCAATAACTTTGTCTAGAGGATCTGAAGGACAGCCAGGGAAGAAGGCAGGAGCATGCCGAAGTGCATCTGACTGGTATTAGAATTGGACAAATAGTTAATCTATGCTTTTGAATGCAAGATACCTTTATGAAGCTCTTCCAAGCCTCGCCTCTAACGGTGGGGTATTTTTGACCATGAACGCGCCTCTGTACTAGGGTCGCTCAATCCGAGTCCGACTCTTCCATTGCTGCGTCGTCGTCATCCTCCTCCATTGGCGCATCCTCGTTGTCACTCTCATTGTCTCGTGTCCTCTTAGTACCCTGGTTGCTCTGAGTCTCCTCGGCTCCGGGAGGGAGGCCACCAAAGGCCATCTGCTGGAGCGGCGTTTGTTCAGTCTCCTTCTCCATGACCGGAATTTTAAAAGTCCCGTCTAGTTTCGCGATGCTGTCCGACTTGCCCTTCCCGTATGCGATTTTCTATTTGGATGAGCATTCGCCTCTACGTCTAGACAAGAGAAGGACGCACCATGTTTTTGCCAAAGAACTCAAATCCTTGTAGTGCGCGCATAGCTTGTGAGGCAGCCTGGATATCCCGAAACACAATATGAGCTTGCCCGCGCATTTTGGACGTCTTGAGGGCCACGATGTCGAGTACGGGGCCATAGGTAACGAAGAGGAGGTATAGTGAACGCTTGAGATCAGCCTTCTGGAGCTTGTCGGGGAGGTTGCTGCAGTAGAGCCTCGACGAAGCGTCAGTAAATGAGGAATAATAGGAGGGAGCACTACTCACGTCTGGTTGGGCATCTCTTTTTGCGCCCCTCGCGACTGTATAGCCATGGAAGTCGTAGCCATAATTGCAACTTTGCGAGGTTGGAAGAAGCTGGAAGTGGAAGTTATTCACGCGAAGTGGAAGTTGACGTCTCCACCAAAAGTCTGTGCGCCGACATCACTTCCGCCCGCCCCACCATCTGACTTCCAGGCACCGCATCACTGCCACTACCATTATATTTGCAGGCAATAGTAGAGAGATCCTCCTATTGCACACTTTCCCGATCTACTATGGCTCCTCCAGAGGTTCACCACCTGTTCCACCACCCCATTGCGGACCACTCCTTCTCCGCAGATCGCGGGACGCTGGCCGTTGCCCGCGAGAACAACGTCGAGCTCTATGGCAAGACAGGCGGCAAGTTCCAGTTGAAAGACGAGCTACGAGGCCATGACAAGACCGTGACCGGAGTGGATATCGCTCCCAACAGCGGAAAGATTGTCACTTGCTCGCAAGGTACTTAAGATGTACTATGATTGTTGGTGCAGGCGCTGACATCTCCCTCTAGATCGTAATGCCTACGTTTGGGAGCCATCTCCCCAGGGCTGGAAGCCTACTCTTGTTCTCCTCCGTATCAATCGCGCCGCTACCTGTGTTCGCTGGGCACCCTCCGAGACCAAGTTCGCCGTAGGCTCCGGAGCTCGTCTGATACCTGTCTGCTACTTCGAAGAGGAGGATAACTGGTGGGTGTCTAAGCATCTCAAGAAGCCTATTCGGAGCACCATCACTACGGTGGCGTGGCACCCCAACTCGGTGCTTCTGGCTGCGGGATCAACGGACGGACATGCTCGAGTCTTCTCAAGTTTCATCAAAGGTGTGGACGCGCGGCCGGAACCGTCGCCATGGGGAGAGCGATTACCGTTTAATACCGTTTGTGGCGAGTACCTGAACAACACAGCTGGTTGGGTACACAGTGTTGCGTTTTCTCCTAGCGGAGACGCTTTGGCATTCGCAGCACATGACAGCACCGTCACTGTCGTTTACCCTAGCGCAGCGGACCAGCCTCCAAAGGCCGTCTTGAGCATCAGCACTCAAGTCTTGCCTTTCATGAGCTTGATCTGGAGCAGTGAAAGCGAGATTATTGCTGCAGGTTATGTGAGTTGACCATCAAGCAAAGCTTTCTTCATGACTAATACCGGCTTCTACAGGACTGCGAAGCCTACCGACTCCAGGGCAGTGAGCAAGGCTGGCAGCTAGCTGGATCTTTGGAAGCAGCAAAAGGGCGCCCGGGACTCCAGGATCAGCGGGAGGAATCTGCCTTGAACATGTTCCGGCAGATGGACCTGAAGGGCAAGTCTTCGGACGACACCAAGCTTAAGACAGTTCATCAGAACACTATCAGCACAATTCGCAGCTATGAGGAGAGCGGAGGAGTCGTCAAGAAGCTCAGCAGTAAGTCTACCAAACATATATACTTTTTCGTGTTGCTAATTATTTGATAGCCACTGGTGTTGACGGGAGAGCTGTTATCTGGACTCTATAGATAGGGTTTTGAGAGCCTAAGGTGGCTTAGTGACTTGATCCTCATTCGAGTCATGAAAATGGACCGGGAACCTTTACACAGCCACACAGAGAGGTGTACATAGATCTTGGACAAGGCATTTTAGGTAGAAATCAAAGGCCAGAATCATGCTAAGTTTACCTTTTCATACAAGGGTATGTGGACACACATGCTAGGGCGCTGTGGTCCGTGACGGTGAAAACTGGCTTGATAAACTATACCATGCACGCCTTATTTAATCTCATAATACCCAAATGGCCCAGAGCACTATTAGCAGCCTGGAATCTGGCTGTAGAAAAGACCGTGCCCAGGTAAAATGGGTGAGGTGGTAACCACAAGAGCCAATAGGATCGCGGAAACAAAAGCCCCACTAGCGCACTTCGGGGCTAAGCGACGCACTTCATCTTCTCGAAAATCAATCGCACGACGACGACGCAGCAAGCCAGCAACGCCCCGACAACAAGGTAAGAAGACCACCCCAGCGTTTCGAGACGCAGCTCACCTCGGGAACAAGCTTGCTGACACTCAATTCCAGCTTCGAGGCCTCAGTGTACGTGCAATCATAGAACCCCCCACCCCGCCTGGGTCAGCGAAATATCGAAAGTGCCATTCTGACGCTCATCCCTAGTACCGACAATCTCACCAACAATACAATATGGCTGACGCTCCACGAGGCGGCGGAGGCGGATTCGGTTCGCGCGGCGACCGTGGCGGAGATCGCGGACGTGGACGTGGACGAGGCCGTGGACGCCGTGGCGGCGGGAAGAGCGAGGAGAAGGAATGGCAGCCGGTGACGAAGCTGGGCCGTCTGGTGAAGGCTGGCAAGATAAAGTCGATGGAGGAAATCTACCTGCACTCGCTGCCGATCAAGGAGTACCAGATCGTGGACTTCTTCCTGCCCAAGCTCAAGGACGAGGTCATGAAGATCAAGCCCGTGCAGAAGCAGACTCGCGCCGGTCAGCGCACAAGGTTCAAGGCCATCGTCGTCATTGGCGATACGGAGGGCCATATTGGACTCGGCATCAAGACTTCCAAGGAAGTCGCGACGGCTATCCGTGCCGCTATCATCATTGCGAGTGAGTGGAGCTTGTCCAATGCTGCTTGACACGCTTCTGACAGTATGGTTTCTAGAGCTCAGCGTTGTTCCCATCCGTCGTGGCTACTGGGGCACTAACCTCGGTGAACCTCACTCTCTCCCCACCAAGGAGTCTGGCAAGTGCGGCAGTGTCACTGTGAGGGTACGTGTGCAGCGCATTCAATGTCCCAATCCAGCTTTGGAGTCCTTTTCTAACCCTCGTCTAGCTTATTCCTGCTCCCCGTGGTACTGGTCTCGTGGCATCTCCAGCTGTCAAGCGTCTCCTCCAGCTTGCCGGTGTCCAGGACATCTACACGGCCTCTGCCGGATCCACCAAGACCCTAGAGAACACACTAAAGGCTACCTTCGTCGCCGTCACCAACACCTACGGCTTCCTGACACCCAACCTGTGGGAGGCTCGCACTCTGCACCGCAGCCCGCTAGAGGAGTACAGCGATGTGTTGAGGGAGGGCAAGAGGTACTAGGCGGATTTCTTTCGATGGTCAGGTGTTAATTCTATGTCGGTTCGGCGGGTAGGGCCATTCTGCTGGTGCTTGCTCTATCGTGGAATTCTCGCGATGAGGTGACGACACGAAGCATATGGGCGCCTAGTCAAAAATACCAAACCTCGATTCTCTACATGTGTGTCAATGGATCTTCGTGAAAGACTCTGGAATTACGCTCAGACAGACTTCTCTAAACTAGAGGGAAACGCCGCTGCTACAGTACTAGGACATCGCTAGGGGCCAGGCTTCTAACCACCGACAGGTTCCACTTGAAATAGCCGCCAGTCAACTGCTATCTTTGAATAGGCGTTTCGCCGGGCGTACTTTCAGCAACGATGACCAAATCGTCAGCTATCTCGCAACAGTTCAGAATCCAAAATCACCAACCTCAGAGCTTCGCCAGTGCGAACAGAAGTTGCCGTTGCGCTGAAATAGAGAACCTCGTAAGCTATTACAGAATAATTTCAGAACTTCCCGAAGCTACGAACTTATACAGTCGAGTACACGTTCGATTTGACGATGCCCTTGCACCGCTCGATTCGGCGGCACATGGGTGAATACTAGTGGTCAGGCATGGCTTGCAAGTGATGCATTTTTCTTTCCCGTCAGATAATAGAAGCGAAGTCATGCAGGCGGTTGACACCTTCCTGCGCTTCGTGCAGGCAGAAGAGATCAATCTCCCACAAGCTGCTCACCAGGACGCCGGCACAACGGTGGGCACACTCAGCCGCATATCAGCGTTAAGGGATTTGGACCCTACACCAAGCGACGAGCTGTAATCAACCGTTGTTAGGACCAGCCTTTTGCCGCTAACAGGCTATATCATGATCCCCATCCCCTAGAAGCTCTGGAGGCGTGTTCAGTCTGCTTCTCACTTGTCAAGGAAAATAATACACACTTAAGTCCGCAAGTACGTGCGGATTACTACGACAAACGTCTCACTACACTCTGATTTATCTACCGATTCGCCTTTTCTAAGGAGAAATGATCGCTGTTGACACGGTCGTCCGTTCTTGGTATAGTGAAGGTGAGATAACACCATAATTCTCTTCAATTAGTATAAATACTAAGTCTCTAAGTCGCGCTCCTTAAGCTCTGCGCTCTTTTCTCCTTTCTTGCCGTGTTTTTATGTTCAATTTACAATTTGATTTCCCTAGAAATAGGAGGTAAGACAATATGTTTATATTTATTAAATAGTTAATTGATTTGAGACTAATCTTCCAAGCTGATATAAGTACCTTTTCTAAAGCCATTCGCCCTGTCGGTAAGCTCGTGTCGCCTACGTCGAGTTTAACTCGTGCTGACCCGAGCTTACAGCTGACGATCTGGGGTCTTCGCCACTCTGGACATTCTTCTGTTAGCTAAGACCCTTGAACATATATACTATATGATGCTAAGACTTCTAGAGGGCGTGGCGTTGGCTATCAGTCTAGTCTCCACATACATCCGTAGAGATCAGGCCCATCTTGCTTTCAAGAAAGAGAAACTCATGTGTTTGCAATTGCAACACAGAAGAATTGATGAGATACTTTTCTCGGATATCGACAAACTAAATTCCGAATATCTCAGAACTGACATTTGTTTTGATATATTGGCATTCATCTCGGATCCTAATGATGGCGTACGTTCATATCATGAGAAACATCACTGGCTTGAGCGCCTTATCCTCCTTTTTGACCCAGGGAATCCCAGTGCAATCTCTGATGGCTTTCAAGCTGCAGCATCGAATTTGAACTCAGACCGGGAGAGTTCATTGAGCACATCGAACGTTTTTTGAATCTCCTCACGACCCAAGACTTGTGCAAACCACTGTTGGAGTACTTGGGAAAAGAAACAAATGAAAGAAAGAGAGACGAGAGGCTGCGGTTTTGGATTCAGCTTCAGGTTCGAATAACTGCAATCATGCAACCTCCTAGGTTCTCAAGTATCGCCGTTACTGCATACACGCATAATTTAGAATCCTCAGATCGAGTTGGGTTATCTCTCCAGAATCATCTCGAATCGAGTCCAGGGGGTTCCTACTCTTTAGTCGCAGGTCAATTGCAGAAAATTTTAAATCGATCGACTAATAATGAGGAATTGAAGAAGAGGTATAAGAGTAAGTATTACAAATATTCATCGACACAACGTTTTGAATGCTCTTATTGGAGTGCACTACCTATAACTACTTCTATAGTCGAAAAGTCCTGGCGAGAAGACCGTCGATGGTCCCTACTCGCTTTACTTGACATTGTGAAGGACCAAGCGTTCTTAAAGGAAATCCGGAACCTGCTGAAGGAGTGGTCGAGTAATCCACGGCTACTATCATTAGAGCACGACAAATTTCAGTCCAACATATGTCTATTTGTTGAGGCTAGGACCGGACGGAAAGGTCTCCAGTACCAAGAAGTGATCGAAATGTTGAGAGAGATGAGCATCATCTAAAACGAGCAATCAAAGAATCTCTACGAAGCTATCGAGAAGCAACGAACAGATATTGCTCTACAACAGCAGATCATCACTTGCCTTGAATATCGGTATGCACTGGAACATCGGCCACAGAAACACGCGCCATTAATGACTACCTTGGCCGGCACTGCCAGCGCCACTGGTGCCTGGCAAATGATGTGGAAACTCGCCATGGAAACGGAATTGGATAAAACGATTGTAGATTATATCAACCCGCTGAATCCGGCACTTCTACCTGCTACATCAACAACCACAGCCTCGTCAGCCGCCTCGACTCTAGCGACACCAGTCGCGGGCGCGGTCCTGTCATGCAGTTCAACCACCAATCCAACCCCTTTGGCAGCCCCACCATCTTTCAGAGTGTTACTCCAATTAGACTTTAGCTTTTGGGCGAAAGCTTGCGTTCAATTGAGGAATGCCAAGAATCCCCCAACGATCACCGGAGGGACAGCACCAAGTACAGCACCGGGGACAGCACCAGTCACCGCAGCACCACCCCTAGCCAAACATCGCAAATGGGCATCTCCCCCTAGTTGGACGACGACTGGAAATTTCAATCAAACTGTCGAGGTCTACAAGCCAGAGTACTGGACATGGCCGAGCTTTCGGCATGGGTACGATTTGTATAGCGAGCTCAGTGCGAACATTCATACCTACAACAAATCTTACGACATCCATGAGATTAATTTCACCAGGAACTCTAGGCTCATTCTCAAATAGCTCAAGCCGGACCTCGATGCTATTGACTGATACCAAGGAAGTTGAACTGGAGGACGGTATGGGCAAAGAGAGGCCTTCCTCTTCCCCCATAACTATTGAAGAATTGCTGCTTCGAGGTAAAGAGAGTAACTAGTGGGAATTGACTGAAATAAATCTCATTTCCACAATCGCGCGATCTCTTCATGTGCAGTATCCCCAACGCGATAATCTACATTCTCCTTTACAGCTTGAGACGACATCCCCGTTTTAATGACCAGCTCGAGGTCCTGGACGTAACTTACGCTAGCATGGAGGAGGCAATGAGATGTTATATCTTGTGCTCCGAATTTATGGTATATACAATGCTGTGAAGCCTAGACGTTGTCGAGCATTTGAAGATGAGGCACCTGATGTCTTTTGAAATAAGCTTTGATGCGTACTTGAACCAAGAGACCCAATCAGAAACCTAATTAGAGACAAATGAAGGTCTCTAAGCTTCATCCGGACAGCTGGGCAATAGAGTGCTGACCTAGGTTTGGCATCAGCATCAACGACGACGACACTCATGTGCTTGCGGACGCTACGGACGCTACATAGCACCATATGCACTCCCTCCCACAATTTTATTTGCGAATACGTGCTCAGACCTCGGTGGTGGTGGTGGTGGTGGTGGTGGTGATGATGGGCAGTGGCGCCAAACCGGAGACTGAATCGCCCGCAACCTGTCCTGAAGTAGTAAGGTCGAAATCTCCGCTGAGATGTCGAGTAATCATTAAGGCACCGACTTCTTTTATCCTTCGCTTTCAAAGTTCTGATTATTGTGATGTAGGAAATCGATACATTCAATGTAGCCTTTACTAAAGAGCGAATTCTGTACGTACATGCACATTAAAACAGGCGTGCGGTATGAGTGCCATCTCACAACCAATACTACAAACGGCGGGATTCGGAGTCTATGATGACTATTCTGTTCCTCACCAAGTGCAAGGAGCTTTTGCTTACTGGACATCTCGACAGTCCTCAGAGGCGGGCAATAGCAATCCGCCCATGGCCGCCTCGCCAGATGTCTGCGCCAGGACACCCTGGCCCGTGCATGTTCGGGAGGAACTTCTGCCGTGTGAGCCCTGGAGTTGAGTGAACATCGTCGGCCGACGTCAACGATGGGATCTCGCCATCACGACACCACTATAAAGGGACAGCAAGCCCCCGCTACCTCGACTTCAGATCCACATCAATCCAGTCCAATCATCAGTACAGCATCTTCATCCATCTCAACCCTCCAACAAATCACGCTTGATTTTTTATCTCTTCTACTCCTTGTTCCAGTTGTAATTGAAACTCTTTTCACAATGAGAGGCAAGACATTTGAACCCGCGAAGGATATCCCAGACCTTTCAGGCAAAGTCATCCTAGTCACTGGAGGTACGTGAAGATGCCGTTCTGATATCGCGTATCCTGACATCACAATCACCTGATGGTTCTAACATATTCGATCTTTAGGTAATGCAGGCCTCGGTCAGGAGACAGTTCTCCAGCTCGCTGCCCACCACCCTTCGAAGATCTACTTAGCCGCACGAACAGCATCCAAAGCTGAAGCCGCCATTGCGGAAATCAAGAAGACCGTCCCGGATGCGCCGATCGAGCATCTTCCTCTCGACCTAACCTCGTTCAGCTCTATCCGCTCCGCTGCTGACACCTTCAACCGTGTGTCTCCGCGCCTCGATATCCTCATTAACAATGCTGGTATTATGGCGACCCCGTACAGCCTGACCAAGGAAGGCTACGAGATCCAGTTCGGCACGAACCACATGGGCCATGCTCTCCTCACCAAGCTGCTCCTACCCACTCTCCTCAAAACCGCAGAGGAGCCCAACTCTGACGTCCGCATCGTAAATCTCTCCTCCATGGGCCACATGATGGCGCCCAAAAAGGGCCTCATCTTCGACCAAGCCGCACTCGAGAAGGAAGGCACCTGGGCACGCTACGGCCAATCGAAGCTCGCCAACATCCTTTTCAGCCGCGAGCTTGCACAGCACTATCCCACCATCAAATCCGTGGCTGTCCATCCTGGCGTTATCCTGACCAACCTCTACGACGACTTCCAGACCAACGCTTTTGCGCGCTTCGCCTTCTGGATCTTGAAGACAATCGGCCCGTTCATTCCCGGTCTCTTGCTACCTAACGTGCAAGCTGGTGCGAAGAATTCCCTGTGGGCAGCGACGGCGCCGAAGGCAGATGTGAAGTCTGGCGCCTACTACCAACCAATTGGGATCTTGAAGCCAGGAAGCAAGTTTGCACAGAACGATGGGCTAGCAAAGAAGTTGTGGGAATATACGGAGACGGAGCTTCAGAAACATGGGGAGTAAGTTTGGATAGCTACCGGGTGTCTCGCGCATAATCACGGTTTTCTCATGCTTTATCGGATTACATACCCTTTCATATATTACTGCGACTTTAATACTGTAATACCTCTGTTTAGCTTTGATTGCTAGACCACTCACTTCGCATACGGATCCATCTGATCTTCCGTCGGTTATATATCAATAAATTTTTCTACCTGTCTATACACTGCCAATAACCCACCATGCGACCCGAAAACCCTTCTTCAATGTGGTTGCAAGAAGCTCAATCTCTACACCACTTTCTCCCTCATCACCGCAAGCATCTGCCCGGGACACAACGGGCCCCCCGGCTGCCCGCACCAGATCCCCTGCTGCAAAAAACTCGGCAGCACCGGATGCCCATCCCCCAGCATACTCAACCAACTAAACGGAATCATATACGCGACCACTGTCACCACAGCCGCCCACCCACAAACCGCAAGCGCACTCAGCACCTCCCTCCCGAACCCACCGATCTGCAGCCCATCCACCTCCCGATCAACCGCACACCTCCCCGCCGCGTCCCGCGACCGCCGCAGCCACGTGTAGCCCCAGCAGTAGAGCCCGATCAAGAACGGCTCGTACAGCGGCAGCTGGTGCACCTGGCCATGCCACGCCGTGAGCGCGCGCGGCGCCGACACGTACGTGTACACCTGGTGCCTGTTCCAGAAGGTCGCGAGCGCGGCGAAGATGGCGTAGTAGGCCGCCTGCACGACCGCGTAGGCCGCCATCGTGCTCAGGCGCGGGAACGCCCGGTGGAGGGCGTCGAGCAGCGCGCAGCCGAAGATGGCGGCGCCGACGCCCAGCCAGATGTAGGCGGGCAGACACCATAGCAGGCCCCAAGGCACCTTGTGCGCGCCGGGGCCGGGGAAGAGCGGGATGCTGCGGGCCCAGCTGCCGTAGGCGAGGCCGTGGGCGTTCATGGCCCACGTGGGCTGGAAGACGGCGAAGAGGATGTCGAGCGTGGAGGCAGAGACGCCGCCGAGGAAGAGCTTGCCGTCGAGGCTGGGGGCGCCGGTGCGGAGCCAGGGGAGGATGAGGGTATGGGTTCCTAGGAGGACGAAGATGGCGCATGAGAGGGCTTCTGTGCCACGGAGAATGAAGAGGTAGGGGTAGGGGTCTGGTCCGGGATCAGAGCGGACGAAGTCGTCGGAGAGAGACCAGCGGACGACGTTGTTGATTAGTAGCGCGATGATGCCGATGCCGAGGGTGGCCCAGAAGTAGACGATACCTGAGGGCCGGTCGCTTGAGAGATGTGGCCTTGGAGATGTGGCGATGTAGACATTGCGGGATGATTTCGTTATGGTACGTGTGGACGCCATTCTGGCCGAGTTTAGTAATAGTGACAGCTGATATATCTTTCTGAGATTAATGGGCATAGTTTGTGTTCTTCTCCACTCATATAAACAGTGCCGGAGCCCGGAAGGACAAAGTCCGGATCGCATATGTATCCTAGTTATAGGAAGGCATTTTCATGATCCAAGATGCATGGAATTGTTCCTGGTTCCCCGGCCCCCGCAACTCGGCTGTATACCTCGCATTATTCCCATAACTGATTTAGCAGATGTTTTCCCGTCGCGTTTGATCGCTCCCGGCCCTTAATTAGGGGAATTACCGACTGTCTTTCGGAGTCTTGGAATAACTCCATGTCGATCTAGATGATTTCGTGAGTGATGTGTTATAGCTGAATGAAACCAAAAGAAGTAGGATGCCTGTAGATATGTCTTTATTGCAGACTCATAAGAACCAAGAGAGTCGAAAACGCGTGATATTTCCTAGAACTGGTTTAAAGTCACCATCGTAACAATAATCTCTGGGCTTATCGTGTCTGCTGCACACCTCATCCGGTATAGATTGAAGTACTTGGCCGAGAAACGTCGTTACGGTCTTCAGGGGCTTGTTCTGATTATGTGGATGATTGCACCGGAGTGTCCCGACGATACTTGAGCATTATGTACCTAGTTGCAACTGGCGATAACGGTCAATTGATAAAAAACATCAATGCAAACCAACTTTGACACATAGAATTGTGCTATCTATGACGACATTGAAGGATGAAAGAGACTATTCACAGTAGTACAATCCCATATGGGATAAGATGATTGGAGGTAGCTGCCAGGTTGGAAGAATCTATAGCACTGAGAGGTCGCCAAATTTTTCCTGTGGAGGTCGTTAGCCATGGCTCTAGCAATTCCGCGCGTGATGAGATTTTCGAGGTAGGAAGCTTACCTTGTAACCTGGAACGGCCCAGCGACCCTTCGAGACGAGTTCGGAAGTGCGCGCGTCGATGTCGGGACGGGCGGCGGCGACTTCGTCCTGCATGGACATATAAATTAGTATATTTCCAGACTATAAGTAAACCGGCCGGCCTCGCCGTGGCGATTGAATGGCCTGGGTTGCAGAAACGTACCACAGTGAGGTCCTCAAATGGCCGTGCCTCCTCAATGTTCTTCAACGTCTTGTCCAAGTCCTTTAACTCCTTGTCGACAACACTCTTGGTCTCCTCCGCGCTCTTCAATGCCTGGGCCTCGAAAGCTTCAATGGCCTTGATCTGCCTGCTCACGTCATAAGTCGCGGGCTTGAAGCTGGCGAAGCTCTTTTCGATCTCGTCGATGACGGCAGTGTTCTTGAGAACGCTGCGGTAGTGGGCGAAGTCGACGGTTTGCGGTTGTTCCGAGAGGGCGTTCACCTTGCGGCGGGCGTCATCATTGCGCTTCTTGAAGCTGGAAAGAGCCTGGGCAGTCGAGCCTCTCAGTCCGAGCTGCGTTCCCAGTTTCGTCCAGTCAAGCTTGAGGGCTGCGCTGCGCTGTGATAGCCGGAAGAGTTAGCATTCGGTCTTGCGGATTGATGCGGCGGAAACTAGGGGACGTTTCAATGCGCCAATTGCGCGTAAAGCAGCTATAGGAACAACTATGAAAGGGGTTCAACGTACTCCGACGGCCATTGTGATGGATAGGGACGGTGAGAAGAGTGGAGAGGGTATCCGGTTGAGGGAGGAAGTCGGGATCTTGAAAGCTTCGAGGATCGCTTCGGTGGTCTTGGCAATAATGTCACCTGACCAACACTTCCTTTTGCCCACCCTTCATAAATAAAGCATAGCAATTAAGCGTAAGAGAAATATGGGTCTTGGACTAGGACGTTTAAATCATCGCAACTTTTTGTAGTTTTCAGTTTCGAGTTATCTACAGCTTGAAAAGCTCATAGCTATTTCACAGAATATTGACCACATTTTACATTCGCAATGTCAGAGCAACGCCTTCTAGGTTTACACTTGGCAGGAGTCCTTGATAACAAAATGGCGGTTAAATGCCGTCTGGAGAGCCCTGAAGAGTTATCCGGCTTGCCAAACTGTCACTTCACAATATCTGAGGGTACCAGGGGACCTCGTTAAGTGTACGCAGGCCTAGAAGAGCCTGCCTGGGCAGGTGCCCCTCAATTGCTTGCAAGTAGTGAGTCACCTTGGCTACAAGCTCTCACGAGCGATAGAAGGGCTAATTGTATTGGAAGATTGTAGATTTGTAGCAAGCCCTGGAAGAAGTGCCTAACTTGCTATTACCGTTGCCAATTTTCCCAGCCCAGCTTTTATTCAGAAGTACAGGGATAGAGGAAGTTCTGAATCTACTTCGAGCTCGCCTATATGCTCAATGCCATGATTGAGTTGACGATATCGTTGTCGTTCTCCTTGAGAGCCTTGACCGCCTTCTTCCTCGATACGCTAGCCTGTTGCATGACCAGTTCGATGTCCTTGGCTTCGAGGCCAGTGTCGTCGACCTCTTCTCCGTCATCCTCGTCCTCGTCCTTCTTGTCCTCGACGGCCTTGCCCTTGCCGTGATCGTGGTCATGGTCGTGTCCGGAGTGGTCGTGGCCCTGAGCCTCGGCTTGGGCGAGCTGCTGGGCAGCAGATGCCTGTGCCTGGGAGTTCAAGTCCTCAATCTTGGCCTCGCCGAAGATGCTAGAGTATGTCAGAATTCGTTCTATAGTGAACTGGGGTTTGATGGCCCTACATCCAAGTGTTGCTCGTAGGAGACTTGTAGACATCCGGCTGGTTGATGACGAAAAGGATCTGGCCAGAAACTGTCAGCAAACGGCTTTCATGGGATGTATTTCTTATGCGCCAAAATTGCGATGCCCGCGATCCACACGGTCGTGTAAAACGCATAAGTTTCGCGCAGGGAAGTCTTACATTCTTTGGCCGCCTCAGCGTAACCCTGGTGATACCCTCAACATGCTTCAATCCAAGCTTTGCAATCGCCTTCCTGGCCTTCTTCTCGTTGCGGGAATGGACGGCAACTGAGGCACCGGCGGGAATGCCAGCCTCACCTGAGGCCTCGACCTCAGAGTCGGAGCTGGACTCTGCGTCTTCGACCTCGGCGATCTTTTTGTCGGGCTCGTCTTCTGGCAGTTCCTCAATGCGTGGGTTCGACATGGTGGATAGCGTGGTTGGGAGTTGGAGCAATTGTGGTCGAAGTGTTTGGTGATGCCCGCACTTTTGCAAGCTCTCGGTTGTGGGCAAATCGGCGTGTGCGAGGCCAGTAGAGCACGAGCAACGGCAACGCAACGAGATAATTCCTCACTACGCAGCGGTACCACGAGATTTCACTTAGGGCACTGACATCTCGGGGTAGCAATGAGCAGATGGGCAACTTTTAGACCGTTTGAGCCGCTATATAATTGCAGGGATCTTCGACCCGTGCATTTTTCTTCCGGAAATTGAGTTGAGCGATATAAGAATTCACGAATGCAGATTATAGTCAATAGGGCACCCCTCTATTGGAGATTTTTGATCGTTTTCTACATTCACTAGCAGATGAAGTAGGGTTTTGAGCAAAGTTTTGTTCCTGAAGCCCAAATGCACCGTAATCGACCGCAAAGACCCTGACCAGCATCTTTGATTCGGATGCATTGAAGAAAGTTGGAACGCTCGAGAACTCTTTAGACCAGTCCCCAATATCACTCAACCACAACTCTGACCACGCCCCCTCTCTACGCCTTCGCACTCGCGCGGAGCTTGGCAACGGTCTTCTGGACCTCGAAGCGTCTCTGTATGCATAGTCAGTACACCATTCTGAAGAAAACCCCTCGCAGCCTCATGATATGACCAAATTCGGATTATGATCGTGGCCCCACGTTCCAGGGCAGATTCGATGACCATATGAAAGGAGTACAACGCACCGCCTTCTTTAGCTTCATAACCTTGAATCGCTCAAAGTCGTTCAGCTGCTTCCTCTTGGCGAATCGGCCTTGTGTCTTTGCCCAGTTGCTCTCCGCGAACTTGCTCTCCACTCCCTCCGACTCCCAGATCTTCTTCACAAATCCATTACCGGCGGCTCGTGGTAGCTTGGGGATGACGATAGGCGTGAGGGAGAGACCTGACAGGGCGACGGATTGGCGGGGAACGACCTTGTCCTTGTCGGAGGATGGGCCGTCAACGAGCACCTGTGCGAGTGTGAGTAAAGATCCAACTCGAGCCACATTTCATCCTGCATTTCCGCCAAAAGCAGTCCTCGGGTTTCTACGTACGCGCTTGTGATCAATGATCTCGACGATAGCAGCCAGGCGGCCTTCGTACGCTCCGGAGCTGAAGAGCACGACGCGGCCGACCTCGACATGCCGCCATTGACTAGTTTGGATGTCCGGTTCACCCATTGCGACTGTTTGAATCTGCTAGCCGTAATTAGTGGGAGACAGACAGCAGTTGGTGTCCTGAGCAGTTGCACGTACTGTCCTGTGTTGAGGTGAGGCTGGAGTGTGATGTCGTGAATCTCAAAGACCTGAAGTCGAATTGTGATGGTGGGCGGCGGATTTTCGGATAAATTGCGCCAAGGCTATCTAAGCGAGTTGGAACTTTTTCGTTGCCTTCCGCAACTTCAGTCCTGGACATTCCTCTTCTCTTCAACCAACATCATCAAATCTGTAAGTTCCACACTTCCCTCCTCCGCACCTATCTCTCGTGATGAAATAATTTGCGATTGACTCTGGCGACCGGAGGCCCTCGCCGGGGCTTCTCAACGGCGTCGGGGCTATGATATTCATTCTTACATATTCTGACACCAACACACCCACATCGCTTCCGCGCACAGAGTTTGTTGGACGCACTCGCTGACTCCTCGAAGATATAGCTTCTCACACGCCACCGCTGTGCGGTCTCAAGACTTCCATCTCGAACAGTTCACGTCTGCTTCTGCTACGCGACGCGCGACTTGTACACACCATGATGTAGCTCACTAAACACAAAAGGCGGAACACACTGCAGGCAGCAAATCAGTAGACCAAGTCTCGCAATTTATCCTGGCCTAAGAATATGTAAGGTAAAAAAAACTTTTACTTGCGGTTCACACGACACACCTTCCAATGATTAGAAACTTTTTATCCGCCTAGATAGTAAATGACTCTTCGGAGACTGACTATACAAATCACCAAGATCACTGAGGAACACCATTACTTCCCCCATTGTATTCAGCAAATTTGCATCTTCGATTGCTAATACTCTCGGTTTCAGTAGTGATTTGCATGACATAACGGAGGAGCATTGAAAATCTGCTTTTGGTTATTGGGCATCACAACATATAGACGTAGTTATCATACTTAGTAATGACATACAGTGCCTCGTCATTAATCCATGTACACTGTTCTGCCGCTGCCTGAGGTGACCCAGCGGGCTTACTGATTGGTCCCATCAACAAAGTTTAGAATTCCCCCCCCCAAGAAAAAAGCGTCGACGAGCTTCAACTAGCGCCAGACAAGTGTGTACGGATCTGTGACGAGTTATTGAATCTCGTCTCTTCAGCACACAGTTCCACATGACTAGCAATTCCTCAACGCGAACGTGAATGTGACCTCGTTCTGCTTCAACTTATATACACCACCAGCATCCTAGTCGACTAATATGATCTACCAATTCTCTCTCAAACGCTAATTCAAGCTGCACCAAGTGATAGCCCGCTGATGTTGGGCTAATCTGACCCTCCGCCGGTGATTCTGCGACCGTATTGAGTATACAGCTTGGTGAGAAGCTCCCGCGCGATTAGGCCTCGCTCGAAAGATGTTCGGGGATCAAATTTCGGTCCAGAATACGGGAATGAAACAGTTCCAGTGAAGTCGGTTTGCCCTTTCTCGTAGAAGTTCAGCGAGAAGCTCTCCGCTTTCTTCAACATATCTCTTAGCCATGCACCGATGGGTTCGCCTCTCTCTTCTGCTTGCCCTGCCCAGTTCCACAGCGATGGATCGTGAAAGTCTACGCCGTCCTTGCGCGGGAGGATCTGCGCGTTGAAGAGCAGATGGCGGACAACCTGCCTGTTGCACCCGTAATCGATAACCGCAGCCTGAAGGAAATCGGTTGATAATGCGTTCCCTACGCCCAGTAGAACAGCAAGCGCTGCAACAGCTCGTTCGTTTCCTTCTTCAATGGCCTGATGAAGCCCTTGCTTTGCCGTCTCTCCTGCCATCGAGCCCGCCCAATCAATCTCGCCATGGAAGCAGACCAGAACATACAGAAGGTTCGCCTTGTCCACGGTCCAAGGTCCGGAAAGAAGTCGGTCAGGGATGAAAAAACCTTCCGCGAACCCTAGATAGTCAATCTTGTATAGCTTGTACGGCCATAAGCCCTCCAGGTAGCTTGGATCTGGAGCTTGAATTGCGGTGTCACCCCATCCACTCGCTTCTGATTTGCGTTTGAGGAGGGAATAGGCTCTCTCCGCATAGCTGAGGAAGAACGGCCATGTGAAGAACCGGCAGGCTAGGAGCTCTGATTGAAGGGATACTGGCGGGTCCTGATCGTCACGCGTATCGAAGAAGGCCTTGATGCAAAATTGAAGGCGGATGCTGTGTGCAGATAGCTTGGCGCCGAGTAGCGAAGAGCTCTGGGGTAACGCAATATTCATGCTATGAAGAAAGACAATTTCTAGGAGTTCTTGGGGAATACCCTGGAGAGAGGGTTTTGCTGGCTGCGCCATCATCTTGGAACGTCTTTTTGCTCGCTGTTGTCGTGATTGTGATTCGGACTGCAATTTCTGCCGCTTCACAGGCCGGGATGGAGAATCGCTTCGAAGAGAGTTCACGGAAGAGGCTACTGAACTTGACCGACTTTCATAGCCTTGGATTGACGACAGCTGCGGTGGTGCTTTTCGTTTCCCCCTGATTTTGATCGCGGTCAGCGCCATGTATAGACAACGGGTGCCTGGGAGGCGTCGTCACGGAAAGCTCTAAAAACGGCCCTTGGCGCGGAGATTCGTTTTTCCTCTCCAAACAAAACATCCCAGCTACACTTCACTTCATCAACCTCGCCGCTGACACCGTTCTTTCTGTCGCGCTCCTTCCCACGATGCAGGTTCACGCAGTTCCGGATGCTGAGCGCGTCCACGACTCCCTTGGGCGCCAGCTCCCCTGGGGTTTCGAATATGCCGAGTGAGTTCAAGTCCAGGTCTTTACCAACAGCTGTAGCATAGCTAACCCGTTTCTATCGCGTCGTAGCTCCGATCACAACCAGCGTCGCCTGCCAGAAGAGAAGGGTCCGTTCGGAAAGTCGACGAGAGGGAGGCTGGGCAAGTCACGAAGCAAGACAGCGACCCCTGCGCGAACTGTCGACCAAGCGAAGCTCGAGAACTTGCGCGCCATCGACGACATATTTACCGCCTTCAAGAACGAGTCCAAGAGCAAGGAGAGCCAGACAAGTCCAAGGAAACCAGGTGGAGGGCTCGCAGCTTCGCAATCGGCGCCGAACCTCGACATCGGCGGAGCCAACGCTACGGCTGGTGCTCAGCAAACAGTCTCTGGGGAGCCGACGCCTGTGATCCTGTATGGATACGGGAGCGATCTACAATGGGCAGCGATTGATCACTATGAAAAGGTATCCAACGGATTCATCTACGAAGAATATGAGCGCAATCCCACACAACAGAGATACAACCTTTCCTTGAGTCTCCATCGGTCAGCCGCGCAACGAACTCTCACAAAAGAAGCCCTTCGGAAAACCAACCAGTTCGTTGGAGGCCATCACTGGATCAAAGTCACTTTCGATTCGCCAGAGTCCGCTGAACGCGCCTGTCATTATTCACCGCACGTAATTCATGGGTATCAGGTTCATGCAGAGAGATATAGAGGGACTGGACCAAACGCGGATGTTGCCTTTCCAGCTACGACTGGGCTGTTCTCTTCGCAAACTAGCTCGCCAAATCCGTCCTCAACAACACTTCCTGCGGCATCACAGTCACAGACCTCCGAGACTGCGTCATCCGCGACAGCAACCGCGTCGATACCAGCTTCTACGGTCCAGACTACCAGTAGTCGGAGTGTCGCAGGAGCGAGAGTGGGAGGTGTCCAAGGTAATCAAGCACATGCCATCGAGCCTGCACGCGCAGTTGCATCGGGCGCGCAACGGGAACCAGCCCGACAACCCACCCTCCGGATCAAGAATGCCAAATTAGGAAAGATGCTGTCAGCGGAGCAAGCGCTCCTTCCAGCGGCTCCCCTCTGGCAACAGACAATGAGAAGTGTACCCGTGCTCGGCTGGGTGTTTGGCAGTGGACATGAAATCATCGGCAATCAAGTGCCGCGTAAGGCGGATGGGGCTTTCGACTCCGATGGTGCGAGCGTCTACTGGAAGTTCTGGTACATGATCGATTCTTGTTTCGGGACCGACTTCTGTGGTGTTCGGGGAGACGAAGATGACTAGAGACCTGGTCTCGGCAGCTGGGAGTTACGGAAGGGGCTGGCTAGGAAGGTTTTGCATTTTTGCATGGCATGGCGTTTCTGGTAGACCGTATATTTGGCAGGCACACTGGCATCTCGACATCTCTTTGACTCCAAGTTGGAAGCGTTTAAGCTACGTTGCGGGCTACCATACTTCAGAATACCCGCTTCATTCTGTATACATTGATATGAAATCAAGAATGATACAACTCTGTTCTTCTCCACTGCAAACTCTTTGAAGCGATTCGAGGCATCCACGACAGTAGCAGGAAGTTGTGTACAGATCCTATGACGAGGCGCTGCTTTCCTTCACCCCCAACGCCTGAAGCGCCTCCTCGAGTTGCTACTTCAGGTCATCCCTCTCCGCTTCCAGTTCTGTGACTCGCATCTTCTGCGCCTCAATCGTGCACTTCAGCGCTTGCGTGTTGTCCTTTAGTATACCAATGGCATGAGTGGCGACACCATCAAGTCCAATGTCGGTGCCGTGTTGCACTCTAGCGTAGAGGTCTGTGTCCCTATTCGGGCGCACGACAAAGTGCTCGCCGCCGCAGGGAAGGCAGTCTTCCCGATCGTAGTAGAGGCCGTTGAGGCGGTCGTTTTGGTTCATGGCTAGACCTTGGAGGATTGTAGGTGGGCTGAGGTTGGACGGGCGCAAGCTTTTATGAGAGAAGCTGGGGCAGATTCGTCACTGCCTTTTTTCGACCTCCTTCTGGTGTTTGTACCATGTGTCTCGGTAGGTCCTGGAGCCAGCTGGTTTAAGATCAGGGCGAGAAGAGGCGCGAAGACGTTTGGCTTTGTCGTCCGTTCTCGATGATGATGGAATTGCTCGAAAAGGGGCGTTGAATCGAGCTCGTCGCTACCGTTACGGAACAAGAAGTTGTGCGCCGTTTACGTGATGTATTGGATGATGATGATTGATGTAGAGAAGAGAGAGAGAGGTCTGGAGGCAGGTGAGGCTATACAAGAGGTGCTGTGCACCTTCCGTAGCCCTCGCCACTACTCCCTGGCAGCTGCCCTGGAAAACCTGAATAACTCATGGCTGATGTATCCGGTCAGCGAAATTGAAGACGATAAAAAGATCCACTACCATAACGTACTGAGGGAATTTAGAGTTCTCTGCCGATTTACATCATTTCGAGGGTGTTTCCATTGTGCTGTTGTTCAGTGATATGTTGGGAGTGCTCTAATATAAACTCAGACATCCTTGGGCATGTGACCTCCTACCAGCTTCGATTTCGTCCAGAGTGCTGACTTCTATCATCAACCCTTAAACAGTGGCAATCCAAAGCCAATGTACCGACCTCCCAGTAGTAAAACAGTCGCCAGTGTGTTGTCATCTGTGCTCAGATCATCGACCGACAACGCTGCGTCCAATCAACGCCCACCCCCCTATCTCCTCATCCTCGCCAGCAACCTTTCAATATGTGGCGCAACCGTAACCATTAGGGTAAGCCCAACGACAGTCGTGACACACACGCCTTGAAAGACACGGATAATCTTGAAAACGATCGGCTCGACGGCTCTCGCCACATTATAATGGCGTTGGAGTGCCGCAAATGGGCTAGGGTCCATATATGACCAGATGATCCAGTTGAGGCGAGGGTATGGGTGACGGATGACGATGCTGCCGTGATGTGGTATGCCGATGAGGATGTACGGCATGGTGTCGACTGGTGGTGGATGATGTAAACTAGATGGATGTGGTGATTGCTGTGAAAGATATGGCGGCGTGTGTCGCGTAACAAGAGAAGGCAGAGGCTGTACGTACTCGTGTTGCTGTCGATGATGAGAATATACAGGAGGAGGAGAGGTCTGGAGGAAGGTGAGGCTATATACAAGAGATGCCGTGTGCCTGCCGTAGCCCTCACCGCTCCTCCCTGACAGCGTGAGTAGACAACAGGAAGTTAATCTTCTCAAGTCTACCTGGAAATTAATCTTTTCAACCATTGTACACCTGGTCTTAGTTCGCTAATACCATGAAGTTTGTTCCAGTACCAAAGAATAACAATATAAAAGCCAAAGAATTGTGATTTCAAGTCCTCAGAAATATAGATTCCTCATGAGGTGCCACGACAATGGCTTAGATACTATCTCAACAGGTTAGATCGATGGAATCGAGAAGTCTGAGAATCCTAGGAGATGGAATAGCGCTCTAGCAGTAGACATGGATAATTTACAAGAAGAGAGAAACTGCGATTTCATATGTTCTATACGTACTACGATTGCGAAAAGCCTGTAAACACCCTCGCGACTTATCATTCGAGTCCCGGGCTGAGCTTGTACTTTGTGTCGTCATGGGTATCCGCACACTTCTGTACCACCGCCTGTGGTGTCTCACGGTATTGTTAGATTCTAGGTTCAAATTGAGGTCTCGCCTCTTGAACAACTGATAAACTCGTAAAGCCGCCCCAAGCAACGACAGAGGAGTATACACAGATGGGAAGTGTGATCCGCCGCCCTGGATTTCTGAGAATACCATGAGGTACCACAAGCGGTGGTAAAGCAGTGTACGGATATCTATGACCACACATTGTAGCTTCTTGACTGACATGTGACTACCACTTTGTTTGGAGTTGGCCTCACCTTTCTTGAGACTGAGGCCGAACTAATCACTCCTGTCGGCACTTCAGTCCATACGTATCACACCGAAGACCTACCGTTCTGGCTTTGTGCTCGCGGCTGCGAACTGTGACTTCGAATTCACAAGTCTTACCGTCTTGCATGTTTGGCCATTGAGTTACACTTATCTTCATCAACACTGAAGTCGAACCAGTCCAACTCCCCGTCCCACAGCTCTAATGATCCCTTACATCTCGCACACCTCCCTGCTTTCATAGGCGGTGTCTCAACTCGAGGCATTTTTCACAACATTACACTCTTCCGTGAAAATCTCCGCGACTATCCGCGAGCATGGCAGACCAGCAATTTAGGCGATCCTCCACACCTACACTCCCCAGAGAGGCTTGTGCATACATAGCAAAGACCCTCTCGCTCATGCTCGCTGGGGGCGGAGATTGGTAGGCCAGGTTGTCCATCGCACTCAGTACTTTTAGGCTCGCAACAACGTGCCGAATCCAGCCCGGGTACATGTGATAAGTTGCCGAATTTCCAGTACCGCAAGCCAGCCGGCCCCCTGGAGGCCTTCGGAATCGTACTTCCTCGACCTGAAAACCCCTTTCTAATATCTCTCAGCCCCCGGCAGAAAGTACGGTGTGTCAGTTCTCTCGTTAAAGCGGTGACTGCTCTAGTCAGTGCCAGTGACCCCAAGCTCACCCACACCAAGCGATGTGAGCGAGATTTCCCCGCCGATACCGCTTCAACAGCCTGTATTTGCGGAAGAGATCTGCGCCATCTCCCCCAACTGCATGCATTCCATCCCCGGCGTGAGGGCATCCAGCAAACCACGAGTCGGCCGCAACTCAGAGCCCACAATGCGCGTTCCGGCGCAAACCCAAACCCGCTCGAGACAGCCTCCCAGAGCCAGCCTGAGTCTTCTATCACGTTCCCACACGCTCGCACATGGGCCTGGCCGACTCGGGCTGAGACCACCGCTGCTCTATTTCTGTTACCGCTTCTCTGTCACAAGAGTCAGCGAAATGCCGGCGGCAGGTATCCCACGCTACGGCCATGCAAGAATGCCCACATCCCGGCTTCCAGGTCCTTGTCACAGTTAGTGTGAAGGACAAGGCAAAAGAAGCATGCCTGGGGCTTTCTGGCACGGCTGTTGCCGCGGGGCACCGGGCGACTGCTGACCTCCCCTGGTCTTGGAACCCCACATTCAACGCCAGTTCCAGACTATCATACATACTGGTGCATGTATATCCACTTGGATCGTCTTCGTCAGTGCGAGGTACTAGCTTTCCGCAGACCGTCGGCCGTTGGGTATGGAGTGGGTTAGGCTAGCTACATAGGACACTGAAGGTCTTTAACGATCTTCCAGTCGCTAGCAGAATAGACTTGGTAAAGGAGGTTGATCAGCAAAAATTTCCGGGCTCTATACTGGACTGAGCAGTGTGTTTCTTTCAGGCCAAGCTGCGAAGTGACGTTGTATTAGCTTGTTGGGAGGCGAAGAAAGCTTCGGGATCTCCCCAAAGCAGCGATTTGGGCCGTCGAGTACCGGCGCGGCTAAGAGCTTTGGAGAGCCACAAACGCAGGGCTGGGGAGTGTGTTTCAGAGACATGCCAGCGGCAGGTGCCGAAACGGCAGGTCAATGTTCTGTCGAGCAGAGGGGATCCGACAACTCAAGTGGGCAGCCGAAGCGTCTAGTGGCAGTGGCAGTTGCGTGCGAGGTTGAACAACCAGGTGTCTGCCGCCTTTCGGTTCATGAAAAAGAGAAATGTGCACTGGGTATGCGCAAGGGGTCACGCCGGGACAGTCGAGGCGAGTTTTTTTTCCAAGTTCCGTCATGATGTTCGATGATCGACTCTGGCTGAGGGGTGATTTTCCGGGCAAATCTGCTCACCTACATGCATACATAGTACCGGATGTTATGGACTAGGTAAACAGTTATTTCCGTGAAGTGTTTCACAAGGCTGTCTACAGGGGACGAGGAAATAAGAATCCGGAGTTCAGTGCGAACGGAGGAGTATCTGCTGGACGACTGGTCAGATCTCTACGATCGCTGGTTGCTCTCACCGTCAACGAGCCAGTCGGTGTATCACATCATACAAGAACCGAGGTGGCGGAAGTTGGAGGACTTGGAAACATTACAGAATATCGAGAGAGACCCTATAGGGATGGATAAGACCGTAAAAACGCACTGATCGTCCCGTTGGGTATAGACTATCGTGCTAGCTATTAAGGTTGGCATCGTGACTTGGAATGCTCTCAAGGCATAAGCACATGCCGGCGTGTATATGAGACTGCTCCGAATTCCATTCCCTCGGTGAACGAGAAGCGAACATGTGTGTATTCTGTCCTTGTGTGAGCGCGTGCGCAGATCTCGATGCCAGGCATATGGAGGCAACTGTTGGAATTTTTCCGGCGAATGATTGAACAGGCAGTTGGAACATCGTATGATCCTGAGGGTCAGCTTGCGCACAGGGGGCAATACTGCTTTGCCGCTCAGAGCGCTATCCCCACGGCTGCTTCCCGAAAGCCAGTGCAGCTGCAAGATGTGTGGATGCGCTGCAACATGCTGGCAGTGGATCCAAGCAGCCGGGACGTGATATTTGCATTTGCAGCTGAAGGTATCCTCAGTATTGCTCGGATGCTTCCGGGGAATCAGGCACGTAGCGGGTCGTGCAGTGTCCTTTCAGCGATCTAAACTGGAGAATCCAGGCGGCCGTCAGCGAAAGGGGCTACAACACCGAGCATGGCGATGCAGCCGAAGCTGCGCTAAACAAATGCTGCCGCTGCCGCCACCTGCAAGACGGAGGACCTCATCTCCATCGAGTGCGAGGCGTCCTGCACTACAAGGGTACACACACCTTCTGAGTGAGTAGATGACGTGGGACTGATGCGTCGACTGACAGCCCCAGCACCAGGTGGCAGCACCAGGTGAGACGCCTGGCACACCTTGCGAAAATCCGATATTCTCATGGACTCGCATGGAGGATCTGCTGGGAGCAGCCATTTAGCAATATGTAGTATTAGGCACACCCACGGGGATACGACGGCCAGGTAGATTATCGTGAGATCACGATCGACCACCCTCTCACCCTGCGAAGTACTTTCTTGCTAGAGAATTTGGTATGGAGATCAGTAAGATGCCGAAGCTGAAGGCTGCCGTGCCGATATGTTTGTACGGCACTTCGGCGACATGCATCAGCAGGCAGTGAAATGCTCATGCTCTAAGAGGGCCGACGTTTCGGCGACAGGCCGATACCATACGCAGGCTATGTCTGGGACTTGTCATGTACCCGGGAGAAGCATGCGATGTATCGACGGCGAATCGCTCTGCTGTTGGGTCCAAGCAGTTGGGGCCGCGTCGAGCCCATGGAGGACCGACGCCTCCCATAGAAGCGGAATGGAGGCACTCACTCCGGCTGATCTGAGACTTGGCCCGACATACGGCTCTCAAAAGTCGCTGCCCCAGCCGAGTCGATGCCGGGGGGTAGATCTTCGTCAGCCGTTCACTGAGCCCTTGTCGCAACGCAATAGAACCACGGCCTAAGACCCATAAACGGCGTCGCATGACATCGGGTCCCGCATCCCTGAAGCCGTTTTCACCAGTTGGGACATGCTCAGCGCTGTCAACCCATATCCGTTCGCCGTTGGCGCTGGGGTTCTTGTTTAGGCTCTGTGCCGCTTCCTTTTGGCAGACTTTGCTCCCTTTCCTTCCTCCACCCTTGGCGTGTGATGGGTTCAAGGGTTGACACCGCGGCGCGCTTGCATCCCCGGTACTGGTCCAAGAACATTAGAGCGCACGTCGCTTTCTAAGTTCTAATTTTACTCTACCACACAATCTTCGAATCCGGGGCTGGAGAGACAGAAGTCTTCCGGAGACAGCCAGGGTTGAGGCCCCCAACTCCCACATGTCTGCCGTGTGGTACAGGCCGTGGAGATCTGATTTACGGGGATCCGGTCTCATGCGAAAGATCGGCTTAGCATGCTCATATGGCATGGCAGGGTGTGCTCCACAGAGGCTAGGGCGGGAGCCAGCTGATCAGCCAGGACCAAAGCATTGCTGTATGCATTGCTGCATGCGAGGCTAGGAAGACATTGGCTGACACGCGAGACGGTCCAGGTGGCCTCTCTGGGCGCCACGACTCGCACAGAGTTCTGTCTCGAGAGAGAACTGAATCGTGACGAGTGTGCGACACCACTGCGACGGAAATTACTAACAGCATCTAAAAGTCTGGGAGTACTATGGAGTATTGTGCCTGAGTCGTCTCCTAAGCTCTGCCATATCTGTTGGGCACGTGGATGACGAGGATGTTGGCAATGGGAGCTTGAATCTGGCTGCTGCTAGCAGAGTAGAGAAACTCATACGGTGGATTGGAACTAACAGAATGGTCAGAGCCGCATGCAATACAGAAAGTGGTACAGTTTTACGATGGTTTGCCGGCAGGGAGCCTGACTGCACGCCAAGCAAATATCGTAATCATGTGCGGCCGTGTAACCCAAAACACTAAAAGGGAAGCTATGAGGGAGGAAATGGAGGGTGACGCGGATACTTCTGGAATTCTCAGATTGCCGTGCATGCGTCTTGCTTGCATCGACGCAGCCCAAAGAGGAGCTGGCTGCCAAGTCAGCCTCACTCTCGGGAGCCTTTCCTTTGAGCCGGACATGAATAAGTTTCAGAGTTAAGGGCATTGGGTTAATGCGCCAAAGCGACGACACCCCCGCGAACAAGTCCCATGGTATCCAAAGTGGGCGGCACAAGGTCATGGCTGGGAGCACACGACGGAGGGATGACGGCGAACGTAGCCACTAGCCATCAGGCATCAGGCCGCTGGCCGTGCAACAGTCACGGTGCTTCCAGTGGGCGGCTGCTCGGGAGGCGCCTTTCTCAGATGCCAGGCGAGAGGCTTCCGCGGCGGCCCCGTGGGCCTCCACGATGGAGGAAGAGGCGTCTCTGTTGCAGGGCTCGCTCGTGCGGCTTCGATCCGGAGTGACAGACAGGGTCTTGGCCAGATGTCAAGCAGTTGGAGCCGGGATCGGCGACGACGCAACGTGCGTGCAAGCGAGCCAGAGATGGCGGGAGGGGAACAGGGGAGACGTGACAGGCTGGGCTGGATCCTGGGCAACCAGGGGCCGCAGCCTCTCCCAGGGTGTTCCAGGGCGTTGTTGAGGCCGCGGGGTGAAGCAGATCGCAGCTCTGCTTGTGCGGTGCGAGCCAATCGGGACCATGCTAATTGGCATGCACAAGGTGTGTCCCATCAGTTCATTTTAACGACCTCCTCAGGGGCAAGTCACGGCAGTTGCCAGAGGTGTTGCATTGTTGAGCACTCGCAGCGCAAATTGGAGCAGCAGGCATCTCTGGCAACCGACAGAAGGCATCGCGAGGGTGCTCCACTCTGCTAGCCATAACATGGCACGAAGTCCGGAACGCGACTGTGAATAGGGGCAGAGGCTTTTATTTGGTTGTACGAAGACTCACTAACATACGAAACGCTCCAGCAGGACCTCCAGCCTTGGAAGAAAGAATCGCCGGGCTGGTTACACTGCGTATAATTACTTTTGCTGCCTTGTGAGCTGATTCGCGCCAAGTGCATCAATCAGCGAAATGCGCTTTCATGCCCGATGGACAGACACGAAAACCCGTGCTGCGCGTGCAGAGGAGTGTGCCGAGAGTGCATCTGGTGTGAGGTTTGCAGCACGCTGCTGCTTTGAGACGACCACACGGCTCGGCAGTCGACGATGCTGGCCGACGGCGAACGCTGCAGATGAGCGGCCGAGTGGCCCGGCGCCGGCGAGCAGACCGCGCAGTCGTCAACGCTGGTGAAGCCGGGTAGGGCCCACGGCCAGGATCGCGCGAATCCGCACGTTCCACCCTGCTCCTTCTCCTGCCGGGTGGGCTCCCGAGGTCTGCTTCAGCGGCGGGTTGGGGGAGAAGTTCGGGATGCGAGAGCGGGAGGTGACGATGCTCATCAAGGACAACGCCCTCGCCTCCAGACGCCCGCCGGTGGTGGAGGTTGCACGAGCGGCGGTGACGGGACGGGCTTCTAGACGCCTTCGGCTTGGGGAAGCAGCCGAACGATCGCCCTCTGCCGCTCCACCTGGCCCAGTCGTTAAGCTCTCGCGCTCCAGGGCTCCAGGGACGGGCCAAGGCGTGCGCTGCCACGTCCATCCTTGCGGCCCCCAGCCGTCGCCGTCAACTCTCCCGGCAGATCATGCACACCAAGGCCCTCCCCTGCCCGAAAATGCCGCTCCCTCGGGCGAGCACCGCAGTTCGGCGAAAGGCTGCCTCTCCTTCTCATCTGCATCTGCCCCTCTGCACCTCAGACCGGGCGCTTTCGTTTGTCGCGGCCAGTCCTGCGGCCGCTCTCCGCACTGGCTGTCCTGTCGGGTGCCAGCAGGCGACGCTGCAGGATGCTGTCATCTCCACAGCCCGACGCTGTGCGTGTGTCGTATCCGGGAGCCCGGGACAACTCTTCCTCTGGGCATCGTGCGACAGCCATCCCATGTCACGAGAGCAGCTCCCAATACCAGCGCCCTTTGACGGCCCTTGGTCAATCTCCAGCCCCGCCTATCACGCCCGCGAGCCACGCGAACGGCGGCACCATTGGACCGCCTCGTGGAGGATCTGGTATCACCCGTGTGAAGGGCTGCGCGACCGCGGGCGGCGCGGCGACGCTGACGAGGCGACGATGGGCTGCCGATGGTCGCCACTGGCGAGAATAGACACGAATAGCGGTGATGGCTGACGCTGGGCTGCTGACTGCGGATGAGCGACGAGATGATGGCTGATGGCGCGGGAGGATCCGGTTGCCAGGGTCGTCGACGGTGCTCTCTGGGAATCGGCCGCGACCCGCTGTATCGACGATGCGGTGCCGCAGTGATGCCGCGAGTGCAGACACTGGACGCCGGAGGAATGCGAATCGGCCGCGTCGATGCGGAGATGTGGCGCGCTGCTTCGAGAGCGCGTCGTCAGGTCTTGCGTGTGGCCCGGTAGAGAGAGTCCTTGGGCGGGAGTCCTGGAATCAACGCCTGATTATGGAGACGCCTAGCTGCGACGCCTGATTCTGACACCGCGACTCGGCTCCGTCATCGGGCGCGCGCCGGGCTGGGAAGCTGGCATCTCTAGCATCTGCTTGCGGGTGGTGAGTGGTGACAGCGCGCCAACGTGGGCTCCCAGGTTTGTGCTAGGCGGGTCTGCATTTGATCGACCCGCACCAGATCATCCTCCACACACAGCGCGCCAAGGCTATGGCGAAAAGCCGCCATCCGCCCTCACGGGCATCGCATCCTGCACCTCCACTGCAAATCCGCTGCAGTCTCGACGCCCCCAAGCCCGCCGCAGATTGCTAAACGGAACTGCTGCTGCACGCAGCGCGCCAGCCTCGATCCGCTCTCTTCCCGGCGACATGCTCCACTCTGCTGGCTTCGTTCTTTTTGCTTCCCGCGCTTGCCTGTCCGCCCACGCTCCGCGCCCCCAGGGCTCCCTGAAACGCATGCCCTCCGTACCTAGTCGCATTTCTGTACCTACGTACGCCTGTCGGCGAGGCCGCCGAGCCCCCGGACGGGGACATCGTGAGAGGATCGCGGCATCAGCACCACGACGCCGAGCAGCGAGTCAGATGCGCGGTGCAGCCACACGGCGAGACCACCTGTTGGCTCAGGCCAAACACCGGCGCCAGCGACGTGGAGAGACGAGTAGCCGCTGGACCAAGGACTGGAGCCGGCGTCGACGCCGCCGCCCTCAGATCAGCCATGCGGAGATCGTCGTTGAGCGCCCTCGAGCCGTTCGCTCGGAGGTTTCCAGCCAGACTGCTTGACACTGCGCGATCAGCGGCCGGCGGCCCAGCGCGCAGTCGAATAGACTGCTTCTGCAGCTGGCGGTGGGCGCCTCGCTCGCCTGGGAGCACGCTTTTTCTGGCACTACACCCCAGCAGGGCGGGACGCTTATTGCTCCCACCCCAAGGCGGCTGGCGCAGACTAAAGTGCCGTGTGTCCTCTTCCCTCTCCAGGCGACACGGCCCAGGACGGCAGCCAGGGTGCTTAAAGCGTGAGGCCTGTCTCTTCTCTTTCGGTCGTCTCATCCATGCGCCCTCGCTGCGTGCTGTCCCGTCGAACCACCTGCCCGCGTCCGTTTGCTCTCTCGCCGTCGCCCGATCGCTGCCGCTGCCGCCAGCCGCCTTGTCGAACGTCGCCGCCCTCGCGCGCCGTTGCAGCTGTGTTGTGTTGTGCTGTGCGCGGTTTGCAGCCCGCTGGCCGATCTCACGTCGCACTGTCGCCGTGTCCCGTGCGCGTCACGTGCTGCTGCCTCAGGCCCACCACACCATCCTCAACCACCACCGGCCATCGCCAGCTCTCCGATCGAGCCGTGGCCTGTGTCATTCGCTGCTCGAGGGACCCGAGCCCTGGGAGCGCCGTCCAACAGACTCACGCAGCGTCGCCGCCAGGAAGCACCCATCCATCACCCATCACCACCTATCACTAGTGCTGTCACGCACTCCGCACCCGCCCAGCAGCCTGCCATCCCAGCGGCGCCCGCCTCTGTCGCTCTAACCGAGGACTCTATCCGTCACGCTGGACTCGTGGGAGCTTTCGCCGCCGTGTCGCTCCGCCGGCTACGCTCCTGGTCGATCTGCGGCGCATCGCCGCCTGTCCTTGACGCGCCCCTGCTCGCGTCATTCCCCAAAGCGCTCGACAGCCGGCGCGGTATAGATTGTCCGGCCGGGGTGCGTGTGGATCTCCGTCCCTGCCCGAGAGCCTGCTGGCCGCAGGGAGGGCGCTGCTCCAACGCTCGTTGCGCCGCCAGCCTGCACTGCCGTTGCGAACGCTGAGCGCGGCCAATTCTCTTATAACGGGCCGCCCTCGCAACGTCGCGCCAGTGCCTATCGCGACCGGGGCCCTCGTCCAGCCTGCGCCGCTACCCTGTCCCAAGACCCACCCTGCTGGCAACCGTTTGGAGAGACGTGCTGTGTACTTGAACCCTCACCAGGCCCGCTGCCCTGTCCCGCTGTCGCCGCATTAGCCTCCGTCACGGCTCGTCGGCTGCTCCATATACTCCTCCAACGCCCTCTCTGCAGCGTCTACAAGGCCGCCTCCCAGCCCACCCGCACGCCCCGCCGCTTTGCTCGCTGGCCCGTTTCGAATCTCTGGTCTGCTCTCTGGTCTACGTGCTGGCCTGCTCGCTGCTCCGCTCTCTGCTGCCTCCTCTGCTGCGATCTATGAGAAATGCAGCTTGCTAGCATGGTGCACGCCAGCGGGAGGGATCGCGAGGTGTACGACCATCGTCAACACCAGCAGCATTTCTACGCTCACCAGAACCGCCACCACGTCCCCACCGACGTCCCCCAGCCGCCCGCCCACCACTACCCCCAGCACCAGCACCACTCACAGCAGGACTACCACTACCGCGCGCCGCAGTCGCCGCCCTCGCCGCCCGTCGAGGAGGCGCACAAGCCCTCGCTGCCCTCGATATCGAGTCTGCTGGGCATCGCGGATGGTGATAGAGCCAATTCCGAGACCGGTAAGCATCTTTGGCGCATTGCTGCGTGACCTCGCATTGTGCGGCCTCCCACTGACAGCCCACAGCCGGAATGAGCCCGCACCAGAGCCAGCAGCAGCAGCAGCCGTCGCCCTCGACGCAGCATCCGCCGCAGAACCCGATCTCTGCACAGCAGCCAGAGAGCCGCCCGGAGCAGACAGCGCAAGCTTTCGGTCCAGCGATCGTGAGCAACCCCAGAATGACTTTGCCGCCGACGCCTCCCATGCAGCCGGAGTCCGTCGTTGACGGGAACCAGTCTCCATCCGCGGCCTCGACGCAGTCCTCGGTAGCGCCACAGCCGTACTATCTCGGCCAGTCCCTCAACAACATGGAGCCGCACCAACAGCGGCAGCACGTCCCGAACCCATCCATGATCAAGCGCCATTCACTCCCCTCTCAGCAATCCATGTCTCCGTACAACGCCTCTCCCTACGTTACCTCTCCGTACGCCTCCTCGCCCGGTGCGGCGTCTACTGGATCCTTCTACTCACCAGAGACTCATCCTTACCCTGCTGCTGGTATGTATCAGCAACGACCTCTCCCATCAAACTTCGCGCCCCAACAGATGCCCATGCCAGTAGCATCGAACCCAGCGAACCCTGGCAATCTATGGCAGCATCATCACTACATTAGTCAGTCTAGCCAGTCCGCTTTTCCTCAGTCGCCGGACCGCTATATCTGCCCGACCTGTAACAAGGCCTTCTCAAGACCAAGCAGTCTGCGCATTCACAGCCATAGCCACACAGGCGAAAAGCCATACAAGTGCCCTCAACCTGGGTGCGGAAAAGCATTTAGCGTGCGCAGTAACATGAAACGGCACGAACGCGGCTGCCATGCCGCTGGCAACGTCATGTCAACATCATGATGATTTACGGGAAAAAAAGAGCGTAACCTGACAACACACCGAGACGAGTGCGATCTAACGGCGTTTGTGGCGCAAAACCAATGCTCGGCGGGGAAAGTTTTTCATTGAAAGAGTGTTATGTCATTCGTTTTGGCTGTTGAAGTCTAGCTCTATACCATGTGTGCAAAGCACCGCGGACGGCGTTCTGCGGTGAAGAAATGGCGTTTGTGTATTGCATTTCTTGTCTGCATTTTCTCCGGCGTTGTCTCTGGTGTGTCTATTCTCCACCCAATGTGTGCGCTGCAAGACAAGGTCATTTTGTGAAGTATGGATCTTCCGCTCGTACTAGCCCTTGCTTTTCGGTGTTTTCTTTCGCTTGGAACAGACGTCCAACACCTGGCGGTTATTGGGCCACACCATTTTGATTCCCCATCGTCGAATTATTCGTGTACATTAGGGATTGTTGGGTTCTATGCGATACAATCGTGGGAGACCCAAGAAAGCAATTCAAGCTGAACACACTACCTACATTCCTTGACGTGGGTTTGCCTGTTCGCTGACATGCGCTGACTCGGTTCGCTGGAACGAGCGGCACGCCATAATCCTCCCGCGTGGAATGTGAGGCCCCTTTGTTGCATTAAAGAAGGTCATGGCGCTGTCTGCTCACGACATATTAAAATTCCTATGAACGAGGATTCACTGAGCTAAATCTACGAGTACTAGATCTAAAATGAGCAACATGTTCCCACCTACCGGAGACCAAAGGGATCAGCATGATGTCTCCCATCTCAACAGCACGGCTTGTAAACATCAGACTACGGCTGGTAGCTTGTATTCAGCCAAGATGACAGGCTGTTTGGCTTGCGAAGCTGCTGGAACGAAGCACAGAAGTGAAGTATGCAGCCTGGATTCTAGACGCTCTTTCTCAACCAAGAATGAGGGCTTTTTTTGATACGGCAACTGTCTTACGAGTACTTTTTCCAACAAAGTACATAGATTCTCTCTAAAGCCTGCGGACACTCTCATACACATTTTCCCCATCGCTTAGCTAGTTTCGACCCGTTCATTCCATGGCAACTTCACACCTTCATATCCACAACGACCCTACAACGCGTGGCGATAGCCAAACAACCAGCCTTTGACAAACACATATCAATCGAGAGAGCGGGCATGCGAGCATCGAGTCTGAACGCTACAAATCCGGACTGCGTTAGCAGGGACGCCTTAGCTACTCCCTTGCCTCGGAGTGGAATGGACGTACATACAGCCACAGCTTCATGCTGGCCGACGTGTCACTCTCACCGTACAGCAACATAGTTAGGAACTAGCCTCTGCTTTGAGGCGTGCTCTGCCCGTTAGCTCATGTAGATCGTAAATATGTTGCTTCTTAGGATGAATACATGTGTGGGTGGATTTAATCGAATATGCAAAAGCAAGTGGCACCATGATGCACGCTGCTTCAGGGTATCATTATGCAGCTTGACTGATGGGAAGGTAGACGCAGCCAACAAGCTTTGTGCGCTCCTCTAGGATCCACCTTTGAAAGATCGAGAAGGCATATCTACTTAGGTAGCTCATCCCTACGAGACCTTGGGTAGTTGCGGAGATTTCTCCGACGACCTGTCTATTTCATTAAAAAGAAGCAAACCGCCTTCAGTCTTCTCCCAAGCGCTTGGCTCTACATTTACATCTATTACAGCAGGAAACGCATGCTTTCGGAGTATTTTGCTGCAAATAACTTACTGATTGGATAACCATCTTCCAGAAGGAACAAGGACGACGATCACCTCCACTTCGACCCGCCGCATCCCGTAGCCTAAAACTCTTGCATGATTCAATGCATTCCGTACAACACCAAGAAGCCATAACGCAAACTCAAACCCTCTGCGCGCCGCACCGCTTACTACCCGTACCGCATCATGCCATAAATGCCGCACCAGCCGTCTGCGACGGCGTAGAAGCGTCGTCCAAAGTCAGAAGTCCATGACTTCTATCCGCTTATCTACGCGCCACATAATCCTCCCGACGGGACCACACGCTGCGCTCCACAAGTGTCAATCCACTCAGTGCAACGCGAGATGCAGATGAGGCGCCTGTCACCTGTCATCGACCGGCCGTCGGTAACCAGTCACAAAGAACGGTCACATATCACATTATCCGCACATCCCGCAGTCGAACTTTTGGAAGCAAACATCGTAGCATGTGTAAGGCTCGATACGAAGTACAAAGCCACTACTGCATCCATCGGGGACGTGCAAGCGCGACAAACACGCCAGCCTTGCAGCACATCCCAAGCCCAAATCCCAAGCAGCCGAATAAAAAGCAAAAGTAGCCGAACATCGCCATCCAGAACCAGAACCGCATCCGCCATCCCGCCTTCTCGCGTTTGCCAAGCCAGCCTTGCTCGTACTGCGCATGCAGGGCCTTTGAGCTTCTTTGCTTTTGTCCCATCGTCGACGGCCACCTCGCGAACCTGAAGAGATAGTGCGTCAGCGCCTTTACATACTGTGAAATTGAACCCCCATTATTGCCACCCACGCGGAGGCTATATTGGCACTGGTCTGGTCTGGCCTGCATGCGCAAAGTCGGAGGTTACATACGCACTACGCCGCGAACATTACCACTCAAAAAGCAAACAATTATCGGGTCGGGAAGACGCGGATCCGTCCGTGGGCAACCGCGGGGGAGCCAACCGCGCCCGTTGCACGAGAAAAAGCACGAGTGGATGTGGAGGCAGATGCACGCCTCCTGTCTCCAAATGGAAATACTCCGCCTCGCGTGCGCAGATCAGTCCGGTAGACGAAGGGGCACGGCTCGCTTTCGCGTGTGGAACTGGTGGCGGTTGTCCCCGTTTCTCGACGGCCGAGATGTGGGCTTTTGATATCGCTTCTGTTCTCCCTTGCGTAGTGTGGGTTTCAAGCGGAGTTGTTCTCAGTTTGCATGAGCGTTCAACTATGCGTATCGACAACGACCCAGAGCCTTTTGCAGTTGGCGCCAGAAATGGAGGAAAGAACACTGTAGCTCAGCGACGTGCCGGCAACATGCACGAATACTAAGGTAACCAGGCATCTACTGTCGGACGAGATTTAGCCATACATAGTGAGATGAACTCAGAGCACGCCAGCAATCTTCGAAGTATCTCTGTCAAGAGTTCGGATCTCTATCATCTTCTATATTACCTCTTGTCCTATTCAGGTTCTTTAAACATCTTTCCGTCGTCCTGCACATTCAAGTCAAAAGCTGAATACCTCGCCTCAATCACGTGACCTTTTTCTATTTCATCCCCCTCTTCTTCACCACGATACACAACCTCCTTTCCACATCTCCTCTCCCACATCCCTCATCTCACCGCACCACCACCTCCCTATCTAAGCCCTATAACAGCGCCTATATAACCCCTTTAATCACTTCAACGGGAACCACCTCATCCGCGGTATCCGACACCCCCTAACAGCCCAATTTCGGGCCGCGTCCAGGGTCCAACGCAGGGCCGACGGGCAATGCGAAGAGAGCCGGCCGACATCATGGGCCCAACCTAGCGGATTGCTGGGTGCTGGGCTCCTACAAACGGCAAGCAAGCGACCACTTCCCAGAAATCCCTCCGCAAATGGAAGCAATTCGAGCGGCGGGCAGCTGCATGGGGGCGAGCCTCGGCAACTGTGCGAGATGTCGTTTTAAGGTGCTCTCGCGGTGCGACGGGGCAGCGCGTGGTGTGGGCTGCATTGCGGATCCGCCGCCGCGCGAGTGGGACGGGCACAATGCAGTGGTACGCTACGCATGCTGTGGGATGGGGGAGGGGTGGGCTAGCGTTGTGGTGGTGAGCCTTGGGTTGTGCGACGGGGCGGCGGTGGGGATGGGGTTGGTTGTGTGACGCGGGTGCGAGGCTGTCGTGCGCGGTTGGGCACATAACGGGGCTGCATGTTTCAGGCGGCTCCATGAGTCGTGAGGAGATGGATGGGATGGGTTTTTTGTGACTGAGGTCTCTGCGTGCGGGCGAGCGGGTTGGGCTGGGGAGGCTGGTATAGGGAGTTTGAGGGTTCAGAGAATACGATGTCGTCGGCTAAGGCTGCTGCAGGGTTAAACGCTGCAGCAGCCGCGCAGCGAGACGATGATGATCTGACGTTCTGGAAGAATGAGGCGGGTGGGGGTGTGGCCTTGCGCGGAAGACGCTGTAGTGGAGTTCTACGCAGTGATGAACGGGGCGCTCGGAGAGCGAAGGGATGATGCTTGTATATGCCATGTGGACGGTCAAATGTTGAGAGGAAAAGGGGAAAAAAATGCCTGTATAAGCCAGGTGCCCGCTAGACGTCTCACTTCTGCTATTGCTTAACCTGAAGCTGTCTATGGGGCCGGGAGATCCCCCGTAATGTCTCGCGTCATAATGCCTAAATAAATTTCTCCAAAAAATATCCACATCCAAGACCCGTGTCACGTGAGGCTGTCCGTCTGTGTGTTACACTATAGCTCCCAAATCGAGTCGACCGACTCCGGCGGCTCCTCTGAACTAAACAATGATGCCATCCATGCGGTTCCCCACCACACTCCTGTCTTCTTCGACTCGCCGGGTAGGCGGCACTGCTTGACCTCCTCCGCGGTGACATTCTGCCACTCCTTCAACGGTATCCATCCAATGTACGCGCGGTCGCCGAAGCCGCCGATCCAGTAGACTTCCTTCACGACCAGCCGCACCCACTTGCTCTCGTGGATCCGATTTCCGGGCAGCCACGCGTGTGCGTCCGGGTGGTACTTCACGAAGCACCCAGCGACATGCCCGCTCTTCGCCTCCTCCTCACTCAGCTCCTCGAGGTGGCCAACGAGGGAGAACCGCGGCAGGGCAGCCGCGCTAATGTGCACTGGAGGCTTGAAATGCGAGAATGGCGGGACCCACCGCAGGGATAAGGTGATGTTGCTCCCGGCAGCGACGTTCTTGAACGAGGTTGCGATAGAGATGGCGAGGATGGTGGGGTTACCCGTCGCAGGCTCGCAGTCGGCGAAATAGTCCATTAGCCCTATCGGGGCGCCGGCGACATCTGAGGGTCGGTTTTCTGTTGGCCATGGGAGCTGGGAGGATGGAAATATGGTTGACAAGGTGCCAATGGAGGTAAGGTGGAGGATACGACGAGCTTGGATGGCGGACTCGTGGAGGGTAGGGATGCGATAGGTCGTCGAGGAAGGGTCTTCGGGGTTTGAGAATATGTGTTGAGGCGATGGGAGCGAAGATGCCCAGGTGAGGCTGGCTAAGAGGGGCAGTGGAGCTAGAGAGAAGCGCATGATCAAGGTCGCTGGCCGCAGCCGGAATGGTTAGTGAGCTGCTAAGAGGTACGAGAAGCTGGAGATCAACTGGCAGAGTTCAGTGAGAAGCAAGACAAGAAAGACAGCGGTCTGGAAGAGGCGTTGTTGAGGCGTGAAGCAGGAAGTTGATCGTTGATATCATGAAACGGAGCTGGAGGCGGAGTTGGGCCGAGCATTGCCGTTCCGACAGCGCACGTGAATTTCTCTACCAAAGTTCGTCTTGATGGGTCTCAGCAAAACTGAGAATAATATCCTGAAGTTTGATACATTCCTCGTAATAACTCTTTCAAGTGAACTCGTATATCTCTTCAAACGTTGGAGAAGTTGGTGCTGACATCGAGTCGTCTCCCCGCACTGTAACATTCATACTGATATAGGCATATTAAGTCACGCTACTATAGATTTCACGAGAATTACCAGTGACTCAGCTCTCGCTTAAATCCAACAGCGATTTTGACCTCATCGTCCGCAGTGTCTAAGAGTCACCACCCACAATCAAGACACCCGTCGTCCATCCTGTAAGTCTATCGCGGCATCTCAAAGAAACCATTGCGCTGCTCCTGTTACATTCCGACTCTGCGCATTCTCGCACCTCTTCAAACAACCGACTAACACTCGATTCGCCACCCAGAAGAACTCGACACCCACAAACCGCAATCATGGGAAAGGTCCACGGATCCCTCGCTCGTGCCGGAAAGGTCAAGTCGCAGACACCAAAGGTACGCTAAGCTTAATACATTGAGAGATTGAGGACGGATGCGGGGATGAACAAACGGAGGCCGAAGACACATGAACACTGCGGCGCTGGAAGCAACACTTGCTGACGGAGATGTATCAGGTCGAACCCCAGGAGAAGAAGAAGACCCCCAAGGGCCGCGCCAAGAAGAGAATAACTTATACCCGCCGATTCGTGAACGTCACGATGACCGGTGGCAAGCGAAAGGTACTAGACAGCCGGATACCAAATTCCTGGAAGTTGCAGAGTCTAATAGTCGAGCAGATGAACCCCAACCCGACCACATAGACAATTTCAACGAAGGGAAGGGGACGGAGAAGGACAAAACAGAGCGGTGGGGGATTTCCTGATGATTTCTTGATTCTCGGAACTGGCTATGACTCTGGATCAGAGGCACTGGGACTCACGTCGCCAAGGTGGAAACGTCAGATTCACCTGATGATGCAACCCCATTCTTTGGAGGAAAGGGCATACTCTCGGCGTATGTTGTATATTGGGCATCAACGGGATCTTTTATCAACGAAGCTCCTTGTTCTCTCTCTTGAGTCTGCATGCATGATTCAAGCGTGCGTATACTTGTTTGTGAAGATGTCTTACCTTAGACAGATAGGGCTCACGTTTCAATACCGCATTCTTGGGCACTGAGGACTCGTTCAAGAGAACATTTAGAATACTTACTTCAGCTCTACGTTTCCACGGATAGCCAACAACACCGCATTTCAAGGACCAACCGTTCTCTCCAGTCGCAAACCCTCAAAACTACGCAATCCAACGGCCAAGCACCAAGGCAGTTGAAGCTCCCAAGCAGCCCCTCAAAGATCGTCTTCCTCACGCCAATCTCTTCTTCGAGCCTCCTTTTCCTCTCGTTGATCATATTAGCCTTGGCAGTTATCTACTTGCGCATCCACCGCAAATGTCCAAGATCCATAGACTTCCATAAGAACAGCAGCAAGGCGATGGGAACGAGAACAGAGCCGGTGGCAAGAACAATATACACACTAGTCTTATGGTCGTACGAGGGGTTGTCATTAAGATACGCCAGTAAGTCCGTAGGCTTTCACGAGCGAGTCAAATACCGCGAGACGATCAGATAGCATACGCTGACTAGGGCTTTCGTCCCAACCTCAATCGTTCTTGTCACTCTCATACCCTCTTGAGGTTGATGGCCACTGCACTACCCACTCTATCATTGTGTATAGTAGCTGTGTACCAATGTACGTTCACTAAATAAGCACCTGAGATGACATCGTATTCGCCCACCTCACCGTCGTTGGATATTTTTCGTCCCGAGAAGAAGATCCAGGCAAAATTACAATACACCTACTCTAGTGCGCGATCAAGGTAAATGCAATGACGAAGGTAGATCTATTGCCGTTAGCTTGTTATGACCAAGTCTTCTGGAATCTTTTGGCTTTCTTCCTTCTGTCTTCGGTGACATTTCACCTGAGTGCCTGATTCAGCCAATGAGGAGACTGGCCGATTACCTAAGCGAGTTTATATTCACCACCTCTTCACAATAGCAAGGTCACAATAGCAAGCGTCAATAAGGTAGATAACGGCCTTCAAAATGTCTGCTCGCAACTTCTACTTTTACAATCTGGACCTCAAACACCGCTCACAACCCGCCTTCCTTGCTTTCACCGACAACCCAGCGACCAACGATCTGTTCTTCCAGCATGTTTGATCAACCGGGCGCCAACTCGACTTGCGATTTCACTGAAATCATGCATTCCATTTTTCCAAAAGCTCCTCTCTCCGCGACTGAGATGTCTCTAGTCATCACATCACAAGACGTCACCAACGCAACTCCTGATAGTCTTCAAAAGATCGAATCAGTTCCAATCTACATCGAGCCCGACTACGAGTACATCACCAGCGCACCTGTCAACGTCCTGTCCCAATATTGCCCAAAATTCTTCAACTATCTTTACCATTTCGATGAGAATCCCGAAACGTCGATTCTTCAGAGGGAAGAGCTAGAACCGGAAACTCTGCAAGAGCTTGATGACGGGGATTGCATCCGCCTTCGCGGGAATAGTCTAACCAGCTATGGTGTCTCCTACCTCATCACCTGGTTATGCGAAGCTGCGCGAACAAACCAATCCAAACCCATCGAACTGGGACCGATGGTATCAAACTGCATCGATATCTACCAGGCTTTCAGCTTCTTCGGTTTCCATCAAGAGTGCGAAGAATATGGTCGCTACATCGACATGAGCATCTCAAACTCCTACTCGCAATTCCAGCTGCCTGCGGAGCAAGTCAAAGCAATCTGGGAGCGTCGCAATCTCCCCGGCAATATTCGCTTCACGAACCGCCTTGTTGGCTTGCTCGTCGACCACACTCGTCAATGTATCCTGTTGGAACAGCATCTCATGAGGGAAGAGCCTTTGTACAATCCCACGCATCCATCGCGCCAGCTTATGAGAGAGATCACGGCGTACTTGACGGAAAACTACGAACTCAACTCATGCGTTATGGCTGCCTACAAGCGCATGTACCGACCACCTCCGTCCTTCTGTCCTCTCAACCGCCAAGTCGCTAATTCAGCGTTCATTGAGGGTCCCAAGGGGCCGACCGAGAGGTTGGCGCCAGTGTGCTGGCTTGGTCTGTGCACGGCCTGCGTGGAAGTTGAGGAGGTTGACTATATGGTGCGAACGGTGCCGGCCTCCACATGGGCTTCTCGAGCTAGGGCGATTTGGGCACAGAATGCAGAGTTCAAGAGGCGAGAGGCAGAAATAGTGTCGCAGATGGAGAAGCTACAGATCCACACCAGCAACCTTGGTTTCTGCTACGTATGAACGCCGCAGAGTCTTCGAAGCCTTGTCCTTAGGAATGGAGATCTGATCGGCTGAGTTGCTATATGGGCTAGGAAAACGCAGCATTATGGACGGCGCTGGAGTCTGGTATGGCTTTTTTTTTTCGGTATTTTATCCACGGTCTTCATAACGACGACTAGCATCCTTTTGCAAATTCATCTTTGCATCAACATTCAGAACTCCAGCGTATCATGTCGATTTGAGCCCATCAGTGCATATTTCGTAGATAAAAAAGCTTTCCTTATTCTCGCCAATTTCCCTTACACACTTACGAATCGACGTCGTGTTAGCATCCAGTGCAAAAGTTTTAGTGTATATGTACTTTCATGCTACCGCTTAGCATGCTTGTGTGTAGTCCCCAAATTTTTGACAAGATACACACTCAATGTTTTGACGGGCTTGGTATCTTTTGGTGGGTCATTAAACAACTGGAGCTCATTACGCACACGCGCTCTGTGAGAGGATGAAGTGTTTATACGCCCTGTAAGTGAATGACATTACTACTTATCCACATCGAATATGAAGAGGGGTACATACTGTACCGATCACCCTTGAGTACCTATATCAAATCTGATAGAAGACGCTGAGCATCCCTCAAGTCAGCAAAACCGAGCCTACAACAGTCCATTGTCATAATCCCGCCTCTTCTTCTCGTCCGAGAGAATCTCATTTGCCAGGTTGATGTCAGTCATCTTCTTTCCGGCCGCCTCTTTCTCCTTCTCTCCCCCTTGAACACGGTCCGGGTGATTGTCTCTGGCCACCTTGTGGTATGCCTTCCTGATCTCGGCCGCAGTTGCGTTGCGGGTGAGGCCGAGGACCTCGTAAGGGTCGATCTCCAGTTTCGGCTTCATACCCTCGAATTCTGATCCACCTCCACCGAAACCCCCACGGAATCCACCTCCACCAAAGTTCCCGCGGAACCCACCTCCACCGAAACCACCGCGGAACCCGCCGCCGTAGCCACCTCGAGGCCCGCCGCCAAATCCACCTCGAGGCCCGCCGTCGAAGCCACCGCGTCTACTCGAACCAAAACCGTCACGACCTCCAGGTCCTGAGTTAGAGGTGCTGAAGCCTCCTCGACTACCAAATCCCGACTTCGAGGTGCCGAAGTCCCCATAACCCCCAGGTCCTTCGCCATCGCTGTCGGAGTCCTCTCCCCATCCTCCTTTGTACGAGGAGCCGCTGGAACTACGGCCTCCACGAGGGTTGCTTTCTGGACGGCTGCTCCCCCAGCGGCTGCTATCACGGCCCCCGCGAGCACCATCAAACCCGCCACGAGAACTGCCAAATCCAGAGGGCCCTCGGGCTCCTGGGGGAGGCCCGAACGGATCGAAATCGAAGTCGTCGTCGTCTCCAAGGCCGCTACCCAGATCTTCGTCGTCATTGTCGTAGTTAGGTTCGTAGCTCTGGTCCATATTATCCTCCTCGTACGCGAATTTGTTGAAGGCATTCACGTTGAAACTGTAGGCGCCGAAACCACCGAAACCAGGCACTCCGTCATAGCCCTCATAACGGTGTCCACGCTGACCACGCAAATCAGCAGCCATCGAGCGCTTGAAGTCGTGGTACCACGTATGCCTAAACTCCTGGATCCACCAGGCATCCATCTTGCAGAACTTGACGATCGGCCCATCCCGGTTCAGCGCTTCGTCGATAATGCACATGACCGTGTAGAAAACCTGTTCGTGTACACGCATGAGTCCGCCGCAGTCGATGTGTCTGCCGAGCTCGATTTCCAAGAAAGTGTGGGCCAGGGCGTGGAGAAATCGTCCCCAGTGCAAGGCCGGACCGTGTACACGGGCGTTGACTACGTTCATCATGATGCCCATACGGTCTCGTTGGATTCTCCGCACCAAGGAGGATATATTCGGTCGATCCTCTCCCATGGTAAGGTAGACTCGGTGCGCCAGCTCGGAAGAGAAAAGGAAGGTATCCAACGAGCGGAAAAGCTTGAAGTAGAAGCTCCTCTTCGGTGGCCTGCCAAACGCATTCAGAATATTGTTGAAGGCGCGTCGTATTTCTCGCTTCTCCTCTTCTGAATGGGGACCGAAGATTTCCATGTACATGTCTCCCAGTACCTCGATCTCTGATTGCGGTATTGGGAAAGGGCGCAAGAGTGGCGAGTTCCGAGGAACTCGCTCTTTCATTAGCATTTCGCGGCAGATCTGCGCCTGGGACATGCCAGTGTGGCCAGCAGGTCCAAAAGGATAGCCATACATAGCGACTGAATGTCCCTTGAAGATTGGTGTGGTGTGTGTTGTATGCTTGGTGTTACAGCTTTTGGCTCTTGCAGTAGCTGCTTATCTAAAAAAGATGACAGTTAGAAGCAGTAGTTAGTGGGTGGTAATGGTGGGAGAGGTGGAGAGCAAGTTGAGGAATATAAGTACCAAGATTTGTCTTCTACGGTTTTATACGCGTTCTCGAGGCTGCCGACACTCCTTGTTACGTGGCGTGGGAAGTGAAGGTAGAGGCTCTGAAAGCAACGTTTGCAGATGTCAAAGGGAGATTTGTGACTCGCTATAGTAGCTGCAACGGACTTTGGCAAACCAATCACAGGCCATCCCAAGCAGCGGTAAAAAGCGTTGAAAGACCTGTTGTTTAGCAACTTATCATGCTGTGCTGTCTGGCTTCGGTCGTCGAGAATTTAGTGACGCTGTCTGCGCCAGATTTAGCGTCACCGCATCTCCTTCACCATGCTCTTCTCGTTGATCTGCTTTTATTTCTACCCACAGCGGAACGTGATCACTCGGTCCCCTTTCTTCCGCGCTGTCCAAGATGCCGGTGTCAAGAACATGTCCGGCTTCGAAAAAGCGTCTACTACCAATGATTAGATCTACCCGATCACAGCTGCTACCCCAAGGTACGCCTCGTGGAAAGTAAGTATATCGTCTCTCAGATCCTTTCAACTTCCTCCAAACATCTGCTGCTCGTAAACCGTCTTCGTCGTCAAAAAACTTGTCGTTGAAGTCTTGCCAGTTCTTGACGTGCTCTTCGGGGAATGTCCGTAAGCCTGGCCAACCATCCAGTAGACTTCTCGCAACGTTTAAGTCTCCAGCGAGGATTACGTCCCAGTCAAGTGCTTCCATGCTCTTGCATTCTTGGAGTAGTAGCTTGTGAAAATCAAGCTTGCGGTCATGCCTGGTACCGATTACTGCTCCCGTGGTCGGAGATCGATATGCGTTGTTCGTTCCATTGACAGCATAGATGTTGAATATGGCAATCTTTTGCTTCAACTCGATGATATGAACTCGGCCCTCTAAATCCCAATCGACATCTCTGATATTTACAACGGAGCAATCAAAGAAATCCGAACGAACGATACTGGCGATACCGTATATTTTCCCTCCGAAACCCCTTGCGTTATGGGCATCTCGGGGAAGCGTGAAATGCACTATGTAGCTTGGGCCATCATCAACGGATTGACAAGGTCGATTTACGGCAATGCGAACGGCCTTTTGAGTAGCTTCATCATGCTGGTTGATCTTCACCTCTTGTAAAAGGAGGAGCTGAGGCCAATGATGGCGATGAAGCAATGCGCGGAGAGAGCATTCCTTGAAGGTGGTAGAAGAAGAGGCTGTCGTAGCACTTTTAAAGAAACTTGTTATTGTTTGCTGCAGAAAAGGTCTAATTCCATTGATGTTCCACGCGAAGATGCGAATGCTTCGAGAGCTGTCTGTGGGAACTGGCGTTTGGTCCTTCGGATCGGCGTCAGACGGCGCAGAGAGCTTCCTCCGTTTGCGAGGTGGCGGGCTGATCTCTCGATCCATGTCGCTGATTTACCTTAATCTGCTAGCTTTCTAGGAGCAGTCGTTTGTTGATGGAGTTTGATGAGGAGTGGAGGATATCGGGCTAAGGAGGCCGAAGGCGAGAATAGGCAGCGTCACGTGATCCCGGATCAATACTTTAGAGTAAGATCACTGGGTGGTTACTTCGAAAGGAACTAAGCAATCACTGCTCTCAGCATGTTGTTTTAAATTCAATGAAAACATAGAAATCATGGAAACTAGTTCTCAACCAGGAATGTTCTGCCAGCAAAGAAAACTCATATCAAACCCCTAACCCATCACCAAAAGAAATCCATATTTATGTGCTTGCAGTTATGGCCGGTTGGCCACCTCCTTAACAGCTCCAGGAGCTCCAGGGTTGGGTGCATACAGTGTGCCCTCATTCCACTCTTTGCCCTCCATATCCTTCTTCCACGTCGGAGTCCATCCTTGCGCCGGCTTCAAACCAGCTCCCACAAACGCCTGCTCGAAGTCATGCTTGATGTCATCGATATGTTCCAAGCCGAGGCTCACTCGAATCATATCTGGTGTGACGCCGCCTCGAATCTTTTCCTGGTCGGGAATCTGTTGATGGGTTGTCCGCCACGGGTGGATGATGAGTGTCTTCGCATCTCCGACGTTGGCAAGATGAGAGCAGAGCTTCAGGTTGTCAACCACAGCGGCAACCTCGTTGATGTTTCCAGCTACACCGAAGGTAAGAACACCTCCGGCTCCTTTCGGAAGCACTTTTTGGGCGCGCTCGTAGTCTGCATGCGATTCGAGGCCAGGGTAGTTGACCCAAGCGACGCATGGATGGCTCTGCAGCCACTTTGCCATTGCGAGAGTATTTTCGACGTGTCGTTGACCTCGTAGGGCTAGGGTTTCCAGACCTTGGAGGAACAGCCAAGCGTTGAAAGGGGACATACACGGACCTAGGTCACGCATTGCGTCCATGCGAAGTTTGGCCGACAGCGCTTTCAGACCATAGGTCTCCCAGAACCGCATGCCATGGTAGCCATCTGCGGGTTCGGTGAAGCCGGGGAACTTTCCGCTGGCAGACCAGTCGAAATGGCCGCCGTCGATGACGATTCCACCCATTGAAGTACCATGGCCGCCAATCCACTTGGTACAGCTGTGGGTGACGATGTCGGCACCCAAAGAGATGGGTTTGCAGAGGTAGCCACCCATGCCGAATGTGTTGTCGACGATAAGAGGTATTCCGGCCTCGTGGGCAACATTGGCAATTGCCGCTATGTCTGGCACGTTGAACTGGGGGTTCCCAATTGTTTCCACATACACCTTTCCTTTTATTAGCTAACTTGCAAATATGGTCTATTTTGATTAATGGGGGGGCACAAACCGCTCGGGTGTTCTCGTCGATGGCATTCTTGATGTTATTGGGGTCTTGTCCCTCAACAAATTTGCAGGTAATGTTGAACTTCTTCATGTAAACACGGAACTAAAGTCCAAAATTAGTAAAAGCTTCAGCACTCGGAGATACGCAGCATACCTGGTTGAATGTTCCTCCATAGAGATTCATCGTGCTGATGAAGTTCTGTCCTGGTTCACATGCTGATGTGATGGCCATGAACTGATGTACGAGTTAGCTTCGTTGCGCCTATGCTTCCAAAGAACTCACCTGAGCAGCATGGCCAGACGCTGTTGCGACTGCTCCTACTCCCCCCTCGAGCATCGACATGCGGTTCTCGAATACGGAGTTGGTGGGGTTGCCCATGCGAGTGTAGACGTAGCCATCCTTAGACCATGCGAACTTACTAGCACCATCGGCGGCATCTGTGAAGTTGTATGCGCAAGTCTGGTAGAGAGGAAGCGCACGAGAACCATTCACGGGATCTGGTTCTTGAGCGCCATGGAGAGCAAGGGTCTCAAATTCTGGGGTCCTGATAGTCTGTCAGTATGTTATAGAGAAAGCTGGTAGGGGGGGCAAGCTGACTTCGTAACATTACCCAAGTGACCTGATACCATTTTGACAAGGCTTGTTTGATAGGGTTTGATTTTGAAATGTGATAATGTAGTGGAATTATCTACGAGAGCAGTAGTGAGTGGATTAGAGAGATGGAGTGAGGAGGAATCCCTTTTATGTACTATATATAAGAAGTATTTGGTCTGAGCGATTTGGGTGACTGACCAATCGGCAAGGACCCGAGAGTATGCGTTTATTATCTCTAGCCGATCCATGATAGCATTGCCTCGCATGTTATCAGAAGCCGATTGCTCTACATGCCCGTGTCTACGCGGGCTATTGGATGCCGTGAGCCATGTGAGGCAAAGCCCGATAGCAGTCCCCGCTTGAAAACGGCCTCAGCCGAAAAGTATAGCGCGTGAGCGTGTGCCAGCGTCACTGGTACAGGAAAAGCGCATCGTACGTGGACACACTCCGAGCTTTCTGTCTAGCTGGATGCTGAGTCCCAAGAGGACGCATGAGTAGATGGTGGTGAGATGACGACGCTTTTTTTGGCGGCAGGGCGGGTTTCTAGACCTCGGGGCGGGATACAGTCCGTGCATAGAATGATGTATGGCAGGCGAAATGTCTTTCTCGTCATTCTCTTCCTCGAGGTGTATTGTCTTTTGAGGGGTTTGTGCAACGTTCGCCATCTCACAGCTCAATATTCAAATTAATATAGCATGAGAGTGTACTGTTTAAGAGGCTAACTTCAGGTAGATCGAAATCACATCAGGTAGATTATGGATAATAACGTATTCACAGGCTCGTATGTGTGTATCTGATTCTCTTCCGATTCCGTTACGGTCTTGCACTAAAATTTGTGTTCAAGATCCGAGTATCAATAGATGGACCCATGTCGCTCCTCGGGCTCCTGATCTATACAAGTGGTCTCAGTAATATCTGGGATATCTCTCGGATCGTTCAACTTGCAAATCGCATTGATAAAGACGCTCCCATTCCTTTCGTAATGGTTTGCGTCTATTGGGTCCAAAATATCTTGACTAAATTAGAACCCCGAAGAAAAGTAGGTTATGATAGCTTGCTGGGGACTACCAGATGACATCGTCTGAGGTGGCCTGGCGACTTTACAGGTGGTTCAAACCGGTTTACTTTCTTCTTTCCTCAGGTTTTTGAAAATATATCGAGGGAATCCAGACGGTGTTACCACGTTGCTCCGTCATCAGTGGTAGCTGCTTCGAGTGCCTCTTGTATTTGACCTTTCCTTCTGTCAGCACCTATGATGATATCGATGAAGATCGCATGCGTACCTCTCATCCCGTCAATCGCTTCAAAAGCAATCGCGTAATTCTCGAGCGCACTCAGTACGCGCTGTATTCCTGAATAGAGTTCCCCGAGCCCGTTAGCATTTGGGTTTCCATTGTGTGAGCCTCGGTTGACATCACGACTTTTTCGGCAAAGCATGAGCAATGCATAGCTGTTCGGCACGTTTCGTCAGTACGAGTTTGACGACAGTTACGAATCGCGTTCTGGGATAAATACCTGCTTTGCATTGCGCAACAGGCAAATGCCGGCATCGTTCTCGGTGCTTGTATGATAGCGTTGTGATATACAAATGGAAATGAGGTCGTTTCTAATGTTCGCATCGGAGATGGGTATGGGAGAGATTCAAAGAGCCTCGATATCGTTAAGGCCGATTTCAGACAGACCTTCATCGATGGAATATCGCTGGGCGGTGATTCACCGGGTGACGATGCTTCGGAACTAGATGCGGAGGAGGTGCGCCTCATGCGATCAGGAGAGGAGATGGGATTCTGTGAGAAAGGCGAACTGCTACAGCAAGAGGGAGGTGTATTGATGGAGGAAAACTTCGATCTTTCCGTGAGATCGCAGTGCTTCTGAGTAAAAAGCGGAGCATCTTGAAATGCCCTGTATCGGTGGAGCTTAATCTTAGCGCTCTGAAGCTTGATTTGTGCTTGCGCTCGGAGCGATCTTGCGAGCACGCTCTCATCGACGTCGACAAGGTCGCAATATGTGATGTCTAGATTCAGATCTTGACCTTCAATCAGTGAGTCCAACTCGTGATCTAGAGCTCTCATCTGCGCATCAAGCACCGAAGGGCTTCTTCCAGATTCTAGGATGCGTTTCAAGGATATCGTATACTCTGTGCACCTCCAGATCATTTGTTGGGCGTCGATGAATTCCTTCCAGGCCCCAGGGTCTGCTTTAATCGTCGGAAGCGGGGTGGCGAAGGATTGATGATCAATTGCCATTATCGGCGCGGTACTGGAGACTATGGAGCATTGCAGGACAGAAACATACTGCTTTGATTAGCCACTGTGATTCTTGGGATTCTCCGACAAGATCGCTTACTGTCATCCACCAAGCCCTCCGCTTTGCTTCACGATAGATATCGCCAACACCTGTGATATCCTCTTGTAGAGATAACCGGGTTGCGGCATCAAGTGCTTGACTTGCTCTATTTCGCATCTTTGCTAGGTTTCCTCTTTGTGCGTATTCATAGCCGCTGAGCAATAGGTATGCTAGGATACTCTCTAGCTCCACGGGGGTCTTCGGATGGAAAAGATCCCTTCTGAACAATGATGGCTTGCTACTGAGAGCCTCGGCAGGTGAGGTCGTAGACGCAAGTATTTCTGACTCGATCTCGATGCTCTCCATGGCCAACTGTGCGAAGAAGTGGGACTGCCTTCTCCGCAACAGCACGGAATCTGGGCTTTGGGGTGAACTATCATCACAATTCGGTATCAACGACAATATAGCTGATATAGCCAGGCTCAGAGGAGAGGAAGGTTCGAACTCGCGTGAGCTGTCGGCTAAAGGGTTATCCATTGAGACCACGGACTCGGGCGGCGGCAAGACTGGGAAAAACGGATGAATGTAGATGTAATACGCATTCAATCTTGACTAAGAATCAGCTTTTGGACCCAACTCACATACAAGCTTGGAAATGTATAGATAGGGGCACGAATGATGTGTTTAGAAGAAGTTTAGGGTGGAGCTCACATATCTTTGTCGCTTCCGTACATACGTGGCCGGAGTCGATATTCTGCTGATGCATGGATATCATTGAAGATTGAAGTGGAGTTTTCCGAGCTAGATTCGGTTTCTGAGTTGCCAAATATACTATCAAAAATCTGATCGCTGTCTAGGCTCTTCAATCCTGCCCCTGGGGCGATCATAGGCATGATGATGTCGCTGAAGATGTCATCATATGAGCTCCGGTATGGGTCTATCGAACTCGCTAGGTCGAGTTGTGTGAGGTCCTCGAAGGGAAGAAATTGCTCTTGTTGCTCTCGTTGGCCATGAAGTTGAGCACGTTGAGCGGCCTTTTTTCGCGAGACTCGAGGGCCACCGCGGTTGGACTTGGTGTACACACAGGCAACGTCTTTGATGAAACACTTTTACAGCATCAGTTACCGAACAATGCCTAATTACGCTCGGGACGTACATTCGCACAGGTGCTGTTACCGTCACATCGAATGCGCGAAGCTCGACTGTCTCGCCGTCAGCATTGCTCGATATTTTCTCAGCGTAACACGAATGTAAATCTAACTTACCAAGCAAGACAAGCTACCTTGACAGGAGGCTTAGTTCGCTTGCCCTTGCCCTTGCTAGTCGTCGTCATGGCCGTGGTTGGTGTTGGTATTGTGAGTGAGAAGGACAAAATCGAACCAACTCAAAGCCCGAGCAAAGAAGCGCATCAGTCAAATACCTCCTGGAAGACAGGCAAAAGAGAGTACAGCCACATAATAGACGTTTCTCCTGAACCCGAGTGGCATTGATCGTCTGACAATCTCACTATCCCGTGCAAGACCTACATACATATGCGCGCATTAAGAGAGAAAATAGGCCCTGCCAGCGCCAACGGGGTTATCAAAAATGTTTTATCGAGAAAATCATGCGAACTGCTGAGCCAGTGCACCTTTGATTGGCCAAGCTGATGCCCAGGTGGTTGATACATTGTAGAACGCTCCATGCCGGTGCGTCTTGCCGATCGGCATCTGGCCCACTATCCTTCGGCATTGATGACGGCCATGTTATGAGCAGCCGGCATCTGATAGAACACGCCATAGAACTGTAAATAGGTTTTTGTAAGATCGTGAGCTCGCTGGGCACCTCACGCGGCGCCGGCGGAGTTGCGAGTGGCGCTGTTGAGAAATGGATGAGCGAGGAGGGGCAAGTGCAACTAGAGAAAAGGAGTATCACGTGAAGTTAGTTAGTGCTTGGCGCTCCTTCAACTTCTTCACATCATCATTTTCAGCTGGTAATACGCCGCATCAGAACAGGCCGTCAACGTAAGAAACTCTTATTATAAAGCCCTGGAATGGTCTCATATTTTAGCCTATGCACAGTTCAGAAGGCTGTCTTGTGGCGTGGTGCTCTTCTCGTGGTCTTCTCCATCAATTACGAGCTGCAAACAACGCCTCCTTTACTCCTTCAAAAAGACGTTCACCCCGGGCTTCGTATTGACGTGTAACGAGCTTCCCAAAGTTTTAGCGTTCGCACCTCTTTATCGGTTGCGTAAACTCACAATATGTCTGGCCGAGAGTAGCTTCCGACTGGATCGAAATCCATCTATGCTGATGTTAGCGCTTTAGATCATCTTGATTGGTTTCACACACCCTTGATTCAATCAAAGTGTCCCTCGAGAGGTCCGCATAGATGATGCCTTCCTTGTCCCACAATGGCTCTGCCAGAAAGGTTCCTAATGGCCCGACGACACATGAGCCACCATGATTGAGGATAGCATCCGGAGTCCAAGCGGACCCATCGGGCTGGCGATCATGGTGCTCAGGTGTGAACGGTGGATAATCCGTAGGGAAATCGGCCACCTGCTTGTCATGAGTATCGAAAATGAAACCTCTCTAGAGCCTTACCTTGCAAAATTGGTTCACCGAGATCACAAAAGTACGGCCCTCCTTCGCAATGTGCTGCATAGAAGCTATCCAACTGGGCAAGTCATCGGCGTTCGGGGCAATCCAGATTCTTCAGACGTCTGTTAGCATGCTCAAGGACTTAGTCCCACGAAGACTGGCTTACTCGATTCCCTGTTGATACAGCGCCATTCTGGCGGCGGGCATGTAGTTCTCCCAGCTACGCCTCGTTAGATGCATATATAGGTTGCAGGAGCTGCGGCGGTTGGTTACCATATTAGGCCACCGACCTTTCCGATGTCGGTATCCACAACTTTCAGCCCGTCTCCAGAACCGCGGCCCCAAACTAGCCTCTCTGCGGCCGTAGGTATCAGCTAGTCATTGTTAGTAACGGTTATCACTTTGTTAGCCAGCATGAGTGTTGCCTACCTTTCGATGGTTAGAAAGCAACTTTCCATCTCTATCAATGAGTACTGCCGAGCAGTACAATGTACCACCATCTTTCTCGATTATTCCAACAGAAAGAAGGACATTGTTTGCTTTGGCAATACTGAGTAGGATCTGGAACTCTGGAGACTCAATAGCTATCGCAGAGTTGTAGTATTTCGCGAACCATTTTCGACCTGTTGAAGCAACCCGGAGCGTCAGAGCTTTCCTTGATTGGAGGATATAAGAACGATGTACCTCTAGGCTCCCGAGCTCCAATCGTAGCATCAAAAGCGTATCTCCATGGATAAGCCGAAAGAAACCCTTCCCTAAATCCTTATGAGCTTTGTTTTTCATCCGAATTTGGGAAAGGGCCGCATACGGGAAGACTACAAGATCGGCACCCGACCTGGCAGCCTCCGAGGTGAGTTTTGAGACCTTCTCTAAGCTTTCGTGCAGATCGAAGGATACAGGCGCAGCTTGGATTGCCGCTACCTTTACAGTGTGTTCAGGCATTCCCGTCATAGTCCCAGAAAATGTTCAGAGGTGGTGTCTGCGAATCGTCGTCCTTGTCTCTGACGATACGCTTCAAGCAGGCCTCTTTTCTTAAAGCTGTTCTGCCCCGGAAATTTCAAATTCACTCAGGCATAGCCAACGTGCTTTCTGACACGTGGCGAGCCTGTCGGCAGATCGACCCAGACCCCGATACACTTACGGATCAAATGCCGAGTCAAAGCGGGATCTCTTATCGCGCTTAAACGAGGCCTGCAGAGAGCCTACGCGAGCATTCGCCATGCTCCTTTTGCAAGCTATCCCCGCACACTAGTAGATACTGTTTAAAACTAGAAACGGATAGTCGTAGTCTGATTCTAATGCTCTTAGAAAACTCTTACCACTTGATTATACAGCTAGACCTATTGTACTCAAACTATCTACTTCACTCTACCTCGCACGACTCCCTTTAAAAGCTACGAATAGTGAAAACATCCGCCACCATTGGGTATCACTAGATCAAGTCCGCCTTTGACCCTCCGTGAGAACCAAGCGACCTATTCTTGTGCATCTTACCGCCAAAAAGAACACTCCCGCATAAAGCTCAAATGACTACCAGTAAGTCTGGACTATCCGCGAGGCCATGTTCCGCAATTGTTACTTACTATATTACGAGATATCAATTCTATGCGCACACCGCATAATTACTATGCCAATTTGGTCAAACATCAAGAGCTCTCACTGATACCGCACTTTACGCTTGAGTCCGGACATCAGCTTCGTTCAGTTCCTATCGCCTACAAAACATGGGGCACACTCAACGAAAGCGGCAGTAATTGTATAGTCCTTTGCCACGCTCTTTCAGGTAGTGCCGACGCGGAAGACTGGTGGCAACCGTTAATGGGCAGAGGGAAGGCGTTTGACCCTCGACGATTCTTCATATTTTGCGCGAATATGCTCGGATCGCCTTACGGGTCGGCTTCACCTCTTACCATCAATCCTGAGACTGGTCGACAATATGGACCAGAATTCCCAAGGACAAGTGTCCGTGATGACGTTCGGTAAGACCCATGAAAGTAGAAATATCATCGCATATCTAACGCCATGTATTCTAGCATCCAAAAAATGGTGCTTGACCAGCTCGGCGTCTCTGAAGTCGCAGCTGTGATTGGGGGTTCCATGGGCGGAATGGCTACCCTGGAGTGGCCGCTTTGCACGCCTGTCGGATACGTCAAGAACATCATCCCTATTACTACTTCGGCCTACCACAGTGCCTGGGGAATTGCATGGGGAGAAACGCAGCGGATGAGTATCTATGCCGACGTCAAATTCAGCAACGGATGGTATAACCCGGAACCTTCAGGCCAGCCCATTGAGGGATTAGGTACCGCGAGGATGATAGCCATGCTAACCTATCGCTCGCACAACTCGTTCGAAGAGCGCTTCAGCCGTCGACCAGCAACCCGTAGGAAGCAGCCTACGCCTGTGGTACCGACAGGTTTGACAACACCACCGTCACCTTCTAGTAGCGAAGCATCGACTCCTCTATTGTGTCAAGGCGAAAGTCCTAGAAACCCCCAGTCAACACCGTACATGAGTCAAAACGGCCAGGTGCCGATGGAGTTCGCAGCTCAGAGCTATCTCCAGTATCAGGCGGCAAAGTTCTTGAATGTAAGCGTCCAGTTCCCTGGTGGCTTTCAAGGCCTTCAACCAGACGAGGCACACATGGGAAGACCCGGCTAATATTTTGCGTTTCCCAGAGATTCGATGCCAACTGCTACATCCACCTCACGGCGAAGATGGATTCTCACGACGTCACCCGAGACCGATTACCTACACATCTAGGGCTCGATATCCCCATACCTCCCCGCAACGAACATCTCAAGCACGTATTCAAGAATGTGCCTCCGCAAGCTCTTGTAATTAGCGTGGAAACAGACGTTCTATTCAGGGCGGAGCAACAGATTCAGTTGGCAGAGACTTTACCAGAGGCGAAATTCCTCAATCTCGAATCTCAAGACGGACATGATGGGTTCCTCTTGGAGTTCGAGGCTTTGAGCCGGGCTATCACGAGCCACCTCCGAGAGCGATGCCCCTGGCTCTACGCAACGGGCTTTGAAGCCTTTAGCGGCGGAGTGAGGTCAGATGAAGTCATTAGTAGCGTTTTCGGGGAAGCGGAATCTGGGGAGTTCTAAAACTTTGCAAGATTCTCTTCGTTCTAATGCATGTACAGAAACGTGTAGATACTACCACTCTCCCACATACTACAGAGACAGGCAATGACTCTGTTTACGCCTGTTTGACACTGCTTGGGGTATCTCTATGGGATTATCAAAATCTAGGCGCAATGTCAAGTTTCAAGCATAGCAAATCAGACTGCCTCTTGACTAAATAGCTACTTATTAGCTGGGCTACTCCTCACAACAGTATCGAGTGAGCAAGATCCCAGCCAAGCAGTGATAAACCCGTGTGCCTAGATTTATGACCTAGCACTGTACATGAGCTCGTAAGACAGTGCGTGCTTACTCGTAGCTTATTTTCGAAGACACGCGGCCAATCGTACAGTGCCACCCCTTACCTAAGACGCTACTCCGTGCCCCCATGCCCCAAGGCGATCCAAAACTAGACCACGCCGCCGGGGATTGATAAGAAAGGGGCTAAAATGCCGATGAACACTCCGGCTGCTGCCGCTCCGCTGTGATCCGCAATCAAAACCCGGGGCCCAGTGCTCTTCGGCATCCCCCTAGCGTCTTCGGCAGCAACTCAGTGGCAATCAATTGAACCTCACGAGAGATTTGCATAGGTTACACAGAGAGAATGCTCCTATAAATAAGGAAGTTTTCACAGCCATGTAGTATTCGTGAATAATCGTACCTTCATTCTCCTTAGCATCCTCACATCTTGAAATAACTATGGGTTCGATTGAAACACGTCAATGGGTTGTACAGAAATACGGCGGTACTTCTGTGGGGAAGCTACTGGACACCATCACTGGCACCATCATCCCAGACTACTTGGAAAGGTTCAAAGTAGCTGTGGTTTGCAGCGCTCGATCAGGGACTCAAAAGACGCAGGGAACGACATCGCTTCTTCTGGAGGCTATTCATCTCGCTACCTCCAGCGAGACGTCAACCGTGGAGCTCGATCAAGTTATCGACATCATCAAGCAAGAGCATCTTGAGGCCGCGGAAGTTACTGTCGGTGGCGCTGACCAGCGAGAAGGCGCTCAGGCAGTGCTTGGCGAGCTACTTGGGAGCATCGAGAATGACTGCGAGCACCTCCGAAGCTTTCTCAAGGCGACATGGACCATCGGAGAGATATCAGAGCGCACTCAGGATCGAGTCCTTGCGGTTGGCGAGACACTAGCTTGTCGGCTGGTAGTCGCTTCCCTGAAAGTGAAGGTTTGTGATTCGTTACCATTTGAGATAGCACTGACTTATATCTGTACAGGACATCGATGCTGAAGTAGTCGTCTTGGATGATATTGTGCAGAAAACCTACGGAAGTCGTCAGAAAGAGCTCGCCGCTGCGTTCAGACGTCACCCTGCAAAGTTTCTGGGAGGCCTGGCAGGCGCAATTCGAAAAAAGATAGATGGTTGCAAAGAGCGGGTGCCTGTCGTTACCGGTATAAACCCCTTTCGTGCTTTTCTTTTGATGTGATCCGCAGAAAATAACATCCTTGTACAGGTTTCTTTGGCGCGATGCCTGAATCGCTAGTGAGCAGCGTAGGACGGGGATATTCTGATCTCTGTGCCGCTCTCTGCGCGGTTGCAGTGGGCGCCGAAGAGCTGCAGATCTGGAAAGAGGTCGATGGCATATTTACAGCAGATCCTCGAAAGGTGAAGTCGGCCAGACTGCTCGCTACGGTGACTTCGGAGGAGGCTGCCGAGCTTACGTACTACGGGAGCGAGGTGTGTCTCCCCGTGATTCCAATCTATTGGCATCCTTTAGATTCCAGTTGAGATCCCTAACAGATGTGGCGTTAGGTGATCCATCCTCTGACTATCGAGCAAATCTGCAACGCGCAGATACCGCTGCGATTGAAGAATGTAAAACACCCAGAGAGACCAGGAACCATAGTTTTCCCCTCCCTTGGGTCGCCAGCTACCTCACCAAAGTCTACTCCAGGAAATTCATCGCCTGTTTCCTCTGAAGATGATGCCGCGAGAACAAAGGCTGTTTTCATGACTAAGAACGGGTACTATGGAGAGAGTCAATATCGACGTACGCCCACGGCTGTGACGGCAAAGGACTCCATTACGGTGTTCAACATCCGCTCGAACGGTAGAGCAAGACCTCAAGAGTTCCTCGGACAGATAGCGCAGCGCCTCGGACGCCATGATTACACAATTGATCTCATCAGCAGCAGCCAACAGATGCTAAGTCTTGCAGTCTCCTCTGACGGTTCGAGTAAGAGCAACGGTAACATCGAAGAAACCGTGGCAGAACTCTCCGAGATCGGAATCGTGACCGTGGCCAGACACATGTCTATTGTTTCGGTTGTCGGGCATAAGATGAAGAATATGGTTGGTATATCAGGAGAGGTTTTCAGCGCCTTGGCTAGTGCGAGGGTAAACATCTATCTGATCAGTCAAGGAGCCAGCGAGATAAACATATCGTGAGTCTGCTGTCTCGAGCCTAATAGGTTATTCCTGGAAATTTTTGAAGAGCTTAGGCTGATATTCCTTCGTAGATTCGTAGTGAAAGCGCAGGATGCTCTACTTGCAATGGAAGTCGTTCACACAAACGTGATGCGTATACCTCTACACTCTGAGCAAGAGAACAGCTTCATTAGAGGTAGGTTCAAGAAAATGACGGTCTCTGAACCTTCCAATTCACTAACGTTTCAAAAGGCCCATGGCTGTACTAGTCAATCGTATCCCGTGCACTGAATAAAAAGTTCGACGTTTCACGCATGTCATCGGCGTTTAAAAGAAGTTTTCATGAAGCTATCGCACATATGCAATACGTCTTCAAGGACTTTGGGTAAAATTAATGATATTTCGCACAGGGTCAACAAGGTTCTTCATGGTTTGAAGTTTAGATTCGTCTTTAAAGGTTAACTGCTGGATCTAGTGGATGGAATTGTAGCATACTTACGTAGTCTTATTCTTCTTACTTTATCTTATCATTTTTGACGCCGTCAATGGCCTCTGTGACTCTGAATACCCTACTGGTCAGGTTTCGCTCTGCTGCACAGGGGCCGTCATGAGATTGTTCCATCTTCGCTCCAAAACCCCTGGAAGAATCAATCAAGATTATATAGCCTTGACCCAAATACTGGAAGGTCAGATTTCCTCCGTTTGTTCCACAATCTTGGCTTTTACAATCTTTAGTTCATCGACCGGCCTGTCCTCAGGACCAGTCTTGACCATTCCCATCCTCTGTACTACCCTCATTCCACCTTTGACCCTCCCAAATATTGTATGCTTGCCATCTAACCAAGGTGTCGGCGCCAACGTGATGAAGAATTGGCTACCATTCGTGTTTGGTCCGCTGTTCGCCATGCTGAGAATTCCAGCTCCAGTGTGCTTCAATGCAGGATCAATCTCGTCCTCGAACTTTTCGCCATAGATCGAGGCGCCGCCTCGACCCGTACCGGTAGGGTCGCCAGTCTGCACCATGAAGTTTGGGATGATACGGTGAAACACTATGCCATTGTAGTAGCCGCGATGAGCCAGGGTCGCAAAGTTTTTGCAGGTTTTCGGCGCATGGTTGTTGTATAGTTCGAAGGTTATAACGCCCTAAGATGCATTAGCTCGCTATCGAATGAATCCATGTATTGACTTGTTACCATAGAGGTCTCTAGAGCCACATCTGTCGCCATCTTGCCTCTTGCGCGAGTAGATGAATGAGCAGTGTGGTGGTGGGGAAGTTGGACCTGGGGCTTTCGCGATGGAGATGCAAGACCTTCTTGGCGCTGCTGACATAAGCCGTATGAACCTCCCACGTCACACTTCAAACTCGCTATCCTCAAACACCATTGCGGTTCGAATAGAAAATATCTCTAGCTGAACAGGCCATAAAAACCCCAAGGTAGAGCGTTCAACGATAGCAGTCGTCGACATCATGGATCTCTCAAACTGGGCGTTACCTCAACTTTCTCGCCTCCTCCCGCTTGATGAGGAGTCACTGAAGCAGATTATATCACATACGGCCACCTTACCTAGGACTGAGGCCGCTGAGAATCTGCAAGGCTTGCTTGGAGATACGCCGCAAGCTCTAGAGTTCATCACTGCATTCAACAACCGACGTACGCCACCGCAGCCCTTAGCATCTCAAAGCACTCAACCAGGCGCATCACGAACAGATATATCAGAAGTACCCAAGCCCAAGGCGAAGAAGAAGAAAACAAGTGGTTTGAACAAGCTGCCGCCTCCTCGCGTACCGGAAAACTACGGAAACACATCGGGCGCGTATGTCAAGAAAGACGAAGAAGACTATGTCGCCAGCCACGCAAAGGTCCGCAAGCCAAATAACGCATTTGCACTACAAGAAAAGCCAGATGCCGTCCAACTTCCGATGACAAGACCGAATGCTGCCCCGACTCCCAGGTTACCCCCTTCCGCGGCCGGCGCCTTGATAGGGGACCTCAAACCTCCTCGCAACTCATCACGAACTACCTCTCCGGCGCCTGGGAAGCAGCAACAGAAAGCCAAAGTCAACATCACTGGCGGCCACTCCATGCATGGCGATTCCTCCACAATAGCAGATCTAGACTCAGCTATCCGCGCCCTTGAAATCTCGACTAATCCCACTCTTGCCTCCTCTCAAGACAACGTCCCTAAACGCCGGTGTAACTGCATGGCCACGCGGCATCCCCTACTCGCTGCTGCGCCTAATTGCCTCAACTGCGGCAAGATTATCTGTGTGAAAGAGGGGCTTGGTCCTTGTACCTTCTGCAACCAGCCTCTGCTGAGCTCTGAAGAAACGCACGCAATGCTCCGCATGCTACGTGAAGACCTAGGAAAGGAGAAGATGGCTGCGCACAATGCCGGTCAGAAGCGCGCAGAGGTTGCCAGAGCGCCGCGTCCGTTCGCCACGCCGCCTTCAGTCACTCCATTATCGTCCGCGCCAGCGTCGGACTCGGAGTCCGAGAAACTCGCAAAAGCGAAGGAGCACCGCGATAGATTGCTAGGGTTCCAGGCGCAGAACGCGCGGCGGACGAGGGTTCACGACGAAGCGGCAGATTTTGAGACGCCAGATTCTGGAACGAGCGTGTGGGCTAGTCCGCAGGAGCGTGCTCTGCAGCTAAAGAAGCAGCAGAAGGTGCTGAGAGAGCAGGAGTGGCATGCACGACCGGAGTATGAGAAACGGAGGGCGGTTGTGTCGATCGATCTTGTGGGTGGTAAAATTGTGAAGAGAATGGCTAAGATGGATCGACCGCAAACTCCGGAAAGCGAGGCAGAGGACGAGGATGAGGGAGTGGCTGAGCCGGTAGTTAGTGGTGGGAAAGGGGGCGCATTCAGGCAGAACCCTTTGCTTGGCTCGCTGATCCGGCCGGTTGCTCGGGTTGACGCCAAGGGGAAAGGAGTGGAGAGGGAGAAGAAACAGACGTGGCGGAGAGTTCAAGACGACAACAATGACAATGAGCAGTGGATCTTGGACGGAGGAGTTTATGGTGGCCGCTCTGAGGATCTTCAACTAAGGGACGGTGGTGGCTGAAAATAGACTGCTTTTTTGGTAAGCGCACTGAACGCTGTTCTCTCCACCACACTTTCCTGCTCCTTATCCCGTGATTGAGTTAATATTGGTGAATCAAAAGCCTTGACTTCTGAGTATGTCAACTTCCCATATGTTTACTTTCTGGTACCCTACCACAAAACCGTGGCTCAATCAGCATGCCTATCAACGACGTGCCAAAAGAGAGCGAGAATCGCACAGGCTGGCTCCCATTTATACTTCATAGTGCACTGTACATTAGACTAACTTCATAGTCCAATTTAGCGTGTCTCGGAGGTCACATACGAAAAGAGCGTCCAAATCGAGCACCGGGGGCAGGACAAAAGCTGGTAGCGCTAATTCAGGGCGCCTGCGAGCTCGTACCGGTGCAGTTTCGAGACGTTGGACTGGCTCCCGGTTATACTTCGCAACTGTAGCCCTTTCCCTTGGGCTTGATTTGGCCTCTCGCGCAAACGACACTTACTCTTCACCTGGCGTAGTCACTTCTTTCAACACAACGAACGAGGCTCCAAATCGAGTTGACCGCAAAATGATGTTCAGAAGGTGTTGAAGCACCTCGCTGAGAAATTGCATGAATCAGTCGCAAAATCTTACAGATCCAACCGAGTGATGCTCATTTCGCGAGACGCCGCGTGACCACCGCGTGAACGCTGCACAGGTCTTTTGACTTCACAATCAAAAAGGCCTAAATCAAGCCTGTGGTAAAAGACTGTGAAAGAGGTGCTGAGGTGCCTCCGAAGTCAGGATCTTTTCCTCAGTTGCAAATATTCACATAACTAACCGCGCGAAAGCAGATTTGAGAGACGTGGAGGCTACTATACGTGCACCTGGCGTGGTGCCTTTTCATCACAGAACCAACGGCACTAAATCAGAACGGTAGATTCAGGTTCGAAATAGGCTGGTGAAGCTCTTCCGACATCAAGCTTTTCGATTCAGTTACAAATATTTACACATTTGACCGCGCGATAGCAGATTTGGTACACGCGGAGGCCTCTTTCCGTGGACCCGGCGTGGTGGTCTTTCACCCTATAACCAACAGCCCTAAATCAGATCTGTGGTATTAGGCTGGAAAAAGGCTGGTGGAGTGCTTCCGAGATCGAATGCTTCACATCAGTCACAAGTATCTACAGAATTAACCGCGCGAAAGCAAATTTAGGAGACGCGGCGTGCACGCCACGTGGACCTAGCGTAGTCTTTTCTTGTCCCATAACCAAAGACTCGAAATCAAGTCGACGTTATGGAGATGAAATTCCACCGCTGAGGCCCTCCAGCTAGAAACCTAGTTGCTTCAGTTACACATATCTACAGAATCAACCGCGTGAGATTCGATTTAGTAGACGCAGAGGGACCATTGCGTGCCTATCGCGCGTTCACTTTCCACCATAGCATATCAACCTATCAAGACCCCCCTAACCTAGTATCTATTCACTGCCCACACACTCATCAATCACGTGCCTCCCACGCCAAATCACACCGCCTTCCGGATCCGGTAAACCAAACCAAACCCATCCCGCTGATTGGTCGCCCTGCCAGGACCCTCCAACCACGCATCAAACTCAATCAGCATGGCGCCGCAACGGCCCCTATCTTATACACATGCTCGCTTTACTCTCCCAATCTAGCCCTCACTGCGTGTCCGCAATCCCCATCCCATCCCATCACACTCACACCCACATGACCAAGCCCCGGGGGCCTGCAAAGCAACTCAGCCCCCCCTGCCAGCCAGCCCTACTCTAAACCCAACCATATCCCAAACCTCCGTCATCCTCATCCTCGTCGCATGCCCATCCTCCTACTGCGGCAACCCGTAAGGCTGATTCCCACACCCCCGGCATCCTTGCCACAACCCAAAAAATCGGCGGGCCGTCGCAAACGCACGCTCGCAGCAGGATCACGCACACGTACATCAGCGGGGGACAATCACACACACACGCAGGGATGCTCCTCCCGCGCCCCGAACCGCCCTTGGCATATCCCCCGGGGGGGGTGTCTATTTATACGAATATACTAAGCGGGAGAGCCCGTGTTGGTTTGTATGTATGTATGTGTGTATGTATGTATGTATGTATGTAAGATAGGCGTGCCACTTTGCCAGTTCGACGAGGATGATGCAAATGCATGTCAGCACGGGAGCGCAGGGGGGTTTTCGGATTTGGGAGGGAATTGTGGTTGGACGGCCCCGCAGGGATATCGCGCTGCTGCTTCGGAGTTGTTCAGTGTTCTGGGGGGTTGGTCAGCGGTTTTTCTCCGGTGGCTTGAGGGGGCGACTACTGGGGGGTTGGGCGGTGTTGGATTTGTTAGGTGGGGGGGGGATTATAACTAGTGGTGGTGGATATTGGCATTGGGTTGGGTTGGATTGGATTAGGTACATGAGTTGGCACCCCATTTGGGGAATGGAGATAAGTGAAGCTGGTGTTCAGGCCTTCGTATTTGGAATACTGGACTTGGAGAAAGTGGTACGACTGGCTTAAGAACCCCCGACTCGAATTGCTGGAGTGGCTCCTCTGTACTTTTCTGCATTCAGCCGAGAACGGCAATCCGGGGTGCATGGAGCTTGTGTAACCGTCAGCCTTGTAGCCCTCGGAAGCAAGACGCGCTCTATCAAGCGGGTCGACGAAGGTCCGATGTTGCGCAGCAGGGGAGGTTACACACTGTCACCATTCACATTCTCACCGATCAGAGGAGAGGCGAGCCCGACCCCTCAGTCTCGAGTCCGGTGACTGGACGCCAGTGTGAGGTACGGCGTGAGCACCTTGCTGGATAGTGATAGTAGTACGAGCAATCCACAGCGAATCCACGTGATAATATTAGACACTCGCAATTGGGCCTAAGAAGGTGCGGTGTATAAGATATCAACATACTTTGCGTAAATTACGCTAATTTTCGCAACGTATTAAAAAAACAGAGCCGACGTAGATAGTGATACTAGAGCATACAGCGCATAAATCAATTCAGACAGCCTCCCGAAAAGCAAACGTAGCAGATCGACGTTAAAGCAAAATCAAAGGTACCGCCCACCCAATCAAACCGACAACCCCGTATCGCACCGAAAGCAAAGCGCGCCACCCCCCCACTGATTTCGAGTATGTAGAACCTAGAACGAACAAAAAGAGAAGAACCGCACAACGCAAAACCGCAGAAAACGCAGCAGATATTCAAGTCAACCAACCGCCACCACCGTAGACGTCAGGGTCAAAGCCTGAACTTAGCACAACGCGATCCATCCACCCACGCAACCCCTGGAACCTTCACCGGTCCGCTAGCTTGCTTGCCGCTCGCTGCGTGGAGAAAAAAAAAAGGTTGAACATGCAGAAACGACGTCCACCGCCACTTTGCTCCGCTGACCAATCTAACAAGACAACGCTGCACCACCAACATGAACCACGTAAGCCACAGCCGAAAACGCATGAGAATAAATCGGCGATTCGAAGGAAAAAAGGCGTGCACCGGCCCGCAACGCAACACTGCACCGTCGTTGGCGATGCGTCCGTGCAGGCGGGAGACGAGAGTGGCAGGTGGTTTTCCTTGGCCGCTAGGGCTTTGGTGTTTCGCCGCCTCACGGCAGTTTTTTGCCACTGGTCCCGCAGACGGCCACAATTTTTCCACGGAAAGTACCATGTGAAGGAATTACTGAAAGTTGCGAGCCGGAAACGGGCATTTGATGAGACATAATTACCACAGAGCGGAGTCTGCCATAGGCTGGTCCGCCTGGGTTTCTGCGCTTAACCAAGAAAAGAGAACCAGAGGAGACATAGAGACTACGAGTAGAGTAGTCAAATTAAGTATGTTTGGCGTACCAGAAGTGAAGGCCCGCCCACGAAGAGTTTCGGAGGAGCGGCGGAAGGCATAAAAATATGATGGGCACTCGTTACTTGAAACGTGCAGAGACATCGGAAGGCGCAAATGCCAAACTCACTCCGAACATGCCACCGGAGAGCTAGCCGCACCATATGTGCATGGAAATTCACTGATCAAGGAGACCCAGAGAGAGATAGAGGGAGAGAGAGTTGTATGGAGTTCGAGGAGAAGAAAACGCAATGAAAGCATGCATAAAAATCGCTGCAATTGTACCTCCCACCCACTTGCACCGGCCAGTACTCACGAAATCCTCCTTTGACGGGTATATCGTGGCAAGGCAAATAAAGCATTCCGGAAAGCAACGATTTCGAAAATCAGACCACTCCATATTTCGCTCCGTTTTAGACGTAACTTTTGGGTTGGGCAAATGGCAGACTCAGGCTCTTGTCCACATCGAGTGATTTTTCTGGCCCTTTTTCTAGAGATCCAGCTCCAGGCCATGTGCGGACCCGCGAACCCATCTTGAACACCAAAACACGTCTTTGAATTACGGTAATTACATTGGTCGCCTGTTGAGTTGATTCAGCATATCGCTGTCAGTGGAGCTCCGTCCTTGGCCCGAGTCGCCGACGATGTCGCTAATGCGCATGCCTGACCGAGTAGAGGATTGCGAGGTTGGCGGCGGCGGAGTTCTGCCGTCAGAGCGCGGTGGAAGCGGCCGCAGGGCGTTCTCGGGAGCGAAAGCTTGCTGAGGGGTGCCTCCCGGCGTGCTCGGAGCCGCTTGCGTGTGCGGAGATGACGAAGTGCGGCTGGGATCGTACGAATAGGCGCTCTGAGGAGAAGAGCGGCGCGGTGGTTGGGTGGTGTAGTACGGATTCGGCTGCGGCTGCTGAGGCGCGGAGTGATATGAAGCCGAAGAGGAAGCTGGAGACACAGCGGCCGGTGTTAGAGCGGTTGGGTCAGGGTACGTATACTCGGAGCCTGGCCCTCGATGAAGGGGAAACTGTGATGATACCGAAGCAGGATTTGGCCGCGGAAGCGTCGGGGTGTGAGGCTCAGCCAGGGGCCGCTTCCTGCTGTTGTAGGCATCACGAGCGCCCCGATCATCGTAGACAGAGCTCAAAGGAGATGCATACGGACCAGGAGCTGAATACGGACCTGTCGGGCTAGGCAGCGGGTAGCCTTGGGCGCGCGGCGGAGCGTAGGCCTCCTGCGTGTGCGTCTGCGGCGGCAGAGGCTGTCCATACGCTCCGTAAAGTTGCGGAGCTTGCCCAACGCCGTGCCATCTCGTGTGAGCGGGCACAAAGGCTTGCGTTTGAGCAGAGACGGGCGTGAAGATGCAGTCTTGGGAGAACCTCAAACAATTAGTGCACCGCCCGTCCTCTGACGCCTCGAAGCCGGAGCAGCGGATCTGAACGGAAGGTGAGCGACCAGACGCAGCCAGAGCAGCTACTTAGCTTACCTTGCGTCTCCTGCAATACCGGCAGGCAATGGCAGTGCGCTGGCGCGGGGCAGGCTGCTGAGGACCGCCATAGGGAGGGGGAGGGCCGCGATATGGATCAAGCGGCGGTTGCCCACCACGAGCCCAGTCGCCCGGTGGAGGCAGTCGATATCCAGGCATCTGGTGGTGTTGCAGACCAGCGTCGGGGCGAGGCTCGGTGGGCTGCGGCGGCAGATGGCCTGGATGCTGCTGATGCTGCCCGAGATGGCCTGGGTGCTGCGGCGCGGGGTGCTGTGAAGTGGGAGTCAGTGACGGAGCAGTGAAGACGGCGGAGGCGCAGGGCAGCGCAACATACGTGACTCGGCGGAGGGTAGTCGCCGTTGGTGGCGTGCGAGGGCGGCAGCTGGTTGGGATTCCAGTGAGGGTGCTGGCCGTTGTTGAGACCGTTGTGCCCGTTGTGGCCGTTCTGTCCGTTGTGACCGTGGCCGCCGGGGTGGTTGGGGTACATTTGTAGAGAGGAGGCTTGGGAGCAGCCGGCGCCGTGTCTGTATCCGCCTTAAAGATCGGGTGCAACGTCAACCATGCCCAGGGCCTGTGTGAGGTGAGGGCGAGTTCGGTGATTCGCAGCGCGGTGTAGCACAGAGGGCGGCCCGCAGGATGCGGGAGGGCTGCAGGTCAGAGAGGCAGTGCTGCGCCAAGCAGCAGGCGGCAGGCGGGCGATGCAGGTGAGGGTTCAGGCGATCGATGGAGGGGTGTTCAGCGCAGCAGAGGTGATGCGCCGAGGCGGCGGGCGGCGGCGTGGTGGGCGTGGACTCGAGATGGCGATGTCGCGGGCGCAGTGGGGAGGTCAGGATCCGACACTCTGGAGGCGAAGACCCGAGGGAGGGCGAGGGCGAGTTTTTGGGAAGACGGCAGAGGGCCACTAGAACGGCCCAAGGAAGGCGTGCCGTTGTTAATATCACCCAGCACCGGCCGCCTCCCTGCCGTCACCGTCGGCTCCCTGCCGCGGCCCAAGCGGGCACAGCGTCGGCCTGGCAGCCTGGCACGCGCGCCGCTGTCTGCAGAGCCGGTGGTAGCGAGCCTTGCGATGCGCTGCCTGCCCCACGCCGACGACGAGACGGTGTGCCAGCGGTGCAGCCGCGCAACATGGAAATACGCGCACGCCAGGCCTGGGACGCTGCTGCAGAGCGGCGAGCGCGGGCTCGGGTGGCAGCAGACGGGCCGGCCGGCGTGACCAGCCCAAAGCAGCTGCGTGACCCACGGCGGGATGCCAGGCATTGCGAGCAACCAGCTAGGCCGGCTCCTGACAGACGGCGCGATGCTGGAACGGCCCCCTGGTGCGTGCAATGCTGCTGGCCGGGCCGTGGCGTTCGGCCGGGCGATTGGTGGACGCGGGCTGGGGAGGGGATCTCCGCAGGGAGAAACTGGAGCTGCAGCTCCCAGACAGGCTAGCGGAGGCCCGTCGCGGACCTGCCCGCCGCACTCTTTGACGATGCACCTCGTGGCTGCCCTGGCTCCGCCGACGATGGACGTGAAGATGCAGTGGAGACGGCCACGGCACGCGCACGAGGTCCACGACGAAGTTGCCCCGACGGTACATAGATGGCTATCCCTGGCCGAGGCCGCGCCCTGGAAATACCGTCCACATCACTCAACACATCACCTGGCACCTGGCACCGACGTCTCACATCACGCTGAGTACATCCGAGGTCTCATTCACGCCGTCACGGCCCTTCTCAAACCACGCATCATCACGGCCAGCGCCCAACGGCCTCAGCGCTCCCGCCGCTCCCAACCCCCCATTACTGTGCCGCAGTCTGTTAGAGCGCTGACGCACCCCCCGCCGCGCTTGCTCGCCGCTTGATCCGCTTCTGCTTGCTCGATCCGCTTTTGCCTGTCCACTGCCCGTCCACTGCCCATCCACCCGTCCATGCCACTATGCCTGTCCGCTCTGGGTGTCCGCTTGCCTGTCCGCCACTTTCCGCAGACTACACACAACAGGCCTCCTCCGGGCATCCAACGGCCGCCCTCCCTGCGACCACGCTACCAGGGCACGTATCGGGCGCGGCAAAAACCCTATCTTAGTTCCACCACTCCAGCTCCACCGTCACCCGCTCCACCGCCCACCACGCCGCCGGGGGCGAACCACTCCCGACCACAAGGACTCCCGCCCGCTGCGAACCATGGCGCGCCCTCGATGAAGGAAACCCCGTCACGGCCGTGCCAACGTCACCTGCCGCGACGAGGCCCTCTCTCTCGGCTGGCCCGAGCCCTGGCGCTGCTGGCCGAGGACTCACGGCGCCCTGCGAACCCGTCGCAACGAGGGGCCGTCGCGCCAGCCGCAATCCTGGTCAGCGGGTGGTCCCCAGTCACAGGCAGGGCGCTCGTTTGGCTGCACGCCGAGTGACAGATGGCAGTAGGGCTGTCGGGGGGGTGGATCGGCCTCAAATGCGGCCTCCTCGTCACCCCTCCAATCACAGAATGCGCGACGGTAAAAGTTTGTTGGTGGTGCTGCGCGTGGCCAGTCAGCGCCCGTCAGCAAACGAGCTGAGGCTTGCGCGCACCTCTGGAGATATTAAGTCGTCTGAATAGAGCCGACCGGCTGGCCGCATGTGCGCTGCTCATCCTGTCGTCGTCGTCCGCGAGGCATGTCGTCACGGCTGGTGTGGGCTCGAATCAGCGCGAGAAACCTGCCGCTGTGCTGCCCGCTGTTACAGACGCTCGTCTGCCCCGGCTGCTTCGATTCAGCATCCCGGAAGCCCAGTCCCCGCGCTGGCCATTCGCTGACAAGCCCAGGGAACCGAGAAATGCTCTAGAATAGTGCCGGCCTTCCTGCAGCTGGCCATGATGGCGAAACCCACTTGGGGGCGAGCCATGGCGCTGCGCGAACCGTTTGGCCATGGCGCTGCTGGTGGCAAGCAGACGTCGTCGTCGGAGTGGTGTTGCAGGGACCGCCTCTAGCAGAGCGTCTCCATCGACCGCAGGGCTTGCAATCCAATCCAGCGTCGGCGCCGCAACGCAGCAAATCTCTCGCGGTCATAAGATCAACAGGCCCGTCAGTTCAAGCACTATCGGGCTCCTTCCGTGCTTACCACAACTCGTATGATGCAGCAGCCGCCTATCATAGCGCCATGCACGCCCGCCGAGGCATTTGCCTCAGGACTCACGAACCAGCCGGTGTGTGGCCAGAAAGCCTGGGCAGCGTGTGTTGGCACTGGACGGTCGTGGCCACGGGCTCGCAGTCGACGATTTCGGCGTCGTCGGCCTGCGTTTCAGCGTTTGCTTGCGCCCAAGGCTGGCCGCTTGGACATGGGGGCGGGCAGTTGCACAGTTCCTGTCCCTGATACTCCGGACAGCGGGAGAGTGCAGGGCGCCCGCCGGGAACTATCACTGAAACATCACGGGCCGGGGCGAAGCTGGGCGATGGTGGGATGGCGTGGGTTGTGGGCTGGCGGGAAAAGCGCGTCTAGGGAATAATATCAGACTCCTCGTGCAACTGTCGCGCTTCGTCGCACGGCCGTCACCGCTGCGCCTATAACGGGTCCTCTGGCCGCATATAGACGGGGACAAGCGATCTTGCAAGTTGCACGCAGATTGCAGTGCTCTTGCTACGCTCCTCACTTCCCACAACCAGACCACACCCGGAGCGCGATGTCGGCGGAATCCCCAGTCGCCTGTGCCCGCCCTCCTCGCGTCAGCTGCTTTTGGCCCCGCGCGGTTCGGGACGCTGGCCCTAATAGAGCATGTGTTGAAGGTGTTCTGCAGCGTGCTCTGCCACCAACACCAGACGAGACGGAAATGTGATAGCGCCGCCAGCACCGTTATCAATCCTGGCCCGCTGCGCCGCACACCTCCTCACCGATGTCAGAGAAAAGCGACTCTGGCAAGTCTTGTGACGCGGTCTGGAGCGAGGTGAAGAGCAGTGCTTCGCCATCCCGGCCGCGGTTGCCCGTCGTACAAGGAGTCGCGATGGAGGTGCAGGGCGTCGTCTGCAAGATGAAGCCGGCGGGACGAGCCTGCTGACGTTGCCAGTCGCCCAGTGTCGACGGACGCACAGGATCCCCGTGTATCGGCAGCGGATATGCGCAGTTCATCGCTCCGCGCCCTCTCCCTCGCATCCGTTTGCATCATGCTCGACCAGGCCAGCGAAGCAGCAGGGACCGCATGTGGTGCGGGACGATCTGGAAAATTCACCGTCGGGGGACCGGGGGGCCACCTCTTTCTCCAAAGGGCGCTGCAGCTGACTCCTGGCGTCGACGCGATATCCAGGGCCGTGATACGGCGACGATGCTGGATGAGCTCACGCCGCCGATCCATCGCTGCCGAAGGGTTGACGTGCGAGCCTCTCCACGCCCAGCATCGACGTCAAGCAGCAACGGCTCTCGTACAGACGCACCCACGCCGCATCTGCAGAGTCAATTGGCTCGGCGCATTTGTCAAGCAGACGCAGGCGGCACCGCTTCGAACAAGACGTCGCCCGTTGAGCCGGCTGCTGCAAGGCAAGAAGAGGACAGGACCACACACCGCTCGACCCCACACTCGCGACGCCGCATGCGCGCCTGCAGCTGTAATCTTCAACGGCGGCGAGGGATGCCGACGGGTGCAGGCCAGCGTGCCAGCTGCGGCCATGTGCGGACGAGGACGAGTGAATTGGAAGCAGTGGCACAGCCCTGGAGGACCCTACTGTAGTTCCATTTGCACGAAATGCGGGCCGGCCCTCAGGAAACAATTCGCAACCGTTCCCGGCAGCGCGACCGGGATGCGCGCGGCGTCTGTGGGATGGCATCAGGCAGCTCCAGGCTCCCTGGCGCCCGAGCTGCTGACGGCCTGCTGCGAGCGAAAAGCAAGCTACGGGCGAGCGGGCGGGGCGGAGGCGCCGTGGACGGATGGTGCATGGAAAGGATTCGAGCTGCGATGCAATGCCTGGCTGGGCTGGTGTTGGCTGTGTTGGCCGCAGTGCGGCGGGACTGGGCGGCTGTTCCTCGGCGCGGCCGCTCTCCACAGCTAGGCACGCGGGCGCAGAAAAGCACAAGGAGCGGGCCGTAGCTCGATCGCGGCAGAACTCGGCTCGGTGCCCAAGGACCTCCCTGTCGGCGACGGGCTGCTAAGTAACGTGACCTTCAGCTCATGTGTGCGCGGGAGGCCACCGCCCAAGCTACTGCACGCAAGTGGAGAGCAGATGCGCCTCTGCCGGGGCGGCTCTACGCCCCCTCTCATTCGCTGCGTCACCCAGCACCATCACGCACGCTGTGCCACTCGCCGCTCGCGGCCGTCGATTTGCAAGGTCATAGCATGCCCGTTTGTAGTATTTGCTGCTTGTCTCGCCGCACACTGGCATAAACCTGCCCCCCTCGTCAAAAATCCGTGTTACTTGCCCCCCTCCCCGCCCTCGCCCTCGCCCTCGCCCTCGCCCTCCCCCTCTGCGGACTCTTCCTCTGAGCTGCTCGAATCCGCGGCTGCGTCGGGCATCACGACGCTGTTGAGGTAGGTGATCTGCGGCAGCGCCCACATTAGCGCTGGGTGGGAAATGGGCCAGCTCACCGACTGGAGGCGACTCGCAGGCGGAAGCGACTCAGCACTCGAGCGAGCAGCGGCGTGGGCCGGCCTGCGGACGGACTCAGGTGCCCTCAGCCTGCAGTGCCAACGCACCAGCGCCAGCGAGGCTACGTGCTAGGGTACCAGAGTTGAAAACCGCAGACTGCTGCATCGAGATTCGAGGCCGCCCGCTGCCCCCCCTTCAGCTCGCCCGCTGCGAAATGGTCTGACCTGCTGTCCTCGTCCTGATGCTGGAGGCGGCAAGACGGGCGTGACGCAAGGATAGGAGGGCACTTACAAAGGGCACCATGCACGAGAGCAGCTCGAAGATTCGGTCCAGACCCTTAGGTCCGACAACCTCATCGTCTGCCAGCTTTGTCCCGATGGTGAAGTTTCTAAGCCGCAGGAGCTGGATGTCCTTGTGGTCGTTTTCGTATCCCTATCAACGTCCGTCAGTCCTTCTCTCCTATACAGCGAACAATTAGGACTTTTCAGAGAAGCTTCAGTCCCAGAAATAAGAGTTAGTCTTTCATGAATGAATAAGCCGATAGGGGGAGCTGTTTCAGTGATGGTTTTTCAATGTCCAATTCCCTCAGATTACACGGCATGGGACGATCTCCTGTAGGTTTATCTCCTCCTCAGCCGGAAAGGGTTGGCGTTGTGAAGCGGTTCGGAAGAAGGTTCGCCACGCCGGTCATGCCGTCGCATCGTTGATAGAGAAGGGCCGGTTGCTGAGACTTGATGAGGAGAAGAAGGGTCAAAACAACACCCATTTCTTTTCTCAATGGTTTGAGCGTGTTTTTATGGATGGACGTATTAGTGTCTTGTTAGCATATTCCATAGACTCAATCGGAGTGGCTCCTTACCAAAATTCAGGAGGTTTTCCGGGATGGTGATGTTCCGTCCAATGACATTGGTCCACTTGATATAGCTTGGTACCGAACTCTCGAAGAATTCAACCCGCACCCGCCCTCACATCCATCGAGCTCCCTTGAAACCATCAATTCCATCGTCTTATCATGTCTGTATGGATGAGATGGTTCGAATTCTCTGTTACTTTCTCCTTTGACTGACCGTGCCATCGAATGTCGTGCACTGGCTGCACCCAGGACGCGTGTATACAACCCAATAACAACCTCAACAGGAGTAGACTCACCAGTGTCTGCTTGCCAGACAGACTTCAGAAGGGCTCCAGCCCTGGCAGGTGATGCAATCTAGTGCTTGCTTGATGAACTAAGACGAACTGAAGTAACTGACCTTGGGTTTCGTCTTGAGCGCGTTCGACGCATTCTCAGACTGACTACAGAACGCAGTCACGGCCTTCTTCTCATTGCCGGCGACCCCTCCGAGGAATGCTCGTCGGATTCCAGCATCAGTGAGCACACGCTTGATGTTGTGCGGGTTCCTGTCGATGTCGCGTCGCAGGAGACTGAGCGGCTCAGCTGCTGGGCACCACAGTCCTCCACCTTCAAACACGCGTTAGCCTGCCAAAAGGACACACAAAGATACGCTGAATGGCAAAGAGACATCTCGGGGCATCAGCGCAGCGTCAGTCTGCTATCCAAGGTGCTGAGATCGAACTGTTCGGCCATGGTCAGATCGCGTCATCGACAAACACCTCAATCCAACAGAGAAAACACACCCGAGGGATGCTGTTTCTCCTCGAAAGGGCATGCGACAACCATATACCCTCCTCATGGTCCATCTGCAGCATTTCACTGGATCGAGATGGCTCCTGTTCGATTGGGAGTCTCTTGTTGACACCCTTGGCTGACCATTGCAGCGCACCCCAGAGGCCATCATCAACCATCTCATCATACTACCTCAATCCGCCAGCCTATACAGGCTTGTAGTTGACTGAAGCTCGCAGCTTTCGCTGTCGTGAGTGCCGACGCACCATCCTCCTCCCTAGACTTGCGTCACGATCGTTCCGCGGTCCACCGGGACCCACCGCCCTTTCACAATCGACGCTTGCTGCACAAAAAGCGCCCCATCAGTAACGACCTCTTCACTGAACCCTTCAGGAGAGCGCGATATGGAGGAGACTATATATACTGGCGACCGTTGAGCAATGCTTGCGATGGTTGACACTGAAGCAGCAACAGCCCAAACAGCGTCACTCGATGAACAACGCAGCTTGGAAATAATCCAGCCAGACGCTACAGCCACATTGGCGAGTGAGTCCTGGATGATGAACAGAGCAGAAGTTTCCGTTCTCGAGTCACTGTGGGCAAGTTACGGCTTTGTGTGGGAGTACAAGAGGCAGGATCTCATGGGTTTTGCGTGGCCTGAGCGATGCTGAATATCTGCCCTTCTTTAGACGTAGTCCAAGAAGTAGCCATGTTCTCCCCGCCTCTAGATGTACGTGATGTAGACTTGCGTGCGCATACTTGGCTGTGCAACAAGTCGAGGCCCATGAACAACCTCGTCAAGGCTGTACTTCACGCCGGCAGCCTCAGTGAGTAATCATGCGGACTGCATGAGAGCACTAAAGCACACGGGTGGGAGTGCCATATGCGAAATCCTACGTTGTCGGTGGTTTCACAGCAGGACTCCTGGAGATGATGTCGCGATGTTATACACTCACGAGGAGCTCGCGTAGATGCAGTGGCCCCGAGATGCTCTTGTGCCAATGTGACGAAAATAAGAGGCAAGACTCACCGACCAAGTTTCCACCAGGCTTGATCTGCACGTAATACGCTGCATATGGCCCTTTACGGCCAGTGCGTGACCTAACCAAAGATCAATACTTGGATGCATGAAGACGGGCAGGAAGCTAACCATGCTGCCGAGAAATGAGTCTAGAAACCTTTAGCAGACGCTCGTATGCAAGAGTTGAGATGTCACATCGCCATAGCCTCTGTTGGGGCCAGTAAGATGCTCGAAGGGGCCCCTGAGGGGTGTGTAACGATCAGGAGCTGCGCTTGCAAGCCAGGCTGTCGTGGCTCCACCAGAGCAACGTTGTGCTATCTCCATGATGGTTGCTAGCCGTGCCGCACCAGCGCATCCTTGATTATGCAACAAGAACAGACCGAGACGGGAACTTACTTTGTACGGAGTAGGGTCTGAACTGAACCTAATATCGCGGTAGATGCGGAATATCTGCAGCAGGGTCAGAGACGACCTGAAGTGGTCAATGTGCTATGCCAGAACTGACGATATCCTTCACCGGCAATTCGGGGATCGTCTCGTCGACTTCGATAACTTTTTGCGTTAGGCTTTCCAAGAATGTTGTGAAATCTTGAAGAGAAGCTCGATAGTCCGGATCATGCACTAGGAGAGTCGTTAGCTGCAGCGAAAATGTGAAGCCTCTTGCATATCAAGCCAGCTCTTGCAACACCACCTCCTCGAGTCTACAAGTTAGCTTACTTTTCAACCATGCACGGTCATTGTTTGCAGCAAGGTCTCTCAAAAACAGCATAGTGTTGGGGTGAATGCTATCATCGGTGTACGGCGTGTCCCCGGCCTCGCGAGCTTTGGGCTTTTTGATTATTACTTGGGTTCCGGGGGGCAAGTTGGCGCCCGTCTTCCAGAGGTCCTTGTCTTTCGTGCCACCTCGGATTGGCATTGTGACTCCCTTCTTTGGCTGGGCTTTGTGTCCCTTCTTTCGTGGCGTTTCGTCCTCGTCATCACTCTCTTCCGCCTCAATATCAGATTCGGCGGAGGGCGATGGACTTGTTTTAGCCTCGTCTTCATCGTAGACCGACTCCTTCCCGCCATCGGCATCTTCTGCAAATTCCGAAGCTGCATCATCGACTTCGTCGTCAGAGTCGTGCTCAAAGTACGAGCTTTTGGCAGGGGTAGCTTTGGCACGCTTTGACTGCCGGATGGGCGTTGCCTTCGGGGATGCGGGCCGCTTCGAGGAGCTCCGGGAGGCCGAAGCCTTGACTTGCTTTGCGGAGCGTCGAGGCATAGCTCTATCTAGGAGATACGATGTATTCAAATTGGTTCCTGGTATTGTTGTGTGAAGCTACAAAAGATGTTGGAATGTGGAGTTGGTTTAGAAGAGAGTCCGTGCTCGATGACCCGCATTTTGGGGATCTGCCAGGCTGCCAGGCTGCCAGGCTGCCAGGCTGCGCTCGCGCCCCACGACGAAAATTCAACACCGTCTTGCTCTAAAAACATGACATCTCTATTTGAAGCCAAAAAGGCGACTATACTCCAGCAGCTTGCTGTGCCTGCAGACGACTACAACGATCTATCTCCTAAAGGCTCAATCGACGAAAGCGTCCGAACACTCATTGACGAAATTAACGCTCTGGATGGCCTAGTGACTACGAGTAGTTGCGGAGGTAGAATCAGTGTCTTCCTAGAAGGTAGAAAGAAGAATAGACCGCAAGCAGAAGGTGCTAAAAACAACGACCTCTCCCGCGCGACACCGGGAGGTAAAGGTGGCGGCGGTACTTGGCTTTTCGTGTCTCATGATCCCATCGACTTTTCGAAACGTCCTTCTGAATCTTCTTTTTTCAGCGAATTTGGGTTGCAGTCTTTAGGGAGCTCGGATGTCCAGTATCATGAGCACGGGCGACGATACATTCATCTAAAGTTTGAGCCAATGGTAACGCTCAGGTCCTTTCCACTGACTTCTATGACTAGTTTCTAACCGTCCAACAGATCTTGCACTTGTTGACAGCTTCATTTGAGCATGCTCAGCGAGTTCTATCTGCTGCGAACACTGCTGCCTTCCGAGAAAGTGGTGCTATGGGTTTCACTTCTGTGCAGGGAGAAACGAACCCCATGGTCGCCGTCCGCTCTGCCGGGTTCTCTTTCGACTCGATAATAGGTTACCAAGACTCCAGTGGCTCTAACGTTGCCTTCGTCGGTGAAGATTATCTCCGGATGATGGTCGGGTTGGCCAATGAGAGGTTTCAAATCAACAGTGACCGCATCCTTAGGTTCCGCAATGCTCTACAGGGCCAATATAGTCATGCTTCAACGAATGATTCTGCTAAATCGCAGCATGTGAGAGAGGGATATGAAGATCCTCATGTCAGACGGCAACGGAAGAGACAAGAAGGTCTTATTCGCCAGCAGGGCCTCCATGATGTAAAGGATACGGACCGTAATCATGAGTCGGACGCTGATCTTGGCCGGATGTTTGACTGATGCCTTCTGCCATGGTTGCGCGAGGTCTTTGCCCGATGGTTTACAAAAGTTTCCGATTTGACGACAGTACTGATATCACTCCTGAAGAGGAACATGGCGGGAGCGTTCCATGGAATGTCTCCGAGCATGGATGCTCGGCGACTTCCACTACCAGCGCACTAAACGCTACGCGAGGAGGCATTTTGCGCTGTGTATAAAGATACCGTTGTTTCAGTACGACTTCAATACATCAAGGTTCCAACGCACAGTCTACACATCAACTCTCACTTTGCCACTCCTCTACGATTGACTGAAGATGGCTTTCGCAGAAGCCAACCGAAAATACTTCGAGTAAGAAAGCCATCTACTTTCTTATGCCGACAAAATCTTACCGTCTAACAGCAGTTTGGCCGAAATGTATGACGGCAAGCCCTGGGCCAAAAAGATAGGCGAACAGCTGGCCAAAGCCTTTCGATCTCGCCGTGACTGGATTGGGGTAGACTTCCTCGATGAAGGCACCGCCAACTCTGACAAGACCGTCCGTCTTCTTGACTATGCTTGTGGAACCGGCATGGTCTCTCGAGTAAGTCCATTATGTCACGCACACATTTCCTGTTCACTTACTGACCTCCCCAGGCACTAGGCCCCTACGTAACAACCACAATCGGCATCGACATCTCTCCCAACATGGTCGCCGCCTACAACGAGCGCGCCACTTCATCCGGTTTTCCAAAATCCCAGGTCTCCGCTGTCGTCGGCGACCTATTCGCCGCCGAGCCCTCCACAGCGCTCTCAGGGCCAGAGTACTTCAACTTCGACCTCGCGGTCGTCAGCGCCGGTTATCACCAGTTCGACGACGTCGTGCTCTGCACCAAGCGCCTGGCCGAGCGGCTGAAGCCGGGCGGCGTGCTCGTCATCAGCGACTTCCTCCAGGGGTCGGACACAGATGTCTTGCACACGAACGTGGAAGGTATTGGTGAACATGCTCACGGCCACCATCATCTCGGCCACTCGCACCATCATGGGTATCATTCACACGAGCCTGCGGACTTGCCTAGCGGCATGCGTGCGGCAATCAAGGTGTTTGCGTTTGATGAGGCGGGCGTGAGGGCGTTCTTTGAGGAGGCGGGCTTGGTGGGGTTTGAGATGAGTGTTTTGGAAGAAAAGGTGCATATGGAGTTTGGAGGCAAGAAAATGGAGAGCACAGTGTTTTTTGCTAAAGGGATGAAGCCTAAGGCATGATTGCTTTATTCGTAGTAATTTTTTTTAGCCTATGGAGTTATTGAAACAGTGTTATTTGAATTCATCTTCTTTCTGGGATGCCAACCTCCGGGAGGCCCCTAAAGGGCTCTGAAGGTGTGCAGAGAGCTACTGAATATCAATGCAAATCACCATGCTTCGAAAGCATGCCATCTACCACTTTCTCTTCGTGACCGTCTAGGAGAGCTTCGACCGTTCATCACCGGATGTAGAGGCCTACCGCAAACCAATGCAAAGCACTACAGCCGCGAAGACTTTAGCGCTCTTAAGGATGATTGCAAGTAGAGAGACACTTTCGACTGATTTCAGTTCTATGGCTTTGGGCACATGAGATATACGTCATGTAACCGTACCTCTTGAATGTTCGTACCAGCCCTTCATCGAACCGACACCCGAGAGATGCAACCCAAGCCCGCCTAACCCACCGGCGCCCGATCTTTTAGCCTACTGACTTCATTTCATCGCGCAAAATAAGAAGGAAAGAAAGAAAGAAAGTAAAAAGGCTTCCTTACTCCAACTCTGGCTCCTCTTTCCTCAACCTCGAGAAACCGCCTGCCCTGCCACTCGTCGCACCATTAAGCTTCGCCTCGATTTCCTTGTTCTCTGCATCCTTCATCTGAATGAAACTCGCCTTCTCCATCTGGATGACCTGCAGCACACCGACTAAGCTGTTCCGCCACATGTCTAGCCGGGATGCGACCTCGCGCCACTGGTTCTCGCCAAACACACGGTATGTGCTGCGGTGGATAAGGAAGGTCTGGGTGAGCTGAGACAGCTTACCCTCAACGAGGCCGGCCCGGATCACATCGATGACCCACATTTCGACGTCCGAGGATGGGATCTGGAGTGCCTTGGCGATATGAGCGTAAGGAAGAGATCGTGTTTGGCCAGTGCTTGCAGCAATTGAAGCGAGTGTCAGGAGGCGCATCTTCCGGTTCAAAGCGTCAGCATCCAACTCCTGCTCCTCGATCCAGCCGTCGTGCTCGTCCTTGAAGTCATTGAAGTCGTCCAATAGGTCGGCGGTGAAGATCTCGAGGAGCTGGAAATAGATGGGGTGGGAGTTGCGGAGGGCTTGGATGGTGTCTAGGGCAGTAAGATCCTGGAAGTCGAAGTGGGTTGGGTGGGTGAGGGCGGATTTGAGCGCGCGTAGGGAGAGCTGTTGCGATTCTGGGGTGGACAGTTCGTCAGAGGGAATCGTCCGTAGCGCCCTAACGAGGTATTGGTAGGCATGTTCCTCTTCGCCCGCAACGGTAGCCACTTCCACGATGGCGAGGTAAAGTTTCCGCTGGTCCTCCTCATCCATGTCCCAAGCCGCTAGCCACTGGTCGAGATGCTTCAATTGTGGGCGGAGAGTCTCGAAGTTGGCGCTCCGTCGAACAACGCTCAGAATGGCGAGAAAGACATGGTACCGGTTATCATTGTCTGGCTGCAGGGTGTTGAAGACAGTGCTGAGGATGGAGAGGGCGAGGCCCGCGCCGTTGGCTGGCGAGGACCGGACTGGAGCGGAGAGGTTCTGACACACGCGGGGGAGGAACATGTTCAGATTTGGCGATTGCCGTGTTAGGTGGACGAGGAGGTTGTAGGCGGCTATGAATTCTGTACAACAGTCATGTCAGAGGTTGGGATTTGGATCAGACATGATATGCGGAACTCACCCTTCTCCGGGGCCTCGTTCAGGGTCGCACTGCCCGTCACCAGCTTCTTCAGTACATCGTCCTTCTTGTTCTCTGCTAATAGCGCAGTGCATTCGGCCTGGATGTTGGAGTCCTCGTCGCCGTGTGCCTTTTTCAAATTGTCGATGTATGTCGCGAGTTCCTCGACGAGCTCCTCGAAGGTACCCTCGATGAGCAGAGTAGTGGTAGGCGCCGGCATGGTGAAAGCGGCGTCGTGGAGAAGTTGGTGAGGTGTGCGAGGGCGACGGCGTGGTTTTTCTCGTCTTTGTCGTCGTCGACTCTGGCGGCATAGTGCGCGGTCGATTTTGAGATCCCAGAACTCTTGGCATCCCTCCACTATCGATAAGCCACCTCCTCGCTTCATTCACTCCCAATTCACTCTCTAGCCAACATCCATCATTAATCTGAGCAAACTCATCACCCCCGAAGCCGTGACGCAAGCCCACATATACTAGCTTATAGCTGCCTGGGGGGTCTCGTATGCTTTTAGAGAATTGAGATTAGCGAGGCGACGTTCGTATAAATCCCTCTTTAAGGTAGCTAGCCGTGGAGTTATTAGTTTGATGAAATACTCTGATGTACACTTGGTATAGATTTTTGACCTTGAGCTGAAGTACTCCAAGTAGCGGTGGACAAGCGTACGTAGGCTTCTATCACGGCATGTAGAGTTAAGTCTGTTTACACGTCTACTAATCCAGAGACACTACACTACTTACATTCTGAGATCGTCCTTTTAATTCTCATCCTATACCTCTCTTTTTCCTTTCTACACTGTTTCCATCACCCAGTCTTCTAGCGCATCAAAATATGCGTATTAGCCAGACGTCGCAAGCATATAATTAGACACTAAGCATCACCGCTGTTGAACAAGGCTCGGGCGAAAGGGGAGGGACTTCGTGTTCCCTATCTCCTTCAAAAAACACCGTTAGTAATACTATATACCAGATTGTATGATTGCTATTACCTCTTGGCCAACCATTGGACTATACCTTGTTGTGCCCTCAAATTTATGCTATTTAGATTATAACATTAGCAACTAGCACCGAGCCACCGCGCTCTTATTTTCACTTCAAACCTCCTTCAGAGCCGGTCTCCACTGAATCTAGAAGTGTCAAAAGCACTTACTTTGGTACGTGGGATGCTGATCGTTCCAGCATTCTTGCTCCTCGCGGGCATCGTCGGCACGCAAACCCCTGAAGGCTTCATCCACGCCGTGCCCGCGCCCCTCAATACCATTTTCGACTACGCCATTATTCCGCCGTCTAGGCTTGATCTTCCCAAGATCAGTCAGTATAGTTAAACTCATTTGGAGGTGCTTGATAGCTAATAGCCCGATAGCGCAAGGGCCAGGGAGACAATTCCGCGTGAACAAGGCTGGTGAATAGACTTGGATTAGAGGCTTTAAGACTATAGATCTTAAAAGAAAAGAGATGGAACATCATCAATGAACGCAGCAAAAAGCCCAAAACACATTCCCGCGATTCGATCCCCGGGCTACTAAAAGTATAGCAGAAAAGCAAAAGCAAGACCCAGCAGCACACGGATTACACTGAGTCAAATGCCCGTGGGTGTGTGCTTGAGAGGTCTTACTTACAGACAGCCATAATAACTTGACGGTGAATAAACCAACACTAGGAACCTCTTACGTGAAACTGAACGGCACCCATATCTTCTTGATGCTTGCTAAAAACTTCCATTCCATTCAATACCTTAACTGTCTCAGTAGCTTTTTACCAAACTGTGTTCACCAAACTGGGTTTCTCCTCAGACGTCGATATGTAGCCCGTCGACCGCCGTCCAGCCTACTCACCACACTAGCCCTGCCTGACTCATTGGCGACCCTGCCGGTCCCCGGGGGTGCAGTCTCCACGCCTTTCTTGCCAACTACAAGCTCTCACCTACCATTGCCAATACTACACACATCCTTTTTTCTACGACCACAGGTCCGTCATTCTATCTCGCGCCCAGCTCACCCGCCGAGACACCTCCACACCCGCACAAGCACCTCGAGCTGCTATTCAAGCAACTAGCTGGATGAACAGTCCCGAGCCCTCACAGTAGTACTGTAAATGATCGGCTGCCACTCAACCACACCATTTCCATCCAGGACGCAGGACTCGCGGCGCCTGTGAAGCGAGTTGGCGGTAGGAATCTTAAGGAACTAAGGCTACAGGCTAAAGAAATATCCACATGCCATACGGTCAGTTTCATAGTTTTAGAATGCAAATCTGAAGAGGCTTTTCGGGCGCGGCGTTGCAAAAGTCCGTGTCCGTAAACTACTCCATCGTTCCCAGATCCCTGGAACTTTCCCGCCTGGAACACATTGACATTTAGATGGAGTCTGCACGGATCTTCTGAGGATTGAAACTATAGCTTTGAACACTCTTGCGCTGCCTCAGAACCGAGTTTAGTATCCACCCTGCTGTAGAGAAGGATGCGAAGGAGGACCGACCAAATCTCGCCCACCAACGTCTTCCTATTCCGATCGGCCATCCTCCCTCAACAGTCCGCGAGTGCGTACGTATAAAAGCTATCAGAGCTCCTTGAAAACACCCAACCGTCCAAACCAACTCACTCCTTCAACTCTCCCCAACATCATCCCTCACTCAACCACTCCCAGACTCCCCAAAATGCACCTCTCCACCCTCCTCTTCCTGACCCTCGCCGGCCTCCTCAGCCTCACCACCGCAGCACCACAGCTCCAGAAAGTCGACTGCGCCAGCGACTGCATCAGCAGCAAATTCGGGGGCAACAGCAACGAGTCTAAGTAAGTCTTTGCCTACAGACCCCCTGTACCAGTACTGCAAACTCATACAATATGGCCGTGTTGTAGCAAAGAATGGTGCGGAATGGCATGCGCCTTTGGGCTTTACAAGCCGGCTGTGATCGGGTGTCCGTGACCGCGGCGTGGAAGAGTGGTGGTGTGCGGAGAGGGATATCAAACGGGCTATGGTGGCGATTGGTGTGAAGGAGGTTTGGTGTCAGTGTTTAAATGTACCTATGCGAGTTTATATCGCGGTTTTTGAAGAGGGGAGAGGAGATCGGAGAGCATCGATGTGAGCGCGATCGAAATGCCGCTAGATCCAATCCGAATTTGAGTCGTAGGGGCCAGGGCTCGTGATCTCTCATATATCCACGCACCCGACCTAGGGTCTGAAAGGACCATACTCTAAAAAGAGCGCAGTTCATTCTTCTAGGTCTTGAATCATTTCGTTCTTGAGCAGTAGCACCACGAGCAAGAGGAAAGCGTGACCGCATAAGCGACTAGATAGACGGCCCCTAGGTGTAGACGGCTCCTAGGTGTAGGATACCTTAGTTTACTACCTACCAACTTCCCACATCCCCATTTTTATATCTTTCACCTCCTAAATTTCATCTACTTGCCATTTACTCCATATCGTGTGGCTTACCATCATCATTCTTCCGAATTTCGTTGCGTTGCTCAAACTCTGGCCCCATCGCAGAACCGTGCAAATAGCACCGGTGTGAGTTCGCGCCACTGATCATAACCAGAAGAAAAAAGCCCACGAAAGACGAAACCCGACAGGAAAAGCAGAGAGTGAGAAAAGTTCCATCAAATATCATATCTCAGAAGAGACGAAGATACGTTAGTCTAAGCAAAAGCTAGCGGATTATGCCTTCAGCAAGAGCGTCGGGTATTACTTCGCACTACCTAGCCTGGACTCACATCAAGATATAATGTAGATAGATAGAACGACGCCACGCAAACTCCCGAGATCGCCATGCTGAAAGTCAGACAAAAGAGAAGAAGGCAACAAAAGGCAAACAAAAAGAGTCGCCCAGCTAGGACAGGTACTCCACCGGACGGGCAAAGCAACGAGGCTTGCGGGTGTTCATAAATGTGAGGCTTTAACCCGGTAAGACGGATGCCAGCTGAAGGTATCAACGCCTAATGTAGTGTTCGCCCGAGCGCATCAATCCGAAAGTGAGTGCCTGCCGCTTCACGACAGGATCACTCGTCCTGGGCGTAAAGATTCTGATTAAGAATCTTGTTCATGGTGAACATGTGCACGCGGTCCTGCTTGAAGACGGCACGCATTGCATTATCGCAACGTATTTGGCGCTTGTCGCTGGGGTCTTGCAGGTCGCGCTCTTTGACATATTCCCAGATCTTCTTGACGGTTTGGGGGCGAGAAAGCTGGGATTGATTAGCACTTGCTGTATAATGACAAATTGGCCTAATGATTGCTTCCAAAGCAGAGCGGTAGTTCGGATGAAGGAGTAAAGCATGTTGGAGTGTCGGTGACTTACACTAGTCTCGCCCAACAACTCCGACAGCGCCGGTGAGAGGTTCATAGGCTTCTATTGGGTGTGTCAGTAAACCGATTCTATTCCAACGTTGCAACAGACTTACGTGAAAGCCGCTGTTCCGGTTCACTTCCTTCTTTTTAGCCCCTTCACCAGACTCAACCTCACTATCATCGTCCGAGTTGATCTTCCTCGCGCTCTTCTGCTTTTTCTTCGCAGCTTTGTCCTTCTTCTTCACCACCGGCGCCCTCTTCTTAGTGTTCCCACCGCGGGTCGATCTAGCGTGCCTGTTCTCCTCAGCCTGTAACCGCGCCGCAAGTGTCGCGTCATCCTCTTCAGCCATCTTGCTGCTCTTCTTGTGTTTCTTCTTTGGCGGTGAGGGCTCCACCTCAGACAGTTCCGATTCCTCCTCCGATTTCGCGCGCTTTTGGGGAGAGGATTGGTCCGAAGGTGTGACAACGTCTGAAGAGTCGCGAGACTCTTTTTCCTTGATGCCGTTGGTAGCTGGAGGTACTGCTGCAGTGGGGGCTGGCTTTGGGGGCTCTACAACTTCCTGTTGAGTCTTGAGGGTTTGTTCGTGGTTGAATTTATCAAATCGGGACATGATCAACTGCGTCACTTGGTCCTATATTCCAGGTCAGAAATGCTTGTATATGTGATGTAGTCTCCTTGTGTACCTTCTGATGGGTAATGTCATAGTCGACTTGCGCCTGGAGGCCTTTGCGAATGCGTTTGGCGGAGATGGTGTTGAGATCGCTGTTGGCAAGGATGCTATCAATAATGGCGGAGTAAGAAGCCTCAACTTCTGGCGGTAGGGCTATAAGCACGAGGTATCAGCGATGAGGTCCAATATAGCTATAGGTACGGAGAGGAAGCTTACAGGCCATGTTGGAAACCGTTGTCGGGTGTATGTACTGTGTATAGGTCGACCTGGGGCTATTCGCGCAAAACGAGCTGCACTAGAGCCTAGAGCAAGAAGCACGGCTGGAAGCGTAAGTACTACAAGCTAGACTGGGCGATCTAAGAGCTAGATCAGGCGCAAGAGACGGTGGTGAGAGGATTGGCTGGATGGGCTTAAGCGGATATCAGATGCCAGAGGCGCAAGCGAAGCGGGCTGAAAAGCGAAAGTCGGGCAGAAGAGATGGTGCCGGCGGAGGTACCCAGAGGGCTGAGAAGAAGGGCGGATTCACGAAGAGTATTGGGCGCGAGCTGGACAGCGCAGTGGTGATGTGCAAGTGAGGTGAAGATGTTCGGCTTGAGGTGCGGCAGGAAGCTAGCGTCGCGATCTCCACTAAACCCGCGGAGGAGGCTGGGAAGCCGGCGCCGTCGAAGAGACGCAGGAACTCGTGATGAACGGGATATGGAAAGCAAACTTGTGCTCGTTGCTATGGATATGCTTTGATGTCGTCCTCTTGCATTTGTATGCTATGTCTATGTGATTGGCTATATAACACGAGAGCTATGCGGGGTGGCCCGCCTTGCCCGCGATGGTACTTCACTATGGAACACCCTGCACGATTTCCGCCACGTATATAGCAGAACAGCTGAGCTGTGCTCATAGGCAGAAATGATCTGTTCACCTGTCTCTTCACCAAAATCTCATGGCTCACATTACAGCGCACCCAAAGCCGTACATGGCCCTCTCAACTGCACGCTTCACCGCAAACCAATCCGCCCGGCGCTCGGCAAATTCATAGACTTCCTCAGCTCTAAAAATACCATAGTAGCGATCCGAGTCGGCGATGATGGTGGCAATCTCCTTCGCATGCTCGGGTGAAATCAAATAGATCTGCGAGAGCTCCCGCAGCGCGCTGAAGTACTGCGTAAGCGACTTGTTCCGCAGGGTCGCGATATATGTGTGGTAGGCATTCATGTCGCTGCAGCTTGTCAGTGACCTGATCTATTCGAAGTATTGCTAGAGCTATACATACCTGATCAGCTTGATTGCACCGTCGACGCTGATACGCTGGCGTTTCAGGTGCTTGCACAGCGCCGCGAAGAGACGTAGGCCGACTTCCTGATTGAAGACGTCCAGCATGTTTTTGTCCGTGCTACCCACTAGCATGCTCGTGTGCGAGGAGACCAGGTCCACAATCTTGGTTGCCGTGTGACTGGGTCCAATGTCTTGCATGTGCACCACCCCATCGGTCCCTGGGCTGGGGTTGAAATCGGTGGGTAGTTGCGTGGTTGCGCAGATGTACTCCACCTCGTCCATAAGCACATCGATACCCTTGTTAAGGCCTGCTGCGACCCGCTCGTCTAGCATCTGCTCGAACCGCTTCTTTTCCTTGACAGCCACACTGAGAAAGTCGTCTCGATCGGTCAGCCTTGGTGCCACCAATTCCTGGAGGTAGAATACGTCGACCATCTGCTGGATCAGATCGCCCACGTTCACCAATTCAAGAAACGTGACCAATGGCTCGACTCCTTGCTGAGCATGGTCCGCAACTTCACGTGGGTTGTATGCTGACAGATGATTGACAGCCTTGTCGAAGCCTGTTTTAATGTGACGCTGCCCTAGAATCTGCAAGAGGCTAATAAATATATTCTCACATTGCTCTCGGGACTCTTCTCCGGACTGGCCGCCCAGTTTGACAAATATAGCTGCTCGTTCCAGACTTGACTTGGCCATGTGGATGAGATTGAGCGCTACCTCAATGCTGAAAAGTGAGCGGATGCCTTCAAGGCGTGAGTTCATGATGGCAGCCTTCGCCGCCAACTCCGTACTTGGAGCCTCTATTCTTGGCGACGCGGATCGTTCCCCGGGAACTGGTGTCCCTGACCTCGAGGCGGGAGGTTCCAGGCTATCGCCGTTGGGTATTGCGGGGGCTGTTGCAGGTTTGCTAGCTCCGAATGGAGTCGGAATGGTGGAGACGACGTTCACCGGCATCATGACCACCTTTCTGAATGAGCTAAGGAAATCTCGTTTCACGGCTTGTCGATTGACATTCGCCATGAAGGCGGATTCAGTCGACTGCTCCTCATCGGAGAGCCTCTTTTCCCATACTTCGACTTCCGATTCCGATTTACGTTTGAAGAAGTCTAGCTCTTCCGATAGATAGAGATCAACGTGGGGCTCAAAACTGCGAGAAACAATCCGCAGGACCTCTTCCTGGAAGTTCGCTTTTGATCCTTTGGTGCCCTTCAGCGTGTGCGCAAATTGTAGTCCTTGGCCGAAGACCCCGGCGACAGCCTTCAGATATACCTCGATTGATGTGTCGTGGGCCTCATCAAATAGCGTCGTGACGTATTCGGAAATGATGTCCTCACCAACGCGGTCCAGAAAAGGAAGTAGAACGTCTACAGTGGGCGGAAACACGCGATCAATGATCTCGGCCTGCTCGTTCAGAGACGTTGCGAGTTCTTTGAAAAAGTCATGTGAGGGCTGCAGAGATATATGGCCGGGTGCTGTGTCCTTCAAGCCGTCGGTCGGGTTCCCTAGTTTCTCCTTGTCAATCATTAGAGGATGATTGTGGATAAAGCTATCAATTCCAGCTGTGCCGCCATTCAGCGTGACAAGAACGTGGGCATATCGCTTCATACGCCCATCGACGTCGTTGGATTCATACCCTTGTTCGAATTCCCGGAGTACGGCATTCTCAAAAATGCCTATCATCGACTCTAGCTTCTCTTCTCGACGAGACCATCCTTGCGAGAAGTCGCTCTTCGCAAATATTTTGAGCTGAGATAGCATTTGCGCTTGATGCTCCGGGTCCCGATAAGTTCGAAATAATACCGGGTCTGTATGACTTCTGGACCTGGCAAGGTCAAAGTAGTAGGGCGCCAGCGCTCCGTAAATCTTACCGTACTCCTGCCGTGCGTGACCACGGATTGAACGGACTTTCGAGAGAACTTTTAACGCCAAATTCGGATCCAGGGAGAAGGACTGGCCGGGAGCCGTCGTTCCTGAGGGGGAGAGGGTCATGGCATCGAAGCCACGGTCCAGAGTACTTGCCCGCGGTCTTCCAGCGGGCCGGTCGAGCGACATCCGCTGCTTTTCTTCCTCCCAGCCGGCGTCGAATAATGTGATGCTTTTTTTTGGCTCCTCAACTCCGCCGCCAGCAATCCCATTTACACTGCCGTTCCACCCTACCCCCGTCCTTCGCGCCTCCTCCGCCTCTTTCGCACGTTGGGCTTCGATCTTCCTCCTCATAGCTTCCTCGAACCGCTGCCGCGCCTCCGTTTCATTCCAACAACCCATACTCTTCAGTCGCTGTATCCATCGTGTGTCATCGTATACCATCTCCTGCATGCGGCGTGAGGTCCGGGCAAATCTGAACAGGTCGGGAATTGGGAGGTAGTCGAGTATTGTGGCGATAAGTTCTAGAAGCGTTAGAGGACAATTGCAACATCGGGTCATTTCGCTCTACCTGCGGGCAGTACTGGCTTTGAGTCCACAATTTGCGTGGCTCGTAATGAGGCCAGCACATGTTGTCGTGGGTGCTCGCCGGAAAGGGGAGCTCTCTTGAACGATGACATGGTGGGAGACTGGTTGGACATGCCGGCGGGGAAGAAGAACACGTCCAGCGGCTTGGATCAGTGCAGGTTTGGCATTGCTGGGAGGCTGTGATAGAGTAGCAGTCAGCGGGGGTGAAATCTGTGGTTGGCGGTTGGCAGAGAGGCGGCAGCTTTAAGCGAGGGTGAACTGGAGTACCCTTGTTTGAGTTTACTTCGAGGGTTCATGCGCGTTTGGCGATTTCGATATATTGATATCGAGATTTTGTTTCAATTTGTTTTTACAGGGCTTGAAACTTGGATTTGATGAAGGCTCTCCTAATTCAATAAAATGCTAAAACGGGTAAATACCGCCCGATAGCAACCATAACTTCGTGAATACCACGCCCAATCACAACCCTCCCATGTAGGTCATGCTCCAGCAGCTTGAACCAAAGCTATAGCATGGCAAAGAGACCCGCGACGGCAGCACCCATGCCAACTCCCATTCCGACGTTGTTGACAGCAGCGATGCCTGTGCTGCTGGCTGTAGCAGATGCGGGAGAAGCTGTCGCGGCGGAGGCCGCGGAGGAAATCTTGGCCGCAACGGATGAGGATTCACTGGCCGCGCTGGACGCGCTGGAAGCGCTGGCTACTGAGCTTGCGCTAGCTCCTGAAGCAGTGCTAGACGGTGTACCCGTGGCGGAAGCTGAGGACGCGCAAGAGGCAACTGAAGGAACGATGATGTTGTACGTTTTGCAAAGTTGTGCCGCGAATTCAATGGTTGCTAGAGAGGGACAATGGTCAGAATCAGGGTACTCAGCAGGAGCAGGGAGGACTCACTCTTGGTATCGTCGGCGTCGCAGCTCTTAGAAACGCAGCAGGACAAGTTCGAGATCAGGTCTGAATTACCGCATATGCAGGCGATGTCAAGCGTCTTGCAACCGCCGAAGTTCTGGCCCACGCATGTTCGCTATCACAACTATCAGACCATGCGCTGAAACGCTGCGATACTAGTGTGTAGAGTGTCTACTTACGGCGCACTGGGGCAATTGATCTAGAAGGCTCTGCGCGGTGCTCAAGGAGGTCAGTGCAGCGATGACTGCGATGATAGAGAAACGCATCTTGCAAGGGACAAAGAGGGAGGCAGGCGCACGGGTATAAGACGGGAAGATGCAGTAGGAAACAGAACGAAGAGGACCAGCTGGGGTTTATGTAGAAAGCCAGGTTAGTGCAATTGATTGGGGAGGGGCTCGTCCCTCTTCGGCTCGCGATGGATGTTTTCAATCCAGACCGTTGGGCGCTCTTGCAATTCCAGATTCCGCTAGCAGGAATTAATGTATTTTGTGATAGGCACTTTCCGCCCGACGCTAGGTGCCTGCTCTATAAACCTCCGTCTTTGATGGTTTTTTGAGGATTCCGGGCGCCTTATGAGGAATCTGGTGACATGTGTAAGACTTCTCCACGCTGGACGAGTCGGTCCCCACATTCATCCCTGACAGGCGGTTCCTGCATCGGCACACTAGGCAGGAAAAGTGGCACACTGTCTGAGGTGGCCCAGAGAGCCATCAGGTTTGCCACACTTAGTAATTCAGAAACAACAATAGGATATTAGAGGACCTCACGCGGTGCTAACGAAGCATACACAGGCACAGAAAGACTGTGTATATATCTCATGGATTCGTGGACTACCATTTTCTGTGGACACTCATCAGCCGCGCTGTCTTCTAGGTGCACCTGTCTACCACTGCTTGAGGTGCTTCAACGAGTTTCCACATAGCCCAGAGCGAAGAGCTTCTATCCCGTCTATATTTCTGAAAATGTATTGAAGGTAAGACAAGTCGAGCTCCAAGGTGACTTGATGAACCTCCTCCAAAAGCGGCGATGAGAGATGTCGACTAAGACCAACACCAGAAAAAGCCATTTATTTGTACGTCGGCCGCTGTGTGAAGTTCGGCCGCGTCGTACAAGGCCGTTGAGAAAAGCAAGTATCGCCCAACCGCGGCAGATGCTGCAGCTAGCCAATCGCCCCGGGATGAAGTTATCGCTGAACATGAAGCGGCATTGATTGTATGTAAGGAAACCTTGGATCGACTAACTACCGAGATCAATCGTACTGGGAAGCATCGACCAATGCAGGTGTCCCCAAAATCCATGTCGTTCAACTACTTGCCATCTTAGTCTCTTTCACATGCTGAAGCTGTGAGGCCTTCATGTTCTCTAAGACCGACTGGTAATCCCCGAATAATTTTTGTCTGGTGAGTCAACTTTTCTATATCTGGCCGAGCCGAGGATACGGAGTACAAGATGCACTGCTAGGATGGGAGGCTGGTAGCGGAGCCTCACTGTAACTTCTAACTTGGCGACACCACAACACCAGCGCGATACTGCTGGCACGTATCTCTGCGACCCTTTCGAAGGCCACACCGCCCAGGGGCAGGCCAACGAACCGGTAAGAAGCCCTAGCGTACCTTCGTGGCCCCCTCGAAGGCCATCTCCAACGCGCCTCACATCCGCCCTCGCTCCGCCTCTCCCCCACACGAGGGTGTCACTTTCACACCGCGCCCCAACGCCCTCTGGGATCATGGAGGGAAGACGGGCGAGGCAACGGGACCTCCTAACGAACTTCTTTGCGCAGCGCCCGAATCTGAAGGCGTTCTGATAGACCCCTCGCTCCACAGATCGCCAGCGTAGTGCGCGATTTACTGCAGCCCTATATTTCTGCTGCGAACTTTGAACGAACATCAAATCGCGCAGAGGCTAGGTTTGGAGAATGGAGAACAAGGGTTCGTCAGCGCTGCCTCGTCGGTGGGATGAATAGTAGCCGTGCGAGAAGGGTGAAAGGCAGGAGCTGGAATCGATGTAGGGCGCACACCGACATCCATCCCACTCCCTTGCCTTTCTCGACAGTCCTGGAGAGGGCGCAACTGTGAGGCCGTTCGTGGGGGGCGCGCGGGACAACGCAACCATCTATCTGCCAGGAAGCTGGCGATGCTGAGCCGGTGAAAGAGTCATCGAGCTCATCTTCGTCGCAGACGAGCTGGGACGGGGTTGTTTATCACACGCGCACACTTCAAACCGCAAGCCCCGTCAACATCTTCCCGGCCGAGGTGCGCGCAGGGGGCTTTATAATCAATGATGAAATGTTTGGTTGATGGGCCCCGTACCTGCGTTGGCGCCGCGAGCGCAGAAACCGCCTCGCCAACAGCCTCTCATGCGCCGCTTTGCACTGCCGCAGTCGACACGTTAACGCGGACGCTGGATGGGCACTGAATGGTCACAAGCAGTTCGCTGCCTGGTGTAAAGCCTCCATTTGAGGCTCCAAGGCTCTCTTGCCAAGCGCCAGTTGTCCACCCAGCCACAAGCTGGACCACTTGACCCGAGTACAAGCCTGGCACCCACTTTCAGCGGTGACCTGTTCGGCCGCCGCGGTGTGAAGCGGTTTCAGCTTTCCCAATGCGCCTGGGTTCTAGAAGGTTGTCGCAAGTTGTTCTCTGGGAATTTCGCCGCAAAGGCCCCCGATGACTGACCGTTGGCCCTGTAGCCCTACTGTTCCAAGGTCAGGGCGAGTGGCTGAGGCCCACTATACCCCATCAGGCGTCCGCGAGTGAATTCCCACCGGCGGAAGCACTTTCCAGTCGCCGCTTCAGGCCGGCCTGAAAACCAGAAGGCAGCTGTCTGGGAAATGTAAGGCTCAATTTTGTAGCATTGAGCGGTGGCGCGCGCCCTCTTAGGTCAAAAGTAGCCTTGTTTGAGGCCGCCTTCCTCTGCCTTCTGTATCGCAGCATGGCCACCACAATGTCGTCTGGAGGTATATAGAGAGGCCTGACTTCCAACCTGAGTTTCTCACACAGCCCATTCAAACATATCACCACTGCCTACACTTAGCCTGAAGCTACCTGCATAAAGTCTTACGCCTCACCCGCATCCTCGTTGCTTTATACCAAACTAGCAAACGCCCCTTCCGCTTTCGACTCAAGCACTATGTCGACTCGATTGCTATCCAACGCCTCCCACCTGAAGGCCGGCGACCCCCAGCCCAGGGACGGAGGGGCGCCGAACAAGACCGTCTCCAGTTTGCATCTTCAGATGCGTTTCACCACTTCCCCATCAAACCTACACCGCAGATCCCGAGGACCCCAACCCCGAGATGGAACTTAGAGGATCGCTCTCTTACTGTAAGTCTTCCACGTGGAGGTACCCAAGCTTGAAACAATCCTAATATCTTTCAGTTATTCTTCCAGAGCTTATCTCCACACTCTGGGAGTCGATGATTGCTCAGTCATAACCAACAACAACTGAACACATCGAACAAGATGACGGTCCACCAAAGCACTCCGTCTACTCCAGTGCTTTATACGTCATAATATCTGGTAGCATCGTGGTCCATAAGACACGGTTGCTGTTCCAGATCGAACGCCCGTCGCTCCCACCACTACGACTCTTTTTTACGCAACTCTTTTGTCGACATTTCCGGTTCTCCATCTTGACATTTCTCTGGCTTTTGTCCTTATTTGAAGCGTTCCGCGATGCATTCTGGCCGGTGGTTTTATAGAAAGGGATTTGGATCGGACAACCGCTGTATTGGTCTGGGCCAGGTTTTGTCCAATCTCGCGCATGCTTTTGTGCAGCTGTATTTTTAGTTGTTTGGGAATAGATGGATGGGTAGGACACGGCGCCTTGGGACGACCGCACGCTGCGGTCGGAGGATTGCTGGATCAGAATGGCGTTGGAAGTTGTTTGATTTTGTACCAGATAGATCGGCACCAATGCGGGGCTCTTGGCAATGACACGTGAATGTAAGCAGATAGATACACACTGATGTTTGCAAATATTTTATTTTTGAAAGTCTGGAGTGATGATGAAGTGAGTGATAAGATATGGGTGTGCCAAGCATGCTAATGAGTAGATATCTGAAGGCTCACGTGACGACACGTGATCCCCTCGTCAGTTCTTATCAACTTTTCTACTGCCACTAGCGCAAAAGATAATGAATTTCGAGTTGTTCACCTTTGGCTACTCGCCCTACGTATACTGACGCCTTTATGCAAGTTTGAAGAGCACCTACTATCTGGAACAGATTTCAAACCCCAAGCAAAACACGGAAAGCGGAAATCCGTGGTGAAGTAGATACCTAGACTCTTACGTGCTCGATTCGAAGAAATTGAAGTGATTAGATTGGTAGATGGAAAGAGAGCTCTCCTGCAGCCAAGTATCCTTACGTAAATCATGCATCTACCCCAGATTGTTACAAGCGAGAAGACCATTCTCTAACATCTTCCTCAAGCCACATCAAATAATGTGTATACCTCGTAGACAAACCACCCCAGAATGAATGGGGTTTATGGTGTTTCCAAACATTTGTGTCACTGACTCGTGTAATAGCGCCTGGATATTCCTCGACCTTTTCCGTCATCTCTGCGAGATCGTTTTGCATAACCACCGCTCCACCGCACTCTCTCCTGCATGGATCCTTCAAGCTCACCGAAGCCCAAGATGACAACATCTCTCACGCTGACCAGTCCAGATGTCGTGCTCGAAAGCATTGCCTAATTCCCATATGCTCGGAGCGCCGGCGGCGACGCGTTCCAAGACGGAGCCGGTGCACTTTTACGTTATTAGAACTCCGAAAGCAGCGCTGGTTTGCCAACGGTCTTCCAGCATGATCAAACAGCGCTACGTGATTCCTCAGCCGGGGAGCAGAGCCTTCACCGACGGCATGTCTGGGCAGACGCGCTCGAAGGTGGTCACGTCGAGGGGCAGAGAGAGGCGGTCCTCGTGGCACGTTGCGAATTTTTGCGTGAGTAGTCGCGGTGTAAAAGCTTGCTGTGACCCTTGGGACTGGGAAAGTACATATGCTGAGCTTCTCGCGTCATTCTCTACCGCTCTTTGTCAATTTGTTGTCGTCGTTGTCCCCTCTTCTGGTATAAGTGACAGCCTTCTTCCAGATCTTCTTCACGGTGACAGTAATTTCTACATCTTCGAATTCTCAACACTCAACTCTGCTTCAATAAATCATATCCTTCTCTCATACCCATCTTCCAACACAACAAAACATGGCTCTTCGAACATCAAGTGACGGACAGGGCCCTACTGACCGTGCCTTCTCCCATGGTCGAGGCGGTGCTGGTATGTTTTTGGTTCACTTAAACCGGTCGCGGCGAGCAAACCGCTCACAAACCTTCCAGGAAACATCGGCAAAGAACGCCGCGAAAGCTTCAACAGCCCTAGCGACCTTGCCACCCCTACCCTAAAGTCCGACCACTACACCACGGGCCGCGGCGGCTCGGGAAACATTGCCAAAAACGACCCCAACCACCCCGAGCTAGCCAGACTCGCTCAAGACGTAGAAGCCCCGGTCAAGCGCGAGCCCGAAGGACCCCACCACTATGGTCGCGGCGGCGCTGCGAATGTCGCTGTCGTGAGCGAAGAAGAGGCGCGTGTTGCGAGGGAGAACAATGCGAGGATAGCAAGAGGCAGTAGTGAGGAACGCAAGAGCTTTTTGGAGAAGGGGAAGGATATCTTGGGCTTGGGGAAGAAGTGAGCTTTGGGCGGTCGAACTGTTGCGAATCTCTTTTTTCTTTCTCTCATATCATATTTTTGGGGTTTCGATACCACCGATGCATGGCGCGTGGGATTTGGGGTAATTGGTTTGTAAATCGGATTTGGGATAGGTCTCGGTTTCAGGATTCTATAATTCGGGATTTGCTTTTGTCGGACATTTCATAAGGTCGAGTAATACAGCACTACAGTTACATCCTGTTCCTATTTCCAACACTAAGCTCAGACGTTCTTTGACAGTGGCAGGAAAACGCTCTATATACACGCATACCACCTCAACAACTCCCCATATGCCCCCTCCTCCCCCCAAGACCCCGCCCCCCTCGTCTGCGCCATCAAATTCGCCAACCTCAAAACCTCCTCACCCGTAAACAACTGCATCTCAAAATGCCAATTAACAAAAAACCTCGTCGTCAAAGCCGCCCACCTATGAAACCCATCCGCAGGGAGCTTCCCATACAGCGGCCTCAGCCTAACCTCATCCAACGCCTCCCCCAACTCCCACGGCGCCTTCGCGCTCTCATTCAACCGCCTTAGCACACTCCTCCACCGATTAAACTGCCTATAAACATCCTCATCCGCCAGAAACCTCCAAAATGGCGGCAACCACGCCGTCTGCCTCAACGCCCTGCGGCTCTCCGCCCCCAACCCCTCCGGCACCACCATCGCGCGCCGCAGCAGCAGCCGCGCCACGTCCTTGTCCGCCTGCGTCCACGACGCCTTCGGCCCTGGCGTTCGCTCAAGGCGCGCCGCGACCTCCGCCATCATCTCGAGCAGCCGGCTGGTCATGCTGTGCGCGTACACCGTCATCGTCTCGCGGCAACACCCCGCCCCCCACCGCTTGCTCCTCAGAAACAGCCGCGTGGGCAGCGCCTTGAAGGCCGCCAGCTCGCCGTGCAGCGCCATGGGGCGGTCGGCGCCGTCGAGGCGCATGCTAAAGGGCGGGCGGAAGAGCACGCGCCGGCACAGGGGGCAGCGGTTTGAGTTGCCGGTTTCGAAGGCTTGGTGCAGGCACGCGGCGTCGAAGTTGTGGGTGCAGGGGAGTTGCACGGCGGCGCTGTGCGCGTAGGTTGAGGTCCAGGGGAGCTCGCGGAGGGAGGCGAGGTTTGAGGGGTCGATGTCGTCCGGGTCGGTGGTGGAGCCGGTGGGTTCGTAGGGGAGGCGGCAGATGCTGCAGAATTGGTCGTCGGCTGGGAGGGTGGTGGTGTCGAGGGCGGCGAGGTCGTTGGATAGGAAGTGGTCGTAGTCCATGGTGTTTGGAGCTTTTGGTTTGCGGTTGAAGCTGATTTGAGTATTTGAGGGAAGCAAGTTGATTGAAGAGTCTGTTAGAACGCCATCAAAAGTTGCGAAACTTGAGGAATGATAGGGTTGGGTAGGAATATACGCTGGTTACATCTGCTAGTACGTAGCATTTTGATGCTACTGTGAACGGCATAGTAACTGGAAAACTTCACTGTACACAAAGTGAAGGACATTCGCCTATGCACTCATCTTGGCCGCTGCTTAGGGCTGCTTCAATAGGGGTCCGAAGATCCGCTCCACTGAGGTACTCGGCGGCTTTTGGATTATATGCCCGGCGTTCCATATTTACAATTATGTACTGCAGTAGGAATAGGAAAAGAATGCAGAAAGGATATCGTGCGCTGTAACGCCCAAATAGAACCCAGGAGACGCCAAAATCGGAAAGCCATTACTCATTTTGGTCTCAGACGCCGTTTGGAATTCCAAAAGTTAATCACAATTGCTCAAGCATTAAAGCTCGGGTGTCTCGTCATCACCGCCAAGATGCGGATATTTGCGATACCAGTCCTTCGGATCGCCCCCCGGAACACACAGGCCCAGCCTCCAGAAGTAATCTCGGTGCGCAAAGAACAGCTGCCAAAGCTTGAATCTGGCAGGAACACCCCAAGAAGGATTCTCAGCCTCATCGCCCGTAATACACGCGGGGTCCTCGTCTCCGTTGCAGTGCTGGATGTCTTCGGCAGTTGGCGGTAGCTCCCACTTTTTGATGAATATTTCCTCGCTGTGCATTTTGTAGCCCCATTCGTCCAGGGGCAATAGCGGTACCGGATCTCCTTGATGGGTCACCCTCCGATATTTACTGGTAGTATCGTTCTGAGTGGGAGTGATATTCGCAACATCAAAACGGTTGTTTATGTATTCCATAAACTCCTTGTTTCCAACACGGGGTTCACCAAATGTCGTGACATGCGGGTCCCAGCCACGAGCTTCAAAATCCAGACCAGCTAGGGCAGCGACCGCACCTCCAAGGGAATGCCCAACAAGGGTAAGGGTGTAGTTGGGATAGTTGTTGATAGCCTCGGTAAGGTGGGGTAGGATTTCCTTTCTCGTGTTCAACCAAGAAGTATAAAACCCTGTGTGAACTGTGCAGTTTGTGCACTTCGGAGGGTCGGCCGGCGGAGGAGAGTCTTCGTCCGGCCAAATTTTAGGGTCCACAAAATCGGGATCTTCCGTGCCGTCGTCATCGTCTCCAGGATATGGCACGTATTCCTGAGGGATTGTAGAGAGGTCGATAATGGTATTGGCGATGGAGTAGGTCCCCCGGAAAGCGAGAAGAATGCGAGGAGCCGACGGAGGATGTGATACCGCAATATAGCCACAGGAGTCGGATAGGAGAGGGCCAGTGTTCCACGTCTATATCTGTGTCAGCCATTTGTTCTATTGTAAAAGCTGCTGGAGAGGTGCCTACTGTGATCAGCTCAAAGTTCTCAAACTCGCCGCATCTGCTGGCGCACTGAAAGGGCTTCTGGATGCCCAAGCCGGTGGTCCCAACGCAATAGGAAATATCTACGACACGCGCGAGCTCTTCCAACTCGATGAAGAGGCGGTTCGATACAGAGGAGTGGTTGCTGCTTGCGGCCTGCGCCAGCGGTGTCTGAGTCTGAGCCGGCACCCCCAGGGCGACTGCGGCAGCGGAAAGCAGGAGGAGGGCAGAGCGCATGGCTGCTAGAATGCGCATGGTGTGCTACATGTCCATGTGAAGGTGTCCAGGTAGTGATAGGGATTCCGGTGGCCCAGCGCGGAGTGTGAAAGGTGACGGTGGAGAGAGGTGGAGGCGGCTTGGCGGCTGGGCCCCAAGCCTCAGAAAAGCCGGCATATCACGGCGGACGTCATCGCCAGGCTAATCTAATCCAATCCCGTGTCCAACTGGCACCTCGTCGTATGCATTCATCATCTCGCGCGTGCGCTGACTGTTGCGCTTGCAGTATTCTTCCGCTGCCTCCTCTCACCACTGCCGTCCGACGTCCACGCAGGCATTACATCCGCCGCCATCCGACACTCTTCAACACGCTCGTCGTCTAGTCCAAGGCCCCCCCTTGTGCATGCTACTTCTTCATTGATGCTGCCGCAATGACTTCGCCGGCTACAACAGAGACGGTCGACCACGCTGACGCCGTGCCTCATGCCTCAACTCTCCAGGTGCCGGGGCAAGACGACACCGTCCCCCTTCACCATGGAACAACCTCAGCAATTCATTCGGGGAATCCCTCGACCTCACACACTCCCGCCGGAAGCCGGGCCCCTTCAGTTCGGAACCATCTCCCAAATAACCAAATCGTCTATACAGACCTCGACTTCACGCGCCCACCCGGTCTAAACTACTCCCTGCGTCCGCGGAAGAAGGCAATCGCTATATTTTGGACCCTTATCTTGCTGGATTGCGTCGCTATGCCAATCGCGCTATATTTCGGGCTGTGGTACGGCACAAGCTTGTCGCCAAATGCCGGTACGTATGGGATACACACAGGTCTTCAACGTAACGGCTAACATCTTGATAGTCTTCAGTATAAGCACAGGGGCACTAGGTACTGTCTCAATCGTCGAGTATTTCCTACGTTTCTACCGGCTATGGAAGAAAGGGTCGACCTGCCGAGTGATTGGCGCTCAACGCTTCTATGTACGGCACTCACTCGGCTGCACTGTGGTCTTGCTAACATCGTGACAGCTGGACTGGTTTCACTGGAATCTCTCAGTTGCGTGGTTTTTTGTCATGATCGAATTGATTGCGTATGCTGTCACATTGCATTGATGAACTTCGCTGACAGATTCGCAGTGGCACTGTCCCAGCACACCCTCCAATTCGACTCCTTGCCATGCCTGTATCCACGATGTGCTTTGCGATCGGAACCGAGATGTTGATCATTGACATCGCACGTTTTTTCGGCATGAGGGCTCCATGCAGGATATCATCCCTCCCCATGGGTGCTCCTCTACGACCAGGCATATACGCTTATATCGAAGACGTGTGTGCGGTAGATGGCTCCGGAGGAACCGAGTTTCGCCAACGCCTGAACCTCCGATACCAAGCCAGTCATATGTTCCGGCAGATGTTGCATAGATTGACGCTCTTCTGGGCGCTCGGTGCCATCCTTATATCGGCCGCCACGACTGCCATTATTTTCACTATCAACCATGATGTTGCATATGTTGTGAGTACTCTCAATTTCTCTGGCCAGCACTGCCGCTAATTCCAACAGCTTGGCTGGACCATCCCATTCGCATGGGCAGGCATTTGGGCCCTCATCACGACAAAGTGGGTCCAAGTTAGTTTACGCCATGAGTACGCTAGTTGGGAGGAAGTCAAATGTGAGTGCTTCCATGTTATCTCGACAGGTTTCCAAAATTTAACTAACCTTCTCACAGGGAAACCTTGAGCTGATCGTAAAGCGCTTCCGTATCGTGTTCAGATTTCCATAGGGCATAGCGACGGAGTTGGAGGTGAGCTATATAAATACCACGCAATCGCAGTCTCATTTTTGTTACGAATATATGGGAAGCAATACATGAACAGGTCTTTCCGCAAATGAACAACCTCGGCTTGCGATAGAAAATCTCCGAAAAATATGCATTACGTCATGTCTCACGGACTGTCCCTTTCACCATCCATACACTAATGATATTAATCGAGTATAGTCGTCCCGCGGAGTCGCATGGTAACCCCGTCACTCGTCTTGACGCAACAGTCTAGTCATTGACGGACAAGCTGCGGGGCTGTCACTAATTGAACGGCTCTGTGGCTCCCAGGACTAACCTTGGAGAGCCTGGAGGCTCAAACTGTGGGACGCGGGAATATTCCCTACATATCCGGTCACTACACATACGTCAACGTGCCCCTCCTCTAGCAACCTTAAACCTAAACAACACTCGCACTCTAAAGCTTTCGAATCCGCCCACCTGCAGCTCATAATCGACTACGATATTTTTAATAGCACCAATCTCAATTGCTATATCAAAATGTCGACGGGCGTAGGAATGAGCTCATGCTGCCTCTCTGGTAAAGTGCAAGAGGGTAAGCCTACGGGCAGAGTTGAGACCATTGGTACATATTACTCCTCCCCCACCTCAATTGAACTTCTTCTTAGCCTGTTTCTATAGGCGGTCTCCAAACCTACGTCGCCGAGCCCTCCTCCAACTCACCCGCCAAAAGCATTATCTTCCTCGTTGACAGTATAGGCCCCCCTCCCTTTCATGATAAAGCCCGTTACTAACCACCCTCCCCCCCAGTCTTCGGCTGGGAATTCCCCAACGTCCGCCTCCTCGCCGACAACTACGCCAAAGCCGGCTTCACCGCCTACATCCCCGACGTGCACAACGGCGACTCCCTGCCCATCGAGCTCCTGCAAGACATCGAGCCGCCTCTCGCCGTGCGCGAGAACCTGACCCTCGTGCAAAAGACCGCCGCGACGGCCAAGGTCGGCGTGACGCTCGGCCCCTGGCTCGTCAGACACCGCGAGGCTGTCTCCAAGCCCATCATCGACGGCTTCATCCGCGAGGTGCGCAAGATCCCCGGCACCGACCGCGTCGGCGTGATTGGGTTCTGCTGGGGCGGGCGGTATGCGGTCCTGGCGGCGCACGCGACGGACCCCGCCGTGAAGGTGGACGCGGCGTATGCGTGTCATCCGAGCTTGGTGGCTGTGCCGGGGGATTTCGAGGGGGTGGTGCAGCCGTTGAGTTTGGCGTGTGGGAGCGAGGATAGTATGCTGGACGAGAAGGCCGTGAGGCAGATTAAGGAGGTGCTGGAGAAGAAGGGGAGTGTGAGTGAGGTGGAGGTGTATGAGGGGCAGGTGCATGGGTTTGCGCTGAGGGGGGATTGGCAGAATGAGAAGGATAAGGAGGCGATGGATCGGGCGGAGAGGCAGGGGATTGAGTGGTTTGAGAAGTACCTGGCGTAGGCGCTGGATTAAGGAGGTAGTTGTTGACAGTGGTGGTTTATAAAAACAACAATGAGATACTGTATTAGGACCCAAGTTTGGGCACGTTGTCTTTTGACCTGTTACAGAAGTATGATGTACTGAAGCACCACAAACAGCGGCCAAGTAGGCCGACTGTAAGCGTGAAAACCTCTCTGATTCAAGTTCTCAAACCCTTTAATCATCATCGGAAGTTTTAGAATGTGCTGAAGCACCTCAAACAGTGGCGAGCGAGTGTGCCCCGACTTATGGCGAGGCACTGTACCTCATAATGGAAAAGACGAAGTTTATGATACAAACTATGATACACAAGCAATCATTTCAGCATGAATCATGAAGTGCTGGATCTAATCTCCTGGCGCCTTCTCTCCACTTCAGCAGCGAGTTCGCTCTGGTCGGTCCTCAACTTCGCAGCGGCATTCCGGCGGTTTTGCTCATCTGCCTCTTTTTGCACTGTCCAGACTGAATGACGTGTTAGTTAACACATATAAGTATTGAGAGGAAGAAGGGGGGACATACTAGGCTTGTCTGACTTGGAGTATTCTTTCAGATTGGTGACGAACTGGTCAAAATCTTCCTGCTTCTCCCGGCGGTTCTCCAACGAGCGTTTCTGGAGCTCTGGGTTATATCTCTGAGGGAGAAATTAATACTTTGATCTAGCAATGACTTTCTAGAGGACATGTACTGACCAGGAATAGCTCTTCTTCTGTCGGCGTTACCCACATCACCAATGCTGGACCGCCAATACACATGATCACGCCACTCGGATACGTCAGTGAGGAAGGCTATAGAGAAGATCGCAGAGCACTATGACGACTGAATGGAATTGCACATGGGGACTTACGACGCGACCATCTTGACGGTGGTCATTGGGTTCACCATGTTCGCGGATGGTTAGATTCCGGCACAGGGGATAATATTGTAAGAACCTAGGAAAGCTGGAATCCAGGATACAATGGATCTATTCTAGGGATAGTGTAGATCGGTTTGCAGATTGCTGCAGCGGAGTGGAAGGGCCGAGGCGATGAAACGCGTGCTGGTGTGGTAAGTGGAGGCAAAAGAACGACGCCATGAGATGGATTGGAAGCGGATCGGATCGTGGCGGTGCAATTGTGGCGCGCGACGCATGCGCCACAGTAATGCCCTGAATTTTCACGACTCCTATTGGCCTTGCATCATGCTGCTTCGCATTGGGCACTGGCGTCGCGGTTCAACGGCCTGTGACATGCAGCATTGCCCATGCTGCTCGATTGGCATCGTGACGCGCCCAGCTGAAACCGCTCATGCCCCTCGGCGCTGTGTCGCGATGACATGTAGCCAGCGAGTCCTGATGTAATCTATCTCAGTCAACGCGAATCTCCCGCCTGTCGACAGCGGGCAGGGCACAACTGGGCTCCATCGGCCACGCTGTCCCCGGAAAGCTTCCCTCTCCAACGTCCGCTGTCCCTGTCTTGGCCCTCCCAGTGGCTGCGCATATCGCCGATCCCTGTGGCGTTTCGGTTTCAAGGACGTTGGACGTCGTGAACCATCCCTGGGCCGTCATCCGCTGCTGGGGGCCTTCCAGAGCTCCAGGGCTCCCGCTGCGCCCGCATCCTAAAGCATTCTCTTGGACGCGGTGCTGGACACCGTCTCCCTTTCACACCTGTCCTCGAAAGGCCCACAATTACCCTCAGCATCGACCACCACTCCAAACTCTGCCCGGAGTGCTGTGTGCGACTCGCAGTGCCAGCCCCCTCGAGCGCCTAACTTCGCTGCTTACCCCGGACGCCTCCTATTGCAATTGTCTCCACTCTGCTATTTCCAGCCGCCCCGAACACTAGTACCTGTGCGCGTTGGTGGGTCGTCGTGGTGTATGGCTCCGTCCGCCGCATACCTCTCCTTCAACACGACCTCCGAAGCGCGTTGAGAACCACAGACGGACGCGCTAGCAAACGCAGCCAGCGCCATGGCGTACGATCAACACTCACAATACCAGCCGCCTCCGCGACAGTACTATAATCAAGGACCTCCGCAAGGTCTCCCACAAGGACAACAGCCCGCGGGCTACGGCAATCAGAATGACCAGTATAATGGCTATGACCAGGGACAGGACGCCGGTTGGGATGATGGATATCAGCAAGGCTACGCGGACCCGAGACAGGCGCAAGGCTGGGGGAATGGGAACATGGCAGGCCAGCGGCCTCCTCCGCAGCATCAGCAATATCAGGGTGGCTACGGAGACGTGAATGGACATACGGGACGGCCGCCTCCGCAGAACCAAGCTTACGGGGCTCCTCAAGGGCATCCACAGCAAAGAATGCCGCCCCCACGAGATCCCTATGGACCAGGACAAGCGTATAGTGAGCCTCAGTATCAGGAACAGGGCCGAGGATACGATCAGAGAGGAGGGCGACCGGCTGAGCCCAGTCGCCCCATGAATGGCGGCATGCAAAGAGGCGATTCTGGCGGAAGGGGCAATGGGCGGGCACACATGGTGGATCCGGGCCATCAACAACCAAGAGGACCCGGTATGACCTTTGAGATACTTCAAATATACACAGACTAAGACAGTACTGACTCAATTCAAAGCCAAACAGAGAATACTTCAGTCTCCGACCTCTCCTGTAACCATGAGCCAGGACAACCCCTTTCCTTCTTTCCCCACGACCAAGCCGAAGTCAAAGCCCACGACTGGATCCATGGACGAGGCTATGTCGTTAATGAACGTTAATGATCATGATCATCCAGATAATCACCAAGGCCGCCCGCCTACAAGAGGAAGGGGTCAAGGTCGTTCAGGCCCGGCGCCTCGTGGCCCTCCACAGGAACATGCACATCGGAATCCACCGCCGGGGAGAGGGCGGGGTTATGGACCGCCAGATAACTATGGTGAAGACCCGAGACAGTTTCAAGGAAGCGGACGAGGCCAGCCGCTTCAGCATCAGAAACACATGCAACAAGCACCATCGCCAATGCATGTGGAAGGCGCTCGCCCGCCGCCTCAGAGGCGTGGCCATGAAGATTTCAATCCTCCTCCAATTTCGCCAATGCAACAAGGGTTTGGTCCCAACACGCAGCGCGCGATGACTTTACCTCAAGAACTTCCAAGGCCGAATAAGCAGAACTCTCAGCGATCACTAGAACCTCAGTGGGCTGAACCCGGTCCTACAGCAGGATACCACGGCCCTGAGTCCCCAAGCTACATCCCTCCCCCTCGGCCAGCCACGGCTTCGGGAGTCAGCCATCATGGCAGCAATGGGTCCAATCATCACCCCGTTCACCAACTAGATAGTCGGCCAATACAGCCAAATCCTCCGCCTTTACCGCAACAGCAGTATCAGCAGGAAGGACGTCAAAGCCTCGAAGATCTATATGACGATTACTATGGCGCAGCTGAACCTTCTCATAGTCGGCATGGGAGCAAAAAGGATTCCGCAATGGAGGGAGATATGCCGAATTTCGACGCAATCCCACACACGAACGGGGCTGGACATCGTCGAGGGGACTCGATTGATCATCACCTTCAATCTACTCCAATATCTCAGCCATATTCAGGCCACCAAGCACCACAAGCTAACAACTTTTATCAGCAGGCTCAGCAGAGCCGTTCTCAACCTAATTTACACGAAAAGGAGGCCGAGGGGTTCGTTTTTGAAATGCCTGGGGACATTCCTGCGGTTCCAATCGTTCCGTCGGTCCAACGAACGGGGTCAACACCTGCTGGTCAAAACGGATATCAGGGTAACCCTCGCGCTCGTGGACCACCACAAATGCAAGGTGGGCCACCTGGAAATATGGGTGGGAGAGGCCAGCCGGCGCCAATGTATGGACCGGGACAGCCCAATCAACCACCACAAGACTACGCGATGAACGACCCCAGATATCAGCGGCAGGGTCAACCACCGTTGAACCGCAACTTTTCGGCGCAGAGTCAATGGTCTGATCCCGGCCCTGCAGGTATGGCGAGAGGAGGACCTCCACAGATTGGCGGTATGCCTATGCAGCGTCCATCGGGAGGTCCTCCGGGAGACCAGTATGGAGGAGGTCCAGTTGGGATGGCCGGTGGGCCAATGAACCAAAGGCAAAACATGCCCCCAAGTCGTCGTAGCAATCCAGATGCGTTGCCATCACACCCCATGCCCGTGCGCCCTGGGCTGATGGACCAACCTCACAACTCATCTCCTCAGTCAAGCAAACCACCTGCTAAACCTCCTCCAGTCCGACAATACAACAACGATTTGTCTCCTGGAGCGCAGAACGGAGCCCCACAGACTTCGGCCATGCCTCCCCTGCAAAAACGGGCATCAGCTCCTCACCCTGTAACCTTTGACGAGCTGAATAGGCTTCGAAACACGTTCAAGCTTGCCGAGAAAGACCATAAGACCGGACTTCTCCTTGCGAAGAAACTTGTCGAGGCAGCTGCTGTTCTTTCTGATGAAGGAGGCCGCGCGGATACCCGCACTCGCAATAAGAATCGTGAGAAATTCGTCATGGAAGCGCATAAGATCGTCAAAAAGCTCGTTAACGCTGGTTATCCAGAGGCGATGTTCTATCTTGCTGACTGCTACGGGCAAGGCTCCCTGGGGCTCGAAGTTGACCCCAAAGAGGCCTTCACGTTGTATCAGTCGGCTGCCAAAGCTGGCCATGCTGCTAGCGCGTACCGCACCGCTGTCTGCTGCGAGATGGGCAACGAGGATGGCGGCGGCACGCGGAAAGATCCGCTCAAGGCTGTGCAGTGGTACAAACGTGCTGCAGCGCTGGGCGACACGGCTGCTATGTACAAGGTTGGCATGATCCTGCTCAAAGGCTTGCTGGGGCAGCAGAAGAATCTCGGCGAGGCTATCAACATGCTCAAGCGTGCTGCAGAACGCGCAGATGAAGACAACCCGCACGCGCTGCACGAACTTGGTCTGCTCTATGAAGCGCAGACCGGCAATGAGCGCATCATCCGAGATGAACCATACGCGCTGAGCCTATTCAGACAATCTGCCGAACTCGGGTACAAGTTCAGCCAGTTCCGAATCGCACAGTCGTACGAATTCGGATTGCTGGGTTGCCCGGTCGATCATCGCATGTCGATTGCGTGGTATTCGCGCGCAGCGGCACAAGAGGAGCACCAGAGCGAACTGGCGCTCTCCGGGTGGTATTTGACTGGCAGTCCTGGCATCCTGGAGCAGAGCGATACTGAGGCGTACCTTTGGGCTCGTAAGGCAGCTTGTGCTGAACCGCCGCTTGGGAAGGCTCTGTTTGCCATGGGCTATTATACCGAGGTTGGAATTGGGTGTCCGAGGAGTTTGGAGGAGGCAAAGAGGTGGTACGGGCGTGCAGCGGGTGAGTGCCTCCTTCTCTTGGTGCCTGTGCAAGCAATTCGTTCACGCATGCGTGCTCTGACTTGATCTACTTTTGTTAACTTACATCAGCATACAAATTCCCCAAAGCCCAAGAGCGGCTAGACGAGCTCAAGCGCGGCGGAGCGAAGGCACAGCGCAGTCGAGAAAGGCTAAGCAGAAGCAACCAGAAGCAACATGAGGCCGACAATTGCGTTGTCATGTAGTTGACGCCTCATGTTAGCATCACTGCCGAGCCTTCTGGCGAAACCTGCTGGATTTATCGAAGTCCTGTTTGCTATAGAGGAGTTCAGAGCGATGCATATGATCATCGCTGTCAAGAGGAGGAACAACAACCGTCTGTGTGGTATGCATGATTACGGCATCTGCATATTTGGGAAAACCTGGGCGTTTCTGGGTAACGAGATGAACAGGGTCCAGGATTATGGGGCATGTATACCACTTTGTTTTCGATTTTATGAGATACTTTCCCAATATCTTCTTAGCAGCATCCGAGTTTTTGACAGGTGCTATGTTTGATGACGTTGCATTAAGATCGAGCATGCGACTATTTGGTCTAGATTCTTGATAGCGGACTGGCTCCCGTTTATACTCCTCGCTCTTAGGCTATTCCGCCAGCTGAAGTCACGGTGCGAGGGATGTAACCTCTGAAAATTGGTGTAAAGCTAGGTAATGGGGCGATAGACAAGGCAAGTGATGCTGATTCGGGACACGTATTGAACGAGACTGACCCGTGGTGTAGAGATCGGACTGGCTCCAATTCATACTTCTCAACACTGAACTGTTCCCTGCCCCTGATTCGGCTTCTTAGGTAAGTGATATCCTAAGCCAGTTACTTCTATTGAGGAAAGAGAAACTACACAGAGCAGACGTAAAGTGGCATGCTACGCGGACTCCAGCCTCCCGTGTCCTTTCAAGAGCCCCCTCCAACTCGACGACGCGTCGGAATTTTGACTCGAAAGGTTCCTCAAAAACACTACTTCGCTGTCGGAGGCACGTCCCGGTGTCAAATTCGAGCTAACATGCGTGATCGTTGAGCTATCCATTCAAACGATAAACAGCAACGGAAAGACTTAAGCAACCTGCTTCCCGGCGGCGGCAAAACAAAGTTGCGACTCTCCTCATCCGGCAACTCTTGGCAAGCCGCGAGGGCTTCAAAAAGTGTGGAGTCCTGCAACCCCCCCTCTAACTCCACCACTTGGACCAACAATTGCTCCAAAAGCTCTTCAAAAATACTATCGAGCCGTGCGAGTTACATCCCGGTGTCAAATTTGTGCTAGCTTGCGTGGTTGGTGAGCTACTTGTAAAGAGGGCCTAAAGACGGCGGGAGGCTCGAAAATCCTACTTCGCGGCGGCGGCGAAACAAAGTTGCGAATCTGGGGCCGTCCGCCGGCGGCGGCAATACGATAGTGCGAGAAGAGAAATTGTCGGGGTTTCGAGCCTACCGCATCCTTTCAACAAATAGCTCCACAACCACGCAAGCTAGCACAAATTTGACACCGAGACGTGAATCGCACGGTTGAGTAGTATTTTTGAGGTGCTTTTCAAGAGGTGGGTACTTCGAGTCGTTGACATAGAGGTGGGTATGCAGGACTCCACACTTTTTGAAGCCCTCGCGGCTTGCCAAGAGTTGCCGGAAGAGGAGGTTCGCAACTTTGTTCTGCCGCCGTCGAGGAGGGGATATTCGCGGTTTCAACGTCTGTGAGAACTTGATTCTCGCGGTTCGATTGGGGACTTTAAGTAACAAAAGAGGAGGAAGTCTCCGCGGGGGTGCTCCAAGTGTGTTCCGAATTGCTTTCGACGACGACCTGATTCTGAGTCTATTACTTCGGTGGTAAGTACTACTTACACTGTGTGCACGCCGCATAGACCTACGCGTCTAGCAAAACAAATCTCACGCGGTTCGATTGGTGACTCTAAGCAACAAAAGAGGACGAAGCCTTTGCGAAGGTGGTCTGACTGGCTTTCGATACGCTGTTGACGACGACCCGAGTCCGAGTCCGTTACTTCGGTATTGAAAAGTGAATACGACAGGTGCACGCGGCGTGGACCTCCGCGTCCAACAAAAAAGAATCTACGCAGTTGATTTCGTAACTGCAAGCAACAAAAGACGCACAGAGGTGCCTCCCCGTCCTATCACTAACCTAGTGTTGCTGACTCGACTTCAGATTTCCCCCAGCAGACCATGTAAATACTACACGATGCTTGCACTGGATGCCCTTCGCGTATCCTTCGCGTCTAATAACAGACGTCGTTTGCGATTGGATTCATAAGATTTCGTACAATTACGCACAATACGTCGAAACTAAGATTCGAATTCGAAGAACGCCAGACACGGTTGTAGCTATTGTGAGTAGACAGGGTATTCCATTCTTATCCTAATGAAAGCTAACGCTGGATCCCAAATACAGGCCACTTCCTCCATACAATGAATTACTTAGTACGTTCCTCCGACCCGCGCCGCCCTGTCCATATCACCGAGTCGTCTTGCCCCTTGACCCTTACTGCGTCCTCGATAGCTACCGCCTCGTCCCCGACTTCGTGAGCTTCCACCATCCGAGCCTCTTGACTTGGTAACGGAGAAGGGTATCCGAATCAGAGGGTGCTCGACGCTCTCGACCCCGGTCAACCCCAACCTCTCCTTTTCCACTGAATCTAGCCTCCATGCTTGGAATAGACCCATCAACTTCTCAACCTCCACATGCCCCTTCTCCTCTTCCCCCAAGTCAACGTCCCTCAGCTCTCTCACCCACGCTTTGACATATTCTCCCTGCGCGTCATAATCCAGCGCCTGCTTCACGGGATTAAACACCCTCCCTTGCCTCGGATCATTCCCCACGCCCGCAACATACTGCCAATTCCCCCAGTTATTCGCCATGTCATAGTCAATCAGCATACTCTCATACCACTCGGCCCCCAACCTCCAATCGATCCCCAAATGGCTCGCCAGAAAGCTCGCCACATTCTGCCGCGCGCGATTCGACGTATACCCGGTCAAAAACAGCTCGCGCTGCGACGCATCAATCAGCCCGATGCCCGTCGTCCCGCTCAGAAACCGCAGCAGCGCCTCGCGCGTCTTCGCCGGGTCGTCCCCCAGCCCGCTGCTGCGGTCGACGTACTTCCACCGCTTCGGCGGCTGCGGCGAGTTGTTGTCGTCGGCGGCGTTGCTGCTCTCCGCACCCTCAGCGCCGCGAAACCCATCGATGTCGAACAAGCTCCTCTTGAACTTGCGCGCGCACAGCCGCATGTAGTCGCGCCAGAGCAGCTCGAAGCGGATGGCGGCGGTGCCCTCGTTCTCGCCGCGCCCGTAGCCCGCGACGCCGAAGCCGTCGGCGCCCGTCCCCGCCTCGAAGTCGACCATGGCCCAGTGCACCTGGCGCGCCGTCAGGCAGCCGTAGGCCAGGTATGCCGACAGCTTGGTGCTGAAGTCTAGCCCGAGCATCCCGTTGCGCGTGCTCTTGTAGGCCGTCATGGCGCCGCTGGAGGCGAGGTGCGTGAGGCGTTGGTGCGCGGCGCGCTCGCCGCCGAGGAAGGGGTGCGCGCTCGTGGTTTGCGGGGGCCATTGGGGTGGGGTGGGGAGGCCGAGGGTTGGGTCGGCTTCGAGAGGGGCGAGGAGCGCGGATTTGAGGGTGGTGAGGGTGGTGGGGATGGAGAAGGGGGGTTGCTGGGGGGGAAGAGTGTCGGGGAGGGGCGGGAGGCGGGTGGGTGTTGGGAGGACTGGGCGTGGGCGGGATGATAGGGGTTCTAGGGATTTGCGGTAGGTGGTGTAGACGTTGGGGAGGTCTGAGATATTGGTGAAGAGTTGGTCGCGGCTGTTCATTGGTTAGTGTTCATGAAAGGGTAGGAGAGAGATTGAAAGGGGCACAACTTACTCGTCCACATAGTACTTCTCATCTTTCCAGATCCGAAAGTCGATCCCCTCGTCTTCAGCAACACGCCTGACATCTCTCTCTTCTCTCGCCTCTTCAGTCCCTTCTTCTCCCGTCATCCAAATTCCCACTACCTTCCCATTAACCTCCCCTTGACGTTGTTGGGAGTACCACGAGACAATGTTGTCAACAATATCTCCCATTAGGCCGACTCTCGTCACAACACTAGACTCACAGCCCAGCCTCTCAAGCTTCCCTTTCAAGTCCCACACGGATTCCGCAATGAACTTCGCTCGATGAGGCCCCGTGCGCCAGAATCCACCCACTTCGCTCCTCGCTTCCGGATACGGACTTTTCGCCTTTGAAGTTCCGGAGTCATCTTCGGAAATGAAGCCAGAGACTTCAATCTGGTTGGCTGGAAAGACATACAACGGCAGCAAATGCGTCACGCCCAGCTTTTCCGCAAGCGCAGGCCCGGATGCCTCATATGCTTTTTGATGTCGCGCACTAGTGGGCGGCTTTGGCGGCGAGGGTGAGTGGCAAATGGGCGGTGATGGTGGGTCTAATGAGGCGGTAGTCTTGTATGCTGATGATCTTGAGATTCGGGAGAGGTCGTGGAATATTGGGTTATCGGCCAGTCGAAGGTCGTGCCGGAGGAGGTATATCAGGATACGTGGGGTAGGTGTTGGGGTGGCCGGCATGTCCCTGGTTACGACTGGGATGTTCGATGCTGATTGAACGTATAGGTGTGAGGGATGTCAGTTCAACACCATGGACTGACGGCTGGTTTAACCCAGATAGCAAGCCGGAGATGCGAAGATGGTGCTGGCAGATTGTGCGTAATGACGGTTGAAGAAAGTGGCATGCAGTACGTAACAAAGAAAATGTCAAGGTTCTGTCGATGGCTCGAGGATAGACGATGTCACGACTGTAGGGACTTTCCCGAGGAAAGCTAAGCTGGCATCGAGACTAACGACTGTCTCGGGAATCTGGGAGGAAGAGAAAGGGAGAAGGTTGTGATGAGCAGGCCGCCGGCCTTAATAGAACCACGGCTCTGCTGCCAAGGGGTCCTCGTCTGTCACCCACGTCGTATCGCCAATCTCAGGTGGAGAGTGCCATGGAGAGTGCCGCGACTCTCCACTCCCACCACGTTCCCCGGAATCAACTGCGTCAGACTCGTACTCTTTCCGTACCAAGCACGCTAAGATGTCCACCATCGTGAACTCGCGTCCACCCGGTCCCCCAATCCCCAGGGTCAGTAGCGGCAGTCCACGATCTGACCCACCAGCTCGATCCCAGAGCAGACGCCCCACGCGCCTGGATCGGTGCAACGCACATCGATGTTGATCTCAGGACCCGATATGGTCTAATCACGTCGCGTCAGTGCGAGAGACGGGAGCAGGATCGCAGGCGCAGGTGCGTTAATCGCTCGCCAGCGCGTCGAACCACAGACACCAGACAGGGGTTTCGCGATCGGATTCATTTTGAGATTCAGATCGCGCGCCGTGGCGGGGGCTCATGCATGCGTAGTGTATTAAGCAGGGGGTCAGCAAAGCTGCAAAAACTGTCTACTGACTAGTTAGTATCGTGCGTTGGCTGGCGACTCGCGAACTCGGACTTCAGTGGCCATCTGCCACATCGGCTTGGCCGAGGAGCCCACCCGGCATGGCTAGCTGAGAGCTTGCGTTGCCGGCTTTTTTGGCCCTGAGTCTGAATTAGATCGGGAAGGGGGGGGAACGCGCCAATTTTAGGAAGCCGTCAGCCAGCCTGCTCGATGGTGGATTAGCTGAATCTCTCTGCTTTGCGCCTGATGCAGTGCGCCGACAGCGACGAAACCGCCGGCCTCACACCCGCAGAGCGCTTGCTGGCTGGGTGGACAGCACAAAGCTCGTTTGCATTGATGTCAATTATCTCCACGCCGCAGCACTGGTTTCTGTCCAATACTTAAGGAGTGCAGGCAAGTGGTAGAACAGGTAGATTCGTACGGAAGCTGGAATGGGCAATATTTTGAAGTGTGTTCAGGGCCCGGTTCGCCTCAGAAACTGTGGCCGGCCCGTCGTGCGGCTGGTGGAAATACGGGCCGCATGGATGAGGGTTCTAGAGTCCGATCTGGGTCTCGATCTCTGCGTGCTGCCAGGTGCCCGCCGATCGGAGACCAGAGATACGCGAGAACCCACGGACATGGGCTGGGGTCCAACCACAGTTGTACACCAGTGCTCTTCTTGCGCAATCATTTAGAATCGGCCTTTCTGGAAAATGCGGAGTGAGCGCTTGTGCTGTAGATTGGTGTTAGTCCTGCCCGCGTGCCGTCATGACGGCGGTGAGAAGGACGGCGGTGAGAAGGACGGCGGCGATGCTTGGCATTCTTCAAAGAGGTGGTGAGAGATGATCGTCTCCTCGAGCTGTGGCATGGAGCCGGAGTGTTAGATCCGAACACGGGACGCGCCCACGATTAGAGGTAGAGATCAATATCGACTGGTACCATCCGAGACACCTCATCGAGGGGAAACGCTGATTGCAGGGACAGGGACGAGATGCACGCAAGACCTGTCTAATAGAACAGATCCCTCATCCCGGCCTGCAAACGCAGAGAGCCGGTGTCACATTCCGTGGGCACCTTTTGCGCCTCCCGTTTGAAGACTGCATTGTGCCATTGATCCTAAAGTTAATTTTGTTTTTTTGGTCCCATGGAACTACAGGTCGTCCGGCTTTTGATTCATCCTCCAAGACGGAAAATCCCACAGCAGCCCCCCCACGATACCACTCACGATACCGCATTCGCATCCGCATGACCAATTTCCGCCCGCAGAGTCACCGAGACGGGTACTTTGAACTGCACACCGGTGCTCAACTACAGCGGCGTGACGTCGACAGATTCAAGGGAGCATGCGCTAAGCTGCCGGACACCAGATCTTTGCCGACATTAAGGATAGTTTGTAAGGTGCATTAGACATGAAGCATAATAGCATCTTTTTGCAACCCCCAGGCATCCCTTAGGCCCGCACATGCGCCTCGTGGACGGCTCACAGCTGCATGGATTGCACAGCAATCAGCACACCGAGCGGTGGACTCCCGCGCTCATTGGCTGTTTCGCTTCATGGCGGTTACGCGATTCGAGCCCTCGACTGAGGTGTTGCTTTTCGAAGCTAGCAGAGGCAGGCTGCCATGCTGCCAGATCTACAACATCTGTCTGCATCAGCGTCTCTGTCACGTCGCAGATGTCTGAAATGAGCCTATCCAGCAGGTCCATCGACATGGACTCGCGCACCACCACTCGGAGAATCTCGGTTTTGTCTTCGTTCGGCGGCAGAGGGTAATCTGGAGCCCTGGGTCAGTGAAACGCCCTGCATTCCCGTCATGCATGGTTGAGCTTACTAGGTATAATGTACTGCTTAGCTCTGAGCAAGTTGCTTACTGACACTTGCTTGACGTGGGGGTAGTCCTTCTTGAAGTCCTCGGAGAAGCAGAAGGCCACGACGGGAATGCCTGAATTGTAATCTGCGCTGGTCTCTCCCTCGTTGTAGACTTCTTTCCCTTTTTCGAAGATATAATCTCCCTTCTTCCGATGGATATCGCTGACCTAGAAGAGGTGAGCTAAGCCGGGTAGGTACAATTCCGACGCACTCACACATTGATACCAGCCAGTTGCTTCAAGAGCACGGCTGAGGAGCCTAGCGTTGGCGAGAGCATTCTCCTGTATGCCAGTCAGTTAGATGCTTCATGCGCGTGCGTGAGAAATAGTACCATGATCTGCCGATATCCGGTGAACCCAAGATGTATCAAGTTGTAGTACTGGGCAATGATCTGAGCTCCTGGCCGTGAGAAGTTCAATGTGTACGACTCCTCCGTTCCGCCAAGATAGTGGAGCTCGAAGACCAAATGCTTCGGGAGATAAGACTCATCACGCTGGCAGTCATGCATTAGAAATGGCCCGGAGCGACACGGCAGAAGGTCTCACCCAGATGATCCAGCCAACGCCTGCATAAACAAGGCCGAACTTGTGACCGGATACGTTGATCGACTTGACGCGGGGCAGTTCGAAATTCCTGTCTCACAGCACCACGTTTCAGCCATACTGTACTACTGTTTCCATTGGGCTCACATGAGATTGGGAAGCTTACCATTTCGGGCCACCGGCTTGGGCATATGTGAAGGGTGCAATGAACGCTCCAGATGCACCATCCACATGGATCGGGATATCTACACCAGTTTCTTTCTCGTAATCATCAAGAATCTTGGATATTTCTTCCACAGGCTCGTAGTGCCCGGTGTAGGTGCTGCCCAAGATGACGAATACGCCAATGGTATTTTCATCGATGTTTTTCTTGACCAAGTCGGGGTCGAGGCGGTATCTGCTCTTTGCGCTCACGGGAAGTATACGGGCTTCCACTTCAAAGTATCTTGCGAACTTCTCGAGCGCGACTTGAGCATTTGCCCCCATCAAGATGTTCGGCTTGGTAGTGTCTTTCCCCTCTTTCTGCCTCTTCTCTTGCCAACGGCGCTTCATCGCGAGGCCTCCGAGATGAATCGCCTCACTCGAGCCAGTGGTCGCAGATCCAATAGCCTTCTCACCTTTCTGCACGCCCCATAGATCTGCCAGAATGGACACACATCTTGCATGCATATTCATCATGGCCGGATACTCATCAGCGTCCGACAGGTTCTTGGAGAGGTTCTCAATCATAAGTCTCTCCCCTTCCTTTTCCATATATGTCCCAACGAAGCTAGCGAGATTTAGATTCGGCCTTCCATCGAGATCTAGCTCGTCTTTGAGCAATTGGTGCACAGCATCTGCTGGCGCGCCGTCGTGCGGTATACGGAATTTGGAGAGCTCTGTGCTGGCGGCATATCGGGTCGAGTAAGGAGTGGTGTGAGAGACGGCACGTTCCGCGTGATGACCGGAACGGTGAGCAGGGTGGTCGTGGAGCTTCTTGATGAGCTCGTCGGGGTCAACCTATTTACGACGTAAGCATGGTGTTTGAGCATGGTGTTTGAGGAATGCAGTGGGGACGCGTACATGTCGAGCTAGACCTGCCATTGTTGCTGCTGTGGTGTGGAAGTAGGTCGGAAGGGCAATGAGTGGAGGGGATAAGTTCTCCAGGAGAGGCAGATGGTCTGTCGTTTATACAATGCGAAGTCTGACGTAGACAAGGAAGCAAGTCCAGAGTGCGTTGGATGGTTTTGTTACGAACCTTGACATCACACCACGATCAGCATGCGCCAGTGGTGAGTAAAGGCTTGTAAAGCTTGTTTTTGACCAGCCTTCTCTAACAACGGTCCAATTAGTCTTCACGAATTGCATCTTGCCCACTGAGTGAGGCTGAGCTTCCCCGCAGCTTGATGCAAGCAGCTTTTACTTCTGCTACTGGCTAGAAAACTATCAGACATGGTGAAAGGGAAAGCGCAACCGCCCTTCCTCGAAACACATGATCTGGGTACGTAAAGTCTCCAGGGTTTCTGTGTTGTTAGTAATACTACGTAAGTATAACCATTGCGAAAGCTTTCAGATCATGGTGGAGAACAGGAGCTCCGGCTTGCCAGCTTGAGATGAGACGCGGGGCAAATGATCAGACCACGAAATGCCCCGTTCCTGGAAATGCACGGGCCGGGCAGTTTAGTCGAGCAACGAAGCGCTTGCGTACTCTATAAATCTTCTTGGGAGCATCTACCTTCTTGTCGGCCAGCGGATAGTGGTGTTCTATTCAGCTGTGTATGGTCAGCTTCGGCCAGTGCTCAGGCGACTCTACAAAGGCAAGGCGCACCAACATAAGTACGGAATGACTTTACTAGCACGTGACTACTAAGTACTCGTCCTTATTTTGTCCACCATGTCGGAGTCGGCATGTCTCCAGGCCGATGTCAGGTCGGGGGCGTCCAGTGGAATGGCATCATTATCCATGCCGCTGAGACCAGCGGGCCTAGCGGGTGGCGGGACGAGCGGCTTCACAGGGAGACGACAGGGACCGCGTCAGCTCTAGGTAGCCTGACAAGTCCTCTTGACAGCAGACCAGCTTGCCCTTCACGCTGTCGTCCTTTGTAGCTGTAGAATACCTTCCTCCTTTCTACTGTCTGAAGTTCTGGAAACCCTGCAATTGCCCTCTCCGTCTAGTCTCGCTCCCGCATCACTTGCGGGTAACGATCCATATCGTCATCGATACCAATATTACGTCTTCTAGTCTCCCCACTTCAACAGTATATATACATCACCTTCTCGTAAGCCCATTTAGTCAAAGCTTCAGAACCTCAAGCAGTCTATCACCATGAAGCTGCTCCACCTCCTCCCCCTCGCCACGCTTGGTGCTTCTCTCGTCATTGTCGACGAGAAAGTATTCCAAGAGATCGAGGTCGAGTCCCACCAGGTCAAAGACCCAGTCGCTAAGCTTGCACGCCCTTGCCACGACAAGCTCCTCGAGTGGAAGGGAGAAGCTGAAAGCATCATCAAGACTTCCAAGAACTACCTCGATGAAGCCCTGGCCAGAGTAATCGATGTTTCTGAAACCTCATACGACAAGATCTACTCTACCGGATACGATGTCCAGGCTTGGTTGGAAGGCTCGCCATTCGCCGAAGAATTCGACGACGATGAGAGTGACCATCCCCATCATCCACCTCCCCACCACGGCCCTCCTCACCATCGCAAGCCTCACCACCCTCCACATCACCACAAGCCCAACTTGACCGTATACGAGCTCATTGCGAAGAGCAAGTACACTACCAAGTTGGCCAAGATCATCAGTGAGGATGCAGAGTTGGTCCAGGTCCTCAATGGCACGAAGGCCAATTATACAATCTTCGCACCGACGGATAAAGCTTTCGAGAAGATCCCTCATCATGGAAAGGAGCCCTCAAAAGAGTTCATCAAGGATCTTCTGCTATACCATGTGTCCCCGGAGTTCTACCCGGCCGGCCGAGTCCTCCATTCGTACACTATTCCCACGCTTTACGAGCCTTCTACTCTCGGACATCCTCAACGCCTAGTCGTCAGCACTGGCCTCGGAGGCATCAAGATCAACTTCTATAGCAAGATTGTTGCCGTCAACATCGTAAGTCTCCACACTGGTTCAAGAAAGTTTCATGCTAACCTAATCAGTTTGGTACCAATGGAGTAATTCACGGCGTCGACAGCATTATCATTCCTCCTCCAAAGGTTGTTGACATCATTGGCTTCTTCCCTGGCGAATTCAGTACCCTCACACTTGGCCTCACCAAGACCGGACTTCTCGAGGCCTTGAACGATACTAGCAAGCACACTGGTGGCATTTTCTTTGCCCCTGGCAACTTTGCATTCAAGAAGCTCGGCCCTAAGATCAACGCCTTCCTGTTCAGCAAATTCGGCACTCCTTACCTGAAGGCCCTGCTCGAATATCACGTCGTAGTCAACCAGACACTTTATTCAGATGCCTTCTTCGACGCGACCGCAGACAGCGTTGAGGTAGAGTCACCTCGCTATGCCCACTACGACTTCCCGACTGGCTTGAAGGATAAGTCATTGGCCGTAGATGTCACACGTTTCGGACCATTCGTCACTATCAAGATCAACCGCTTCTCTAAGGTGGCAATTGCCAATGGAGTTGCTAAGGACGGTGTTATTCACATCGTCAGCAACGTTCTCATCCCACCAAAGAAGACATCCGGCTCGGCCGAGCCCAGCTTCTGGAACGGAGAGGAATTGACGGTAGAGGAGTTCAAGGACAGGCTGGAGCCCTTCGTAAAAGACGAGACCCCAGAGCTCTAGAGCTCCATATCACTGTCAACCCGGAATACTAATGAGCTAACATGAAAATTTGGGCCATTGTATAATTAGTATATAGCAAGCAGCAACAACAATAAGTAAAGTCGTTCGCTCACGAGATACAAATTGCATTGAAAGCGTGAGCTGGGTGCCTTGGCTTAGCTTCCATGTTTGCATATGATGTGAATGCGGTGACAGCATGAGGGACTGGTGCGTTTCACACCCAGTTGACACTGTTTGAAGAGCTTTAGCACATTTCCTAAATCCACAAGATATGTACAATTCATGACAATGCGATTTATACCAGTGTATTTTAGACATACGTGACACTGCTTGAAGTGTTTCACCTCACTTGCAAATATCTCAGATGCATGCAGGGCACGTGACTCGTGTAACTAGCGCGAAATCCAAACTATCTCTTTCAAAAATCGTCAAAGCTCCACCACTCACTCCCATCACCACCCATGATGCCGGACGACCCGGGCAAAGGCCCAAAGCCCGACCAAAAGAACAAACGCAAGCACCCAGAAACATCCTCGACCCAAAATAAACGCCCGCGGATGTGGGCTCCACCCTCCGTCGTCTCAATCCCAACTTCCAAAGCATTCCCCAACGATGAAGTCAATGTCGCGCGCTTCGTCAAGGCGCGTGAAGTCGAAGTCCGAGCGCTGGAGGAGGGCATACGCTCGGCGAAGAAGAGCCAGATGCGCCGCGCGTTCCAGGATGTGCCGAGGGACATGCGACGGAGGACGGCGAGTCATAATCCGAGGAGGGTGCCGCAGCGGTTGAGGAATAGGATCAGGAAGGAGATGAAAGACGATAATACACCGGTGGCGAGCGGAAAGAGTGGGAGTGGGGTGGGGAAGGGAACGACAGCGTGGTTGAGGAAGGACGGGATTAAGCAAGCTAAGGCTAAAGCGAAAGCCAGAAAGAAGAAAAAGAAGGACGATGATGGCGTTGTGGTCACAAAGTTGGATGAAAAGAATGAGGACATGGATGTAGACGTGGAAGAGGGAAAGGAAAAAAAAGATTTGCGACTCAAGGAAACACTCCTGAAATCTCTACAAACGCGTAAACCGAAGGCCAAGCGTTCTACGACCTTGGCTACTCCTCCCAAGCCTCCGGCACAGTTCCGCAAACGTCAAATACATAAGTCATGGCTCCCGACTCACTTGTTTCACACCAAACGTGCACATATGACCCCTCCCGTGGAACCACTATGGCGATTTGCGGTCCCATTGACACCAACACAGAAGAGCTATCGGCCCACGCACCGTGCGTCCACGCTGAGGGGTGCTGTAGCATGGGATATGAGCTATATGGCAACAATCGCGCTCGAAGGGGTTGAAAAAAGCATATCGGGATTATTGAAGGCAATAGGAGTTGGCGCGGACCACGACGGAGAGCTATGGAAGGACGGAGGCTTCGGCAAAAAGTGGCGTACTGGCACCAGGATCTGGGAAGGCTGGGTCTTCGAGAGGGAAGGATGGCCTTTGAAACCAATTGCACCCGTGGTAGTCGTCTGGAGCTCGGAGGGAAAGTCCGATATAGATGCAACAGATCCAACTTCGAAGGTCTCGAAAACCCCATCAAAAAGAAAAGTCTTCATTCGGATACATCCAGCTGGGTTTCTTCAGCTGTGGCAAGAGGTCACGAGACTTGCCAAGGTTCAGAAACCTTCCGTGTCAGTGGAAGACCTACGTTTTGAGATCGGTAGCATTGAAATATCTGGTCCTGGCGCCACGGAGACGCTTCAAACCGCACTGTGGCCAACACAAGCGCCGAATAGTGAGCAATATCCTCCAGATAGCCCCCAAGCTGTTTGGAAAATCCTCTCATCGTGCATCAACCCCGGGAGTCTGCCAAATAATACGCTTCTCGCCTTCAACATCTCCGATCCCCGTTTACATCATCCTCCTCGACCACGCGAAGCTACTGAACCAGCCGCGTCATTGGCGCTTTTGAATCAAGTGATTAGCGCCTGGCCCCTCGATAAGACTCTATCTCCCCCTGCTCTATTTGATCGCAACGCAAGATTAGCAGCACAACGCTGCTTACCTTCTCAGCAATCTATCAACCGTCGTAAAGGCGCCGCAAAACCAGGACAATACCCCGAACCGCGGCCTACAGATCCTCAGATCCCGGTATTGCTTTACCCTTCGCGAATCAGTGGTTCTTGGACAGTCATCTTGCCTTGGAAATGTGTCATGCCGGTCTGGGCCGCGATAATGTATCACCCTCTCTCTACGGGTAGCACTCCAAGGTTTGGAGGTCTGAAGGAGATTAGGCAAATCGCTTTTGAGGGTTCTCGAACGTGGTATCCAGGTGACTATCTAGGCACTGCGGCTGGTTGGGACTGGGAATTGCAAGAGAGGGCCGTCAGGGAGAAGGAATGGTCGAAGAGGCCGAAAGGGAACAGGGTTGCATGGGAGAGTATAGATCTAGGCAATAATAGAAAAGGCGAGATAGGGAGAGGCTGGGCTTGCGATTGGGAAAGGCTTTTGCTGGGACCGCCAAGTGAGCATGGCGAGGATGAAGCTGGTAAGTATCTCCCAAAACACCGTTTAGTACTCCTCAATCGTGGTCTTATAATAGCTGACCATCCGTCAGCCCCGCCTGAATCCAGAGCTTCAAAGTCCACGAAGCTAAGCCTTCCTCCTTTCCAACACCTATCTTCGCCTATAATCTCCGACTTACTTTCGAGTAATCCGCCCTGCGCTCTCCGAGATATCACAACGTCCCCTACGCTTTTCACAGCCGGCATCAAGCTCCTCACTCGAGGCGTTCCAGTCCCTTGTGCGCGCATATACCGCCTTCCTACCAACAACGCCGAACTACGTGCCAAGTGGCTATCGCTGGTACCTACATCAAGCGTGCTCTACAAATCCAAGAGCAAGGCCAACAGGCCACCTCAAGCATTATCCAAAGACGTGCCGCTTCACCTTCGGCGACGAGCTCTTGCCGCAGGCCTTCTGGCGCCGGTGGTTGTCGAGAAAGAGATCCCGCAACCAGGCGACAAGGAGTATCCAACTGTGCCTGATGAACCCGATCTCATCGGATTCATTACGACTGGAAACTTCAATCTTGGGGAAGGCAGAGGGACCGCGGTGGCTAACCTTCTTGCTGATAGGGTACTCGTGGCGAACGCTGAGAATAAAGTTAGGAATGGTAAGGTTCAAGAGAAGTTCCTGTGCATAGTGCGGGAAGCTGGTCAGGGGTTTGGACGGTTAGCCCGATGGGAGGTGGTGTAAGTCGCCGTAGGAGACAGTTGTTAAACGTTGATGGAATTTATCCATACTCGAATTCTCTGACGGTGTTCTGGTCTTACACTGTGAGCTCTACTTTACCTCGTTTACCTGTGGACGAAGTACAACCTCACGTGATTCCTATCCAGTGCACTTGGACTGTGATCTTTTTACAGCGGCTTGCCATTGCTTGGGGTGCCCCATGGCAGTGTTAGAAAGGTAGACCAAATGCAAAATCACCAGGGCGAGAATCAGGCTCTGATCCTGATAGACTTGGGAGCTAAGGGGAGAGCACATTTCATACCGCAACCTCATTTCCATTCGCTACCCACAGCCGTCGGATGACTTAGACCATCCAGCCGCGCATCAGGTGTCCCGCGCATGCGTTTTTCTCACAACGCCATCGTGCGACTCCAAAACTCGGCTATCGCCTCCGCCGCAGGCCGAACCTATTCACTTAGTCCTCCTTGATCGCAGCGGCCACGCCAGCCGCACCCTCCGCCGCCACCACCGCCGCCTGGACAGTCCCCGCCACCGCAGCGGCGCCATACCCGCCCATGGCCGCGCTTTGGAGCGTCGCGAACACGCCGCCCGCTTGCACTGCCCCCATGCCCGACTGCAGTGCGCTCGCGAATGAAGCTTTGCGTGGAACCCGTCAGCAGGCGCTTTTCGTGCGAAGAAGAAAGAACCCTCACCAGCTCGGATTCCGCCAGCCGTCCAGCCAAGCATGCCGAGCACAGGTGCCGCGACCGAGCCGGGGATGAGCAAGATGACAAAACTGGAGATGTGGAACGCGGTCTTGACCGGGTGTGCGACGACGTAGCGGACGAGCGGGGGAGCGATGGCGTGGACCAGGTTCGTGACGTGCTCCTTTACGATTTCGTAGGCTTGGACGATGGAGGAGGAGATGGCGGAACCCATACTTGGAGGTGTTTGAAGGAGGGATCTACTTTGATGCCTGTGTTGGTGTGCAGGTGATTGTGGGAGGGAGAGAGGTCCGGAGATGGAGATGCTCGCGTTTTGTGGGGCAAAGCGTCAGGAATGATGCAGCTACGCGTCTGGCACACCGCCTGAAGTTTCGCTCGGATTCTCTACTTAAGTGAATGTGGGAATGAAGAGGGATGCCTAGGTTTAGTCTTACGCACGTCTGACTTATGACATACTATTGTAGCCTTGTAGCAACGTTTCGTACAACTTCAGGAGCTTGACCCATAACAAGATGAAGGCCAGAGGGGTGCGGCAAGCGTTGACAAGTTGCAAGTGTGAAACGACTGGTGACTTGATATTGTATATATGAAGATGACAACAGAGACTAGATTTGCACCAATCGAGCTATCTAACTATGTTGTACCCAGGTAGCAGTTCATGTTTCCACGGAGTCTCCCAGTGCTCTGTACGTAACCTTCAAACTCGCTCTCTTCACCATCACTTCCCAGATCACTCAAATCACTGCTCTCCTCATCGCTTTCCACGGCCTTCTTGCTCTTCCGTTTGGGTGTAAGAGAAGCTTTCTTGCCCTTGACGAGGCTACCAGCACCCTCCTTGCGACCACCAGATCGGGTAACCAGGTGATCAATGACGCATCCTTCTTCCCAACCAACGCTGCTCTCGCCTGTTATCGCTCTGCACCTTGGACATGTCTTCCCGTGTTTTATAAATAACTGATGCAGCGGATACTTGAGATCATCTGGTATCCTAACCTCGAGATGCGCATACGTCGAGTTTCTGGTCGGACCAGCAAAGACACCCTTCTTCTTCTTCTTGCCTTCGACTTCGTCAATAGCTGGGCCGAGACCAGCAGGGTCACCTGGGGGCGGAACCCAACCGAGCCACTTGCATAGCCGGAAAACGTGCGTATCGACTGCAAAGCTCGGCCGCTGGAGGCAGAAGAGAAGAACGCAAGAGGCCGTCTTGGGTCCGATTCCGGGGTACTTCGTGAGGGCATTGAAAGCGTCATCGGTCGAAAACAGATGCAGATGATCCAGGCTCAGTACGCTTTCTTCAGCGCGTGCGACTTCCACGTCCTTCTCTTCGCGGGCTTCCTTCTCGACGCCAGCTGGGCCGGCCGAGGAATCAGTAAGGGAGGTAGCTCGTGCTTCGTTTTCCTCCCATACCATCTGCAATATAGCCTTTATGTCCTTGCTCTTGACGTCTGCGAGGCCTCCTGACTTGATCGCTTCGAAAATGTCCTTCACGTCGGCACGTCGCACCGCATCCCAATCGACGCTTCCTTTGCCAACACCCTCTTGCAGTATGCCGAACCGTGAGACTAGACCAGCGAATGCACGGGATGAGTTTGTACCAGACGTTGCGGCCGACAAGCGGGTGCGGATGAGGGCATCGAGCACAGAGGGGACTTCCCCACAACCGGATACTGTGAGCGAGGGGATTGGAATGGTGGCCGGCGGCTTGACTTTTCCGTGTATTGAAGATAGGAGACGGCTGACTTCGTGGCACTCTTCTGCCGTGGGGTGAGGCCAGTTTGGGTATGGGCTTTGACCAGGCACGAGTCCGTAGGAGTTGTTCTTCTTCTTTGGAGAAGTTGATGGGGTGCCTGTCGATAATACTTTGGCCGACAACGACTCTACATTCTCTTCAATTTCTGCGTCGTCTTTCTGAGCTTTGGCTGATTTCCGTCGTTTCGCGGGAGGCAACCTGGGAGTTTGGGGAACTGCATCGCTCAGGGTTCCTCCAACGGCGCCTAGGTTATGAGGAAGCTCGTTGATGTCCTCCTCTTTCTTCACAACAGTCCTCGTCCGTTTGCGAGTGCTTTTTGGTGTGATGGGACCGCTTTCTGTGGAGGCACCATTTCGGGCTCCTCTTTTCTTGGGAGGTGCTGGAGTCGGCGGAGGGCTTGAAAGTTGCTGTGGCTCAGGCTTCACTGTGGTCGACAGAGGCTGAGAGCTGGCAGTCCCTGCCGCTTTGGATGCTCGAGTGGCTCGAGAAGCCATTGTTCGGATCGATAAAGCCGTTATTCCGGGAAATAGGAGAGGCCTATTAGCCTGCAGACGATGGATAAGCTGGGAAAGTATGATGTGATGTGTAGAGGAGATGTGGCTTTAGATGAAGAGTGAGATGAACCTTGGAGGTATGATGGCGTTCACGTGTACGAGAAAGAGACTAGAGGTTAAGAGGTGAAGGAAACGCAGTGAAGAAGAAGGGCCACAGGGCAGATGTCACACCTCATGACGTCTCGATTGGTGAAGGCAGATCGAGGAGCATGGACCCTCTTCGGGTACCTTGCAGTTGCTCGATATGACGCTGAGCGGTGCTTAAACCGACGACGCTAGGCGACGCTTTACTGACAGCTCCCGGCCCGCCTCACGACACCCCGCTAACATTACCTCCGCCTCCGACTCCGAAATATCACCTGGAAGCTTTCTTTCTCTTCATAACCACCTTCTAAAATAGCAGTCATGCCGCCCCCTAAAGCTTTGGTTGTCCCCGCCCTGAAGCGCCACACTGCAACCGTCATCGTGGCCCACGGTTTGGGTGACAGCGGTGCGGGATGGTAAAGTTCATGAGTGATGGCAAGCTCCATAACCCTTTGCTAATACATATACAGGATCTTCCTCGCAGAGAACTGGCGCCGACGCAACAAATTCGAAGAAGTCTCCTTCGTATTCCCATCTGCCCCCGTCATCCCCATCACAATCGTACGCCTCCTCCGCTGTAGCTTCACAATGCGCCTATCCTAACGATTCGGTCAGAACATGGGCATGAGCATGCCTGGATGGTACGACATCAAATCACTTTCAGACCTCGCCAGCCGCGAAGAAGACGAGACCGGCATCTTGAAGTCGCGCGACTACTTCCACTCCCTCATCGCCGGCGAGATAGAGAAGGGCATCCCCGCAAGCCGGATCGTGCTCGGAGGGTTCTCACAGGGTGGCGCCATGGCGCTGCTATCTGGCGTGACGGCTCCGCAGAAGCTTGGTGGAATATTCGGGCTGAGCTGCTACCTGCTGCTATCGAAGAAACTCCAGGAGCTCTTGCCGGCGGACAACCCGAATAAGGAGACACCTATCTTCATGGGGCATGGAGACATTGATCCCGTGGTCGACCACAAGTGGGGGAAGCGGAGCGCGGACGAGTTGGTGAAAGGGGGCTGGAATGTGGATTTCAGGACCTACAAGTATGGACACCCTATTTATGCTGGGGGTATAGACGCTAACTCGAAGTAACAGGGGCCTCCAGCATTCGGCAGATCCCGAAGAGATCGACAACCTCGAAGCATACCTTAACGGACAGATTCCCCCGCTCGGCGACGAGAAGAAGTCCGAGACTTCGCTCTGACCTTCAGGGCACCCCCTTCACGATTACAGCTTCACATATGTCAATATAGTCATGTTGGGGTGCCTGATCTTATTCGGCGTTGCAGCGTTCAAATTATTACCTAGAAGGCAAGGGAGAAAGGCTAGATGAGATAGTCATGAGGGACCTGATAACCTACGTCCAACACTACAGTAGTGTGCCTTCAGACCCTATCGTTTGCTCGAAGCAGATGTTGATGCGCGGTGATGATATGTAGCACTTGGCTTTAGTGTTCAGTGAATTAGAAACATGAGAAAATTTCATGATGGGCAGAAAAGCATACACAGATGAAAGATTGGACATAGAAAATGAGGATATGTGTTGCGTATTAGGTGTGTGGTAGTGGATCCATGCCTAATCCCAAGGCGCGAACTTAGCCCTTTAACTGATCTAACACCTAGCTAAGCGTGGAAGGCGAGACAGGAAAATGGGAACATGCTGCATGATGCTAGGCTAGGTGGCGCCACTGTTCATGTAGTGGCATACTATCATCGAATTACAGACTCTCATCGTAATCAGCCCGTTCCTCGGGAGTCTTTTCTTCCATGATGACATCTCCGTCACCATCCACCTCGGATTTGCTTTCGCGTTGAGCAAACTTTAGGGCTCGCTTCCCGAATTTCGCCAACTGTGCAGCAGTCGCTCGATCCTGTGGCGGTATCTGCAATGCCTTCATCATCCAAGCATTGAGGAATATACTGTAAGCATGCGACCAGCGAGGGATGTACTTATCAGCAGAGGTATTGCGCCACCTATCTAGTGATTCCCCGTCTTTGTACTTTGCGACCCATTCATCTTTCGAGAGATCAATCGGATATACATCGTAGCCAACGCGTTCGCACTGACGTTCAAAATCCCGCGTAAGCTTCTCTCTCACCTCGGCGTCTCGCGTCTCGCGGCAGGCCTGGACATATTTCTGGTAGAAGTTCTGATAGTCCTTGCGATCGATCGGAGGCGTTCCAAGAGTCAACCAATGGATCACGGCGCCTACGGCCCATATGTCGCCTAGGTGATTGATGTGTGGCTTTTCAGGAGGTAGGTAGTCCCATGTTCCCACCATTTTCGAGCCATTGAGGTGGCCTAGTTCAGGAATGCTTGATCGGGAGAAGTCCGCAAGCTTTATCTGCGGGCACATATCTGTACGCCCGGATGATATGAGGATGTTCGTCGGTTTGATGTCCCAATGCGTGATCGGCATCCAGTCGTCTCGTTCTGCGCCACGGGGCCCGTTATGGAGGAAGTCTAGCGCCTCTGAGAGTTGTATGAAAACGTGCCAGACGAGCTCTTCGGGCACGTGGAGAATGGCATCCCTGCGGCGGACATAATTCTTGTAGTCGACTAAATCCCCGTGGGAGCAGTATTCGAGGAAGAGGGTCTGATCTCCATGCCCAGGAAAGTTCTGTTTATGGCCCAAAATTTGTACGATATTAGGCCCGGCTCGGGCTTTCCAGAGCATCTCAACTTCTCGTAGAATGTAGGCCCTGGAACTGGGCGTCTTGGATACTTTGGCGACAATCTGCTCGCTTGACTTCCACGAATACTGGTGGCCGTACAGGTACACTATGCCGTCAGCGCCACTACCGATTTCACGTCGCTGTCGATAGTTCCTTATGATGTCCTCTGTGCGAGCGTAGAAGGACACGTCGTCCTCGTCATTGCTGGTGATGTTGGAAGACATGACGTTGGTGAGATGAACTGTTGACTATTCAGAGAGAAAGATACCATGTTGTGTAAATACCTAGGGATCCTGACGATGTACTCGAACAATTCACTTATTCGATCTTGACTATGTGAAAATAGGAAGCATATGCATTGTTGAGAATATACAGTGCCTTGCCATAGAAATCCGTACACTTTCCTGCCACTGTCTGTGGGGCTCCAACGTACTAATAGAAAGCGAGGGCAGCGGATACACTTCTAACCTTCGTACACCATGTTGACGCTGTCTGAGATAGCCCAGCAAGTCTAACGGGACGTACAAACCGTCTCATTCAATTTTTCCAGGAGGTGTCGAGGCAAGTCATGCGGCGAGAAACCACTTTGAAAGAGAGCACATAACGTTGAACTAATAGAAACTGGGGACAGCTGATACACTTCCAATCTGCATACACCCTGTTGGCGCTGTCTGAGGTAGCCTCACAAGTTTAGTAGTCGCCTAAAATGCCGGATTCCTCTCTCATTTGGAATGCTGAAAATACTATGAAGCTCCTCACGCAGCGGTAAACGAGTGTACAGTTTTCAATAACGAGGCATTGTAAGGCCCTGACCATGTCCCTGTGGTGCCGAATTCTTCGTTCCTAAGTTCTTAACAATGCGTATGCTTCTTGCGTTCAGTACCCCCTTCCGCCGATGGTCGCTTCCTGTGTAGCCAACCACTCAACTTCCGTGTATATTCTACCTCCTCACGGCCTAGCTAGCTACACTAACACCACACATAATCCAATCGTTTCTTTCTATCATATTCTATCCAACAATCATGCCGTCCACCACTGATAGGGAGACCACTACACACGACTTTATGGCAGACTATGAAGCCGTGGGGATTCTCGGGAGATGGACGAACGGCGTAGTAGCCCTATACCAACGGGAATCGGACCAAGAAAAAGACAGCACACACAAAATTGTGCTAAAGATCTCTAAGGACGCGGACAGCAGTGCCAACATAATCCACGAGGCTCAGATTATGCGTAAACTTGCTGGGGGCTGTCTCAACATCGTGCAGTTCCTAGGCGACGACTCTTTTAGCCCTCTTCGTCGGATCATATTCCTCGAATACTGCCTTCCAGGAGATTTGTACCAGTACAAGCAGGAAATAGGCAAACATGGCATTATACCCGAAGTGTTTATTTGGAACGCTTTCATCCAAATTTCAGGGGCCTTGGACTACCTCCACAACGGGCCAGCTGTGCCAGAACGTCGGGACCAGAAACATTGGATTCCTATCGCCCACTGCGATATCAAACCAAAGAACATCCTGTTATGTCCTGGCCCCCATTCTGGCGCAGATCTCCCGGATAGATCGCCAATACTCAAGCTCGCTGACTTTTCGAGAGCAAGAGAAATCCCGGAGGGAGACACGACTGCAGTATGCGGGACCTGGCTGTATATACCTCCAGAGAAACCCAACATCACTCCGCGTGGCGACGTCTGGGTAATAGGCGGAATTGTCCACTGGCTCGCCCTGAACACGCCTCCGGTCGACCACGAGGAGTACGTGAGAATCTATGAAAACCGAGAGAGTTACCGCGGAGACCCAGCTCGGATGTACGATAATGTTGCCCGTCGAGATTATCCGATCAACCTGTCTCGGAAAGGCTGGGTGCACAAATACAAGACCACCGGCTGGGTCGATGTCTTATACCAGCCTATCTGGTCGTACGCTTACAGCGGCGAACTCACCAAATGGATGCAGCAGGCTTTGCAGCATGATCCTTCCGTTCGAATTATTGCGGCACGGCTCGTAGGGGGAGGAGAATCAACATGGGGTCATAGAAATCCGTACACTCGTTTACCGCTGCATGAGGAGCTTCATAGTATTTTAAGGATTCTAAATGAGAAAGAAATTCGGCGTCTTAGACAACTAGTAAACTTGTGAGGCTACCTCAGACAGTGCCAACACGGTATACGCAGATTGGAAGTGTATCTGCTGCCTCTGGTTTCTATTAGTAGGTTAAAGCCCCACAGACAGTGGCAGGAAAGTGTACGGATATCTATAGCAAGGCCCTGCACATCTAGTAGAGGGTTGACGAGGAAATAAGGATTACCTAGAGCAGATGCAATTCGACTTCTTTTCCCGGTTATGGTATAATGGGATGCTCCGAGCGACAGAGACTCGGAAGTAATTGCAAACAAGGATTCAAAACGGAAAAATCAGATGTACCAGGTCCCTAGAACCCCTCCCAAACTACAGAGGTTACTTACAGTTATTAGTAGGCGAACACTCAAGCGCTAGTCATACGAACTCTACGAGGAAAACGGAAGGTTGTTCACAAAGGGTACGCAGGGGAGTCTATGTCGGACCTGGTCGGGTCGATGGTGGTGGTTCATAACCCTCCGTTGTGTAGGCTTGCGAAGTACGCTCTCGGGGTTTCGATTCGGGTTCTGCCTAGTTATTTGGAAGGTGGGCAGTGTAATTTCAATATATGTAGATCAAGTCGGAGTTCCTCAGTATGTGCATAGCAGCTGACATGCGGCTCGGAACAATATCTCACCTGGGAACTCATTAGTTACAGAATATACCGTTAGCCATCAACACCGCCTTAGTTTTGCCTTTTCCTTGATTCGTGAAATCGAGAGCCCCCTTTCAGCTTACTTAGCACATGAGTATATTCGTTTCATGCTTTAGTCTGAAAACATAGGGGTTGATCTTGGTGGATATGGCCAGACACTTTCGAAAGTCTGGAGAGATGAGATACTGGTTGCCTTAGGACGGGCATTAAGGATGAGCTGTTATTAGAGTCCTTGGCGAAAGCTGTACAGTGCCTTATCGTAGGTTTATGCGCAACCTTCTACCGCTGGCTGAGTGCTCAACATCTTTTCAAGATGGAAGCTCTTCGTTTTGATTAATCGTTAAACTCTCTAGGCCACCTCAGGCGGTAGCGAGAAGAATGCATAAATTGGGGGTGTGACCTATTACTCTAGATTGCTATCAATGCGTTGAAGCACCAGAGGCAGTCGGAAGGAATTGTACGCATGTGTATGACGAGGCACTGCAGATGGTCAGTTCAGACGCACAAGCTTCACCGACAGAAAGTACATTACCTGGTCAATGCTAGAAGTCACCACCCCAGCTTATCGCACATCTCATCGAACGGCCTTCACAGCCTCAGATCCAACAATCAAAATTACCAGCCCAATTCAATGGCGTTTCATACCGCCATCTAGGAAACGGTTACACTTCGTCTATTCTATACAAACCCAGTCCTTCCGACCCCAGCCCATTTTACAGATACACACCCTTCACTCAGAAATTCACCACCTCACCGCACCGTCTTCTCCACAAACTCTTTCTCCAACTTCCCAACCTCAGCCTTGAAAGCCGCCACCTCCTTCCAGCAATCCAGCGGCCGCCTGTCGTTCGCCCGCAGACACGTGACAACGTCGTCCTTCGCCTTCGACACGGCCGTATCCACCTCGTCCAGCTTTTTCCGCGACTCCAGCTTCTTCTTCAGCTCCGCAATCTCCTTGGACACGCTATTCCGGCTCATCTCCTGCTGGCGCTGCTTCTCAGCCAGCGTTGCGGAGCTGCTCAGGGTATCGCCAATCTTCTCGACGAGGGAGGGTTCCGCGGGCGTAGAGGTTTCGTCCGACAGCGACTCGGAGAGCTGGGCTAGCTTTGCGGATTCTTGCGCTTGGAGCTTTTCGAGCTCGGAGGTGACGCGGGATTGGATCTGGAGCTCGAGGGTCTTGGAGCGCGTGGAGTCGGACTAAAGGCGAGTCGTTAGACGGCATCTCGACACGCCAATTCGCTATCTGGATATTTCTGACCTGATTGCTGTTCTGCAGCGAGTCTACCAGCTCGTTCGAGAACCGGACGGGCGCGTCTCTGCGATACAAAGTCAGAACGAGGAGGATCTCGGGAGTGCTCCCCCAGCGGCCAATTGGCACGATGCGCGGCTACTCACGCAGCGAAAACATGCTGCGACTGCTCCGAGGTGGGTTTCGAGTTGCCATTCCCCATTCTGGCGTCGTGGGTGCTGGGCGGATGATGAATTGGGGGAGACACTGGCAGACCTGACGTTGGCCTTGAATGCTGGCTCCGGCCTTGGCACGACAAATTGCCGCTAACACAGACACGCGCCAGGGAACTCAACACCACGCTGCTATCACCACTTCCACACTCGTTCCTCCACGGGCGTCGCACCCCCAGCCATGCCGGAAACTCTACTGACGGCATGGCTGCGCAAGCCCACCGTCGTCGCCGCCTCCACCTCGCTTCCGCAACCTCCGCAGAAATCCTACGCCACGGCCGCCGCACCCGAGCTCCCACTCATCAAACGCGACAAAACCTCCTCCTACACGCCCGCGGCCCTCCCGCTCGCCCTCGCCTCCGAAGACGCCCCGCCCTCCGCGCCCCCAGCTCCCCCAGGAAAGCCCAACAAACCCCCCTTCTCCGCCCTCCGCCCCCTCCCTCCCAACATCACCCTCGTCCCGCCCCACACCTCCCTCCTCCCCGCCTTCAAACTCCTCAACCAGTCCCTCTTCCCAATCCCCTACCCAGCCAGCTTCTACGCCGAAACCGCCGCTGACCCCGTCACGGCCTCCATCACGCTCTTCGCGCTATGGCACCGCGAGCCGCCCGCCTCGACCGAAGTCGCCGCGCTGCTCACGCGCGTCTCTGCGCCTCCTCCCGCTTCCAGCGCCTCCTCCGCCGTCGACCCCCCACCGCCGCCAACCCTCGTCGGCGCCGTCCGCTGCCGCCTCGTGCACCCGGGCGAGAAGAGCGCGGACGCCGTGCGGCTGGGGCCGGGCGACAAGCCGACGCTGTACGTGGCGACGCTGTGCGTGCTGCCGACGTACCGCGAGCACGGGTGCGCGTCGCATCTGGTGGCGCGGGTGGTGACCAAGGCGGCGCGCGAGCACGGCGTGGGCAGCGTGACGGCGCATGTGTGGGAGGCGAATGCCAAGGGGCGGGAGTGGTATAAGCGGCGCGGGTTTGTGGAGCAGGGGCTTGTCGAGGGGTATTATCGACGGCTGAGGCCGAGTGGGGCCGTGTTGGTGAAGAGGGTGGTTGGGGTGCAGGATTTGGTGGGGGTGTGAGAGGGGGGATAGCATGGGGATGAGAAGATGGGAGGGGGTTGGGGAGGGGAGTAGGAAATATACCCGGCTTTTTGAGGGTGAGTGTATGAGCTGTGAGCTATGAGGATGAGTTCGACGATCTTACGGACTGTTCGAAAAGGCTAGATCATGATTCCTCAGAATGCATCGAAGGACATCAGACAGCGGCAAACCAGTGTACACAAATCCTACCCCTGAAAAGAACCCGAATGATCAAAATTCAAGGTAGTACACAAAAAAAAATTTCACTCTAGAGAAAATTGAAGTTTTGAAGAATGGAATGCAACAGTTCCAAAATCAATTATGTTCCAGAATGAGAATACCATGATCCCACAGAATGCACAAGAAGTTTCAGAAACCTCTTCCCCCTCCTCTTCCCCCTCCTCTTTCCCCCCTTTCTAGCACATATATCAAACAGCAACAGCAGCCTCAACATCAACATCAAGATCAGCACCAACCCCCTAAACCGTCTCATACTACCCCAACTTCTCCGACTTCTCCACACTCCCCGCCACCAGCGCAATCAACGCCGCACCCACCCCACTCCCATCCTTCGCAATCCCAATCCGCACCCTCTTCTCCCCCTCGACCCCAATCTCGGGCACCTCCCGTAGCGCCTCACGGATAAAACTCTCAAACTCGGGATAAAACTCAACCAAGCTCCCATCAACGCCAACATCAATAACATCCTCCTCCGCCACCTCGTCGACCGTGCCGCGCGCCGGCTCCAAGTTCTCCTTCGCCTCGGTCGTGTTAGTGCCAGAGGAAGTAGAAGTGCCCAACCGGCCGGTCTCGATCACAATCGCGGCAATGGCGACAGCCGCCAGGCGCGCAGCGCGCTTCCCGACGGCGTTGGCGATGAGCTTGACGGCCTCTGCGTCCTCGGCCGACACGGCGTTGATGCCGTAGTCCTTATCCAGCGTCTGGCGCGTGATGCGGAGGCCCGCGCTGCTGTCGCCGGCGCAGATGCTCAGGAAGCTGGTGTCGATGCCCCACTGCGTCCAGAGGGGCGACGACTCGGCGATCTGCGTCGTCGAGTGCACGTCGTTGGTGGCCGAGTTGTCGTCGCGGAAGAGGGTGATGCTGGGGTCGTTGAGGAGGCCGATGAGGGCGAGGCGCAGGATCTCGCCGAGGAACATGCCCGAGACGCGCTTCTCGAACATCTGGATGCCCGGGTTCACCGAGGCTTTGTCGAGGGCTGCGTCGTAGGGCGTGTTGGGGAGCGTGCGGAGGGAGTTGTCGAAGGAGCCCCATTCCGTGTTCACGATCATCTCGCCGGTTGACTTGTCGAATTCGCCGGCGTCTTTGTTGTTTAGGAGCTTGCTGACTTTGGAGAGCTTTTCCACATAGGCGCCGTTGGTTCCTGTGCCGAAGATGGCGCCGAGTAAAGTGCCAGTCTTGCCAGGAGAGGTGTATGACCGGGCCATCAGTGTCCCAACAGTGTCGTTGACTAAGGCAGCCACTCGCACTGGAAGATGCAGCTCATCTATCTCAGCCTGTAGCAGGGCGCAGACGTCCTTGCCCACTGCGTCTTGAATGTCGAATCCTTTTGTCCAGCGCATCAAGAGTCCCTTGTTGATCCCAATCTGGTGCACAGGAAAGCTGAACGTGAACCCCAGGTTGAAAATCTCCTCTTCTCTGAACCCCCCGGCATTTGAAACCGTTGCCCTACGCCGGAGAGTGCCAGCATAGTGATCCTTGTGGTGTGCCTTCAGGAATATCTCAATCTGTTTGGCGAGGAAGGAGAAGAGCTCTTTGGAGGTTTGGGCTACCATCAGCTCACGAGGAATGGCCACTTTGCTTTGGGTGAGAGAAAAGGTAGTGTTGCCGTGCAATTGGATAGAGCAGACGCGGAAATTTGTGCCTCCCAGATCCACTGCCATGTATAGACCCTGAATTGTGTCAGTGCTGCCAATTGATTCCCATGAGGGGTGTACGAGGTACCTTTTCTGTGCCATTGGGCACTGCTGTGACATATGTAGGGATCTGGCTTAATTCTGTGCCATCTTTCTGCAAGCCCTCGCCTACAATCCACCAACAATCAGCAAAGGTTCAATTGCAGCAATTGGGGCGCAGTGAAGGAGCAATTCTGACCCATTTCCCGTATGAACTCCTTGACCGCCGCTCGCACCCCCTCGGCGGGGAACTCAAACTCGGCGGCCACCCGCTGCGCCTGCTCTTCTAGAGCCATGCTGCGTTCGGTATTGGTATAGAAGGTGCCAGAAAACTGCAATTGCTGCTCAACTCTTGCGCAGACAGGTGGACTCGACGGGATGTGGGCGGAGGATAATGCAGGTGACGTCGCACGCGGCGGGGTTGCAGGCCAGAATTGCTTTTGGGGAGATGCGGCGAAGAACGACAAGACCTCGTACGGCAGACGTGGTGCGAACAGCTGGACGCCGAGTACAAGTAGAAGAAGAGCGGCGCTGAGCAGATGATGGGCAGCGGGTGAATCGCGGGGCCTCACGATGCGGGCGGGACGGGAGCGAGCGGAAGGCGAGGCTGAAGAGGAAGGAGTTCGAGATTCAGGACCAGCCAGGCTAGACTCCCGCGAGCAGGCCCGCCAGCTGCCCGTGACGTTGGCGCTCAGGGTGATATCGTTGTGGGCTGCGACTCGAGCCCAATTGCCATACGCTCTGGCGGGGTCGAATAGCGGGGTCGAAAGATGCGGCCTCTGACAGCGGTGAGCGGTTGGCGGGAGGACAGTAAGCGTGGGGAGCACAGCGTGGGCGCGGGCCAGGCGTCGGGCGTCAATTGTGTATATGGAGCAATCAATCTGGCGTCAAGTAAACACTGCGATGGATGGACGTTGCTGATCGTCGTGGAGGCGAGCGTCTGAGCGCGGTGCTGCTAGAACAACAACCACGATGCCAGCGACCTCAATATGTGCCTTCGTGTCCCGCACCATGCTCTTTTGCAACCCCTCCCCGCTTCCTGCTGACCTAGGTCCTACGTCGGCGGCTGAAACTATCCCTGATTCCGGTCTTTATCTGCCCTCATCCAAGCACTGCTAACACCATAGTGGAAAGGGTTATCGCGTGCCAACGCCTATATTTTACACTGGTACATCTCAAGTCATCCTCGAGTCACTCAACATGAATCAGATGTGAAAGTAGAACCGCCGCCTTTCATTCTCAACCAACTTATGTATGCTTTACTACAACCTTCCAATGCCACAGCCCACTGGCCGTACTGTTTTGCGTTCCCACCACACCTCATGCTTTTGTCTCCGCGACAAGAGAGTATAGATAGTACAAGACACTTGCTGGCCAGAACCAACACATGCCCAATGCCAGATGCGATGAAGCCTTAGACATGTGCTAGCAGAGAAAGAAGGAAATTGACACGCCCCAACCCCACTGGTAAGCCCATGCAACAGAATTAGCGGGTGCCAGCTGTTTCAACGCGACGTCGCCGCTTAACGTCTGTCCTATGTACGACATGATTAGACCTAAAGAAAAAAGAGAAAAGCTTTCCTTAGTAAGGAGCGTGTGTGTACGTGCAAGGTATCCTCCGGTCGCCGCCTCTATTTCCCATCATTAAAATCTGCCCGGAGCCCGCCAGCGCTCCCTGCAGCCTCGTAAAATGTCCTGCCAGCTGCCGCCGACAGGCAAAAAAAGAGATAAAAGGGGCCGATCCCCGTTTACGATAACCGTCAAGAAGAGAAGGAGTGGATACAATCGATGCCGTCAACAGCAATGTAGACCGGGCCGGAGACGCTGCCGTAGCTGCGCCCCGTCCCGAGTTTCGCTCCCGTATATGGTTGGTTTCGTCAATATCGCTCGAATGGAAACGGTGTGCATGCAAACTTCCAAAATACTCCAAGTCGAATGCCGCCAAGCAAAAATTATCCCTCTTTTATCGGACGCCGATCGGAGGACGAGGTCCTAGACTGCTCTGACTGCTGTGCGCAGAGGGTTCGGAATCTAGTTGGGCACTCGCGCCGCTATCACCACTCTCCGCGCTAGCGCTCGCACTTCCAGTCAGACTGCGCACTTGGGGACCGACTTTGGGCGGGTAAAGGGTGCTCACCCCTGCTTGTTGCTCGACTTGTTGAGGAGCCACTGCATTGCCATGTCCCGGAGGATGTCGCGGCAACGGTTGCCTCATATTGGGCGGTGATGGCCGCCCATTCCCGTTGGGCATTCCGTTAGGCATCCCATTGGGATACGTGGGATACCCATTGGGAGGCGATGGTCGCCCTCCGGGTCGGGGACCAGGGCCAGGACTGAGAGGGTTGCCGGGCGATTGACTTATTCGCCGGTTCATCGGAGGGTATGCACCGTGGCTGCCATTTCCTTGCAACTCATCCAAGCGAGCTGCTGTGAGTGAGTTCGTCCTTGATTCTTGACCCATCGCCTGTCTGTCAACTGTGCCATACCGATTAGACGAATAGCCCATCAGAGCATTGTTCATTATAGAGTCGTGAAGACCCGGAACGTCTGCCATCATTCTAGCGCTGGTCCGGTTCTTGTTCATGCCAGCCCGACCAAAAGGATTTCCTCTTCGGGGTGGAGGACCACGGCCTTCAAATGTGTTTGGGTCCGGGTTCTTCCGAATTTGGCTGGCGCTGGGCACTTTTCGGTTTCTGCGAGAGGTGACACTCATCATGTCGAAGTTGTCCGGGTCAATGATAGGTGCAGCACGACCAGCCATCGGGTCAAAGAAATCGTCTTCGTCGTCATCTTCATCGAACCCGCCCATGTGTGATGGTGGAGGTCCTGGTCGACGAGGTCCCCTCCGCATGTTGTATTCTTGTTCTCTCAACTGAAGCTCCTTTTGGCGTAACATGAATTCCCTTTCGCGGAGGGTAAGATCGCCCGACGAAGAGGCCATGTTGTTGTCATACATGCCGTTGGGATCTACTCCAGTGGTGTCTGCCATGTTGTCATACAACATCAGATGACTGAACTCTTCCAGATCCCCGCCTTCGAGTGAAGGCCGTCGTTGCATTTGTGGATTTGGCGGACCGTACCCATTGCCATTCACTCTTGGAGGGTACCCATTCATAGGAGGACCACGACGAGCCATGCTTGGTGGAGGCCCTGTCATCGAAGGAGCGCGACTCCCCGGTCGAGGACCGCCACTCTTCATGCCATTCATTCCGTTCGCGCCAGGATGTCCTCGCGGCAGCGGTGCCGACGACATCCTAGGAGGTGGTGCTTGAGATGGAGGCCCAGGGGGTCCGGGAGTCGAGGATAGAGATGGACCGACAGGTCGGGTCCGGTTCACGGTGTTGACATGGTGGATCATGGCGTATAATGTCTCGATACGGGGGACCGAGACGTTATACTCCTTGGCAAGCTTCAATGGAGCTCCCAGGAACGATTCAATCTCCATAGGGCGTCTGCCCTCGAAATCCTGGTACATGATAGTGTTGCTATCCGCTGGCCGAATCATTGCCTCAATCGTCTTCTCCTCGAAGTCGGCAGGGAAGCTGCATTCGAGGGCCGTAGCCAGCGTCAATAGCTCGTCAATGACTCCGGTAACCATCGCCCTTCCACCAACTTTTTCGAGGATTTCTGCGTGAATGGGAGTTTCGAACAGAACACTTGCAGGATGGAAGGCGATCGGACTAGAAATAAGGTTAGCAACAGTCCATAAGCTGTGCTCACTAATGACTTACCCAATCATCCGTTCGAATTGCTGCTGGCGAATGTTCGGTGACACCACGCAGTCGACCTGGCCCGAACTCAAAGTCATGGCAAGGGCTTCCGCCATGTCGGACTGTATCGATACGGGAATCGATGGGTTCTTGTTGGCAGGTCCAACCCAGATTTCGGTGGCACCCTTATGCTCGAACTCGCTAGCACCTAGCTGTGAAACCTCCGCTCCCGAGACCAGGGACAGCACCACGTTGGTGGGATATCTCTGCTCCAGGTACGATTCCACGCCGAGATTAGCCGTCGTGTTCATCAGGATGCAGGTGTGCTGGGGCGCGACGACAGACTCGATGATGTTGGCAATGTCGTAGACGTCGGGGAGAGCCTTGATGCAGAGGAGGACGTAGTCGAAAGGGGCTTTCGAGAGTTGAGCAGCATCTTCGGGTGTTTTGACGACTATCACGAAAATATGTTAGTGGAGGAGCTCAAGGTTCTGCATTGGAGGCGCCATACCTGCGTGTGGTTTGAACCGCTCATTACCAAACATTGCAGACCTGCCGAGGAACTTGAATCAGCATGCTATTCCGAGGATTGTCTCAGACAGGTGTCACTGACTTGAATGTTATCCCGTACTGAGCCACGCTCTCGTAGCCGCTCTTCCAGACGAGCGTGACATCGCAGGCGTTTGTTGCTTGGAGGCGCCATGACAAGAAGGCAGAGACGGAGTTGCCGCCGACTATGGCAATTGTTAGCTGGGGCGAGGCAGGATCGTCCATGAGGAAGTGAGGAAGAAGAGAGCTGTGGCTAGCCCGAGAACGCGTATGTGGCGCTGGGAGAGCCAGTGGAGCGACTGGGAGAGAAAAGGCACGAGGACAGGCAACGCACCTGAAAGAATCCGGAGTCTTGGGGGAGCGGGAGCCATGGCTAATGTGGGAGCTCCCAGCGGTGAGAGGGGCTTGGGGCGTAGGTGGTTTGGACGGAGCCAAAAGTTGGCGTGCAGGCAGGCGCTGCCAGATGGAGGGTGACGGGGGCACGATTGGAGCAGACGTAATTATTGATTAAGATAAAGGCTGAGAACGAGCGTGCGGCGGGCGTCGAAGCTCAGGCTGGCGCCGACATGTATTCCGGCGATAAAAGAGAGGCGGTTCGGTGTTGGCGGGCGGCAGAGAGCTGGTCAACGGGCGCGAGAGTCGCCGGGCTTGGAGGCGGAAACTGCTACGAGAGGCGCGACGAAGGGGCCGGGGGCGGAAGGCGCAAGCACACGAGGACAGCCGACGCGACAGGAAAGCGAGTGGCGGCCGCGGCGTCGAGACTTGGGAGGAGGGCGTGGGACGAGGAATTAAGGGCTGGCGGTGGAGAGGGAGAGGACCAGGAGGGAGGTCGGGCGAAGAGCGCAGCAGCTGGCAGCGGTGCTATCTAAAAGCTTGATCTGCTCTGCCTATGCGGGCCTGCTCGCTGCGCTGTAGCTAGCACGGCCTTTTCCACCATCCACGCCTCGCTAGGCACGGCACGGCAATAGGGAGCATTCGAGGACGCACGAATATCACTATCAATCGCCGCTGCTCTCGCGCGCAGTCGCCGTGCACGCCACATTCACGCCGCCCGTCCCTGCCTCTGATCCTCCGCGATCGATGGCTTTGGAGCATCTGTTCTGTGGTGTTTGTCTGGGCACTCGCGCTCACCGCGGCCGTCTGCGCTACGGTAGTGGGAGCAGCTCATCAGGCCTATCTCCAGCCCGGCCCTGTAAGATTGCCGTACGGATACAGCTACGAGCAGGGCACCGCTCCAGCGACATCCGGGCTGCCGCCGAACCCTGCTTCTTGCGTGGCCACTCGGCCGGCCCATGGACGAGCTCTGCTCTGTCTAGATGCGTGTCGCCCGAGCGCACGCTGTCCGATGCACTGGTCTGCAAGCGCTGCCCTCGTCAGGAGATGTCTGGAGCTGCCTCCGAGGACTGCAGAAGAGAAGCACGCCGCGACGACTCCCCGCCGGCACGGCACATAGCGTCGAGGTCTGCGTTCGTCGCGACTGAGGTTTCGGGCAGTTCGTACCCTTCGTACATCCATGTACCGGGAGGCTACAGTGAATGGGACAGGAGCTGGGGCGCGTTCTCGACGTGCAGACGCTGCCTGACGGTGCCGGTTCGAATTGGCTCTCGTCCCATCCAGCACCCATCGCCAAGCACATGGCCACGGCGGCTGTCATTTGCTGGCCGGGACAAGCTCAACGCCCACTCATCATCAACGCTGGGCCCGAGCGCCTCGAATATCAACATCCCAGCGCCAGCCACGGTACCTGTGCGGGCGTGCGACCGGCCTCTGCTACCGGCCTCCGCCCTGGAGACGCCGCCTGGGCAACGGCCCTTGGGCGGAACTGCTCACGGCGCTGCTTGCGGGAGAGCCCTCACGGCGGTGCCCAGGGCGGGCTACTCTTGCAATGCCTTTTAACGTTAAACGACGCCCGCAGAGCGCGCCTGTCTGACGCTGGCGTACCCGCGCCGCTGGACGGTCCTGTGGGGCTGCCCCTTTTCCTCAAATCTCAACCCACACCACCAAACCACCCGTCGTCCGCGTTGCTCCGCCGATGACGAGGGCTCCCCCGGTACGGACAGCAGAGTCGCGTGTGCGCAGCCTGCGCCTGCTCCATGCACTTTCTGGCGGATCCGCGAGGCGCACTGCAGGGACGCGGCGAGGGCGAGGCGGAAGAAGCCTCATGTCGTCCATAAGAGTAGACGGCCGTTCAGCGCCACGTCTCTGGCGAGCCAGCTTGGGCAGAGTCGATCGACATTTGGGCCCTGGCCCGGCGTGGATCCGGACCCTGGGCGTGGATTTTATGGATGGAAATCTCTGCTGCCCGGCCCCAACATCAGTGCCAAGCCCGATATCAGGCCTGCAGGTCGCGATCACCGTTCAGGATGCGAACATGCACAAGGCAGAGTCGCTGCTTGCTTGCTCTGGCAGCCTGCTCTTTCTGCGGGCCGACGCCTCTCTGGAGGGTCGGAGGATGCGGCCACTGTTTCAAGATGGGAGCCTCACAGTCATTATGCGCAGCAATCCTTCAGTTGAGACAGGGCCGGTTGGAAGCATTGCACAAGGCATCGAACCTGGCGAGTCAAAATAAAGACGCGGTGGCAACACGACTGCTACCCGAGCCGCTAGCTCCATCGTCAGACAGGTTTTGGGAGTGATGGACGACGCTCGAGCTCCACCGCCTCTGTGGGAGCCCGTGAGGCTGCGCGCCACGCGACAACTGCCGGCGAGCATCCTTGGAATGCTCGTCGCGTGGAAACGCGCTCGCTCTTGGTGCTCTGGTGCACCATTCTTGCTGACGATGTGACGAGCCCGTTTCTGTGCCTCCAGCGGCGACCTCTCTGGGCTCCAGCGAGACTGTGCACGGCAATCCCCATTCTATGTATCTGCGCACATCTATACTAGAATTCATTCAATCGATATTTCGGACTCCGTCATGTCTGATATCCCTTTCTCCCTTTCTTCTATCGATAGCCCGGGCACCAGCCTAAAGCATACGAGCAGCGCTTAAGCTAGCCTAACTCGCGTATCTGGCTTCACCAAAATCCCCCCAGCCTCACGACTCCCATGCACGTCTGGCACCTCCCACACCGCCTGGAAACCCTGGGGATTCGCCGCCTGGCCACGTCGCCCACGTCCTGTCGATCATGAAGACACCCGTTGGACGAAGCTCCTCGAGAGGCTCACGGCCTCCCGTGGCTTGCAGCCCACCTTACCCCGTCCAGACTTCGTGACCCCAATTTATTGTAGTATCCCCATTTGACGCCTGACAGCTCTGACAGCGGTCAGAGGTCGATCGAAGCTTCTTACTCGCTGGGTCTAACGCTCCCCCACCCCCGTCTCCCCCCAAACCGGCGCCTCAGTCCTCTTCTAGGAAAACCTCCAAGGGAGGGCGCCACCGCCCCGTGCCGCAACCTCTGCGTTGGTCCGCGTTGGCGCGCACGGGTCCAACATGCTCCATTTCACGGCATTCGAGTTCGTGGCAGCGGCAACAGGCAACGAGACAGAGCCTCTTGGAGAAATCGTATGTTTCTGCATCCTCAGTGGCTACGCATGCCAATCTCCTCCTGCCGCTTCACAGCAACCATCCTCCTGAGCTTTGCGCGAACGCAGCGGAAATTTGTCCCAAAAACGTGAGACTACTCCAACCTCCAGTGAAGGGAGAAAGCATGCCAAACCCAGCACACCCTCAAACAAGCAGGTCCATACCCAGCTGTTGATGAAACACAGCCCTACCAGACCCATTTGCAAGCCACTCGATGGAAATTCCAGTTTCCCATGCCCATGTGCCATACCATTCCACATCGTCCGTATCGCAGTCGCGGATCAATTGCCTTCCGGGTAAATTACGAATTGCTGGATTCCCAGGGACCAACCCAGCACGAACATCACCCGTCCATCCATTTAACTAACCATTCGCCAGCCCGCCGGTGTCGCTATTTGCCCCAATTCCGGCGCCATCTCCTTTGCTTGGCAATTCTCCAGTCTCACTATTTGCCTCACCTAAACTCCAACACTTACTGTAACTTCCTTCGCCTCGAGATCTCCTCCGCCAGTGGCAACATGAAGTCGCCTCCCCCATCATTCGGCAAGCGACGATCCATGAACCGGCAGTGCAGCCCATCCACTATGCATACATGATCTATTTTTATTTTCCTAAGCTCCTAACTTCCTAACCCCATCCCGCAACATATCTCCGCCTCTACCCTATCCCATCCCTCAAGCGAGATTTGCCCATACTCCACTAGCAAACTATTTGCTGACAAGCCTCGCCGAGTCTAGAGTCGGGAGACATTAAAACTCAGTGCTCACCACATCTACAATACAATTATCACTAGCGGGCTATGGCACCACGCTAAACGTGTCAAGCCTTCTAGCCAAGTTTTCCTATCAAAACCCACCACGAATCGTACGGTACTCGGCTCGGGAGTCGGGGCGATCCTATCGCCGCACCCGCACTAATCCCAAGTTCGGCCAAGAAGGGGTCCAGAAAAACAGGCCAGCGGTGATTGCGGAGCAGCTTGAATGCGGACGGGGTGGGGGGGACGTGTACATATACGGATGTGACCGGCTGCACTGCATGCATCTGTCTGTCTGCGTCTCTGTCCTTGGGGGCGCTTTGGGGAGAAGCTCCGGACGTGTGGTGTTTTTGCAGCGCGCCTCCCTACCCTACCCTACCCTACCTACAACCACCGCGCTGAAATACACGAACGTAGTCTAACTAACTAAACCTTCTCAAGCGCACCTTTCTCACTCTCTTCGCTTTTTTGGGGGGCAGCAAAAACTCGAAAACGGATCACCAATCACTAATGGCAGCGTTGCAAGATGACAAATTGGGGTGGTTCCCCTCCTCCTAACTACTCGGCTTACAATCAGATAATTTAGGGTAACTACCTCGTCAATACAACGAATTTATTTCCAAAAATGCCTAATTAGCTGTGAAGAGGCTCTACTGTATCATGCGATTTTTTGCCGGCGAAAAACGGAGGCGTGTGTAGGCAACACCTTTCGAAGCTTCGAAAGTTATTAGGTCCACCCCAACCTCGCTTGTTGTTTCTGTGTAGGGAGGAGGGGCTTTTGGGGATATTGTTGTTTGCACTGCTGCACTACCTCCCTATCTACTCCATCGAGTTGACAGTCACGGCGTTGTCTGACTTACCTATTCAGTTGCATCCTTGCTCAATTTCTCCGATGCATCAGTAGCACAAGTTACAGAGCAAGATCACCAATCATTTAATACATGACAGCATTTGCAAGATGAGGAAAAAAGTCACATTGACGAGCTACCAACCCAGAAGCCCCACCAAACCCAGCAGCAGCAGTAGCTCAGTAGAAGGAAGCTTCCGTCCGCGCTGACTAACAACCGCAATAGAGAGTCGCAAGACGCCAAGTGAAGTTTCTTTTTCGGATTTTTTGTCCCGTCCCAGCTTTCAAAAAACCCCTGCTTCCTGCAGTTTTCCCTTTGATCTACCTTCGCCCACAAGAAACTCTCGGACAAAGGACCTTTGGGAATCAAACCACGCAAATTCAATCATTAGTCCCAGACCCGAAACAAGCATTGTAGAAACCTATGATTGGTGTGAGAGAGAGTGACTGTGAGCGAGCCTAGGTTCCCATGTAGGTGGATGGATCGACACCGCCCTCGGGGAACTCTCTAATAAAGGGTTGGTCAGCTTCAACTTCAGGTTCAATGTCCCAGGGGTCTACACACTCAAGAGAGACGGCAAAGCGTTTCTCGATGGACTTTAGGACGTCCTCGTCTTCGGCGGTAGCGACGAAGGAGATACTCAGGCCTTTGGTGCCGAAGCGACCAGCACGTCCGACACGATGCAGATACGAGTCCGAGTCATTCGGGAGATCGTAGTTGATAGCGAGATTGATCCGCTCAATGTCGATGCCACGACCGAAGACGTCGGTGGCGACGCAGATGCGCTTGTTGAACTCCTTGAATTCCTTGTAGCGCTTGATGCTGTTTGAAGGATTAGCTGACTGTACACCAATAATAAAAGGGGCAGTAGATACCGCTCTTCCTGGCTGACTCCAGAATGGACGGCGATGCTGGGGAAGTTGCACTCGCGGAGCAACTTGTCGAGCTCGGTGGCGCGAAGGGTGCTCTTAACGAAGATGATGACTTGATTAAACTCCAGGGTGTCGAGGAGGTCGTTCAGCTTCCGGTTCTTCTCGCCTTCACCCAACTTGATGTAGTATTGCTGAAGACCGTGGAGAGTGAGCTTCTCCTGATTGTCGATATAGATCTCAAGGGGGTTCTGCATGAACTTCTTGCAAATTGGGCGGATGTCCTCGGAGAGAGTAGCGCTGAACATCATCACCTGCTTCTGCTGAGGGGTCGCACGGAAGATTTCTTGAACATCACGGCGCATGTCTTTCGATGATGTTAGCATAGTCCATGAAACAACTCAAGAGGGATGGGGGAGGCGTACCGATCTGATCCAGCATCTTGTCACACTCATCGAGAACAAAGCGCTGGATGTTGCCCAGTCGCAACTTCTTCTCGCGGACGAGGGCGTTGAGGCGGCCCGGGGTAGCAACGATGATATGCGGGTGTTGGTCTTTATTCGCGAGCATGTCGATATCCTTCTGCATGGGAGTACCACCGTAGAATACGGCCGTCTTGACCTCGGGCATGTATTTGCTGAAGCGGGCGTACTCGTTCTTGATCTGGTAGGCCAACTCGCGGGTGTGGCACATGACGAGCACGGAGGTTTCTCCGGCTACCGGTTCGATCTGCTGTAGAGTCGCGAGGACGAAGACTGCGGTCTTGCCCAGGCCGGATTTGGCCTGGCAGACGACATCGGTTCCGAGGATGGCTTGAGGAATGCAAGCTTGCTGGACTGTATCGGAGAACCGAGAAAGTTAGACAATGTTCCAAGAATTGATAACAAGAAGCAATCGGGTGTCGCGTCCGTCCATCTAGAGTCTTTTCGAACGGACGCCGGTCCATAAAAATCCATGCAAATCAGATCCTCCTCAACATCTCAATATAACCATGATATCCTCCCGCAGCAAGTTGCACCATAGTGCAAGGCTGCACCCATGGCCCCGGAAGTCCTCCTCGTCACACTCTCAAGCTCGGGGTTGCACGAGAATGAGGGTTATCGACTCGACGTTCGATGAGCGAAAATGCTCAGGGCCAACGCTGCAGGCGAAATACAGCGTGGCACACCCCTCTATGGTGCTCTTGTGACTTCTCCGGGGCCTTTGTCGGGGTATTTACATTTATGGACCGGAGACTCGTTGCGTAGATGGACGGACGCGTCGGGGGGGATATTGGGGAATGGTTAGGACTGACCCTCCGAAGGATGTTCGAAACCGCAATCGGTGATCGCGCGCAGGAGCTCCGGCTTCAGGAGAAAATCGCGGAATCCAGTCGAGTGGATACCGACATAGCTGCCCTTTGCGTCGGCAGCGGTGTCAGCGACCTTGTCGCCGGTGGCGGCCGCACCGTTGGTGGGCAGATCGGTCTGTTGGAGTTCGTCGTCCGAATAGTCGATCAGATCTTCTTCGTGAGACATCTTGACGGTTCGGTCGAGTTGGATACGATCGCGAACGGGCTGCGCGCTGTGGCAGGCGTCGGAAGACCGAGCGTGAGGGGTTCAGTGAGCAGGCTGTGAGCAGGCCGGCGAGTGGTGCGCACAAAGCGGGGTCGACCGAGAAGCACGGTCTGCTAGCTAAAAGGTGGAAGAATCAGTGACTTGACGCACGAGAGCTCCGCAGTTGCTGGTGTTGGCGTTGATGACGGCGGTGTTCGAGGCGTGGAGAAGGGAAGCAGGACGCGAACAGAGATGAAGTTCAAAAGGCGGCCGCGATTGACGGCGCCAAGCTGCGCTAGCACTAGCGGCGCACGTGATGCGGCTGAGTCAACGCCCACCAAATGTCCACTGCTTCCTATTACGACACGTCGGAAAGGTCTACCTCCGATCGATATGGCCAAGGCAAAGGAGCCGAAAGGGCGCAAGAGTATTCCAAACAAGCATATTCACGCCCGCGTCTCATATCTCTACCAGGCAGCCTCGTACCTCTCGCTTCAGACTCCAGACAGCGGGCAGCACAAAGAGATCAAAGAAGGAATTCAGCCTCGAGGGGATACACCGAATGCCACCGCGTCATCAACCAAGATATTTTACGAGAGCGAGACAGATCATGAAGGACAAACTCAACATGCAACTCGAAAATCACCACAATCCGGACTAGCGCTATTCCTAGTATCCCAACTCCGATCTATCTCGCAGAAAAGCCAGGTCCGACTCTCGCATGATCTCAAACGCTCCCTCTGCAAATCCTGCAATGCCCTCCTTGTTCCTGGTCGCAACTCCACAACATCTATCGAGAACGCCAGCCGAAATGGGAAAAAGCCTTGGGCGGACATCCTGGTAATTGAGTGTCAAACTTGCGGATCCAAAAAGCGGTTTCCAGTGGGTAGCAAACGTCAAGCCAGGAAGTCGGGGCGATTGAACGTCATGTCAAGCACAAGGAACCCGGATGAGGCAATGCCAGTAGATGGAGCTTGAATCACCATTGAAGATGCTATGAGATCGATCTCCCAGCATGCTCGGCTTACTCGTCACCTCCTTATGGGAGGCAATCTCCGATTCGGTCACCTTAATTCACGGTCTGATCCTAAAAGCTTCGAACGTCGGAATCTCACGGTATTATCATCAATCTCAAATGCGCTCGGCATACCATAGATAGCCTAGGTGCCTTGGGAGTTTGCAAACCCCCTAAACTTAGCTCCTTCGCTTTAGGTTACGTTCCAGCCAACGTACTTGATCTGAATAACGTTGCTGATGCTCCAGCGTTCACAAGACTTGAAAGCGATTCCATTGCGATCACATCAGATAGCACATCGATTTGCTTATAGGGAGTGTGTTTCCTGCCTGCTATGCTATCCCATCGTACAATCGTCACCCAAATTTGTCAGTTTAGAGAAAAGTCATCCATCGATCCTGTCGCCGTCCCCAGTGCCTCGAATCCCTAGGTCGTGTACAAGAAAAGATGGCCCCATGCTAGGACTTCCAGCAAGGAAGTGAGAGAAATCCGACCCAGCCATAGCCAACGTAGGCTCATGCATAGTCTTGCTCATCATAACTCGTAATTCGTAATCGCAACCCAAAGAAACTCAAGCCAATAAGAGAAGTAAAGAAAGAAATTACTACTCCATACCGCATTCAAGCATCGCCTAGAAACTGTCCGAAGACCGATCTCGATCTCGCCTCCCACCCTTGCTTTTGCGCCGCCTCTCACTCCTCTTGTAATCACCGGACTCGAAATCGCTCGGGTAGCTGTCATAAGAACCGTCTTCGAGGTCACGATCCTTGCCCCTCCTGCTTCCATGGCGCTTCCGACTGCTGGCGCGGCTGCTCTGATCTCGGCGGTCTTTCGAACGTCCGCTCGACCTATTGTCCGTGCCGCTGACATCCCGGGATTCTTTTTTTCTAAACCACCGAACAAAGGAGATCAGTATACCGCCCCCGAAAAGAAAATTACAAACCAAACAATGTGTGCCACAACAAAGGAATATCACTCACTTCTCGTGCCGCTTCTCCAAAGTCGCGCCGCCGAGACCGCCGATGGCCATGCCTACAAGCGTGCTTAGCGTCCCGTGATGAACCTGATTGCCTGCAATGCCCCCAGCCAACGCACCTACAGCCCCTGCCGCTAACTTCTTGTCCTCCGAGTCAAGGTTGAGTCTATCCAACCTATCACGGACTTGGTCAGTCATGCGGCTACGGCTGCGTCCACTTCCCACAGACCTCGTTCTGTGAGAGTGGCCTCCGGAGCGCCTCTTGTGCCGATGCGATGATCGGCCACTGTCGTGGCGGCTGGGGACACCTGCGATGGTGAGTTGGTCCTCGTGGTGGTCTAGGGATGGCTGGGAAAATGATGGTTGGCGGTAGAACGGGGGCGGCGACGGATATTTGTTGCCCGGCGCAACAGAGGTCGGCTGTTGAGCAGCATATTCGGCCGGGTTATAGGGCGCATAGCCGGTGGGACTAGGTGCATATGTGGCAGATTGTGGAGGCGTGTAAGCTGCAGGTGTGTACTTTGCTGCAGATTGCGAAACGGAGCCAGGGCGCAATGCCGGGGAAGACGCATATGCAGGCGAGTATGAAGGCTGTGGGGCGTTAGAGTTGGACTGCTGTTGCAACCATGTTGCGAAAAGCGGCTCGAAAGAGGGATAGAGAGAAATATCAAGAGGAGACTTCGGAGGCGAAAAAGGATTCAGAGACGATGGACTTGATGGAATGGTGTTTAGGGGTGACCTGATCTGCGGAATCGATGCCATCTTCGGCGCCTTTTCTCTCGAGTGCAATATAGATGGTGTGCGAGTCAAGGGAGCAGAATAGGAAGAAGCAACTCCGACGGGATTACTGACAGTCGAGCTGCGAGAAATAGGCGTAGAGGAGAAGAGGGGATTTAACGGGGGAGGGAGGTTGCTGAAAGAAGAACTACGAGAAGTCGGACGCGTCCCGGAAGAGGTGCGTACACTCAGACTACCCAAGTGAAATGGGGTCGAGCTCTGAGAACCAGAACGTGCCCCAGGGGAACCGCGAGAAACATGATGCGCCCCAGGAGAAAAAGATGCAGGAAAGCTGGTGAAAAAATTCGGACTGGGAAGGCGAAGTAGAGGAGTATTTACCTGCGGGGGTGGGGGATAGTACTCGTTTCCTCCTGCCGGCGGTGGATAGTACTCGTTCCCTACCGCTGCTCCGGCAACTGCAGCAACTGGAACAGCCGGAGCGGCTGGAGGAGAAGGATAGTCGGCTGGATTGTACGGGCGAGGTGCATACTCTCCAGTCGGAGGCGGCGAAAAGTGCGCGTGCTGTTCTCCACGATCGGTTCGCCCCATCGTTTCCTCCTCTTCCTGAGCTATCTGGTCCTGTCGAGCTTGGCGCTTGTCCCTACTTCGACTAAGACTGCGACTGATGCTCCTGCTCCAGCGTCTACGGTGTCTGTGGCGTCCGTGTCTGCGGTCTTCGCGCTCGCTGTCTATGTCGCTATAGTCGGCAGAGCTGCGACGAGAATGACGATCTGGCGAGTTGGATTGCGTCCTGCTGGGCCGTCGTTGTCCGTCCTTGCTCCGATGCGCGTCTTCTCGCTTCTTGCGGCCTTTCTTGATGTCCTTCTTCTCCTGTGGGGTGAAATAGTGGCCGACTCCGGGGATGCTTTCGAAGGCCTTGTCGGGGATCCTCTGGGCGCCGTAGGCGATTGCCTTAAACGCCAGGTTCGCCGCCATGGTGGATTAGGGTTGATAAATCCGGTTCTGGTGTTGACGTAGGGCGGGGAGAACGACAGGGCGTCGTAGGCAGTGATTGGAGAAGAGGGGACTCGGCTAGCAAGGTTCAGTGGTCGGTGATTGGAGCAGCTCTGGAAAGAATAGAGAGATGCTAGATGTCGCTGTATTAGGGTTTGGCTAGGTAAGGCCTCGAGAGCAGTGAAGTTCGCCTCTGTAAATCGGGCCGTGCGGATAGTGGTCTTAAGAGAAGACATCCATAGCGCTATAGCGCTTGAGGTGGGCTCGTGAGCCGACTGACAACAAATCGCCGGGGCCAGTGGCGGCCCGGGCCTGGCGGTGATGTCATGGCTGTCGCGGTCACCTCACCGCCTCACTGCAAGCCAACTGCAAGAGCCGCATGCGCACACTTCTCACCATCGCCCGAATTAGCAGGGGAATCTTTGCAAACCGTCGCGCCGGCACTGCCCTCACTCGTCCAGCCCCGGCGGCCAGGTGGGATGACATCGTCGAGGGGAAAAGTATACATCTTCGGGCCGCAGACCATGCCCGACGGCGTCCGCGTGCTCACGATTCCGTCTGGACTTTCATACGAGCATTACTCGTACAAGGGGGTAACCTGAGCGGGCTGCTCGCCCTCCCTGTCAGTTTCAGGGGGCATTATAGTCGTACCCGCACTAATTTTCCTAGGATATTACTATAATGCCCCCCTGGAACTGACAGGGAGGGTGAGCAGCCCGCTCAGGTTACCCCCTTGTACGACGATACACCTATCTTCCGACTGCCCAGTGGAGGCTTGCCCTTGAATCTCGGATCTCGCAGCTTGCATCATGCTGGACCCTGGGCCTCCAGAGTCTAAACAATCAAGCGTCACATCATCGTCGGACCCGGGAAAGTGTTGAATGCCTTGTGCCTGTTTTGACAGTCAAGTCTCGCATCTTCCAATCAAACACAGGTTCAGTCTTGTCTATTGTAAGTGGTCTTACTGTTCATGTATGCTGCTCTCACATTCGCGTCTATGCCTTCTTAGATGAACAGTGGATATGTTTCCTTATTTTTATACAATCGATCTACCTCAAACAACAGAACTACATATATAGCCTCAGTGGCAAGCCCCTTCCAGGAAGTGGTCCTTTAGCACCATCGACAATGCCGTCAGTGTGGCGATCAATATACGTATGAAATTGCAAGCCTTGTGAATATCATGGGCCCTCAAATGTAGCGTAGACCTCGGAAGGCTCTGCTTCTCGACTCCCTCTTCATGACCTCTGCCTCAACATTCGCTTTCATCTTCAAGCTCATCACACAACACCAGGTAAGGCGAATATGCCTGAAGACACAAGAATGCCGTCCTTCGTCAGATAATCGATCTTCCGCCCTTACCGTCTGACAATCCAAACCGGGTCTTGACAGCCAACTCACTTCACGATATATTTCGGTTCACACTCTCTTTTCTACTATACGAAACTGTCGACCATCATAGGCCGCAGGTTTAGGTTCGATGGGCAACTAAAGGAAGTGTTGCGATAGCACGTTGGCGAGCGGTTTCAAATAGACTAATCCGGGGATAGAGCCTGGATCGCGACCACCAATTCCCAAGGCAACTCTGTCCATAGTCGTATCAGAGGCTTTAACACATTCTCTTCAACAGCACTAGCACCGCCGCGATTTTTAGGTCACCCACTGCAAGTCGCATTTTCCGATTCACTGCTTTCATCCTACCGGTGATGACAGTATACAATGCAGTCATCGTGAGTACATACACGTATGTTGCCAGCACATTGTGAATGGTGTATGTGTGAACTTTCACACACAAGGCCAGCAGGACTGCCGCATAAAGTTGAGCTGGAAAGAAATATTATTCCGTATCCTCCCTCAACCCTTCAGCATCTACTCCGCATCGCAACATACACAACCACTACCACATACCATGCGTACTACGAACTTTTCTGTCACCACTCCCTCAGGCATCAAGTATTTCGGGCCTGTGATCGCCGGATTCGCCCTCAGCTCTGGCAGCTGGGACGAGTTCTACCCGCTTTCTGTGGAGGGGTTCGATGAGTACAATGACGATGGTACTCTCGACATGAATAACTGCATCCATCTCACCATCCCGAATAATGCTGTCATCCACTCTGATCCACCAGTGGAAGATATGTGCGGAGAGATGTACTCCCTGCGAATATCCCCCGCATATGAAGACGGAGAGGCGATTGCTAAAATCACGTGGGGCCGCGTTGAGGTTCGCATAACGGCTGTGGGTTTCATCGACTTTGATGTAGTCCCAAACACCCAGAACACAAATCATGCAGCACAGGGGAACGCTAATGCCGTGGATCGTCTGGGAGAACAGCTTGGAGGGATGGATCTCCATGGAGTCAACAGCGATGTCAACGACCTCTTCGGTAGCATGAGCATGAAGTAAATGCTTTGTAAATTAGAACAGCTCTTGACAGCTCAGCGCTACCGCCTTAGCCAGTACGTGAACGTCTCTTCCCTGGCCATTCGACCAAGCTAGATTCATAGCGAAATGACAACTAATCTCAAGTTTGATTCCACAACTTAGTGCTAACGTATGCAGTGAAATGTAAGATAAGTGAATTAACAAGCGACGAATATTACGCATTCACTAACCCAACTTCCACTTGTGATACACTCACATTATTAAGCCCCTATATACACCTTAACATCGTTCAAAAGACACTAACCACCCCACTGTTACTGCAAGAGTCGCTCCCAAATATCAAGCACCATTTACAGCCACCAGGCATCGATTCCACAATGACTGCTGTCAAGATCACCACCGGTGGTGAAGACTACGCAGTCGTGGATGCCCATTTCGTTTACGTTTCCGAACCATGACAACTCTCGTACCCCTTGGTCTTCATGGGTCTTGTTGAGTATAGCTCCAACGGTTCATCAAACACGACGGCGCCGTTCACCTGACTATTCTCATTGATGCAGAATAGTTAACCGAGCCTGCTGCGATAGAGGACAGAATGCGATCTCTGTCGTCCCTGGTAGTCCCGACATCAAATCAAGGCAAAGCCACGGCCTCAATCACGTATAGACAGGGCTATATCAAGCTCGAGGTGATCGCGGAAGGTCCCATACGGGTAGTCTTCGGCCTAAGGAGTCGTGATTGGGACCCCTTCAAGAGAGCCGCGGACGCCGAGAAGCTCCACATGGAGCTGAATCGAGTTGACCTGAACATGATACCTGTATACGACATATCCTATGAGGTTAAGGAGCTCGAGCGGCAGCTTGGGCGGATGAACCTTGATCGAGTCAACCTAAAGATCACTGGTCTCACCGATATGCCGCATCCGCCATCTATCTCTGAAGATCGCCGCATCGTGATCCCACGAACCGAAACAGTTGCCATAGAACCTACAGAGAAGCTCACGTCTGAGCCTGTTGCTCAACTCGAGGAGCGGCTCAAGATTCTGGACACCTATAGTGTCAACGATGAGGTCCGCGATCTCATAGACAATATGAGGATAGAGTAGTTGTTGCTATGAGGAGCGGACCTGGTACACTTTCTAAGAACGGCGTTCTGACTCCTATGTTGAATCTATCATCGAGTAGTACGGATTGTCAGTCAAGCAGAGGGCATTAACTTCTCTGAAACAGCACATCGTAAGTTCCTTCGTACAAGACAAGATAGATTGCTCTCTTAACATCATCATTCCCGTGAAGCCTTTTCCACGAACGTGATACTCAACTTCGCAAATGCTATTCGTATATAGAGCCGCTGCTACTACCACACGGAAGCATGGACACTTGTATATGGCTTACTACTGCGTAGGAGAGATCTTCTCTCCTCACTCATTCCACAATATAATCACTTTCTATTCAATTGAGTTACTCCCGACTTGCAGTCCTTCGGTGCACTACAAGTCGCTGGGACTTGCTCTTTCGGAGACCGTCTTTCGGTAATTCTCAATATAACGTCCACTTCAAACCGCTATCCCGATCTCACGCTCTCCCAAAGACAACAGGGGTAATCTAAATGGTCGTCGACACTTCGTTGAAACCTTCCGCATTTCTTTGCATGTGAGCCTATTGCGACGCTAGCCCGACTATATCGAGCCAGCGACAGTATTAAATGTATCTTTTGGAATGATGACTGGCTTCGAGTTCTACATCTCTCCTGCTGCTCTTACAATTTCTCCGACGACTTCAAGAACTTGTAGATGCACCGAAGGACTACAAGTCGGGAGTAACTCAATTGAATAGAAAGTGATTATATTGTGGAATGAGTGAGGAGAGAAGGTCTCTCCTACGCAGTGGTAAGCCATATACAAGCGTCCATGCTTCCGTTATCTATGTTGTCTATAGATCAAGGGATTTGGTGAGTATTAAGTCACGTGTAACGCTAGTCTCATCGTGACTAGCGCGATGTCAGCGCGGCCCGAGACGTCCTCCCTACCTAAGTCTCGTCACCACCGACCATACAGAAGCCGGAGGGCATGCGGCCGATGTACAGCGCGGCCCGAACGTCTGTGAAACGTACAGGATCGGCAAGGATGCTATGTAAAGAGTCAATGTAAGTATCATCACTCTCTAATCCTCGTTTGCCTCTGTACTGCGAAAAGGGGTTAAACGTGGCAAGGTTTTTGAGGCGTATGAAGAAGAGCTCGGATCGGACTGTGAGAAGGCCATGTGGATATGAGCGCAGATAAGAGTTTGCTGACAGGTCGAAAGTCTGCCAACCTCTCCACACTGCTCCACTATGCTCGGGATATTGGAGACATTGTTCCGACCTTACCCATGCCTCCATGTGGACTGATTCACGTCCTGGTGGACGGAACACTCGGAGTAAGGAACAAAATGGCACTGCAGACATGACCTCGCAGCAGCAGTAGCTATCCCGTGCCTCACTGCCATGTCGCTTGCCCCCTTAGAGGCTAGATATGCATGCCATCAATATAAACTAAGGGAGGCCTCAGCGTAGGTGACGTCACACATCTCAGACATCGGATAGCTCACAGGCAATATCTTCATATCTATCACTTACTATTACCCTAGCATTCCAACCTCCTCTACATTTCAGCTTCTTCCGGGAACTTCTCCGGGTCGTCTTGTCGTCCTATCACCTTTGGGCCCAATCATACCCCGGCGAACCTTCGACCCGATTTTTCCATCATCCCGTACCGTGTGCAGGCTAATGCAGGTAGCACACCATCAGAGTTCTGTGAACTACGCGCTTACCACAGTAGCTGATGCAGTCGAGGTTCTTCTCGCTATATCTGCAAGTGCGTTACTGCGTATGTCGCAGTAGCGTCCCAGACCGGGCCTACTCGGAGGATTCATTGGCTGCAAAAGAGCGGCGATTTGTAAACGCATTGAGTATTAATAGCACCGTCGCTACATCATGGGGTTCTGGATGGCTCTGGCAGATAACGGCACCCACAAAGGCACGGTCAGTCCTGAGGCTTGTGATAGCGGTTGACGAACTATCTGCCCGTGGGAAACGGCGCTGAAGATGCGGAGCTTTCAGGTGGCGGGGAGTGCGATTTGGCTTTGGAACGAAGGTGTGACGGCTGGTGCACCACCTGCACCCAGTGGCAAAGGTGGCTTCACACTTTCTACAAAGGTCTGGCGGCAAGTTGGTCTCTCACGACGGTGCCTGGGCGGACTGATGTGGGTACAGACGGCCGCGTGCAGAGTCTTCAGATCGTACCACCGAACAGCCACCAGTAAACGGCATTGAAACACTTCAGCAGACCCCAGGCATGCGAAATAGGGATCTGGTGGACGAATCTCGTTTCAGGCCTTTCGAAATACCGACATTGACGAACCCAGGTGATGTCAGGCAGGCCCAATTGAGATCATCTTAAAATCTCGAGCGTCTGAAGGTGGCTCAGATGCCAATTGCGATCACGACTCCGCCGAAGGGTCTCCGTGGTGGTGGATACTGAGCACCAACTTCCCAAAGGGATGTTAGATGTGCAGCCCCCCAGTATTATTCTGAGACGACAGGGGTTTCTGTGCAACCATCCACAGCGTTGCCCAGCCGCGCTTAGGACATGCTCCCGCCCACTAGGAGCGAGCCTGCATGTGTTGATGATGGAGTACATTCCGGATGAGGGGTCTGGTAGACGCGGACGCCGCCATAGCCCTACAGCGCGACGTCTGGACAGCTACGAGCCTCTTTCCCTGCGCTATTTTGTGGGTCAATAGTGACACTGGTGGCAGGCGGAGGCCGGCGGCGGCGGGGAGGCAGGTCAGAAGTGAGGGGAACCACTGGCGCCGATCTGGCAACCGGGGTTGTTGTTGAGGGGTGGGATAGCTCGGCTGGTGGTGGACTCTGACCACCAGCCTTTCCGACCAATCGCCCACTCGTATTCAGGCCAGTTCGACCGCATTCGCATCATCGATGGCTGTAAAGAGCGGTTCACTAGCTGCTAAGATGGAGGCGACGCGTACATTAGTGCCGGCGTCTGCGACATGCCCAGCCTGCAACACGATCGCTGGTGGCTAGCACCACCAGCCCGCCGCGGCTCATGGTGGCCGTCAGGTGCTACATAACTCGCCTCTCGCCGCATTCCTATTTCCTTCTCTTCCAGCATCTCTGTCAATTCAAAAGTCACCAGTCTGTCACTGTTCTCTTTTGCTTTAGTTGACTGATACCTCGTTCATCGGTCTTCTATCCTTCGCTCAGCAGCTTCACCTGCGCATATACACCAAAACTTGAGCCATATCCACCACAATGCGGTCTACATTCGCTCTCCTCGCCCTCGCGGCTGGCGCCTTCGCGAGGCCGCAAGGCGTTACTACCGAAATTGCCCCTTCAGCAACCGCTCCAGCAGGCTGCTCGCCCACCTACCCTGGCACCTTCGAGATCACCGTCGTTAATGCCACCACATCCAAGAAGCGGGATCTTGTCCGAGTATGTATCAAACCACACCTTACGTCCCGTTCTCAGCGCTAATGGTATCACAGAGACAAAAGTCCGGCATCTTGAAGTTGTCTCTCGCTGGAGGTGTCCTACATGACCAGGCAGGCCGAACTGGTTACGTTGCGGCCAACTACCAGTAAGAACTCCTTGTCTTGCGCTATTAGAACCATGACCTGACACACTTTCTTCAGAATCCAGTTCGACGAACCGCCTCAGACTGGTGCTATCTATACGAGCGGCTTCTCGGTCTGTGGAAACGGATCGCTTGCCCTCGGTGGATCAGCCGTCTTCTACCAGTGCGACAGCGGCAGTTTCTTCAACCTCTACGATCGATCATGGGCTGCTCAGTGCACCCCCATCTACATCGTTGCTGAGGGCGGTGCTCCTGCTGCATCCCAGGCGTCTGACGGCCAGCCCGCTGGAAAAACTGCTATTACCGCGCCTGTGACACAATTGACAGACGGTATGAGATTGAGTCTCGAGTAACTTTGTGGTGCGAATACTAATAAATCCGAAGGTCAGCCAGGTGCATCCACATTGCTTCCTTCGCCGCCCGTCGTTACTCAACTCTCCGACGGTAGATTGAAACCCGACACATTGCTGCTGCGCATACTAATCAATTTCCCAGGGCAACCGGGTATTTCCTCTGCTCTTCCAGCCCCGGTCTCGCAACTCTCAGACGGTAGATTGAAATCCAAGGACTTTTGATGCTACGAATTCTGATAAACTTCCAGGTCAACCCCAGATCGTCAGCGCCGCACCTGTTTCCGTTTTGACAGATGGACAAAGTACGTATACATCGGCGAGATCCTTCAGTGCGGCTCGCGCCATCCTTAGTGCGTGAGCCGAGTGGCGACGTGCGCCAAAAGGAGTCCTCTTGCTCCAGGCTTTTCACGTGAATATTTGCTAATTGCAATGTTTTCTCTTAGTCCAAGCTCCTACAGGCGTCCCAGTTTCACAAGCTACAGATGGGCAGAGTACGTATAAACCCGCACCATTTTCCAGCGCCATTCAGGTCGTTCTTAAGCGCCGAATCGTGTTGCAAAGGTCTATGTCCGCCACAAGAACACGCGCTTGCTTCGGACTTTACATGGATGTCTGCTGACTGCAATGTTATCTTAGTCCAAGGCCCTACTGGCGCCCCAGTCTCACAAATATCGGACGGTAAGATAACATGCCAAACATGTTACAGCTTCAATATCTAACAAACAATCAGGTCAGCCGCAAGCTCCTACGGGCACTCCCGTCTCAGAAATTACAGATGGACAGAGTATGTACACCTGCGAGATTCCCCAACGCATACGCCGTATTCGGGCGCCGAGTCGCATGGTGCTTCAGATACAGTCTCGCGTTAAAGGATATCCTTGCCCCTGGATATTCGCATGAATTCCTGCTAATTGCAATGTTTGCTTTTAGTTCAAGCCCCTACTGGAGCACCTGTCTCTCAAATCTCAGATGGTAGTGGATCCCTCCACACACGTCACAGTCTCCATGTCTAACAAACTACCAGGCCAGCCTCAAGTCCTCACGACAAGCGCCCCAGTGATCACTGGCGCTGCAGTCTCGCAAAAAAGCGACGGACAACCCATTGCAACCGCCAACGGCACCGTAACTTTCACCGCCGCGCCGTCCCAGTTCACCGGCGCCGCTCCAGCAAGCCCAGCCTTCGGTATTGGCGCAATCGGAGCTGGCATTGTTGGTGTCATCGCCATGCTTTAGAGCAATATTTCATCGAGACAACGGGTTGAGTTTTGTAAGGAGCGCAAGCACGACATAATGATGAATGGGATCACTGTATTTACGAAAGAGTTGTCACAGAAAGCCTGCCACGGGCAGGTGTAATTAATAAGTCGAGTGATTTGCGTGTGGATAAAAACTATACACGTTCTTATAGCAAGCATAATGTAATCACGCTCCTTTCGTTCCATCTTCGGCGATCTCGCAGGCTCCGCTCAGCATAAAGTGGCAGTGTAACACCATCTACGGCGGTGTGGAGATGTTATCGGCTCTCCCCAAAACTATCCCTTTACAATTCTGATAACAGCAGATATACAGAATATGCTATTGGAAGGGTGACATAAATTTATGGCCCCGCGCACCGGAGTATCATTAATCCACCCCGGCTTGGCGCACCCATCGAAACACCACTTCGTTAAGTGAGGTGCAATCAACAACAAAAATAACAACCACAAGTGAGTGTAATAGCGACGCCCATAACCTCTTACATTCTATCCTGCCGTTATAACTGATCAAATCTTTACAGGCACCCCAACAAATCGCTCGCATCGTGAACTGCAAGAGCTCGGCGGTGCTGGACCGCCACCCAGCCTGAATTGGCTGGGCAGGGTAGTCCCCATAACTCAAACAACCACATCAACAGCAGACTACGAGATCTTTTGGACTCATGCTCTCAATAAAACGCTCGCATCGTGAACTGCAAGAGCTCGGCGGTGCTGGACCGCCACCCAGCCTGAATTGGCTGGGCAGGGTAGTCCCCATAACTCAAACAACCACACCAAATATTGCAGGCCACGAGATTTTTCGGATTCATGAAGCTATCTTTTTACTCTCTTACTCGGACGTGCTAAAGAAGACTAGGCCCGATCTTGCTATGTTCAGATGCGACTTTCCTCATGGTCGCAACTGCTTTTTATAACGACAACTCATCCTCGTATCTCCCCATGGCGAAGCTATCCTAAAACCTGCAGCTCCATTCGCTGTTTTACAGCACCCATCCCTCGATGTTTTCGAAGGAAGAGGCTACGCGACAGCCTGGAAAGAAAAGAAAATCCACTGAGAAGACGGAAACCACGAAGACGCAAAGGCCAGCTGAGCAAGACGTCATCGAAGCAAAGTCTCTTCCAGAGAAAAAGCAGCGAACTCTAAAGGGATTGTTCTCTGAAACGTAGGACACCATGAAGACATCCAACTGATCAGTGCTGATCATCTTGTAGTGCCGAAATAGGGAGCTCCGTGCAGAATGCCCTAAGTTACTCACGACCTGCTGGTTCCTCCGTCGGCTCACCTTTCCGCTCTAAACTCACTCTATCCACCGGCGTCTCCTCGACTAGCGCATCTCACAGTCGTACAGCCGACACCCGTAAAGCCCTCCCGACAAACAAGACCCGTAATGTTGTGGTGAGCATAACGGAAAAGGGGTCTATCATACTCGACCTCGGGTCCGAATCCTCCTCTGACGAAGATGGCGACCCTCGTGCTAGATCCGGTGATGACAAGAAAGACACGAGGGTTTCCGAATCGAAAGGGTCAACCATATTCGACCTCGGGTCTGGATCCTCCTCTGACGAAGATGACGGCCTTCATGCTAGTTCCGGTCATGACAAGAACAAGGCGGCGATTCGCGAATCAAGAGTGTACGGCAAGCGCTGGCGTCGCCTCCAGCTCGGGGACTTCGACCTTGAACCCGACTATGCTGCTCATCTCGCGGCTAAAGCTATCGTTCGGGATCGCCTTCGAGCCTCGTTGGAATCTCTCATAACCCTTGCTAAAAGTGGAAGACCGCACATTATGTGTGTGCCGGACAATCGCGTCTTTTTGTGCTGTGTCGACGTGGAAGTATGCCTAGATCTATGGCTGAATGGCATGACCCCGAAAACTTAGTCTATCCTCGCAAAGCCTATCCTACGAGCTCGAGACGTCCTCGAAATCCCTCAACAACCACACGTGAAATATATGGGACCAGGAGCATACGTGAGCGCCGTCAACTTCGGGACCGATAGGTCGTTCATTTACCGGGGATGCTCGTTTGGTACTGATGGATTGGCCGGACGCTGGGACGAATACGATCGCTGCATAGACAAGCCTGGCAAAAATCAAGACAAGATCAGGTCGTCACCGCATCTCTGAGAGATATGCAGTCCAGGTGCTGTATGTGAGATGAAGGCGATCTCCTGCTTTCCCGTGGGAACCCTCCCAGCTTACTCCATCGTGCTCGAATCCATAATGATGCTGTGGTTTAGCACACTGGCACCCGAGCAGATGAATCCTGACACGTGTTCCCAGCCGAGCTCCACAGAGGTATATCAACTTTGCGTTCCAGACTTCGCTGCTCACGACGGTGTCCGCGGGTTGAACGAGAGCTGGTCCTTGAAAGAAAAGGCACTCCTCAAACGTGCAAGAAAGACTGCGTCATGTAGTCACTGTGGGGGATTTGGTTGTGCGAGGGTTGCACTACGCGTTTCAACTAAGTCGTAGAGAAGTTCATATGCAACCATCCTAAGGATGCCAGCGACGAATACTCCCAGCACGTCATAGAGAAAGGTAGACGCAAGATGGCACTCAAGGTTTAGCCCGAGCGACCCGACGCATGCGATTTGTGTAAGAGAGAGCTGGACATTCCCAACACTCTTGGCCGATGGAACGAGAGACTGAGTATGTGGATGTGCAGACGCTGCAGCCGAAAAGACGAGAACCAGGCGAAGACCACCTGGAAGGGTAAGGGCGCGGAAGGTCTTTCTCAACGCTGCATGGATCAATGTAGGCCGACCCGTCAGCGCGACACATCTGACTTGGCAGAATAAAAAGGATCAAGAAGGATGAAGTAGCTTAAGCTTGTCTGAGATGGCCTGGCGAATTTACCAGTTGAGCCAAATGATCAATTCCATAGCTTTGTAAGTGCATCAAGGGACTCCAAGCGGTGGCAGGACAGTATACACACAATAGGCGTTCGATAAGAGCACACAATCTTCCGCATCAGGGGCTCTACGAAAACGGATGACATGTGCTACGCATTTAGCATGTTGTTAAAAGTCTTCGCGCTCTAAAAAAGATATCAGCATAGTCAGCATAATACGATCTTTACATTTCGCTTGAATAAGAACTTTACGCAAGTCATTCCCGAAGATGGAACGAAAGGAGAGTGATTACATTGCACTTGCTACGCCCACACCCATAGTCGCTACATCCGTTGGCGCGCCTGTGTCTTAGATCTCTGATGGATAGCCCTAGGCGCCTACCAACGGCACTGTTTCTATAACCGCTACTCTATCTCAGTTCACTGGTGCGGCCGCGTCGCCAGTCTACAACTCGGTGCCATGGCTGCTGGTCTCCTCGGTGTTGCCGTTCTGCTATGATCAACATGATCTTAGCATGCATCTAATCACCTCGTTCTTATTTTGGTTAACACCACACGATCCTTACGACTGTCCATGATACGGCACTATGATCACGGCAAGCGTCAAAAGCAAGCATATGGAGGTTTGCATTTCAGGCGGAGCAACATGTCATGTTAATAATCTTCAATATTACTGAAGGGCGATATTCTTGTGAATAGTAGTTAGTCTTCTCCATCTTCTTATTGGATGGGCTGGTAAGGTTGTACTTACTGGTGGGAAGAGGAGCGGTGCCTGCCTTCGGCAGGCGTAATATATAATTACTTCAATTGAATCAAATATCAGCACTATATACAATGCGATAATCGTGTTTCACTCTTGTTTGCTTCATATCATTGTGAGGAGTGTTTCAGCCAGCATGCAGTCGGTCAATCAAAATGCTGCCTGATCTCCAAGATGAGAACATTTACACCGATTTTAGAATTTTGAAAGCCAATTGACGCACCCCAGGCTTGATGACATCGAAACGGAGACTTTGGTATCTAGTTGCAAATGAGTGAACAGAAACCACGGTGAAAACTTTACAAATGCTTTAATTGGATTGATATGGCTAGTCATGGTCGTGCTTCCGCCCAGGGCCGGATAGATCTGCGTGCAGCAACGTCATTGGGAGATCCAACGTCGAACCACCTCAAGAAGCAGCTTTGCTTCTGCGCTCAACAAATAATCCATCAATCCATCAACTAACGCCGTCAAAATGTTCAAGAATCTTTTCCGCGAGGTACACGACCCTTTCCAATGGCTGATAATTTGCTAATACCCTGCTCAGACCGGCGCGAAAGACGTCGTGACACTCTTCCACAAGCCGTCAGTGCCAGCATCAGCTCGCGTCCTCACGATCCTCAAACAAGCCAATGCCCAATCCGTAGCTCATGCAACCGAAGATCAGGCAAGCAACCACCAGACTCAGAGCAAAGTCGAGCGCCATGAGTTCGAGCTCGACGTGACCGAGGCTCCCCCAACCAGCGACCAACTGAGGAACATACTGGAGTATCTTGGCGCTGGCGCCCCTGGAAGAGTCATAAGGGGAGCGAAGGATGAAGCAGATGCGATGAGGAAGCTGAAGGAGGATGGAGAGAGCTTCCAACGACCGTTGGTGAGCTATGCGCTTCTGGTTGACGCTCGGCGTCTTTACTGACATGACAACAGGTGGTGGATTGGAACAAGGGCAAAGCAGGTAAATATTGCTCTTCGTTCTATGTTTGCCGCAGTTTGACTAACTCTGGGTAGTCTTCGGTGAGAACCAGTCCGAGATTCTGGCTCTCTTGAAGTCGATACCGAAGTAGAGGGTGCCTCTTGTGCCCGTATTGACCAAAGCGGCACCTGTAAAATAATCATGAATTGCAGTTGAGCGTTGAGGTGTTTTCAAAAGACTGCATGGTGCAAACGATGGCAAAACTCATGTGTTTGGAAGAGGAACGGCCCGCCGCCGTGCAACAAACAAGTCACATCAATCGTGCCGGTAGGTACAATTAATCCAAAACTTAGCAGCAGCCAGCCATAAAGGCGTAAGCAAAGGTCTGTGTACGTGAGTGACAGGCCCGTAGAAAAAAGCCAATGAAGTTGATAGCCACGGGATTCGGCCGCCTCTAATCGTATACAAGTGCCGCAGTGGACTAGCCGCGGCGAGTACATCTTTCAGATTGATTCTCCATCCGTCTCCCAGCGCCTCCTTTCGTAGATCTGCAGCGGTGACTCTTTCCATCTCGTGAAGGTTCAGAGGTTCGCGGGCGTTGAGCGCGCTTTTGCTCGGCCAGCTTCGCCTGACGTCTTCTCGATTCACTCGCAAACCAAAACACCGACTTCGCTCGCCGCTTCCTCACCACCCATCTCCTTTCCTCATCCTCCACCCTCCACCCTACACCCTATTCTCTCTGCGCACGCTCTCCGTTTGTCAACCCGCTATCTCGCCCCGTCCGCTCGCTGGACGCACCCCTATCCACGCTTGTCTCCGGCACCGCTCGCTGCTTCAGTCGCCCATCATGGAGTACAACGCGGGGCCGCTGGCCAACCCCCCCACGAACCACGCCTGTCTCATCTCCACGGACCTGGGCAAGCGTCCGCCCCGATCGATTGGCAAGCCGCCATTCCCACCGGTTATAGTCCGCAGCAATAGAGCTGCTGCTGTCCAGGACTTCGCGTTGCGCTGCAAGCAAAAGTACCCCGACACCTGTCGCTATGTCTACCCGGGATGTCAGACCAAGGATCTCTTCGATGACTACGACATCCACGTTGAAGAGGGCAAGTTTCTTGACGAGGTGATCCGATACCTGGCCGCCGAGAACATGGCACGAGTTAAGAGCTTCTGTCACGAATGGAGCTTATATGATCGTGACCGTCTTATGGACGTTGCGCAGATACAGCACGACAACCCCTCAAACCCTCTCGAGATCGTGGACGAGTGCGGGCTGTTCTCGCAAGAGGAAATCCACACCTATGGCCGCGAGTTCCTCTGGCATGCATTGAACGAGATGAAGGGCGCTCTTATTAATGTCGCTGAATCTCAGGCAGCAGCCAGACTCAAGAAAGAGCAAGAGGCGGACAAGACCCCCAAACAGATACCCGCAGCTGTAGCTCCAGCATCGAGCTGCCCTCCACAGCAAGACCCTCAACTAAGCGCCGGTCACCAGTCAGATGGCGCACCGCTCGGACGTGTTGACAACGTCCCATCTCGTAAGTTCCTACTCATCAAAGCCCTCACGCAGGCATTCCGAGGGTAGTTCATTCACTAACTTAGAGCTCGTAGAACTTCCCTATGAAAAGCATGGTAAGGGCAGGGAACTTCCTCAAGCTCCGATGCGTCAACAACCCGCGAATCATAATGTCAGACGCATACTCTCAGCCGAACAGCCCATGGCTAGCGACACAACAGCATCGATGCGATCGGAGGTAACCATGCAGCAACCTATGACTGCACCTCAACAGCCCGGCACGACGAGCTTATCACATACCCCGACTCTCCGCACAGCGTTTCTCAATGCGCCGCCAGGGGGCGCTGTGCAACTGTCCCATCCTCCTAATGCGCATACCCGTCAGCTATCTAGCGGACACCCTGAAAACATGGGTCCACATGGTCCCATTTCTCATCATCGTATCCGTCAGACGTCTAGTGGTGTCCCTAGTGCTGCCCAATCGCCTCGATACCCCCACCCTATTGAGGCCGTGAAGATGCAAGGACAGCCGCTCAGAGCGTCACCATCACAGAGCCATCCGAGCATGGCAATTTCGCCACAGTATTCAATGCACGGGCTCTACGGTGCAGCACAGTTCTATCAAGGGGCACCAATGGGATTACAGGCCCATCCATCTCCGCAGATGATGATGAATCCGAACATGATGCCTGGAATCCCCTATGATGCGATGCCGGTTGGCCCCCCTGGACAAATTGTGTATCAGATCGCAGACGCCACCAATGTCCAACTCCCCACCAGCTCTTTCATTCCCATGAACATGAATCAGTCCTTCTATCAGCAGGGCGCTGCAGTAGCTCAAGGTCTTCCTGCGAAGCAGCCTCAGCTGTATGACCCTTATGGCGACGCCAATCCCGGCTTCGCACAGATGCCTCGCGGCAAAGGGAAGAGCAAGAATAGCTTTTCAGGAAATCCTAATAAGGGTCGAAAGTTCTCATCGGGCTCGTACGGCCGTGGAGGCCAAGGTCCATACCCAGGAGAGGGTGGATACCAACAGAACACCAACTATCCGGCTCCTGTCCCCTACGGCGCAAATCATCCAGGAGGCAACCTTCAAAATCAAACTCAGCAAGCCTTTCGAGTGCCTCGGAGCCAAGAGTCACAAGGCTATTCAGGCCAATGGCCAGCGAACCACGGAAGCAGGCATCCATCTGGATCGCGGCCCCAGGGCATGGAGCCGTTCCCTCCGTTCGAGAACCAGCAACCGCAGATGCAGGCTCAAACATTCTCTGGGCAACGCTTGCCTCCAAGTCAACCGTCAAAATCCCGTCACTCTGATTCGCGACCCTCATTTAGCAGCAATCCGGCCGAAGGGTTCAACGGCCAGGGACATGGAGGAGGCCAACCGAGCCCTCCTTGCGGCGAAGACTGGATAGCTCCTGATGCACTGCACATCAAACAGGTTTGGGTTCACGGATTCTACTTCCACGCCGATGTTGGAACAGGATTGACGAAATGGTTTGAGGAAAACGTTGGAGTTCCTGTGGTTAAAGTGGACTTGAGAAAAGACAAGAACGGCACGGATTACGCATACGTTAAGTGAGTTTTCCAACAGATCGAGATATTTCTACTGTGGTGCTAATCCTTTTCGACAGTTTCAACACCAAAACAGATGCCGAAAAGGCCCTGAAGATGAATGCTAAAACTTACGACAATCGGCCTCTGACTATCAAGGTGCCACAAAAGTTCTACACAGACCTCGGCACGCGATACAACGATTCCAGACGTACAAGCAACTCTTATGGCACGAGCAGCTTTAACCCAACCTTCCAAGGACGCCCTTACGGCTTCAGTTCTCCGAAGGTCGAACGAACACAACGTCAATCATCCCAAGATCCAACGCCGACCTCCAAGAAAGCTGGCAAGCATGGCGATCAATCATCTGCTCCTCCCACATATTCTCCCCAGGATGCCAGAAGTGACTTGAATCGGCAGCCGAGCATGGATAATTTTGCCGGGAGGGGCAGCCCAGAGATGAAGAAAGGGAGGAAGTCCAGCAAGACTTCCCCGAAGAAGCTGAAGCAACAAGAGCTTGGACGCACAACTAGCCAAGCCAGTGACACCCCGTCAACGAGTCCTGTCAAAGATGGGAAGGGGAAGTCTGATGTTGTTGCTCAGGACCCTAACGTAGTTCTGAGCCAGACGCCTTCTCTAGAAGAGCACAAGAGTCCTTCACAGACATCTACTACTATTCCTGTGAACAATTCAGACACGGAGCTCCAAGAGGAGGCGACTAGCGGGGACGCTCGTTCTAGTTCAACTCCAGACGACATCACCGATGCTACCGAGAGCACGAACGGTAGTGATGCATCAACGGTCGTGGCAGTTACCAAGAGCGATGGTAGTGGCGCGAAGGACGCTAAGGAGAAAGCAACAGATTCGCAAGTTTCTCCCGATGTCGTCGAAGAAACTGCGGAGCAAGCACCCGAGACCACAATCCAGCCGCCAGCAAGCCTGCCTTTGTCTCCTCCCAGTGTCACTACATCTAAAGAGCAGGGATCGGAACCTTGCGCGGTCCTATTTAGCGATGTTGATCAGCTCGTTGAGACTCCGAATATCGAGGAAGAAACCATACAGCCTACATCAGGTGAAAAAACTCTTACTGATCAGAACGAAGAGGTGGGTCTTTCTGGTGTAAAGGAAGAGGCTTCAAACAAGAGCAAATTTCTTGCTCCCGATAGTAACTCACCGCAAACTCCGAATGACTTCAGGACTGCGCCCCAGACCCCCTTGGAAGCATTTCACGGTCATGTGAGCCCTAACGCTGCCGGGGCCTCAAAGGATGACTTAGTCTCCGATGACGAAGAGCAGAAGCAAGACAGTAGCTTTGTTTCCGCTAAAGAGTCTCAGTCTGATGGTGAATCTGAGGCACAGCGCGGCCAGGAGCAGACGGACGACCAAGCGTCAACGCTGGTCAACGCTGAAGCACGAACAACCCATGGACTCGATGCGGAGGCCACCGCATCAAAACCAGAAGAGCACCCAACGAGCCGAAGCCCCTCTGTGGAGGCTCACCAAGCGACCGATAAATCAGTTGCGTCTTCGAAACCACCAGCTCGAACTGAGTCTCTACATCCTTTCGCGAAGGTTAACAAACGCAAGGAGAACGCGAAGAAAAAGACTGCCAAAAAGAAGGGTAAAGGTAAAGAAGCTCAGCAGCCTAAGGTAACGGACGTGGGGACCTCGAAGCTCAGCGATACTGCAAATTCGGAACCCGCGCTTGAGGAGATCGAGGTCGTGCCCGAGAACAATACGAAATCCTCCACGACCACCAAAGAAAAAGCGCACACGCGGTCAAACTCTCAGAACCAGAGTACGACTGAGGGCACCTCTAGCGCAGATACAGTCGAGGACAGAGATGACAAAACTCAGGAGACAATCACAACGAAAACTCCAGTCCCGGAGTCGTCGAAAGTTGGTAATGAATCTATCCCATCCTCAACAAAGCCTTCGATCCCACCAGCGAGTAGCTCACCCTTCCAGCAGAAGGTAGCGAAGGCAAACGGCGCTGTGCCGTCCTATGAGCCCGTGCTTCCCGCGGCGTCCACGAGCCTGCAAGTCCAAGACAACGAGATGACAGAAGCAGAGAAAGTCAAGGAGAAGAAGCGTCGAGCTATTGCTGCAAAAGTTGCTATTCCCAATCTAAATCTGGGATTAGTCGCTCGGAGGCCTCAATCAACGGGGAAGAGTGTTACTCCGGAGCCTCAATCGCCAGTTCGCCAGAGTACTGGTCATGATTCAGTAATGCCTCGTGTAAAGGAGGATCAGCACAGATCAGCAGTCAATAAGGCGAGCCTTCCCGAGAACGTAACGGAAGGACATGTGTCGGCAGTGTTCCCGGATATCAACGCGAATGAGACTTTGGACGAGTTGGTTGTCTCAGAAAAGCCATCTGCCCTCACTATCGTAACTGCCGAATCCTCCGAGGTGGGCTCTTCCAAGAAGCTAACACAAGCTAATTCGACATCCGAAGTTAGGAATGAAGACATTGCTGCTGTAAACGAAGACCAACTGCCAAAGGGGAAGAAGCCTAAGAAAAAGAAGAAAAAGACGAAGAACAATCTCAGCCTGTCGACTATCACTTCACAGAACGACGGAACCACTACAAGCGACCCCCTGATCGAACAAGGCGCCGAGTTCAGTGAACAGTTTAAGGAAATTGCAGATGTGATGGCCGCCCGTAAGTCTTTTCCCTTATACTACAGCAGGGAGTATGTCGATCATTCAACGGGAAGGCGAATCTCAGTATCCTCAGCAGCACAATCCGCCGGCATGGGCGAGACTTCCCCATATCGTACCTATCAGCAACTTTTCGCGCCTCAAGTCGTTTTGACCGCGGAACAACTCGAGGACATACAGAAATCTGGCGACCTCAACAATCCGCCTCAGTCGGTAGTGCAGGAGCTACGTCGTCCTCAGACTCTCGACGCGGAGGAGGGGGGTGCGTCTACATCTCGTGATTCACAAGATGGTAATAAAGCGTCGGGGTAGAAGCCAAAGGGCGGATGAGCGAGCAGGAGACTACATGACATTCAAAAGGTGCGTAATTATCTACCGCTCTTTCATCTATTAGACCTTCCGAATACTAACCCAGCATCAGTTCTGCGATTACCAAACATCTCGAACCTTCGACATGATGTTCTCACGTACTACCCCGCGCAAGTCTCATCGCTCGTCCCAACCCGTACCCGCAACTTGTTACTCAACGCGACTGATTAAGCGATCTGGCCTTGCTAGACCACCGCCACGGCATTGACAGAATTCTGACTGATTGACGCGTACGGCTTGATGGAGTCGGAGAGGGGGAGGTATGGTGCATCAAATATAGCTGGTGATAGCACCTATATGGCGGTAGCTGTGTGCTTGGTTTGTTGATTCTGGGTTTTGCCTTTGCTCCTGCTTTTATGGTGGTGTGGCGACGACTCCCTTTTCTTGGTTTTAATGCTTGAGTGGCGGTTCTGAAATTGCATCTGGAGGTCTAATCGACGAAGGAGGGATAGGTTAATGGGATTGCGAGTTGACGAAATTGTGACATTGCCTCTGCGATGATGACGTGAGGATGCTTTCGAGTGCGTGTTTGGTACTTGTCGCGAGGACTGTTAACGTGATGGAATAAGTAGCAGAACTAGGTAAGCCAGTCCTGCAAGAGAAATTGGTTTTGCGGCCTCCTTCTTCGACAAATATTTGTCCCATCGGTGACATTGCGCTTGGAATGATGAACATGGCGCCGGCTGTCATCCCAGCCTTTTAGTTATTTATAGCTTAGGCCGCCCGTTCAGCCTAAGTGTTGTTCCCCCCTGGAGTCAGTAAACCTGATGTTCTCGTAATGCCAGAACTCCTCGCGCACGATAAGCTGCAGCATTCCACATTAGCCTCAAGAAAAGAGATGTTATGATTGCATAGCCTTACCTATTTGCTAATTAGTCCGTTATAAAGTTTGCTAAATCTGGGGAGGAGAAAGCACCTCACGGCTCTCGCCTTTTACCATGCGGATCCTTTTTAAACCAGATTAGCAAGGAGTCGCAATCTTAGGGAAGTCGAGAATATGTACCAGTCAAATCTGGAAAAGGAGGCCCGGATATCACTCTAAGCACGCCTTTGTGTCGTACAATGGCTTGTCTCTGTCCCCTAGGCTGCCTCTCGAATCTTCTGCGCAAGTTCGTAGTGTTGGCCGCGACAATGTAGATTTTCTAACGCTGTTCTAACCCTGCTCGAAGTGCTTTTTGAACCTGTTCAGATGGTATATAGGCTTATCAGTTTTGACAAACCGATATCTCACCGTGCCCATCCCAGGCATGCGCCAATAGATGGGGCATACGCAGGACTGGATGTGCGAACCATTGCTCCAGGTCCCATAAACACTGAAGCACCACAAGCTGTGGTAGAAAAGCGTGAAGCTACTTTTTCTCACAGCACTAGGGCTACCCTATGCTCGACAGCGGAAATTCACAGTCCACAGGCTCATTTTTCACATTGAATGTGTGTATGTTGAAGTCGTCCTCTCGTATTAAAACTTGTAATGGTATCTAAACAGTCCGGAACTCATAGCTCACCCCCCTCATCATCAGCACCCGCCCCTTCGCGATCCTCGAACACCATGAAGTCTCCGCCCTCGTCGCCTACGATAGTTCGCCAGACTCCCTTCACCTGGTCAAGGACGGAGTCGTCAAAGGCAAGATCGAGGGATGTGGGTGGAAAGACGAGGATCTGCTGATCGAGCGATGCGGTACGTGTAGAAGCGAGATTCTCTTGGCGCTGTGTAAGCTGAGAACGCTGCGTAAGCTGAGAACGCTGCTCGTATCGGAGCGACCACAAGATTGCAGGCTGTGGCTGCGCGTTGACACTACTCAGTAAAGATTGGACGGCTTTGTCGAGTAGATTGACGGCCTTGTCACCGGCCAACGCGACACTCGCATACAGAATACCTGCATACACAATCAGTAATGTTCCAAGAGATATCGATTTGCATGATTGTGTGTGGAAAGCCCAGATCAGGTTGTCAGAGATATTATAATCGTCAAGGAAGTTCAGACAATGTAGATAAGTATTCAAGAAATCATTCATCATATAGGCGAGTAGCGTGCAGTGTAAGGAAAGAAAGAAGACACTTACTTTGGTTGGCTGGACACTCCCCAGTGTCGCTTGAGTGTACAAACACATAGACAGAGGAGAGTGTTGGCGCTGCATCCTCCTCATCTGGTGGAACAAGACTTCCAGACGGGAAGAACACGACGGCGCCGGCTGGTTTGGGGGCTCCTTCAGCTATGGGAGGGAATAGTGCCTCAATCGAGGAAGATACGATCGTGATAGATTTAGAACATATTTGAGGTTCGGTCGGTTGTGGGGTTCCTTCAGCTGGTTGGTGCTGAGACGTTTGGAGAGGTTCCAGATCATCACTGGAGCCTGCAATCCAACGTGTCTTTACGGACTCGCCATCTTTGAGTACAACCATAAGGTGATCTGAAGATGTTGCTGTTTCGGTAGTCGCACCATCAGATGGGTGTTCGTCAATCACAGGTCCTGCAAGACCATTGCCGAGCACATACACTGCGCCTCCTACGGCTCCAGCACGACATCCAACCTGACAGACTTCAGAGAGGCCTCCCCATTTCGGTATGACAGAGCCGAACCCAGGCCCAAGACTTCCGATAGATCGAAGATGCCTCGCAATTCGAGGGAGAGCAAATTCTGTGGTTGTGTGGTCAGCATCCAATGATGATAGGGTCAGAGCCAGAAGCGATGCGTGCAATGCAACGGGAATCCTGAATTGCTCGGAGAGGAATGTCGAGAATGGCGCCTGGCTGTGTGCTTCCCACACTTCACCTTGCTCTTCATACTCGCCGATAAATCTCAAGAACTTTATGAGAGACCGCTTGGCCTTCATGTCTAAATCTTGAGCGGCGAATATGTCCTCTCGTCCACTGGGCACCTTGTTCAATGCTCCGTGGCCAACAGCAGTTCCCGATCGACTCTGCGAGGAGTTTCCAGAGAGTTTTTCTGCGCTGTTTCCAGGCGTATAGACCCACCAAGCCCCAACAGCAAGGAATTCAAGCTGTCGATGGACTTTGGAGGACACGAGGATTGGGAGAATACGCGATCGGGTGTAGATCAGTTGGGGCGACAACGACAGGCTGTATGCACGAGAGGATAACAGCTTGGTCAAGTCCGTCTCAGACCCTTCCGGTTGATGGATGGATACATTTGCGAAGGTAGTGGATGATGAACCATCTGTCGAGGTTAGCTAGTTATAGACGAAATCTCTATATCAGAGACAAACCTTTTGCTACACTTCTGGACCAGCCCTCAGCCTCTTGAAGACTGAAGGCAGCCTCGCTGCCGCCATAGTAGTCGTTCTTGTCAATGTGCAGAATTTTCTTCCCTGAGCGAGACAATGCTCTTTATGAGACACTGCGTCAGTCAGAAAGTGCAGGCAAGTGCAAGACTGGTGGACAAAACGTACGTTGCGAGAAGAGACTGGGACAAGCCCGTCCCCACTATGAGGACGTCCCAATCTGTGCCGTCCAAAGACTCCATGCTGGAAGGTGGAGGACGATGGGTTCAAGGCAGACGGCGACGGAGTTCTCCCTAAGGTTGTGGAAACTAGTCGGGAATAACGTAATCCACAAGTTAGTGGCCCGCACAAGCTAGTGGCCCACCCAACTCAACACGCGACGCGTCGTCCAACAACCACCCCAATGGCAGCACCACAACAACAAGAAGCCATCTTTCAAGAAGGCAGAGTTATTCTAGGCGTTCAAGCCTACAAGACCGGCCAAATTACATCCTTCCGAGGCGTTGAGAAACTATACGATGTGCCCAGAAAGACGGTTACGCGTCGCGCCCGTGGTATTCCTCCACAACGCGGTGCTATCTCCAAAAATCGCCGTCTTACACCTGTACAAGAAGAGGTTCTTG